CGAATCTCCTATTTGTTTAGTGTAGTTAAATGAACATTTTTTTTCTACGTTATCAATACTTTGTTGGGTTACACAATTTTGACCTATCTATAAAAATCTTGCCAATTTTGCTTATGTTTTTTTTGACTAAATAGAAGTTTGTCCAATGGTCTAAAAATTCTGGTTACGCCGCTGGCTTCAGTGTCGGAATTTAACGGAAACCAACATAAGCATTCGACCCATATATTCTGTTGACACCATATGCTTATTCATTGATGATTAAGAAAATGTTTTTTTCCGGCGGATCCGTTAGTAGGTCCTAAACCGGAAATCCGACCGAATTTTGTCGGCTTGTTAGATCCCATGGGATTCGATAGAATTCATTCACCTAGGTATTAGTGGTCGATAGTTAATAGCGAAAAGTAAAATATATATTTTATTTTTCACCTGAAAGAAGCTCTTCGACACGAAAAGACGTAAAACTTATTATTAGCATTCATTAAAAGCAGAAGAAAAGTAAAATGATGCCGGTGAGTCTCATTCTCCTGATTATGATAGCAATCTTGTACAGAAAATATTTCAATTCAACAAAGAATCATGACTAATTCTTCTCCTTGAATAGTTTTGACAAATTTTACATTGCAAAGCATGTTTCTGAGAGAAAACGCACTAAAATAATACTTTATATTTTTCTTGAAGTTTAGATTTAACATGTGTATCAGAGCTCCGGATGGGACCCACTGTTATCTTATCTATATTTCGTCGAGTAAGCTTTTTGCTTGGAACCTGGCTACGTCACTTTTTCGATTATTTTGTCTCACAGAATTTGCACAATTAAATTGGCACCTTTTCACGTTTATAAATTACAAAATTACAGGGTGTGGGTGCATGAAAATATACCTGTACTAACCATACCCACACACCATTTTCATTAGAAAAGTCTTCAAGACTAAGAAATTTAAAAGATAAGTTGAAGTCGGCGAACTAAGGTTCCACTTGCGTATTTTTTGTGGAACTCACATATGTTTTCGAACAAAATGGTAAGTGTCAGCTTAAAAGTGAGATTTTTTACGGCGCCCCATTGCAGATATTAATGCGTTGAAAATTGTGCTAATTAGAAGCTTGACTAATTATGCTGCTATTTCTTCCTTTTTTAGTTACACACTAAACGAAAAAAAAAGCAATTCTTGCCCATTACAGACCATAGAAACTAGTCTCTGATATAGTTAAATATACAAGCTAAGAATTAATATTCCACTACAGACATAACCAAATAGGCAATGGCCTAACTATAGGTTTTGGATATCAAGATAGAGTTTTTTAGATAAGCTATTTTGAATTATTTCACTAAACACAAGGAATATATGTGAGTTCCACATTTCAGCCGCAAAGGGGCTGCGCTAACAAGCTTTTTCATTGGTTTCCGCTAGACTGCAGATGCCATTGACTTACACGACATCGTGTTTCCGATCGAGTATGGATTACGAGTCTAACTCAAAAGAGCTGATGTTGAATTCAATGGATCTTTTTATGCCAACAAAGAAGTGTCACAAAGTGATTACCTCTTATCAAAGTATCCTGCACCTGAGACTCTAAGGAAATCCGTCGTCATTTATTTAATATTTTACTCATTTATTTCGTCAGCTTTCAAGAGCTGCTATATTTTCTAAACTTTTCTCATGGCGATAATAATAAATGAATGATAATGAAGACAACATTTATTACAATAAAACTTCTCTTCAACTATTAGGTTTCCTGTTAAAAAAATGATATAATAGAGACATTGATGGATGTTGATATAAAAGCTGAATACTTTTTACGATTTTTACATTGATTGCATTCGCGCACACTAGAAAAATAACAATATTTATCTATTATTGGTTGTCTAAAATAATCATGCAGAGTTAATCACATGAGCAAAAATCATATCACCAATGAATGAGTCTCAAGTTTACCACAGTCAGAGCATTGACGACTTATTTACTTATTTTTTCACCGAATCACAGTGTCTAAACCACTCCATCTTTACCAACATGTACATGAATTATGAACACTCGTTATATGCAAAATTAGAATGATATTCGCAAGTATGAGAAGGATCTTGTTCATTCATTTTACACCTTTTAACATATAGTTGTGAAAATAAACATATGACAGACGATCACAAGAGAAACAAAGAAACCGAAAGAGTAATACATCCTTTGCAATAAAGTGGTGGATGGCCACCACGACAGCGATTATTGCAAACCACTTTTTTAGTAGTACCGTTCATTGAGAAGTAAAGAATATTACTTCGTAGGGCCATCAGAGATTACATGTCAAGTGAACATCTATAAGCTTTATTTCGACATTTAAAATGTCTTTCAATTGCTTGCGATTTGGTCGCCATTAATACGCGAGGATCTAAATGTAAAAGCAGAATCAGTCATCTATACTGGATAATCGGAGAGAATTATTTATTTTTCACACGTATCGTAAGAGATTCACATACAATCTGTTGTTTCCATCTATTCCGATGTCAACATAATCAAAAGAAATTTTCTTCAATATTTTATAATTCAACAGAAATAGAGAGGCAAAAGCATGTTTATGCTTCATGATTACTTACTAGTCGATCCTACGACATGTACAATCACTGAACTAGTTTCATTTACCATGATCATTCTTGCTACATCCATCTTTATACCAGGCCATAGCATGATCTGCTTTGATTGATTAGCTGAATAATGTGATATTGATTTCCCATTTACAGACTTAAAACCAACAATAACCAAATTTGTACCAACATTTGCCTGGAGATAATCTACAATAGTCATGTTCGATGGTGAACATAAAGCCATAGAAGAATAGAACGATGATGACTCTGAAGCTAATGTCTCGTTGAGAGTCTCATCATAATGAGTCCCTTGCCAAATTTCATCATTTGTGCTAGGTAATTTATCAAGTGCTCTTCTGAATAACTTCAGATATTTAAACCATGGCTTCATTTCCGATCGATCTTCAGATGCCCATGCTGCTTGCAATTGATCATAGAGACATTGGCCCTCCCATTTCATTGTATAAATGTAGATAGCAGCTGATTCATCAAGAGTAAGACGATATTCTGATGGATAGTGACACTTGGCTTTAGCTTTTTCAATATAGGAAGGCAAAGAATCAATTTGAACAACGACAGGTTCAAGAGCTTCTTCAAGGGACACAAGTCGTTCATTGAGATAATTGTCAATAAGTCTGAGAGGATTGGTTTTACTAATACCAATATTAGAAAATCGTTCGATTATAGATTCCTCTTGCACTATAGGTGAGTTTTCGCTTCTGGTCAACTGATTATGAGACCTAGAGCGCATAGGCGATCTGTTACTTCTATATTTGCCAAGAGTAGATTGATGCTCCATAGTTTCAGCATTACCACTGCCATTCGCAGCACCCATTTTTCTTGATAGAATGTGTAACTGTTTATGAATTGATTCTGCATCAAAAGATTGCAAAACAGTTGCTAATGCAATCATTGGCACTTTGAGGGTGTGGCCACTTGAAACAAACGACAAAAAATAGTAAATATTCATTTTGCTATGACAATTTTCACTGTGAATGAAATGATTTTATATAAACATCTCCAGTGTACATTAAAACACGTGGAATATTTTTTTCTCATTTTTCAAACCAAAATCAAATATTTTTACGTTTTGCAGTTAATGAATTCATTCGAAGATTTCAAACGCGACAAAGAAACACAATATTTGAATAGAAAAAAAATGATGACGATAGTGAAAAGAATTATTGCAAAACGTTTTTCAATGATATATTTGATTTTAATAAAGATTTAGTTACTTTTTAATTGTATATATTCTTAAGTCTATAGCAATTTAATTTTGCGTACTATCCGCAGATGTCCAGTACGATTCAATAAATATTCGTAGCTGCTTTATATCTAAGCATAGCTATTTATTTATTTTCAATTTCTCTTAACTAGTAATTGATGATTGAAATATTTTACTGACCAATCATTCTATTTACTGATTTTATAATATTTTAACGTGCTGATCATTTCATTCATGCGACAGATCGCTTAAATCGTAGCGATACCTATCAAGAAAAAATGATGATTAACTCAAGCTTCTTGCGTAATAACTCGAATTAAATATCCTTTAATTATTGCTAATATGACTCAATTTATATGTATTTCAAAACATAGGAACAATATTATATCAGCTCTCGACGGATTCATATGGTTATGGCTTAATAATAATTAATGTTGTGTAGCCGGATCGGTTTGGATGCCGAGCTTACAAAATAAAGTCGGGTAGGGTAGAGAAATTTGTAAAAAAAACAGACACTCGACCCGACGGCTAGTGAAATCTGAACTTCAAAAGCTATTCTACTCTCTAACATTTTTATTTATCAAAGAAGTGTAAGAATTAAAAACGATTCGACTATAATTTAGTACTTTATTATACACTTACATTAAATAACGCTTTGAAAATTGTTGAAGACGGTGAAAAAATCTCTTAAATATCGACTCTATCTGGACCGGATTTGGTTCCGGGCACAAAAAAATCATACCCATGTAGGGCACTGTCGTGTTCTACGTTCTCTCCACTACTCATATTAATGGTATGTAGTGAAAAGTTTCAAATTATCGCTCTAAAAGTAGCCAAGCGTTTGCTAATTGTAATTCAATATTACATTAATAAAATCGTTTGCTAATGTATTGTCTCTGTCGTACATATTAATGCCAGTGTCATTCGTTATATAAACGAGAGATACTGAACTCAATTATTTGTGCAGCTACATTTTTTTAAATTTCATTTTTCAAAATTTTATAAAAAGCCAAAACTTTTAGGTGTAATTACATAAAAGTAAAATGAGTTTAAGAATTGCTTGTTTGTCTCTGAAAAATGTGAAATGACAATCGATGATCAATAGGGTGTTTTAATTAATTTAACATAAATATCTTCATCTCGATCTTGTCGTAAGAAATCATTAAGATTGTAATTAATATAACCATTTTTACGTGCAATCGCTAAGACTTCAGTTAATTTATCAATTTGAGCACTTCCATAGATCTAGAAAAACAAAAAAATATATTTATCAATATTAAAAATTAGCGATAACATATGCATTTTCAAATCTAATTGGAACATAAAACAGACTGACGTAGAAAAGAAAATCTTAATATGTTGTAGTTCGTCAACAATTTTTCAGTTCTAATAGAATGTCAATGCAAGTGTTCTATTATTTTGACTGCGCTTACTGGTATTAATTCACCGAATTTAATTTGTATTGCATAATCACCTTGTTGTCCATTATCCTTAATAAGTTGATGGACATGCTTTATTTCATTTAGTATATTATAATCCATATCGGGTTGACTAGAAATTCAAGAAAACCATTTGGGTTGTTGCAGAATTTGAAGAAAACAAATTACCGCATGGTACTTACTGATGTATCGACGTAATTTCTGGTGGAGGTGGCGCCTGTGTTTGATTTACTTTTTCTTGAAATTTATTAACTCGTCCAGCTAAATGATTTTTTGGTTTTTCAGGTTTCTTATACATTTGCCTGTCGTATTCCATAGATTTATCTTTGCTAGGAGAAGCCATATTATTGTGGTGGACTATTTACTTTGTACGAAATGAAATGTATGTTGCACGGGTAAATATCGAAGCCAAAAAATAGGAGATATGTGCGTACAGATGTACAGTTGTTTTTGTTATTACTATTAGGAAAGTTATATATATATAACCCGTACTGGGCAAGAAAGAAAAAAACAAGTTGACAACTATTTCTTGCTTTCCTGTTCTAGAAGTACACAACTAATAGATCGTCAACTCTTTTCTTTCTTCTGTTCTATTATTGGATGAGTAATGAAATAGATAGGATTTATTTAGATTATAGAGAAGAATCATAACAAAAATATTTTCAAGCAGAACTATTTATGTACAAGCAATATATGTCGTATGAATAGCGCGTGTTTCAAAGTTACAATAAATGTACGATATGATGATAGTTAATAATAAGAGGAAATTGCCAATTGTTGTCTTCTTCCTTGAAACTGCTATTCCGTATTCAGCAAGAAAAATAAATTGTTAATAAGACTTCGATTGCAATTCGTCTAGTGAGAAAAAAAAACACTAATATTTTTCGAAACAATTTATTTACACAAGATTTCGTTCGAGATGGATATTTGGATTTATTCTGAAAGAATCAAAATTTTAATTTGTATGTAATAGCTCGTTGATTGAAAACTCGTTTTTTTTTAAATGATGCTTCCTTATAAATATATATTTGTTAGTTTATTCTTAAGTCTTAGGATAAAATTCATTTGACCTTAACGTGATTCATTCTGAATCAGTCACTGACTTTAAAAGAAAAGAAAATAATCAGCATGAGTAGAGAACATCCATGACATATTAGAATTGGCTTGTTTCTATCTTCGGTTTGTCATTTTCAAGATGATTTTGGTACAACTCGGTGACACCCGGAGAGTCCCATTCTATTGACATCATAGATCAATAGTGTCCATCGAATATTGACATATGGGAGAAAAAACATTCTTTCATGCTGACTTACATCATTCAATAGTATAATCCTACACTGTGAGCTTTTTTTCTTAATGCTAATAATTGTAAAAATACTCTTGAAATAAGGGAAATAAATCAATAATAGGTGGGTAAAAATATTATTAGAAAAATCATCATGGAAAGAATGCACTTGTATTTCAATCAAAAAATGTACTTTAGAATAAATTACGTCCATAAATAAAATAGGATGAAGAAGCTATTACAGAAACATCCTTTAGACCTCGGAACAAAAAGGTACAATATGTAATATTTGCAACTAATTATAAAGCGACATTATTGACGACTTTTAATCGATCTCTTACCGGAAATAGTTTTTAAAGTTAACAGGAAATAATTTCGGAGACCTAATATATCAAATGAATGCTTGCAGAATATACGAATTGTGAGCGCGTACAAAAGAAAAAGAAGTTTGTAGCTTTCATCAAAGAAAATCATGTCTGACAAAGTGCTGATATTACTATTTCTATTCCAAAGACTTTGATTATATTTCTGTTGTTGACATATCTAAAAGATCATGGTGAGCATTTGAATAATATTTTATTGGAGGACATTATATAAATAACGTGGACGACTTTTCCAAGTGTAGTTAATTCAATATTTATCAAAGACGAACATGCTAGTCTTTGAAATAGCTCTTCAAATCAGATTTTGGGGTCCAATTGTTGTATTTTCAATTGGAGCTCCAGCTGCATGTCTCAATGCTCTGTTATTCGTTGCCATCAAATCATTTCGTCGATCTCCATCGGCTTATTATATTGTGGGACAATCATTTGCTGACGTGACCATTTTACTGATTGTACTTCTCCAAATAGTTCCAGCAGCGTCAGTATCGGCTTCATCTATTGCTTGTAAGTTAATCATCTTTTCTCTTCAAATGACGATATCTGTTGCAATGAGCTTTCTCTGTTTGTCCGCGTTCGATCGGTGGGCATGCACGTCTCAAACTGCTGGAATACGTCAATTGAGTTCGACACACGTAGCTCGTTTTCTATTTCCTATTCCATTTATTATTTGTTCATTGGTGAATATTCCTTTTCTCGTGTACTGTGATCTTATTCCTCCAATAAACTTTTGTTGGTTCACGAACGATCTCTTCATGAGAATAGGAACTCTGGTATTATTTCCCATTTTTACTGTGTTTCTTCCTTTAATTGTTCTCATAATGTTTGGATTATTGACATGCCGCAATATTCGTTTTGTGACTCGTATCCGCCGTCAAGCTAATCAAACTCGTCTATCAACATGGGAACACCAAATGACAAGAATGATGCTAATCCAAACTCTTCTATGCATATTTTGCTCATTTCCTCGAGCTATTTTCGTCATCTATGCAGTTGCTACAATCGACCAGAGTGCAGATCGAAGCTCCGATCAATTATCTATCTTAGATTTCGTCGATTACCTATCTCAATCTGTCCTATGCATTAATTTTGCTTCATCTTTTTACATATTTCTTCTTTCATCACCACGTTTTCGACAAACGGTTCAAGTGTATTTAAAACATCAATTCCGCCTGGGACCTAATCACTTAGAAACAATGAACATGGGTACCAGAGGACAAACACTTGCTGGACGTCAAATGGCGAGAGAAATTACTCAGCGAACAGTTCAAAGTTAACCATTTTGACAATTATCTATTAAATACAGTTGTTGTTTGTCTCTCTTTACGTTGAATAAAGTATCGTTCATAATCATCACCATATTGATTACGCTAGCTTACAACGAGAGAGAAAAGGCGATTCTGTTTCGGTCTTATCTTGTTATTTGCTTTTGGTAGGATCGTGATTATCTTTCTCATTTCTATATTTTAGAGCTTATCTTATTTTGTCTTGTTTCAGAGGGAACTTGGCAGTATTCCCTTTTTTTCTCCTGTGCTAATCCATTATCGAAAATAAGAATTCACAATTTCAAAAATAAAAAATAAAAATAGTGATTTCTCTGTCTAATCTCAAGCTAATTAAAGACGAAACATATTCTAATAAATCGCTGATTCGAAACACGTACATATATGGTATCGATAAAAATAATTAATGGGCTCATTAGTTGATAATAATACTACGTCAAGCAAGAAACAGAAAAACAAGAGTCGGAAGAAGAAAATAAGGACAAGAAAAAAATAGATATACATACGTATGTGAGACCCCACATGTACATAACGATTTATTCTTTCGATGAATATTACTCAGAAATTTCTCAATTCTTTCGCACGCGTTGTACCTTCCAAAATCATAAGTATATCATATTTCAAAATTTTTATCTATGTACTATTTCGTCTTACGCGATAAGAACCAATCCTGATTACAATATTTATCAAATATGAAAGAAAAACACATCATCCATAACGGAAACGCAGAAATTTTAATCGTCTAAAAAAATATTAAAACACATTTAATATGTAGAAAAGAGGGTGTAATCAATTGTTCTCGCGTATTTTATTTTCACGCATAAAAAGAGTAAGTTAACTTCGAGTAAATCGAGATAAGTATCTGACAAAAGGAAAGTAGAAATTATACAAAATACTTATGGTTACCTTTTTTCTCAAGTTCACAAACTATTCATTGATTCGAATCGATGTTGTAGAAAATTTACCATTTAATTCAAATTATGCGCTCATTAAAAAGACTACTGTGACACAGTTTAGTCATTTTTTAATAGAAAACTGTTTAATAAATATAAAATCATGCATGTAACCGTCAGTAGATTAGTGTTTAGTGAAGCTGAAATCTAGAGTTTATACAATGCATTTTTCCAATACTACATTACTGAGCATATTTTTGTGTACTCAAAAAGTGAGTACACTCTAGATTCGGTCAGCGTCTGGCCGTCCGGCCGTTAACACGATAACTCTTGAAAGCCTCATCCAATTGTCTTGTAAAGTTGTACACAGAATGATCTCATCAATATCTCAGCCGAGTTCGAAGATGAGAAAGATCCGTCAAGAAATGGCTGAGGTATCGAAAAAATGGTCATCCTTGACCAGACCATCCCGGAGGAGAGGGGGCTGGGGGGGGGGGGTCAGGGGTTTTTTAAAAAAAAAATTTAGTGATAATTTTTNAGTAGTTGAAACCAATTGAATAGATACTACGAAGAACATGTGTGCATGCGGTGAATAGTCGTCGAAGATCGGGGGTACAGGGATTTTTCAAAAAAAAATTTTCTCAGAATTATTTAAAACGTATATAAATCGACCCAGTTTTTGCAGTACACATAACAATCGGATGCGAATCCGATGTTTCCTCATTTATTTCTATTGAAGTTTAACGTTTATTTATTGTTTTGATCTCTAATGAATCAAGAACAATTACTAAACATCTGCAAAACAGATATTTTTATACCGTGCAAGAAAATACATCGCCATCAGTGATATTGATTTTGAAGCGTTTAACTATGCACAGTAGTGATCCACTGTCAAAATAATATCAAGCATAACCAAATAATTAAAGTCTAGACCAAAATATTGTAAAGTAAAACAAACTTTCATAAATTATTCCGGAGGTCTTTTGAGTGTATGTACTCTATTCATGCATGCGGTCGTCCATATTTGTTTATTTAATATCAGGATTTGGATGATTCTTAGTGTTTCTAATAAACAAACCTAAAAACATTGAGATTCCCGCACCCCAGATCTTCGACGACTATTCACCGCATGCACACATGTTCTTCGTAGTATCTATTCAATTGGTTTCAACTACTCGAAAAATGACTGTTTGATTAACTCATCGAAAATGAGAATTCGTGGTGTATGTTCTACATTTTTAGATCTGCAATATCATCTTCAAATTGACGCTTTGAAATACCTATCACATGGACACTTGGGAAGTGGAAATATTAGCAACTTTGAAATCATGATTAGTAAACCAAATATGTTCTCTACGTTGTTCCTCGAAATATGTGTCAGTGTATACGTGTCTAAAAAAGTGGTATCCAATGCATGACGTTAACAGTTACTTGCTGTCCTCTTCAAAGTCATGCCTGACGAACTTTTTGAGTCTATTGGTACCGAAAAATAACAACTGATTTTCGATAGGATGATTGAATACAAATGAAAAAAATTACTAAATACGATTCTATTTCCTTTCATGATCTATTAAATATATCATACATTCATCCATTCATTTGAAATTTATTGAAAGAAGCATCGCTGTCAGGTAGTACATCACACTCGAAAATGAACACGAAATAATAAAGTTTACTTATTTCATAGCCCATCTGGATCACACACCGCTATCATAATATGTCAGGAGGAACCAGAATAAGACCTGCTACCTATGACTATCGCCACGACTGCACAATTATCCAATCGATTATCATGTGACACAAAGAACAAAGTCATAAATCGTACTAACGTAAGAACGTTTTTTCATCCATTATAAGAACGCCCTCATCCATCATCAGTAATCCTTTCGTCTCGTATGTCTTGAACATTCGTTTTATTTGAAGTAAAACGCCATTTTTTTCACCGATCTTAGCCAGGCATCGATGGCTCGTTGTCAAATTGCTGAGATTCAACTCGAAGCCATACTTAATGAACCTAAATCAATTAGGTCGCTTCCTATTCGTGGACTAAAGGATGTTATAAAAAAAATAAACGATATACCATCGAGCAAGTATCCAAAATGCTCAATACGCTATCTGGCATGACTAAACGACTCTTGGCAGCGTTAGGAATGCCGTCTGAAAACGACGATGCTCCAACATTGAGTACTAGGGATGTACAAAATATCACACGAGTGTTGAACAGTACTACCGATGTTCGGGTTCTATTGCTCTTCAAAATGGTGAGCGGAGTCGATAATGTTTATGTCGATCAGGAAGGATTGACACAGCTTTTCGAACACTATCCTCGTAACGTTGGCACATTTGCACAAGATCAATATCCAGAATTCTTTAGAGTCCTATTGCGAAAGTTTCAATTGAATGAGGTAAAATACTTTAATAGAGAAATCTTTCTAAACCTATTTCGATTTGTGTTTTAGAGATCTCGTATTGTTTTTGGCGAATTCTATGCGATTGTCTTAGATGACCCCGATTGCATTGGAGTCATTGTCAAGATTCACTGTTCATCCTGATTGGTGTGTCGGTCCATCAAAGCAAACATCAGAACCCAATGTTGCAGAAAACTTCCTTTTAAGCGCATATCTTACCAACAAGAAAGAAAAAAAAATGTACGAAGGAATACATATGCAAAAATTTATCACGTATCATCATTTGAATACTTTACATACTTATTAATCTTGCTCTGATTACCTATGTCATTATTTATCGTGCATACCATCAAAAAGCTCATGCTTTTCTAGTGATCGCTAGGATTGGTGGAATATTGCTAGATTTTAATTGCGCGCTGACCACCACTTTGATGCTAAAAAGGATTATTTTGATTATTCGCAACAATAAAATCCTACGAAAATTTATTCCAGTAGATGATCATATCGATTTTAGATGAATACAATCAGAAGGTTCTTTGTCCTTTTTAGGATTCACTTGGTGGGAATATATGATAAGATTGAAATGAAATTTATAAAAACTAAACTGATGGATAACAGCTACTAATAATGGTGTATTCAATTAGACCCTTTTTTTTTCAAAAACACAATGTGAAAGTAGCATTGAAATACAAAGATAACACTTTAATCCCATTTCAAATAGTATTAGATGACTTGTATAGATTATAATCAATGGTAAAAAAGAACGTTGCTTACACGTGAACATAGAATTTATGCTATTTGTATCTGATTAACACACGCATTATTGCTTTTATCGGAGATGTTGAGTATTAAGCGAATTCAATGGCATTTTAATGCTATAATAACTCTGATAAACCTAGCCTACTGTATATCATTTTATGTTTTTTAAATGATGTAAATAAATAGATTGTTAAAATATTCATCTACACCTTTTCTGTCTCATTAACGAATTTATAATGTGAAGATAAAATTGAGTTGAATAAGACAAACAGACAATGAACTTTCCCTATATAGATGTGTTCAACTAAATATATACTTGCTTTGCTGCTTGTCGTTAAATGATAAATAACACTTTGAAGTTTAACTTTTTTCCTCCTGTCTCTACGTGAATTGTTTGATAAACAATTTGATAATTATTTTTCAGTTTACTACACGTCCTGACATTGGTTGGGTTGGCCATTTTGCATCGTTGAGTGGTGTTATTCTTTTTGTAATACTCTCTGTCATGGCCATATTTTCTATGCAATTTATTCGGCGCAGTGGTCACTTCCAAGTGAAATCTATTTTGTTTTTATTTTTTACAATTCCTATAAATTTGTCTCGATATAGATATTCTACTGGACTCATTTACTTTATTGGCTATGTTTTCTCTTTTTTATCATTCATGCAGGTGATTGTTGACTGAGTTCACGCCTAGTTTTCGTCGTTTTTTATGTTTATCTTTGTTTCTATGTAATTTATAGAAATGGATTGCTACTCCGCTGACAATTTTTATAATCGAAAAGCTCTATTATAGTTTGACACAATGTTCTTCTAATTCAGGTCGAATTCATATAGAATCGGCCACAATAGAGCAATCAAATGTGATCAGTTTAAAAATACATCGATCAAAAAGTTTCAGGTAATTTCATCCTTCTTTACTCGAATATAAGTTCTTTAGGTTTCGATCAATATAGATTTCTTTTTAACTATAGATTTCAACTAGGTGATTATATTTTCATAAATTTACCGCGTGTGGCTCCCTTCGAGTTCCATTCATTCACAGTCAGTAGTGCGCCGCAAGAGTCAAATTATATCACGGTACATATTCAAGCGATTAGCAATTGGACCAAACGTGTCTATGAGTACTTCAAGAACATGCCAGAAAATCAAAAGAACGAGCGTAACATCAAGGTTTACCGCTCTGATTTGAATCCCACTCGAGCCATAGTCGAACACATACAGAATGCAGACGCAACATCTTCCAGTGCAACGAACGATATTCAAAATCAGAACAATCATCCAGGCAGCTCTCTACCGCCATCTGCTCATAAAGACTGGATAGTGATTAACGGTCTTTATTCATCATGTGCTCTATATATTTTCGATGCCAACGTGTCAATTACAACAAGAAAGATCTTGCAGAGAATGGTCAACTGTTGAAGATCGATTTCATTTGGGTCAATCATGATCACAAGAGCTTCGAATGGTTGCTTAATCTTCTTCGTCAATTCGAAGAAGAACAAGAGACTTATTCGACCCCTAATCCTGGCGAAAATCGGTTTCTTGATATTCATCTCTTCTTTACTCAAATCAAAAATGATGAGAATATTGGCAATGTTCCACTTGATGTTGTAACGAAAACTTGGGCTCAAGTAGCTGGAAACGACATTTTTACTAGTTTGCGAACAAAGACGCAGATTGGAAGATCTAATTGGACCGAATTATTCGACCGTCTAATTTCTAACGAAAATGCCTCGACTGCCGATGATGTAAACGTATTTCTCCGTGGTTCACCCATAATGGGTAACAGCATTCGTGAACATTGTGAAAAATTTAGATTTCATTTCTTTAAAGAGTTTTGATTTTCTTCTTCTTTGTGATACCATGATTCAAGCATTTCAAAATGAAAATTGTTAAACCAGATCTGTTTTTACTACGATTGTTAAAAAATACATACTTATAGGCTTGGAATTCTTTCTGTTCTCATTAAGGCAGCAACTTTTGGTGTGAATGTATTTCAAATTTCTTCTTTATATACTTCAAAAAATTAAAAAGCTTTTAACATTTGACACTAATCAGATTTTCGTTCAACACATCAACAAAACACGTATCTCTGGTGTATAAGCCTTGAATTTCGTTAGATAACTATATTTTGTAAAAGCTTCATTACAATTCATGGTTGTTTAATACTCTCATATCAGAGTGTGCAACCGTTTCAGTTCAATTTTTATTTCCATACTGTTGCAGGGTTTGGTGGCAAAGGCAAAAAGTAAATGTCGAAAATTGAGTTTTTTGATAATTTTAAAAATAAAAATTTATTTTCTAAATTGGTATGTACATATATGTCGCATCCATGTTCAGTACAAACCCAATACTTTTTTTGATGAGGACGTTTTATTGCATTGGAACATATATTGATTGAACACTAGTAATGATTTACCTTTATTAGCCGTTAAGAATGATATTTCACTCTCCATTGCCAACGGTTGAAGAGAAAATTATTTGTTAGTTGTTTTCGCCAGACTGATTTATACATATATAGTATACGCTAACAATGAACAAGTATAGATTATAGACGAGGAGGACAACGAATTTAACTTATGCCACTAACAACCAATACCAACTCAAAAAACAATTTCGTTATCTATTGACACCTTTTTCATTCTACTTTTTCCTCTAGTAGTTTTTCTTCGACACTTTTATTAATTATACTTTTTCATTTCGACATTTTCCATTCTACGTTTTCACCTTCTGCAATTACCAGTTTCGACATTTTCCTTTTCTGCCTTTTCCGCCAATTCGCTGTTGCATACATTGGTTACTGTATATACTTATTAGTACAATTTTAGTAAGGTATTTCTTGTTGGCTTAATATTTTGATAGAAAAATAAGTAAGAATTCTATTTATGCTCAAGTAATGCATAAACTGACTGCAAGACATTTGTCTTTTGCTTTTTTTTTAAGTGAGAAAGTAAGACGTTTAAAACGACACGTTTTATGGTAGTGAAATCAAGAGAAAAATAAACGGCTTCAAATAATAGAGACCATGCATTGTATTACTTCTCGTATTCGAGTTAATTTTAAAGGCTTAATTGTCTAGAACGTTTAGACTGGCATCAACAAAACGAAAAGAGAAATGTTGACTTGGTAAACAAAATAAAAGAATCCGATAATTGTGTCATCCATAACAAACAATTGATATCGCTTCGGCCGACCATTAGCATTTTGTTCACAAGAAGGTATGGCTACATTAGAATTTACCACATGTCTGCATTATTGTAACGGAAAGAATTTTCTCCTACTATAATACGTATTTGTCTGATTTTACTAATTAAGTATGAAATGTAGAAAAAAACTATTTTTCCGATTTTAGTTTTCATTTAAAAAAATATCCATATTGAGATTGATCAAAGTAAGGCAGCTGCCTTTATTAAAGAAATCATCAGAAATAGGAAGCAAGACGCAATGACACTATCGAAGACGACCCGCAGATACTTCCCTCTTCACAATAGCACCCCTAGGATACTACAAGGAAACTAAATGTATAATTAGCGTTTCTGTCGCTTATCCTGATATTTTAGATGTTGATCATCTTGGATTGATTGATAAGATCGCCGACTTTGTCCTCTAAAAGCTGGTTGTATCCGTGTATAGCCTTGCTGATTTGAGATTTCTACTGAACTTATTATGAAATCAATCATAGCATCTGGTGTTTTAATAGTATCGTTCATTTTTACGGCTCGAACAAACTCACTATATCGATCGATTGCTTTTATAGCTTTTAAGCGTTGTTGAAATTTTTCAACTATATTATCAGGCGGATATCCATATGCTCGATCCAAATATCTAAACACACAGATATCAGTAGATTAACAAAAGCTGAAACGAATGAAAACAAGAAACTCACTCTTTAACACCGGAAAAAATGAATGTTTCTGCCATTTCCAAATTGAATACTAATAGGTGATTTGATACTTTTGCAGCTTCGAATATATTGGATAAATCTCTCGGTTTGATATCGAATAGGTTTTCAACAACACGCTTTCGTTCAATCCAAAGAATTTGTCGAGCAAAATATTCTTCATGAATATATTTTCTAATTTCATCAAATTGATATTTATTTGATAAAGCAATTTTTATTAAAAATTCACCAATATCTGGTATGACTTTTTTATTTCGATTTTGTAAATGCCGCATAAAATTATCAATCATTTCATTAATATTATGATCTAAAAGTGATAGAAATAATTGCATTATTTGTGATATTTATCAAGAATTCACTCGCCTAATTCAGGATAAATATCAATAAAGTGCATTAATAGACGTAGAAAATGACAATATGCTTCAATGGCATGTTTTGATTCAAACATTTCACCATTGAATAATCGTACACCAGATTGATTCATCAAAGCTGTCAAGACTTTCAGTGCCATGAACGGTTGAAAATCATATCTGGCGCTACCCAATGCAGAACCATGATAAATCACACTAATACTGTTCTGAATAATAGTTTGTCCTTTTTGAAAGTGAGCGTCATTAATAAATATCGGCAACCAATGATTGTAATCTTTTCCAGTAACAGAACGAAATTTCAAATGTTCATAATAATCTAATTTATCTTCGCCTGATTTTTGTATTTCTGCAACATAGGCATCGTATGAAATAAGTTCCAAAACCGTTTCTGACTGTAATTTTCCATAATTGTCACGTTTAATTAATAACGGATAGCCTAGACAAATATTATCTTCTATGACATTTTGTTTTGTTATACCACATGTTAGTTTTTCCAATAGTTCACGTTGCCGTTGAGCATGTTTACGGTCGGCTTTCAGTTTTTCATCCTCTATTTCCGTGGACGTTGCTTCTTCTTGAACTGATACATTTGTAGAATAATTAATTACTTGTGGATTGGGCTTTTCATACGAATGGCCACATGTGTGACATTGAAATGTTTTAACCATATTTCGTAGGCGAATAATGCTCTCCGGTAATGGATCACCGTGCAGATCAGGTTCAGCAAAAAATGTAACTATTTGAAGGAGTGCGGTTGATAACGTATAGCCCGGACTATGAAAAACAAAACAAATTAAAAATGAAGATGTGTGAACATATTTTTCAGTTACCTCCATCCACTAGCTTGCTTGGCGTTACCATTATCTATAAAACGAAAGTGACTCGCATAATTTGTCAATAGATCAGTACATAAGGCATGTCCGTTTCTAAGAAAACACCAAATCATTGCAAGAGAACAAGGAACTATCAATCATCATTTCAAGCAGACTCATACCTTCCATCAAAATGGATGTGACTATGATAGGTAGAATCGAATTCTAAACCAGGCGCTATATTTCCCGCAGGGCCTGTCAATGGGTAATCTTCTGGAATATGAAGGACTAAATGAATCATAATGCCACGATAGGGCCCATCATTAATCAATACCTGAAGGGAAAATATCAAATAACTCAATGCATGAACATAGATGGGACTTATTGTTGAATTCTTACATTACAATGTAGAAGAAATGGATTCGATTCATCGGGACAGCAAACACCAAGTCCTGGTACGGGAAATCTATCAAGGTCGCTCAAATCTCTAAAAGTTTCAAAGAAATATTGCAATAATAAGCATATTTCTGTGATTATGTGCGCACCTCATAATTCGCTTCGTAGCAGCCATCTTGGTATTTTGTGGCTTGAGTGAGATACTCATTGTTGGCCAATATAGAAAACAAACGCAAGCCAAGCCGATGAAACAAGCAGTAATATATATATATATATATATAATAAGATAAATTATTGTCAACAACAAACTATTCTTGCAATTTTGTTTGAAAGAAACAAAAAACATTTCTGAATCATAACATTTATCACGAGGAACGGCAAGTAGAAGAACACGATGTTAGTGTGAAGAACGTGAAAAGACGAATTTTATGTGTACGTAATTGAAGAGAACGATAAAATAAATGATGACTGCGATTATAAAAGCACTGTGTCTCAATGAAACCAATATAGATAGCAGCATCTCCATGTTGAAGAAAATGTTTTTCGCTGACAAGTAAAGCATTCATACGTATTGCATTATCATCATTTCGTATGGACTCTAATTGATCGAATGTTTGACATTCTTGGCAAAAGTCGTAAACTTGGTAAAGCACGGAATTATTTGATGGTTGTTTCCTGCATAAGCCTTGTTGACAAAAATACAATGTCTTCTCACGATTTGCTATACTAAGATCGATTGTATATCGACAAGCTACTCGTAGTAGATCGCCAACAGCTCGATCGATTGGTAAGATTTGAAAAAGTAAATCAACAATAGGTCTTAAATCATGATGTACGGCTAACATCATCGGTGTGAAATTATCACCGTTTGTTTTGATATGACCATGTTTATGCAACAGAAGGGCTTTGGCAACATCGATATGTCTTCCCAAAATAGCAAAATCAAGGGCAGTGTGTCCATCATAAATCCGTATATCGGTATCAGCGCCATATTTCAAAAGACCGTTGGTAGTTCCAAGATAGCCAACACTAGAAGTTTCTTGCAATAGATACTCAACGTGATAGTTATATCCTTGACTTAATACATAATCGACCAGAGCTTCATAAGTTTTCTCAATAGCAATCGTTAAGATACCACTTTGATTAATATCTGCGTAAGCATATTCCACAAGTTCTCGAACGAGATTCAAATCCCCATTATTGCATGCATAACATATTGGTTTAGAACGCTACGGAATATAGTCATTCAGTGTATCTGGGTCGAGATCACTAGAATATAGCTTGCCCAACAATACTCGAATGCAGCGGGTGCGTTCAAGACAAATAGCAAGCGACAGTGATGTTGGTACCTTGTCGATAGCTATACGAATCTAATTCATTTGACCAGTATTTTTCTTTACTACTAAAGATATTGATTGCCGATGTAAGGCAATCGACCAGCTCAACACCATCACGATCGATAGCGTCATAAATCTCTTACCATTGTGCTTTAATACAGTTGTGTACTTCTTCCCGTTCCCAGTGTTCCTTCACATATTCTTGACAGTAACTATCTGCATCTTCTTCCAAGCTATTACTGTTGAAAACAATCAACTCATTTCTTATCCATGATCTAGTTGGTTGATTTCTGTCGGTGAAACCTAAATTAACGGAGAAACTAATCGATTGAGTCATTATCGTAACTCACATATTTCCAGCATATATTGAAAATACTAGGTTGAGCAAAACGTTCGCGGTCACTTGTAAAAAACTACGTAGTATGTAAACAGTGTAGATTGTGCTGTTTACATATTAAGTAGTTTTTTTTGCAAGTGACCGCGAACTCTTTGCTCAACATAGTATAGTATTTTATCAAAAACGTTTTCGTAGTAGAAATCCTTCTGCACAATACAAATGAAATAAAGTTGCAATGGAATTGTATTTTTCATCGTTCTTTTCATATGAGTCCCTGTTATTTCAGAGAAAACGAAAGTATTGTTCTAAAATTAGCGTTTTTCTTTATATATTTTTGTGATGAAGGTTTCTTGCTAGCTATAACTCATATTTTTATGAAATTTGCTTGCTCTGTTCATGCTTCATCATATTCAAGCGATAATGGCACAACAAGTAGGAAGTGTTACGTAGAAAATGAAATGGTAATATTCAATCTGGTCGTTTGTGTGACTATGGACTTTCCATTGTTTTTTGTTGCGACTTTGGGAAAAAATGATTAGAAATATTTCACATCGCTGTTTTTGTGTCATCCCGGCATGACTCTTTGAAAATTTGATGATTAAAGTAACAAAACGTTGAACTGAGATGAATATATGTGGAGCAACAACGAGATTCTTCAGATGGCACTCGTTTTTTTTCACGAATATTTAATGATACTATAATATAATATCCCTTTATAGCAAATGAAATGGTTAACTCTCATGAGGTATATTTTTTTATTTTTAAGGAACAAAGCTTGAAGATAATCCATCTAACAGTTAAAATAGAAAGGTTGATGAAAAGTGTTAGATCCTTGTTTAATTTCAGAGCGTCCGACTAGAAATGTTCAATAGTAACAACGGAGATGCTACATTTCTTACGTTAGAAATGATCATTACGTTATTTCAGCGTTAGGCGTTATAAATACACACTGCATGCATCATCTTTCATTTAGTTGAGATAACGAAGACATTATTACGTAGGATTACGTTATAACGTCTTACGAGAAGGAAGAGTAAAATAATTCATGATATAACGAGAGACCATTCGTTTCGATTTACGTATAGCCGCGAGAAAGAAAAACAATCAATGGCATGTCCTTCAGAGACCGAAACCGATGACAAAAGTGCCATTCGATTCGATTCGGGTTTTCTGGTCTTTTTAAAATTGTAATTCGATTCGATTCGGCTAAAAACACCAAAAAAATCAATTCGATTAGATTCGATTCGACCTCTTTTCTAGAAGTATCATTCGATTCGATTCGGTAGTTTCGACGTTCCATTCGGAGTCGATTCGATTCGATTTTGGTCTCTGATGTCCTTACGCTGTTTTCTCTTTCCTTTCCTTCATTCGCTATAATAAGTATTTCATTTCGCTCTAGTCGAAGACCGTACCTCCCATCCCTGAGTTGAAAGAATTTTTTCGTATCAAAATTGTTATGTTACAATGTATTCGTGTCTATTTAAAGGTTTTCATTTGTGAGCATGACTGACAATATTAAATTAGTAATAAAACAGATGTAATGCTAAGAAAATTTATCTAGTCAACATATTGTAAGTATCTGACTCTTTTTCATTAAATTAGGCTCCTTGCGATCAATTGTTTTTTCAACCAAGCTTTCCGTCAAGCAGCTTCATTAATCATTAGTAAATGATGTTTGAAAGAGAAAAAGTTATCATGAACATAATGCTCAAACTCATATCACTTATGTTTTTTTGATGGCCAATCAAGAAGATTGCTTAGTTATGGTGGTGGTCATATGCACTTTGTTAATTGAGAATGAGAGAAAAATCACATGAAAATAGTCTACGAAGGTAAATAGCTTTTCTTAAGATAAAACTAGTAATAACACAATGAGATTTGGTTTGTAAGCAAATAGTAAAAAATATGTCTCGATATATTGTCTGAATAGTATCTCAAATGGAAAGATTTTGTATTAACTATCAGATATCGCATCGGTTTGGTTTTAGACGTACTTTTTATTCAAATATATACTAAGTATGATAAATAAAAAATTGCAAAATATAGGTAGTTATTCTAGCACAAATGCTTTATTCCATTAGCTTCAGATAAAATTTAAAAAATTATTTCAACTTAATCAGCATTTCAAATTTTAAATATAACTTAAATCTACTCAATCACGTCTATTATCTTGAAAATTATTTCTGTTTTTAATACAAATTGCATTTTTTCTTGATTCATAATTATAGGTTTCTTGTCTACAGACTTTTTCATTGCTTCGTTTTTAGTTGTTAAAATGCATTTACTAACAGATTGATGAAATGTCTTAGAAACCCTGTAAAAAGTTGAAAATACATTATAAATCGTAGGCACCTTCTTTCTATATATATCGCGTAAACTTAAAAACATGTCCGAGCTGTGGAAAAAATTGAAGGAAATTTCCTCTCTGAAAAAAGAGAAACACGCTTCTTGAGATTTGATTGACTTCCAACTCTTGCGCAAAGAGGTCGACATAAATATAAATAATATCAAATCGGAAACACGTCAGAAAACAGCTTTTTTCTAATAGTATTACAAGATTTCACACACTTGTGAGTATTTTATCAAAATAGTTATATTGTAGTTAAAAATAAAACTGAGCCAAATTTTAAATTCATTTAGTCAAAATCGACATATTTATTTTGACTGAATTTTAATATCGATCAATAAATATATAAATCAGAAATACCAGATCTTTCGATTTTCTTGATTCAAGTCCTTGGAGCATTTCGTTATAATCTAATTACAGTCCGAGATGCTGTATCTATCACACTAGCAGTTCCTATAAAATGTTTATAACTTTTCAATTAGGAATTGCACAAGATTAACCCATACATTAGGTTTTGAGGAACATTTTATTGTAGAATTTAGTGCGGAGACAACTTATTTTCTTGTAAATTTTACTTACTCATGTGTTACAGTGTGAAAAAGACGTACTTTGTTTCTTGCAAAATTTCATTTCTCATTACCATGTCAAGAATATTCGATGAGTTCAACCGGAAAGTATCAAACAGTTTCTAATAAAAGATACCAGAATACTGCTTCATTCAGGTTTCAAAACACACGTTTCATCTAAAAAGGAATTTTCCCTTTAGATCACAAAATAATCGTGCAGTTATTATAGTCGTTTAATTATTCATAAGCGTTTGATTTATAGTTTTGATCAAATAGCAAAGTGAAAACTCGTATATTTCTTCTTTTAGATTATTTGATTGCGAAAATAAACTGTACACGTATATTTTGCGCACAGCTATAAAATTGTATGAAAATATTTTGTTTCAAAATTTCATTCGGAACTCTGACCATTTTATAGAATCGATGAGCAGCATTACAGCGAAGTCTAATCATTGTTTTTCGGTATAGCGTTCATGCTCTAAACGCCTGTCGTATTTCATACTATATCATTATGTATAATAGATTAATTCTAAGAGATATGGTAATAGGAACGAAACGCCGGAAATCAATTGACTTCTATACCTACTGTAATTTTATCTTTTAAAGCTAGACATTGCCATTTACAAAGTATAGATAAATGTATTTAGTCGAAGAGTAAACAAGCGTGTAGTTAAAAATGATTCAATTAAAAAACGAGAGAAAATGAAATGGAGTGTATGTCATCTACATTAAACAGGATAGTTTAATGCCTTTCATTTTCGATAAGCCACTATTGGTTGACGACGAATAGGCGCGACATTGGCATTGCCGAGAGGTCCAGCTAAAAAGATTAAAACAAAAACGAGATGATATACAACCGAAATTTATCAACTGAATACCTCTTAATTTCAATTCGCGAGCCTCTTGACAAACTGCACATGGAGCACAGAATGCGGCCACGAGACAATCCATAGCAGTATCTTCTTTGAAATGAAATTTCTCTCGTAGTTTCTTTCTTTTCATTAGATGTGGTACCCAGCATAGATCACAATGAGCAAGTAACCAATATGCCAAGCACATTCCTACACAACTACTGCCATCAATTTTTTCAGCATTTTCACCAAATAAACGTGGCAGGCACCAACAGCCACAGCAACATATCTTTAAATCACTGAAACAGCCACATAAAGATTCTACAATGTAAAGAAACATGAAGATAGAATAGAATTTTCGATGTAACGAAATAACAGAGAACTGACCATTCCAATCATTAGCATGTATAGATGGTTTGCGTCGACCATCTTCAACATTGGCTTCGTCCATATCGATTGACTGAAAAACTGGTAATATGATTTTATTTGCTTGAATAAGAATATATCGGAAGATATTTCCTTCGTATTTTTATGAGTACATTACAATATATTCGTGTTTATTTAAAGGCCTGATTTTTGTAAATATAACTCAATGCTTGATTGATAGTAAAAGTGGTGCGATACGAAGAAAATTTACCGCACCTATGCATTCGATGTTGTCACTTCCTTTTTTAACTGCATGATTTTGTTATAATTGCTATACTGCCGATCAACGGGTGTTACGCTTCATTGCCTGTAACAAAAAAGCCTTTGAAAGAGATACATTCGTATGCAAATGAAGTGTATCATTTGTCGATCGCGATATAGTTTTTTTTCTCTAATCGAGGTGATCAATTTTGGACAAGGGTGTTGGTGTGAATGTTGTTACTCTCTCCCCTACCCATTTTATTTTGATATGCATATGTGATTATGTGATTTTCAATGTCAGAATATCTATTCCACTCGTCTGGCTCTTCGTTTTTTCGACAGATCAAGATATGGTTTTCACATCCAAATTATTTACTGTCTGCATTTCGAATATGGAACATCAGATGTCATGTTGTTTTTAGAAATAAGTCATGTAAAGAAAAACAATAGTAAGATTTCTAAAACGTTTAAAAATATTCTACCAATAACTTGTAATCATCACGAGGCGTGTCGCGGAAAATCGTCAACTACTTTTTTCTGGCAAGAAAGAGCTCAAAAAAATATGTATGAACTCTTCTTGAATTGGGCGATTATGATGCCAATTTCCACAAATACTTCCTCGAGTAACATTGAATTGAATAGTGTTCAAGCAAATTCTCAGATTCTATTTTAGATATTAAACATACGAATTCATTTATTGATGAACCATGAATAAAGCAAAAATACCGCCAATAAAGATTGAAAATATATAGACACTTGTTGACAAGGTTTCATTTTCTATCTTTTAATGTTTCTATTATAGAATTTGAGCTGTAGCTCATGTTTTCGAGATGATTTGCAATTTAATGGTGAAATCTTTTTCTGTCAAAGTATAGAAACCATAGATTTCAAATAACAATTGAAGACCCTGCGACGAAAATATTGATTCTATATATCATTTAATATGATAATCATGAAAAACTGCCATGAGCAACCAGAACAATATCGTCTTTTAATCAATATAGCATGATATTCACTTAAATCAAAGATATCAAATTAAGTAGTGAAACAGAATAAAAGATAGTTTCATAACTTCGAACTGACAACTTTTTTCCGGAGATTCCGTATTTGATTCTCTAAAAACAACCTTGAAGGAACGAATATCATAACGATGGAAACAAACTTCTATTGTAAACATACTGTGCATATGAATCATCAACTAAACTTAAATCATTGTTACTCCAATAACTTCGTGTAATTTCTAATCAATGAAAAGTTGTTTCAAAACTTTCAGAGATTTGCATCTGCTAGGGCATGGGTGTGTAGATTGCAAGCGGGATTGAACAGGTATTATTCAAAGTTACGCATGAATGAAAGATGTTTAGCCACACACCAAACCATTTTAATTCATTATTCTACATTTATTACTCTTCTTTTTATTCCTTTTAATTCCATTTTCAAACTTTATTTCAATTTGAATCGATAAAAATCAAACAAAACAGGACAAGAAAAAACACACAACCCTATCAAAACGTATATCCCTTTTTATATTCTCCTTTCATACGTTCTCCCCCTCTCATATCTCATCACATACCGATGACGTTTCTTTTATTGCATAGGGATAAATTTAGTACATGGAGAGAGACAAGAGAGAGAGAAAAAAACATCAAAGAATGCAATGGATGGTACCATAACGAAGCACAACGCAGAATATAGAAGATATATCCTAACTAAATTTATATCATGGCCATCGGCCATGACAATTACAATATGAACAAAGCTATTTCGAAAATGTTTCTCATATAGAACTTATCGAACATAACACAGAAAGAGAGAACTACAATACCATCTTTACATTTATCCATTCGTCGCCAATAAAAAGATTATTAGAATATGGCCATTGTTTTCATGGACTGCAGCGATCATATAGATAGGCCGATTATAAATCTAAATAAATATTCACATGTACAAGTCAAAAAATATATCTGCATTGATTTGAAAATAAAAATGAAATACTCATTAGTTGAACTAAGTGGCTTACCAGATGAAATTCTGTTGATGATTTTGAAAATTTTACCCAAGCATGAAGCAATCTATAAATGTACAAGTCTCAATAAACGATTCAATAGAATTTTACATGATTCAACTTTTACAAATCGTTTAGCATTATTGACATATAGATGGAACCTTTTTATGAATTCATTACCTGACTCTATGCTTGACCAATTTTGTCAACAAATTTTACCCAAAATTCATCATAAAATCCAATGGCTTAAACTTGAATCATCATATATGAAACGTATACTTCTCGCTATCAATACTATTCCAACTTATATGAACTTAGTTTATATAATCTTAACTTAAAACAAACTAAACAGCTTTTTGCGGGTAAGATATTTCATTTCAATAGCATTAAATCCTAAGCAAAACGAGAGTATTGGTAAAAAATGAGAATCAATCTACTTCATATATTTCACTATCAAGCGTAAATAATAAAACAAAAATCACTATTCAATTAATTCATAGAAAGATAATGTTAACAGAATTATTTTCGAAATTAACATGTTTTAAAAAGGTTGCTTTTCTCTTGTTCGTCTGAAGAACATGCTTGAATATTATTCTTAAAATAGCCAAGTTATAAAAATATCGTTTCTTGTTTTCAAAAAAGATATTAACTAGTCATAGTGTTATATTCCTCTGTGTGCTCGCGATGATGCACTGCAATATTCGATGATTGCCAGATGCTGACATAATATTACTTGTTTCTATTTAAAGAGCAAAAATGAGGCCTTGAATGAATTATAACTTATTGTACCGTCTCGAGCGAAATAATACTATCAGTACAGCTGTGATATGTAATAATCATTCGCATTAACCCATTAAAAAAATGCCTCAGTGCAACTTTTTATTTTTATGGCAAATAAGTTAGAAAATACGAGAGTTTTGCGATATATATATATTCAATATATCATAAAATGAAAGAAGAACATGAGTAATCTCAACAAGTATTTTCATTTTGATTTCATATGATCCATCGACCTGTTTGAGTAATAAGAAAATTCTGATGTGACGATGAAATTCTCAAATCTTTTTGGCAGTTTTTATAATGAAAAAAAAACAGAATTTCTCATCTTTTCTAACGATTTTAGTTTCCCTTCACAGACTTTGATTCAATACCAGGATTATTTTGAATTTCCCATAAAAGAATATCTAAGCAAGGCTATAGATCTCTTATTGAGAAAAACAAAATTGGAATAAACATTGTGTTGAAATTTCATCCAATAAATTACATCTTCAATCTGTTTGAATAAAATTATAAGTTGTACTATCTTATTAGAGTAGTGTTTTGAAAACGTTGAACATTTCCTAAAGAGGCTAGCCAAGAAAAATATCATTAAATTTCTAGATAATTCATTTTATTTTTCACACAATTAGGTAAACCACGTTTAAAGCGTAATTTGAAAAATCAAATTACATCGCTGGTGGTCGATATTAGTGAACATGGGCCAATATATTTAACAGACGAACTCACTGAACAAATATTTTTACTGGCTTCACTAATTTACAATATTTTAATTTATTTCCATCGGCATATTGCCTTTCATCATTATCATTTAGTATTTCATCTCCAACTGTGTTTCCCTCAAATTTATTTGAATTGCATGTCGGTTTGAATAATTTTACTGATTGTCTTCATATACTTGATGGACGTTTCAATCGACTTCGTACATTAGACATTAAGATGCATTTTATATGGTGTTCGCGTTTAGTAATCAGTAATAGCGTAAATTATTTCCTTGAACATCTTACTGAATAATGATTGTTTTTTTTTCTCTAGGAAAAGCTGCCTAATTTAAGATACTTCCTATTGCATTATGACGCGATTGTAAATATTTATGGTAAATTAATTGTACCACTTCTACGTCGAATGTCGAATCTGGAAACATTTCAAAGACTATTTTCGTAATACATATGCTTTGAATTCCAAAAAATAATAGAGATTTCTGTGAATCACTTGTATTTTTGTATGTATCATTATAATGAGACTCACAGATTCAATTGATGAAACAATTATTAAAATAAAGTTATTTTTAAGAAGGTGAATGCATTTACATTACGTCCCTGCATCTTGTGTGTGGGTGTGGATTTGAGCTGCAAAAATAGAAATCCCACACTTACACCAATAAATAGATTTCTTTAGTCAGTAAAAAAATAGTTTATCAATCGAACAATTTTGCCAGGAATACATATGAACGTTCGACCATTAAGATGAGAATGTTTACAAAAAATTATAGTTCAGGTCTTTCTTTGTTTCACATGATAATCGTTATTAAAACCATTAATTCAATGATTCATCGTTTCTTCTCCCGGATCGTATAGGCAAAATCTGTTCGAAGTATATCATTCAATATTAAAGATGTTTGCCAATAAATATGACACAGCAGATCTCGAAAATTTATTTTACTTTTATATAGAAAACACTTTTAAGGATATTTTATTCTTAACTAATGAAGTTTATAAATGATGCTTTTTCAAAATACATAAGTGAAACAAAATACGATTTTTGAAAACTATTAATTATTCATAAAATAGTTTACAACAAACATGAGGTTAGTTGCCAATGATCGAGTTCTTTTTCTTTCAATGATTATTTCTTCTCATGTCAACACGACTAAATATTTTCAGTTAAACAGCTTAATGCAAACTTCTAGAAAGAAAAATCTTGAAAAACTTTTCTGTTAAAGTTAATAAGAAATATGTTTCTATCAATTGAATCATCTATTTCAAGATGATCACCGCCCACACTCCAACTTATGTTTGATGAACTAGAAAATAGTATATGATACTTGTAGTTGTGATGCTTTTTAATTCTTAATGGTATGAAAATTACATGAATCTATATGAAACATAATTAAAGTGGTTATCCACGTGTATCTACTTTCATATACATATATGTTTTTGAAGATATCTATTTATTTAGTAAAATAAAAATTATACAATTGAATGAAAAATAAAACATACAGGGAAATACAAAAACATGTCAGTAACAACTCATTGTTTGATTAGTATGCGATGTTTAAAGTGTGAATGGTTTTTTTTTTGACTCAGACCCTAGCTCACATCTAGTAATGATCAAAGATATATTGCCGTTCAGCATGATCATTGATACCTTCTGCAAGTATCAACATCAGAAGTACACGTGCCTTCCATGCATTAAGGGTGCCAGCAGTGAGAAAATCGGCTTCATCGTCGAGTTTCTCGTGTGACACATGACCATAACTTACACGATATGAGCGTACAATTGCTACACCTTGTCTTACCGCATCTATTGCTGCCTGTTGTAGCACCTTATGAAGTGTGCCATCACCGGTGCCTACGATCACGATTCCTTTAGCACCGTTTGCGACAAAAGCATCGATTGATGTACGTGATGCTTCTGCGTAGCTCATCGCGATTTCGACTTGAGGCAATTTGCACATTTTTTCGATAGAAAATCGACTATGAGTGGTATTAAAATGTGTTCCAACGAGACTACGCTCGAAATGCACTTGATTTTCATGAATCCAGCCCAGAGCTCCAAATTCACTTGCCTGAAACGAGCCGACAGAATAAGTGTTCATTTTAGTTACATCATGCGCACTGAAAATCTCATCATTCATTACGACCAGTACGCCTTGTTCTTCTGATGCTTTACTTCCTGCAACAACTACTGCTTCCAACAGATTGAGGGGACCATCAGCAGATACAGCAGTTGCTGGTCGCATTGCTGCAGTCAACACAACTGGCTTCTTGCTTTTCACGAGTAGATTCAAGAAGTATGCAGTTTCTTCCAATGTATCTGTGCCGTGTGTGATAACAATACCGTCGACTTCAGGGCTTGCGAGTAGTTCGTTGACATGAATAACGAGTTTTCCCCACAGATCATTTGTCATATCTTTACTATCGATGTTTGCTACTTGTTCAGCACGAATACGAGCCACTTTTGAAAGCATTGGTACTGCTGCTAACAATTGCTCTATGCTGAGTACGCCTGATCGATAGGGTCCCGTCAATTCAGTAGGATCTGTTTCACCTGCGATCGTGCCTCCTGTTGCTAGTGCGGCGATGCGTGGCAACTGTTGCTCTAAAAAGAAAGTTTCGAATTTCTTAGCAATTTTGAGTATATTTGCACATGATGATGATCAAAAGAGAGTAATTCTTAGGCGACTGTCAGACATGGCTATATTATATTTGTCGTAGACTTGTTCATGAAAAAAAGCGTTATAGCTCACATGTCGTATGAAGAACTTCTCCAGTCATGTTTTCTTTGATTTAGGTCCCTACTGTATAGATGATATTCTACGAGTCTGATCAGAAAAAGCCTTCGAAGAATTGAATGTGAAGTAAAATTTGTTTTTCATTTTCTTTTACGGAGACTTGCTAAGAATTAAGATAGTCAGTTAGTAACTTTGAAGAAGTTGTAATTCAATTCAAAATTCTGTCGATACATACGTAAATGATACTCATGAAGATTAGTTACGAAGACGTACGTAATGATTTCTTATCTTCGTCTTTTTGGAGACATTTGATGCAAAAATCGTTTTTGTATTTGTACTGAATACATTGAGAATAGTCACCCATCTTCGATAGTTAACTGAAATGAAAAACAAAATTTCTGAGTTGACCTCAGTAGGTGAATACCACGAGTTTATTGTTTCCTCTGAAATACAGTTTAGTCAGAACAACAAGATTTCTTTTTTTTGTACGAGTATCAGCTTTTTCAAGTGGGTTGAAACCTTTTGTGGTACAAAATAGCTTAATAAACAAGCAACCCAAGATCTTTTCTTAGTTAACGTAGTCGATTATGACTTGTAGTGTATATTTTTTTGATTATCGTCTTAGCTCTGGATAGAGCCAAATTATATGTTCTTGGCTAAAAATATTAAATAACAAAAGGAAAAGTAATTGTAAGGAAAGTCTAACTGTACGAAAACGATGAATTTCGTGGGGTAAATTAAAAATTCATTTGCATGCTTTCATGTACCATTGAGAATATTTACGTTTGTAGTCTGAAATTTTTCAAATGACACACGTGTCAATCAAGAAGAAAAATGTCGTTGTTCTATATGTCTGTTAGTCAAAAAGTACGACGTCATATTCATATTGACTCAAGATAAAAGAAGCATGAATACCTACTTTCTTCTAATCGAATATTAGAACAATGAACTTAATTGTAAAAGTATTTTTCCAATACCATTCGAACGAAGTAAAAAAAGACTTTTTGACTCGAATGATTCATTGTTCTAATGTACATTCTATTGTAGCGATATGCGTATGGTCCTATTTGATTCGGTAGGAACATGTTTTAAGCGAAGATACACTCTAAAGTACTCAACACACATATATTTGCAAAAAATTATTCATATATTGACGTAAGCTAAAAGATAGAAGAATGTATTAACTTTATATTTTTGAAACTTGAACTGCATTATTGATGAACTTCATTTTATTCAATTTCTATAAGACTAAAATAATTGAGTATAACAATGAAAATGCATGTTTATACTCAAAGAATTATTGTATGCGTGTTTTTATCAATGCAAGGCTACTAGTTGTTCGCTAATCTTCCAAAGACGTTCGGCGTTATTCATATCAACAACATGCAATCCCATGCCCCAATGTTCTTCTCCCGTGTTGACGCCACGACTAATACTGCAATCTTCCAAATATTCACCACCATGATTATTCAGTTCAGGCGCCAAAGCAGCATAGACACTGGTTGCAGCTCCTTGCTCTATTGATTTACAAATATCACTTACACTGCCATCTTGTTTGAGAGCACCAAATGCTTTTAACTCTTCTGGAGGTGTATGTCGCTGTAAATTAGTCATAATAACGCCTGGATGTAAAGAAAATGCTTGAATGCCATCTTTGGCATACATCTTATTGAATTGTTTTGCAAAAAGAATATTTGCAGATTTACTTTGAGCATAAGCTGCCCATTTGTTGTAATTATTCTCCCAATTTATGTCATCAAAATTTACTCCACCCATTTTGTTTGCAAGTGAACTTACAACAACTACACGTGACGGTTTTCCAGTTCGAAGCTCTGGTAAAAGAAGATTAACAAGAAGAAAGTGTGCGAGATGATTGACGGCGAATTGCGACTCAAAACCATCAACTGTTTTCGCATACGGACATGCCATGACACCTGCATTACCTATGAAGAAGTCAGAAATAGTATAGGATAATCTAGATGAGTTTTCGTCACCTACAGATCAATATGTTGATGGGAAGTCGTCGTTGTCGAAATCGAGCGGCAAAATCTCGTACAGAGTTTAATGAATTTAAATCAAGTTCCATCATTTCGATTTTGCTGTTATGGGTTGTTCTCTTGATATCTTCAACGACCTGCCCACCTTTACTCATATCACGACCAGTAATAATTACATGTGCATCAGTAGCTGCTAGTGCACGTGCTGTTTCTACTCCCAGTCCTAGTTCATTGAAACTGAAAATAGCATCTAATATAAAAATTAAAATCCTTACCTGATGTGCCTCCAGTAATTAACACTACCTTTCTATCCATTCTGATATTGAGTCCTTTGACAACATCTATTGCTGTGGTTGTTGGTCCAAATTTGGGTGCGCTGGCAGATTCTACAGTTGGTTTAGAACAAAATTTTCGAATCCCAGATAAACTCATGTTGAATGAAACAGCACAGGTTTGAATTGATAATCATCAATGTTATTCCTTGTTGGCTATTTATAACATGCATAATGTGCATGTCATTATGACGAAGCAAAAAATGACATCAGCATCTCGATGGATATGGATGCAAATATAATGAAGCATTCTTTTTTTGGGTTCTTTTCTTTTCATTTATCGATTGTAATTTCACAAAAAAAATGTGTATTTAGTAAGCAATACTATTTGCACGTGTAGTGTAGATGCTTTGTCGGTATGTGAGGTTTGACGTAGTTTCAAATATCACTCCGAAGCTATATTATTAGCAATGAGTTCTCATACGTGGTCGAACACCAATAGATGCGAGACTCATATAATTCAGAACGTGCTTTCTTTTAGCAGGAAATGATTGATTGAAACAGCGATAATAGAGGTTTTCTTTTAGAGACTTTACAGCAAATAATTATACAACTTTAAGACGAAGACTTGTATTACTATTGATTAAATTTAGGTGACGCTTTCTTTGCTGATGGAAAAAATAACAATAAATATATTGATGAACTTGTAAAGTATGATCACACGTGGATTACATCAGTGATCATTCTATAATCATGTCCCATCTGTTCATAGCTGAACAGCATCGGAAAATAGCGAAAAACGAATCTTTGTTTTCTCTTTGTCAACGTATAAAATTCACACTTCATTAGCTTCGCTGACATGCATTGCGATGGTTACATTGCTAATATCAATTGTGATACTAGTCAACAATTATACTGCTTTAATTCATACATTGTGGTATATGATTTCAATGTCAACAGAACACGCGATGAAGATACTCGTATCGTAAAATAGATCGGATTTGGATTCACAATCACTTAAAACCAATGATTAGTTGATGTATTTTAACATAGAAAATATTTCTCTATTTGGTGAAAATATCATAGTATAATGGTTATACGCAGTTTTTTTTGAATATGTCATATAATGAATATAGTTGATAATGATACGGATTATTACATTATATGTCGACATTTAATCGAGATAATCTTACTTTTTTCATTCTTAATTCCTTGTTCTTACAATATAGGCTGTAAGTTGCTTTCTCTATTCTTCTGGAAAGCAAGATTACTATCTAAGAACTTCTCTCGTCATATTCCTACTTGAACTACATGTTATTGTACACGTGGGTTTTGTTTTGATCCCGGCTCACGTACAAATTCAACTAACACAGGATTCATATTTTCTAATATAAATTAGAGACTAAAATCAAGCCAGAAAATCTTGATTGTATGTTTTCTCTGATATACATAATAATAAGTTTGTATTATAATGACCTACAGATGTTAATAACATTAGAAACTTCATCTATCAGAAATTAATCTATTGAGTAAATGGAAACACGAGAGTGACTAGAATAGAAACGCAAATGAACAATTTGTGATTCTACTTCAATTATTCACATTACCGTGAACTTCAACTCTTCTTCTTTATATTATAATAATAAAATGTCAATCTTGATACATATACTCTTTTGATTTCTACCCTAATCGAATATCTTGTAAGCAAGATCTGGAAATCTTGGACTCGATAAGCAAGATCTTATCAAGATCGTGGAAAGATAATTTGTATGTACATATATTGGCTGTATCAGATAAATCTGTACCTAAGATCTTGGCAAGATCATGGAAAAGATATCGTTTACTATTATCTTCTGATAAGATCTTGAGCGAAACAGAAAGCGACATCATTAGTGTATTTATATATGCTCTCTAGTCATTCACCGTTTTTTTTATGCGTGTACAACTGTATTTAAACAACATGATTGAACGTACGAAGCATAAATTTTCAAAATAATTTTTTTCTAAACTAATTATTTCTCGATTATTCGAGAGAATGCTGATCTCGATCGATGATAGAGAGAGGACCACACTGAAAACAAAAAAGGTACCAAACGAAACGTTCGAGGTTTCCTGGAGCTGTACGATACTATTTCGGTATCCGTGGAATTATACGAAATCTGTACAAGGCTCATCAAAATACAAGGTTTTGTAATATACTTTTAAGAGTTTTGAAATTTAAAAAGGTTTCGTTGTGAACTATTTCGAATTTGTGGTTTACAATAGGTTTCGTCATAAACCCTTTTGAGTTTTGCATTCCAACAAGTTTGCTAAAATACCTCGCGAAGAGAACGTATTCATGGCATATCGTAAGAAACAAGGCGATCTCTCTCGACATCGCATATAACAGCACAACTACACGACTACCCAGGTCGACTAATCCGACGACGAATTCTATCGAATTTGATAGCATCCTACTGATCGAGGAAATTCAATTGGACTCTGGGTTTCGGAATTATTGACAGATCCGACGGAAGAATTAAAAAAATGATCAAAATTCTATTTAGTGCAAAAAAGCTTTTTAGAATTTGACTACAGCAGACGTTTTTTGGCGTATCGGAATCCGATCCGAGGTAATCCGTTTCAGATCCGATTGGATCCCATTGTAGGAATGAGCGACCTGGGTAATCATACAATCAACTGGTGCTTTCACAATTTCATTCAATCGGTTTTCATTAAATCTCATCGACTGATTTCTGAACTCATCCTGGAAAATTTTTTATTACATTCATCGCTAACTGTTTTCTCTCATCAGATTCCAGTGGTTATGATAAATAACCTGCAACATATTTATTGGTTGTCTTTTATCGGAGTATGATTACAACAATGCTATATTTTTTGTTAAAATTATTCTTTTGTTTTATATTGAACTAATTAATTTAGATTAGATCTTCGATCCAGTAGTTACTATATTTCAATTATTGTCACAAAAGAAATTGCTGAATCTATAACAACTATTTAATGTGCGTGTCTTATTGCTTTTTTCTTCACATCTCATTCATTTCTTTATTTAGTGTTGATTAAAGTTTTGAAATTTTGCTATATAATATGCACGTACATCATATCACACTTAAATTATACTTTTTCGTATTAAAGGTTAGTTACTATAAGCATTAATCAATTCATTTATTCTCTATTTAGATTTTAGGAGGAATTCTATTATTGGTAAGTAACCATTAGAATTAATCAATTAATTCATTCTCTATTTAGGCTGATGAAGAATTCTATGATTAGGAAGGTACTAGTATAATTAATATATTCAAATATTTACTATTTAGGTTCTTGACAGCAGTGGTATTATTTTAATTAGCTTACCAAAAGAATCAATCATTTTTTTCATAAAGCTCAAGCAAAACAATAATATCCTTTGTGGGTGTGGGTGCTATTCCAAAAGGAGTTATCTGTTTTGACATGTTCTCGGTTTGACAGGGTGGATAGTGTAGCCGTTTCCATGAGAAGGAACTAAAAAGTTCTTGTCTTTTCGGTTTCGATGAGAGAGTCTAAGTACTAAGATAGTGGACGTTGTGTTGTATAGCTCAATAGATGACAATCGGAATTGTAGTGGTAGAGCCGCGAGAAAATACGTTAAACAGATTGAGATCGCCAGTGCTTTTATTGTTGAGAGAGCTGCGAAAGCAGAGATCTATACATGAGTCTTGTATTGAATGGCGGTGTAAACTGCATTTATAGTACAGTATACTATTCAGCGAAACCTTTCTCCGATTCTGCGCAGCTTATTTTATGGAACGTGAAGAGCGAAACCCCTTTTTATAGGAGATAAAATTATTGTCTTTTACGAAACCTAAAAGGGTTTCGTGTGAGACCTCTTTTGTTTTCAGTGTAGAAGTTAGCGCTGTATTCGAGTAAAATCCGCCTATATTCTTTTCAGTCAATTTTTCAATTCTCATACCTATGTTCCAAGTAGAATTTAACAAACTCTATCCAGTGATATCTTCATATTTTTCATAGCTCAAAGGCGATTATAAGTTACATGTGAATTTTTGACCAAAAGATGGGATATATGTGGGGTTATGGAGGACGACTTCCTCTATCTCGTGGTATATATATTATTGAATTATTTCGTGCACCGTGGGAGAGAACTGAAATTAAAAAACTAAAAAATTCACATTTTTTATCTAGACTCCCCCATATAAGAATCTAAATCCTGTTCGATAAACGCAGAATCTGATCTAATAGGGTGTATATCATTCGACTATCGACAACGCCTACTTGCATATTCTATTTCATTGTCCTTCATATCTGAGTAATGATGTGGCCTATCAGAGTTCAAACAAAAATTTTTTACCTACTTCTTCATAGTGCTGCCTAAAACAGTATTTATAGCCTCGTGTTTGTCAACCTGAAATGTAATTAAAATATACAGAATTGTAGAGATTGTTTTGCTCTACAAACTGGTATATAGAGTACTCAAATGGTAATTTATTTGTAAAGTCTATTCATGTTTTATTGAGACATTCTGATGCATATCAGAGCATGATTTGTACAGAGATGATTATTTTCATTAGAATGAAACTTAGGGTATTTAGAATCTATGCCTATAATATGCATTTCGATTAAGGTTGAGACAATCAGGGAAATCTTGGTTGTGTCAAATGCATTATTAAACATTATGATTTCATCAGAAATACAACATTGTTAATGCTCCATAATAAATACCTGAGTATTAAAGAGCTGTATAAGTCATATATCGGATTTTATCGAAAAGAAGTATATCGTTTCATCTATTGGATAATAAAGCACATTATACTTTTCGAATATAACTGAACGTTTCAGAAAATTCTAGAATATTCGTGACCGTCGCCACTCTCTCTCTCTCTCTCTCTATATATATATATATTTTTATTTATTTATTCCTTCTTAGCGTAACATCTACATTTATCGATAAACTGTTATCATAAAAAAAAGATCCATTGCTTATCAATATAGGCATATGCAAAGAGCGCACATACTCATGTATGTCATAGTTTATTTATTTTTCAATGAATAATTTCACTACTTTTTAGAAAAATTGATTAGTCAACATGAAAATATTTTTCTAGTAAGGTTGGAGCACATGATGTTCCGGAAACCTTGATTTTTTCCTTATTTCTCTGTGCCAAAGAATGTTTTATGCAATTATTGACTTTTGAGGTTTCGTCATCGGTGACGTGTATACTAGTTGCTAAAATGTGAGACTTGAGCATTCGAATGTCAAGATTTTCAGTTTCATAGCTGTGTTCGAAAATCTTCAAGGCTTGCGTAAGGTATCCTAATGACGTTCTGTATTCAGTCATTTTATGTAACACTAAGCCTATAAACCATAAAGACCATCCAATATAGCAATGCCGATGGTTATACTTTTTATATTCAAGTTCTAGCTGATATTGTCGATAGCGAAGACTCTGATGAAGTTCTTGATTTTCAAAATACCAATGACTGACGTATTCGAGACAGCATATAACTGAAGTCTCCTCTGAGGACATGTTCTCTTTATCATCATCAAATTCTTCGTTATATACTTCGAGCATTTTCTTAAATACATAATCGCACCATAATGGATTTCTTATGTTGGTCATTAATTCTATATGGAATCTCCACATTTCTTTTAAACGAACCATTTTTAACATTTTAAAGCGCTGAAGAATGCATTGCCATTTGCACTGATCAATTTCTAGAGTTTTTTCCCCGTAAAAAGATTTGAAAGTTCCTATATTAAGCAAGCTGGCAAGCGAATTCAGGTCATTATTACAGAATCTCCACAAGTATTGTAAAGCAGCAATGGCTCTTACATCAGTCTTCTTCTGCACAATTTCTTCCCACATTGGAACTGCCTCTGAATAATCGTCTAAAGCGCGATTGCTGAAACCCATTTTTTCATTCAGATTTCCAATTAGATACAAAACAATAGCACGCTTGTAATGTATCTTATCCAGATGATTACAAATACGCATGCATTTAAATAGTCTAAATATTCCTGATATTTCCCAACCAATAGGATGTTCACCCATGCGTACTACAAAGTCAGTCCACATTTGGTCTAAAACCTGACTGAAGCAAATGCTTTTCATCTCAGTAGCTTTTAAAAACTCTTCATAATAACGAAACGCTTCATCGAAGTTGTTTTGTTTTTCGTATAAATCGCCTATATAATAGTATATCTTGCTTAGTTTAACAGGATCTTGCTCGAATACGTTAACGGCGCGCCAAATATATAAACAAAATGTTTGCTCCTGTCCGTTATATAAACAGACTGCAAATATGTTTTTTAACAATTCACAAATGTTATGAAATGATCGTATAGCTTCAGCTGCTACAAAAGCTTTCTCATAGTATAGAAGAGTATTAGAAATGTTTTGCATCTTCTGATAGTGAAAAGCCATATCAGAGGCAAGGCCTATTTGGGTTGGATCATCATTTTTGAGATCTTTACATTTTTTTCTTGCTCGCTCGAAGTAGCGAAGCGCAGATTGCTCATCCTTGTTCTTGAAGGAAATCGAGACTAAATTTTTCCAACAAGAGAACATTTCATTTCCATCTGGTAGTTCCAATGCTTCATACATTTCAAAAGCTTTCTGGAAGTAACGATATGCAAGGTCATCAGCTTCATATTTAACAAGTCGATTTGCCATATTACTTAGAAAGGATGCGTGTTTCAAATCGTTGGAAGAAAATAGCTTTTCATAGGCGCTTGTCTTAAATTCGATTATAGAGATGTGTTCTTCAGAAGTTTTTTCGTCAAAATCATTCATGAAATGTTGGAATTCACACTGAGAAAATATGGAATATTTCATTGGTTTATTCATTTCTAATTCACTTAATCTAATACATTCTCTATAATATTCTAAGGCCTTGTTGAAATCGAGAACGTTCTCGAAGCTTTGTGCCATAAAGTGTATATAATGCTGCGATGTTGTATTAAGTTGAGGTGAAAATCTCTTACAAGTTTCCAGTACTCTATTCAAATAAGCCATTGCCTGTTCTTCATTATTTGTAGCCAGAGAATGACGAATAATATTTTCCCATACATTTTGAAATTGTTGATCCGAAGGCAGCCGCATTTTTTCATAGCTGTCATATGCTTGGCAATAATATTTGAGGACAATGCTGGAGTCAAGAATTTTTTCACTCAATTGCGCTATTTGCGTTGCAATCTGCGCACAATATGGATGTTCTAGAGGTAAACACTGGAAATAAATCTTACTAACTCGAGTATAATAGCCAAATGCCGTTTTGTATTGCTTCTGACGCTCGTATGCAATTCCAATATTTTCAAATATGTTTGCTTTGAAAGAGCTGTTTTCTATTTTAAGATTCTCAAATATAGTCAATGCTTGATTATAGTATTCAAGTGCACGACTATACTCTCCCCAATCATTATAAATGGAACCAATATTATTCATAACATTAGCAATACGGATATCATTGTCACCTAATGCCTTTCTTCGTATCTCTAAAGCTTTTTCAAACATAGCTAGTGCCTTCTTCTTTTCTTTCCTTGGAAGATGCGAAACGTCAACCAAACTTACCTCGCCGAAATCATTTTTATGTAACTCAAAAGTCTGTATTTCAGGTCGTACACATACATCATTAGCGGCTCGTAAATAATGAACTGCTCCGATCTGATTATATACTTCTGCTATATCAGGATGATCTTCAGGTAGGGTAGTTAGCAGATTGTAGAAATATTCAGCAGCAGTATCTATTTGACCCAGTTCATTCATCAAAAGGCGCCCAAAGTAGATTGTTGGCGAATATATTTGCAGTTGGTCATTTTGCGCGGTTAGAAACGTCTGTACTAGCTCTGACCCATTGTCTGTAGCCATTAGAAGAATACACCATATGCCACGAACGTCATCAAAGTGACAACTATCCACTTCAAATGCAGATCCAAGTGAAAACAGCACTTCTTCTTCGAATGAAAATTCGCTATGCCCCATGATATCGGCGAATACAACTGTTTTCAGTTTAGGGTCCGCTTTAATTATAAACAGTACTTTTACCGTATTTTCTGTAATATTGCCAGAAGAAATAAACCCAAGGGCAATATCTTCACTGCGAGAAGTTGATAAAAAGCCATTGACAGCTATGAGTGATCCAATATTAATTTTCAAGTTTTCAAACTCTTCTTTTGACATTTGTTGGCCTCGAAATAAAGTAATCGGTCCATTACTTGTTTGTTTTTCTTTTTCTTTTTCCAGCTCACTACATAAATCGATGATAAAGAATCGAAAAATATATAATAGTTTGACATCTTCTGTACGTAGAGCCCTATTAAGAAGCTTGTATAGAAAAGAGTTACTAGTGTAATATTTAATGGCTTGATCAGAAGTGTAGGATATTCGAAACTGATTAATCTTTTTTATTTCTTCTTTGTTATGTCGATAATAGGCAGTACAATGATCAAGCATATCATTTTTTGCTTTTTCATCGACAGTCATTTTTCTAAGGACACGGATGAGAAGGCTATGCCACAGAAATGTTGTGAAATTTCTCGACAGGTCACGTGTTGAGTTTTGTTTCCGATCGAAAAGAAGAAAAACCGTATTTTGCTTCTCAATCAGATGCATGGTTTTAGATATTGATTTTAATAAAGCATCTCGGTCGTTATAGATATCAACTATTTTCGACGAATAATCGTCAAGAAGACAGCGATATAAGTTACTTGCTTCGCAAAATATAAAGACTCCACGTATTGCACGTAGTTCATGAATTCTAGGCAAAATACTGTGGGCGAATATTCCTGACACAACAAGTAGGATATCTAGCCCCTGTAAATTTTCAATCATTTGAAGGCATTCGTTCTCATTTTTATAGAATTTGGTATTTGCATTCAATAATCGAAGCATTTTTTCTGTCATACGCGTATCAGGTGATGTACCAATGTGTTCATCGAGCCAGATCAACTGGAAGTCTTCCTTGTTATCGGGCAAATCCTTAAGACCATTATTTGTGAGAATGTTGGTCTCCAAATTCCGAGGCATTTTTCTCTGTGGATCACAATTGATCAGAACAAACGAGGGAGACCAATATATTTCGATCTTTGTCACAAGGTACAATACAACCACTGGTTATATATCTAAAATTAAGTGAGATGTGGCCAAGTTTCCAGAAGTCGGGAATTCTTCGGGAACTGGAAACTCAAAAATAAAGGGTGTGAGTGTGGGTGGGTGTGAGTCTATGGGGTATTCCATTTCAAACTGAATTCAAAAAAGAAAAAAAATACCTCTACTTCAGAAGGACTGGGGGTTTAGGGGATCCTAGAAAAACCGTAAAGAATTCGAACCAGACACCGATGAACAAACATTCTTCACCAAAGCTTCACGATAATTTCTTCAACTTCCACGCTTCGCATGTTTCAACCAAAGCTGCAAGGGTCAGCCGAACTCTATCTAACTCCAAAACGAGAAGAACTCAATTGATTTCATACTTCTGAATTCTGAATTCAGAATTCAATTGAATTCATTGAAGTGAATAGTTTCGAAGATCCCCTAGCCCCTGATTTCTTTTTGAAATGGCGGGTCATTTTTTTGGGTATAATTCAGATTGAAATCATATACCCCATTGTATGGTGGGTGTGGGTGGGTGTAGGCGTGAGGTGTTGCTCTTAATAATAATCACCACACCTACACTCACCCACACCGTCAAGATAGTGTCAATATTGATACATACGCTTTTGATTCCTAGGGACATGTTTTTTTTATCAAATATCTATCTATTTACAATACAAGCAACAGAATAAAGCACTGTTCTAGTTCCCACTATTTATTCCTATGTATCTTGCCTTGTATTTCCCTTTTTATTCAAATATGAAATTAATTATAAAATCATCTATATCATTGAAACCGGTCAAGAGCTGACTGTTAACTCTGTTCTCCAGTAGAAACGTTTTTCGTATTGAGATAGATAAATGTTTTGTTGCTCTTAGAAAACTGACGATTCTCACCAAAAACAAGTCGTCTATGAATTGTCCATGCGCTGAAGCGATCTGTCTAAGCAGCAGCCCTCACACTTACATAGTTTCCGAATCTGTTTTCTATTAAAGATGGCGCTATGTTACAGGATTCACGGTTACTTTATAAAGTCAATTTTTTACAGTGTGGAAACGATTTGTCATTGGGTAATTCCGAAAATATTTTGTGCATTTAACACAGTGTCTCCAGTGTATTTTATTTTTTGTCATCAATGAAAGCTTATCTGTTGTTTTGTTAATAATCGTACATATATGTTAACGGAATTGCTATAATTGTATATTGAAAAAGGATCGAAATTGACATACTCAAGCGCTATGTATGTATAGATGTGATCTTATACGTACAATTTATTAAGTAGAATGACAATGTCAATAGGTAATAAAAAAATTCTAAATAATATATTATATCACTAATGATAAAAGACTGTTTACATTTTTACAACATCAAGTTAAATTTGTTAATGTACCAAAATAATTTCATTCATCACAGTAAAAATACTTTATCATTTTCAGATTTTTATGATAATCAAGATTTATCTGAGCCAAGAATATATTTATTGAAGCTCATGCAAAAATTTGTTTTTATATAATACAAATAAAAAACATGTTGATATGTTTGTGGCTCTCTCATAAACAAACCATAGATCCTTATGATGAGAAATATTCTGCCGTTGTTATTATTGATAGATATCAGAAGTTGTCGAAGATTCTGGCTATACAACGACCTTGAGGTTAAGGTAGACGAACTTCAGAAGTTTGTTATGGGATGCTTCCAAAGTTCGATGCATCGATTCTAATTACTGTTGTCTGAATTGCCATCAATAATTATACCAGCAGCAACATCAAACTCAGCTTCACATAGATATAGGATTTGACTTAATGGAAGCAAGTTAACGGATGAAAGTGGCTCAACATAGCAGCAAAAAGAAGAATTTGGAGTTACCAGTTGTCGAATAAGTAAATCACGATCTGATGCATATATGCATCGTTGTTTACGGTCATTTGGATTGATTGCATGCGTAACAAATTATCGGGTATTTATCTATTTTGATAAAATTTTTCGAAGTGAAACACTTAAAGAAATTCTCCATTCGCTTTTTCAACTATTTGGGATCAGTAAAGCTAACTAATAGCAATTCTTAGAATTACTTGACGGTAAATTTAATAAGTTAAGAGAGCAAGTATTTTATTTAATACATACTCATGTTCAACTCCCGCCCTGACATCGCTAATCATCACATCAACTATTCAAAGCTTTCAGTTTGATTATAAAATAGATAAAATATTAACATAAGACTTAGATTGCAGCGTGTTCGCTTTCCATATTGATTTTAGTAAGAAGCCATGAGAAATCATCAGAGGTATCATCCAAAAATCTTGGGGATGTAATTACAACGTCTAGTGTAGCACTGGTATGTAATAATCAGTCATTTTTTATATTCAATTATGGTTTAAGGTTAACAATACCTGATAGATTCCTTTGTTCTCGTAGAAAAACTGAAATTACACCTTCCTAACTACTTGTTTTCTTAAATGATTCGATTTACAGTCGAGTGAATTAACTTTAGTAATGGATTCTAATTAGATGTTTGTAGAGATAAACTCTTTATTTTAGTGGCTGCAAAATGATCACCTATTAGCTGCGATGATAATTGTTGTTTTCTGGTACAATACTTATATAATCACATCGGAAAAGATCTAAATGCAACCGATGCGACAAGTATTCTATTATATGTTAAGTTCAATTTAGATGAAATTCGTTTTAAAAATTGTATTGGCAAGTTGTATCCTGTAAATATGAATTCAACTAATAACATGCATGATTTATCATTCGACTATAACTTATAATCACTCATAATTGCTAGTATTTAATTTCGTGAACACCAAAGCTGCTGAACAAAATTTTCGTTGGTTAAAAACGCTCTCTTCGGCCATTTCTACTCTAGGATGGCATCGAGCTTTAGTACGTCTTCTTTTACTCTTTCATATGAAAATCCTAACCGATTTTTTAACATAGTGAGTAACAATGCAGCTGAAAGATTAAGACAACTGAATCGCTATTTTTTACGGTTAACCAATTCAATATGGTTTCGGACAGCAGTCTTTCTCATAGTAAATAATAATATACAATTAGTTGGAATGAATTCTTTGTTCAAGACGGGATATGGAAGTTCCACAAAAAACAAGAAATATTCTGATATAGGAAACAAGAGAAAAAGCGTTATGAACACAGTAAAACCTTTTGAATTTATATGTAGTTATATTGCATGAAGAATGATTTTAATCTATTGAAAGTAACACTACCTAGCATAGTTTAGATTATGGCGATGTCAAATGAGAAAATCTCTGACCATTTTAAGCAGCTAGATTGAAATCTCACTCCTATAAATGAAAAAAATCGCATATATGGTCTAGCAATTATATACAGTTCACAATTAAAGCAGCATGGCGATGAAGATGACATGAAATAAAAGCTACTATATTAAGAAAAGCAAGGTAAGATTGATTGAATCCTATTTACAATACATATAAGTTAGTTATTTTCAGTTGTTTCTCCAAAACATATGTGCCAGACATACTGGAGCGACTATATAGAAATTACCAAGCAGATAAAAGTATTATTTATATCTTATTACCAACATATTTCATTCCAGAACATAACAGTTTGATTGTCGATACGCTGTAACTCAATAGAAATTAGAACAAGATGAAGTTCTCGTTCAATTTCAACACATGCGACAAAGCAGAGATCCTGAAAACGATGAATAATTCTTTGCACACTGTTGGTCATCGAAGATATTGTGAAATACATAATGTCATGATAAGAACAAAGCTGTATGCATGCTTCATCGTACTTGATAATACTGACATAAATAATTTTGAAATTTTTTCAGATTATGATGAAATTGATCATTACGAACTGGCAGATCTTAGCTAAATATCCGAAAAAGAATATTACACATACGTAGCCGATAGAGAATTCGTTTTGGCAATGAACTGCTTTCTCACCACGATGAAGATAACGATGCATAGACCTTTGAGAAAGACAAACCTTTCAAAGATTTACATACATAAATAACTATTTATCCATGTCACTCTGCTTATAGATAGCATTCTTTAGCATAAATATGTTTTCATACAGTCACGAAGAAAAACAAATTACAACAATGCATCAGAATCCCAGAACAAGCAATTATTTGTAATTCTCAAAAGAACGAAATTAAGTTTTATGTTTTCCGGTACCGGTTTGGTTCGATGATGACAAGAAAACTGCTTGTTTAGAATCTTATATCAGTTCGAAGTATTGTATTTTAGTTTAGTTTAATAGTCTTTTTTTGTTTATCTGAACGGTATTTTCATGTTTGATATAAACATTCGTGTTACTGGTCAAATATTTATCGAATTTTCGTCTTAATAAAATAAAACTTTCTCGAACACCCAGCTTTTTTTTAAGAGTATCATGCTATGTGTTAGTGAGTAAAAAACGATGATACATTGCTATACCATAGAACACTTAAAATAAAGTAAAGTTTTATGACAGCAAGTATATTTGTTTAAAATTGACTTGAAATCGATCAACGATGTCAGAATACGGTTTTGCAATGCATTCAAGAAGGATAAAGTAAAATATGAATTGCAGCAGTTACTTTCAATTTATTTCATAAAGTCATGCAAGATTAAACAGTTGATACTATATATATTCTCAAAGCATCCTATATTCAAAGCTATCTAATGACAGTCAAATATTTGAAACTGATATGTGATGAAAAAGGCTGCTTCTTTCTCTGTAACAACGCTACATAGGCACCAGTTTGTTTCTTTTTCAGTACTTTTCCAACATGCATCAAATTCTAGTATCTTAAATATCCAACTTACATATCGTTAGAAAAGAATTTAAGTCGCATAATAGTTAACGACTCAGTCGTCATCGAAATTATATGTTTTGAGAAGATATAAATTGAAGTATGCTGTAATAAATTTTATTGTATTCTTCAGTAAATAATACTCTTCGTGATAGAAAAATAGCTTTTTGACTGTAAAACACAACTCGAAATGACTCATTACTCATTCGTTTATTTCTACTTCTCTTAGGAAGAAATAAAATGACAATCCTTAACTCATGGAGACGCCATATAATAATATAAGAAAAAGAACCAATAATTTCCGAATATAAAATTGTCTATATTGATTATTCATAAGAAAAGTCTCAATGAGCTTTAATTTTATTATATAATTCTTCATTTGTCTGACATAACGTTTTGATAGGTTCTCTTTTTCTAATTTTCCAAGAAAAGTAATGGTGAAACGCAAAATAGACTAAAATGCAGTTGTATTCAAGTAAAAAGATGCAATCGTCAATAAGAGAAATATAGAAATAACTCTGCTACTCATATTGAATGAGGAAGACAAATTTTGTTTGTAGCAACAGATGATGTAGTATGAGTCAGAAATGATGCATGCAATTCTTTTCTCTCATTTCAACGGGGTTTTTCATTTTTCCAATTCTTCGATGTGACACGGAGATAAAAGAAAGGTTTACGGGTTTTTTTTCTCAAAAGAATGTTCTTCTCCTCTCGATGAGTTTCATTCTATTACTTTAGGTAACGGAGAATCCTATAATTGACATATATTTATCAAAGCTTAAACTTTATCTCTCGAGTTCAGAATTTATCTTCAACACTATTACAATCATCAATTTTTCTGTGCACTCTACAGAAAATATAAAATGAACAAAATAATTATTATTTTAACCATTTATCTTACTCATATAAGTATTGTTGGCTCTCACTGGTTCTGGAGTAGTGATGAAGAACAACAGGAAGCTTCTAAGCCGCCAAGAAGCCCTAAAGATCTTGCACCAGTGATTGGTATCGATCTTGGTACAACGTATTCATGTGTGGCTATTTTCAAATCTTGTCATGCAGAAGTTATTGAAAACGATCAAGGCAATCGAATAACACCATCGTATGTAACTTTTACACCGAATGGTGAACGATATATTGGTGATGCTGCCAAAAACCTTCTTACATCGAATCCTCAGAGTATGTTTATTGAATTGCACTAATATAATTGTTATCATCTTTAATTATACAATTCTTAGATACAATATTTCATATGAAACGATTAATTGGTCGTAATTTTGATGATCCATCCATACAGAAAGATTTAAAATATTTTCCATTTTCCGTGTTCAGAAAGGATGATAAACCAGTTGTGAAAGTAAAAACTGCGTCAGGTGATAAATTATTTACTCCCGAAGAGATTTCAGCAATGGTACTTGGTAAAATGCGTGAGATCGCTGTAAGTAATTATTATGTTCGATGAAAAATAATTATGCCATGATTTGTAATAGGAAACTTATCTTGGTAAAAAAGTGAAAAATGCTGTTGTGACTGTACCTGCTTATTTCAATGATGTACAACGGCAGGCAACAAAAGATGCTGGTACAATAGCTGGTTTGAATGTTGTAAGAATTATTAATGAGCCAACAGCAGCAGCCATCGCATATGGTCTAGATAGATTGAGAAAAGAAGAAGGTTCCAAGAATATTCTTGTTTTCGATTTGGGTGGAGGAACATTTGATGTTTCACTTTTAACATTTGAAGATGGTACGTTTCAAGTACTTGCTACTAATGGTGATACACATCTAGGTAACTATGTTCTTTTCATTTTTTTTCTCTAAAAGAAACAATACTTTATATTTATTTTTTGATAGGCGGTGAAGATTTTGATTTGCGTGTTATGGAGTATTTTATTCATTTGTTCGAAGAGAAGACTAACAAAGATGTACGAGGCGATGTTCGCGCTTTACAAAAACTTCGTCGTGAAGTCGAAAAAGCCAAACGAACATTGTCAACAGAAATTGAAACAAAAATTGAAATTGAATCATTTTTTCCCAATGAGGATTTTCATGAAAAACTGACACGCGCTAAATTCGAAGATCTTAACATGGATCTATTTCGTTCGACACTAAAGCCTGTTCAAAATGTTCTTCAAGATGCTGGTCTGAAGAATGCTGACATTGATGAAATAATTCTCGTTGGTGGATCGACAAAAATACCAATGATTCGCAAAATTATCAGAGAATATTTTAATGGAAAAGCACCATCACATAATATCAATCCAGATGAAGTAGTCGGTGAGCAAAAGCTGAATGAAAATAAGGAAATTTTATATTTATATCCTGACTATAACTTTGTGTTTGTTACAGCTTATGGTGCGGCTATACAAGGAGCAATTCTATCCAAGGAAGAATGTACTCAAGATATTGGCTTATTAGATATATGTCCATTGACCATGGGTATTGAAACGAAAGGTGGGGTTCTGTCGACGATTATTCCAAAAAATACGGTAATACCAGCAATAAAGACGGAAGATTTTACAACAACAGTCGATCATCAAACATCAGTTAGCATTCAAGTGTTTGAAGGTGAACGATCGATGGCAAAAGAGAATCATTTTTTGGGTGATTTTGAGCTCACTGGTATTCCACCAGCACCAAGAGGGCAAGCGAAGATTGCTGTTACTTTTCACATTGATGTCAATGGTATTCTCGAGGTAAGATTACTACATGAGATAACAATAATGCATATGTAATAGTATTTAGGTCACTGCTGAAGATAAAGATGGAAGAAATAAGAAAACCATTGTTATTAATACAGATAAAAACCGTTTATCATCCAATGAAATTGATCGAATGATAAAAGAAGCAGAAAAATTTGCAGAACAAGACAAAAAATTCAGAGATCAAATAAATGCGAGAAATAATCTCGAATCGTATGTACTTTCGTCAATTTTCTGTGAATCAAATTCAATATGAAAATCTTATTAAATTAATAGATATGTCTATTTTGTGAAAAATCGAGTGGCCAATAACAAGGAACTATCTGATAAGCTATCATCGGCAGATAAGAAGACATTAGAAAGTTCTATTGAAGATCAAACCAAATGGCTTGAATTGAATCCAGATGCTAAAATAGGTCAACTTCGAGTACATCTAAAGCAATTCCAGGATATTGTGAAACCAATCATGGATAAATTGTTGATAGATACCGCAAATTTAGGTGGCAATTTAAGATCTTCGAATCAATCTCATGATGATTTGTAAAAAAATATCGAATATTCCATCATTAGCTACAATACAATTTAGTTAATATTCTTTTTATGTTATTATAATCTTGATATGTTTTGATTTTCGTCTCTAAGACTAATTTAAAAAATTTTACGATTTGACATGATATCTTGAGTCCGTAAATCCCAATAAAATTATTTTGCTTGCGCTACTCACTATGCATCGTATCCTATCTAACACATGAATATTATTTTAATAAATGACAAAATAAAAATGATTCGCTAAAACAACTTTTTAGTAATATGTGAATATGAAGTAATATTACAATTTCCAAAAATAAAATTATAAATATATATAATGCTTTTTACGAGTTTCGATAAAATTCAATGAATTTTTCGGGAAACAAAGGCAATATCAATTAATGATATGTACCCCATGTTGCGAATACCGGATCGTTTTTTGTGATAAACCGTGGTATTTATCCTTCCTGTGGTAAATTACACTGATATGGGAGCCAGTAACCGGATCGGTAAAACCGCAGTTAACCGCTGATTTTCATGTGGTTTCTATTACATGGAACAATAGTGTTCTAACACGTTTATCTCCAAAAAATCTTTCTCGGTATAGTGCTCTAGAAGTAGTTAACGCTTTTCTATGTATTCTGATGTATTATATCGATTATGCCGATTGTTTTCTCCTTTCATAATGCAGTAGAATCCTTCGTAATGGACCCTCCGTTATTCGACCAAATGTATTTTACTGGAATTGAACCTTTGTATAGTGGACACTAATCACAAATTCGAAGAGAATGTCGCGATGACCACCATTGAGCAGTCAACATACTGTCTGTTCTTTAATGATGAGATGGTAGAATGAAAAACAAATACATCACTGTAGGAGAGAGAGCATACGTCCTCTATGTTGAATATGCGTGATAGGCATGTATGCTATCGCATTGTAATATTTGTATATCCGTTTTATCACTATAAAGAGAAAAGTACCATTATGTTGAATAGACAAGTCTACACTCTTCAAGAAAAATCGCATGAATCTCAGACATCTGATTAGTAATAGTATTTCATTCAAATTTATTTTTCATATAGATAAGTTAACAAAATATCGTTATAAAGTATTATGATTGGCAGTATGAAAACAATTTTAACCTGCTATCAAATAAGAATCTACTGGTGAAGCGTTTCATAGACTACTTCAGTTGTTATCGCAGAGCACAATAACAACTAGTCAAAACGTACTTGATAGGCAAACAGGATTGTTTAGTTCTTTTTACAATCAATGATTATAATATTTTAAATTTTCAAAAATGTAGTACTAATTTTTTACAAAAAAAACTTAGTATTTTGGTACACATCAGATTATGATTATATATTTTACTAATGAAATATAAATATCATTATTTTATTTAACTACTTTTTAAAAATGAACAGCCTACATCAATACAGAAGTGTTCAAAGAATTCTGCCTGACACATTCTGATAAGTCTCGTTCGTGATATGGTACACACCTGTGTTTTGTTCGTTTACATACATAAAACTACTTTCATGATATCAACACTAATACTTAATATTAGTAGTATTGACTTTGCCTATCTATATGAAATAGTCTCTGCATAAAGTTCTACCATCTAACGAAGATATCAGGTCACTTTATGACATCAGCGGGTAAATATTTCATTTCGCTTATCACAGTCCTACTTATGAGACATCGTCAACATATATATATACTGAAACATTTTTCTGTCATCTGATCAATTTTTACATTCGATACATTCTACTGATATATTCCTTCTAGCTTTGACAATAACTTCACAGTTAAACAAAGAATCCCAAAACTACGGTTAATGCGTCTTCAAACTAGTAGAAGACTCCAGGCCAAATAGACACGTTTGTAAACAATCATATGTGGTTGTTTACGAGCTTGTAACTGTTTCTTAAACTAGTTGACTTAGACAAGAAGAAGAGAGCAGAATTATTCATCTATATGTAATATTTGTGTCTTCTCCTTATTCTTCTGTTTTTAGTGAAACAATGGGAGCAATAATTTCTAAAACTAAAAATATTCTTTTGGAACAAAATAGGAATAATATCTGGTATGCTGTACTTCTTGGTAGCGGTGCTCTTATTATTATCAGTGCTTCAATGGCACGAATATCGTATATCAAGTGTACTCTTAAACGATTTATTCGAATGCAAATTCAAAAACGACTGATTGCTTCACGTATACGAGCATCTGATAATGATGCATTCGCAGCATATTATCGAAATTTTATTTATCATTCACAAAAAATCAATAACGAATTGTTAGGAAAAAAATTCTTCAAAAAAATCACAATTGTGCTTTCTTTGCCGATCGATCAATATCATTCTTGTCGTCACATCGTCCATTATCGGCCTCCACTGAACAGATTGGTTATGCTTCAATTGATGAATTTCGTGAGAAAGTTCCATTGACAACATTCGACGAATATCGTTCTTATATCGATCGAATGATGTCCGGTGGAGAAAAGAATGTGCTAACTTCTGCTCGATTAATATATTTTGCTACAAGCTCGGGAACGACAGGAAATATCAAACTAATACCTGTAGTTGAGACTTATTTCGAAAATATATCAAAACTACCATTGGTTGCATTTGCGGCCATCTGGAGATCTCTCTCGCCTACATTTTTTCCTTCTCCTGAACAAAGAGCATTCCATTTACAAGGTGGCAAAAGAGCTGAGCTATTTCAAAAGTCACAAGATGACATACCAATCGGTCCTCTAACTCAAATTACTTCAGCTATTTCATTATTTAGTAGAATGCGAAACCTATCATCAATTTTATATATAACACCTTTGAGTCTTATTGAGCAAATTCCTAATTTCGATACAAGTACATTTATTCAACTTACTTTTGCATTAGCAGTTCCGGATGTTAGTATCTATACCATTCTCTTCGCTCCAGGATTTATTCACACACTTAAAATGATCGAAAATCAGTATGAAGAAATTTGTCATTGTATTTCCTCGGCTAACTTTAATCATAGTACTCTTGTTCGAAATAATATTAGTGATACGAAACTTATAGCCATTCTGAACCGAACATTAGACGAAATAGCAATTGAATACGGAGGATGGCCATGCAGATTGCAGCGTTCAGCCTATATTCGAACACAGTGTCAACAACTTGATCTTCCTGGAATTCTTCCACGTCTTTGGCCAAATCTTAAATTTGTATCTACTGCAACAGGTGGCTCTTTTTCTATTTACAAGCAACGGATACAACACTATTGTGGTGAAAACATACCTTTGATTAATTTACCGCTGTATGTAGCTAGTGAAGGGCTACTTGGAACTTTAGCAAGTATTCATACGGATGAATATTTTTTGTTTCCCACATCGGTATTTTTCGAATTCATCCGCGAAGAAGATTCCCATCAAGTATGTAGATTCCTTGTAAATGTTAGCCATGTATTTTTTTTTGAACAAACGATTATAGTACTCGATACTTATCATAGATAGAAATATTGAACAGTTCTTCATTGTTGGACAAACGGAGAAAAAGAACATTTTTCTATGTTCCACTTTTATTTTTCAAAATATATTCTCGGTGGGATACAGTACTAGGAAAAAAACGATTTTCTCTATGAGATATTGGTTCTATTAAAGTCAATAATAGAAAATTCGCAAGAAGTGAAGTCTTATTGTGATTATTTAATACTAAACTAATTGTTTCTGGTAAAGACTTTTACTTTGTATTATAAAAATGTTTCGAAGATCAATTCCTTTCATCTCACAGTATGAAACATACTCAACAATTGTATTTTTCTCAAAGTCAACTTTTTAAATAAATCACATACAAAGTTGCTTCTGTTTTTTCTCTGGTGAGACGGCCAAACAAGATGCAACGTTTTTCGCCGGTAGCAGAGAATTTTCACCGGAAAAGTTTTACTGACCGTGTGAATATATTAACAAAAACAAAATATAGGACTAGAAAATTTCCTTTGTCATATTCAAAGAACCTATATATAAGTTGATACTTTAGTTATCTTGAATATTCTTAAAATTTTAGACTCAACCAAAAACTCTTCTTCTCTCAGAACTCGAGCCTGGAAATCGATATGAGTTAGTTTGTACAAGTGAAGCTGGTTTTGTTCGGTATCGAATGGGAGATATTATCACTTGTACTCGATTTCTATCTCGTGCTAATGATATAGTTCCGCTCCCATTAGATCCAGTCGAAGTTCCTCCAATACCCCTTGTTTCGATTACATATCGTCTTGGCAGTATTTTGGACGTATATGGTGAGAAAACAAGCGAACAACATATAATGAATGCTCTCAATCGAGCAATGGATCGATGGAGAGAACGAAAAATATCGATTGACTTGCGCGATTTCACATCATGTCCAAAATTAGACGAATTTCCATCTAGATATGTTATCTTTTTGGAGTTCATGGATGAAGGCAATGAACTAGATCACCAAAAACTTCTTCAACTACAAGATGTTGTAGATACTGATGTTGAACGAGAACTATGCGAAGTTAATCCTTTGTATAAAGACTATCGAAATTCGAATCGACTTGGCCCTATTATATGTATTCTAGTTGAAAGTGGAACATTTGCAGCTTTTTTACACGACAAATTAATAAATGATCGAGTCAGTCCTGTTCAAATCAAACCGCATCGAATGTTAACAAATGAACAACATATTCAATTCTTTTATGATAATCAAATTTCTAATTTCAATTAACTGTGACTATTTTCTTCTATTATTATCAATCTTAAGAACAGCATCATTTTATTCTAGTATATATAATTCTTTTGGTTTCTGATTTTCTTTTTTCGATAAATGATTCCCATATACACTTCTATTAATATGAGAGTGACCATTTTTAAGATCCTCTACTCAACTTATTGACGTTTTTGTTGAATCTTCGTATAAATAACAGCGCCCTCTATGAGTTTATTAATTAATTAAGCAATAAAAGAACATGATTTTACTAGAAATTTTGTGTCTTTCTATGATTGTTGCTGTACATTCTTAAAATAAAACTTAATGCACAATTCATATGACGATTTTTTGGCTCTCAGCAAAAGCATGAGCAACTGTCATTGCAAAAATGATTCAAGTATTGCACAATCTTATTGCTGTTATATTAACAAACATTTTACTTGCCGAATGTGCGCTTTGAATTTTCATTGAGTCACATGAATTATCTTTTGTTGGTAAAAATTGAATAGTTCTTTCCTGTTCTGTTGCATAGCACATTCTGCTCATCTTACATTTAGATTGTGTAAGATTCTTGAAATAAAAATAGACGCACGAAATAATGACTAGTCGCTATTCTTCATATTAGTCATTTTATATTTATACTCAGTGCATGTAATAAAAAACAAATGGCACACGGTATATCTGATCCAGAAAATAAGAAAGAACATTTCGATTCAGCCACTGAACTAAACGAAAAATTGGATCTACTTTCTCAATGGATCAAAGAAAGCCAACATTTTATTGTATTTACCGGTATACCTATGTTTTTTACACGAGATACTTTCTAAATCAAATTTCATCGGGATCGATTGTTTAGGAGCTGGTATATCTACATCGACTGGGATTCCAGACTTTCGCAGTGGAATGGACACTGTCTTGAAAACTGGGCCAGGAGAATGGGAGCTAGAAGAGTAAGTTAAATATTCTTATGATTATAATTAACGAAGGCACAAAGCACATCGATTCTAGTCATAAAGCCAAACGATTGAAATCTGATGCTGTTATTGATGACATGCAAACAGCAATACCGTCTATTGCTCACATGTAAGTCATTGTATCAGTTTTACAAACACGAATACATATATCTTTTTTCGCAGGGCACTGGTCGCTTTACAAAATCAAGGTATTCTCAAATGCGTTATCTCACAGAATTGTGATGGTCTTCATTTACGGAGTGGTTTAAATCCGACCGGCGTCGCTGAATTACATGGCAACATGAATTTGGAGACGTGTTCAAAATGCGAAGCAAAATACTTACGTGATTTTGATACTGTTGGCACTCGCACCCATTATACAGGTCGTCGATGTGATAAACTGAATTGCCGTGGCCGATTGAAAGATTCTATTATTGATTTTGGCGAAGATTTACCTCAAGATGAACTTGACAAAGCATTTTATCATGCAGAACAAGCTGATCTGTGTCTCGTTCTAGGTAATTTCTCATCAGATATGTTTCCTCTAAAAAAGAAAACAATTTTAGGCAGTAGTTTGACGGTCACACCAGCCTCTGATATTCCAAAACGCGTAGCAAAACGGAAACAAAATTTAGCTATTGGTAATTTACAACGGACACCCTTGCACAAAGCGGCTGCACTCAATATTCATGCGTTCAGTGATGCTATCATGCAAGGTATCATGGAACGATTGAATATTCCTATTCCAACCTGGATTGTTCGACGACGAGTTCATATCAGTTGTCAACATAATTCGAGGAATCAGAATAAAAAACAAATTATACTTGAGGGTCGTGATCCAAACAATCCAGAGATTCCTTTCACACTATTCGAATCGATTCAGATAATTGTTGATCAGAAAGTCATTAAGGAAATTGCCCATCAACCATTCACATTTGATCTCGTGGACTATGATCAGCAACCAATCACTATTCGTTTGAATTTCTTTGGACATTATAATGAAATTCCTTTTGACTTAACTTATTCTAATCTCATAAGTATTCCAAATGACGAGCAGTTCTACTTATTCTACAATCCCATGATGGGACAATGGAGAAAGACCACCAATAAAGATGATTTGCCTGTTTGAATCTATTAATTCTTACCAATAATCGTCGTTTCCGTTTGTATGGTACTGGCTTACATCAACACGTGTCTTTATTTTATTGTATCTGTTTTAGTTCTCCATGTCTATGGAGTATATAAGTTATGAATATTGTAAAAAATACTTTGGTAAGCTTAGGATTTTCTGTCGACAAAATATACATCAAATTTTAACTGAAGAATCTAACGAAATACTCAGATAATATGTTTTCGCGTCTTGATTTTTGGCGTTGCTTATTTTCAATTCTCTACGCGCATAGTTTTGGTTGCAATTAAATTATGAACTAGATTAGCAAATAAACTACAGCAAAAAAATAGTCTACGCAATACAGAAGAGAATTATGCACACACCATTATAAGTCTAAACAAAATAACAAATCGTCTATAATAAATCGAGATCTTAAAATAAGGCTTTATAAAAGTTTCTTATCACTGATTTTTATGCTTTCTGCTCTATTGATCGAGCCTTTAATCATATTACTGCATGAGAAGAAAGTCTTCTCTTCATTCTCACCCATACCTGTAGGACAACAGAAATGGTTAGTTTCCCTATGACGGCGCAAGTCGCTATCCGTGCTTTATATTAAATTATCATTAAGACTATACTGTAGCCGTCTTGTAGAGAACTAACAATGGACCTGCTTGCACTGTCAAGCGAGATGGACGACCAGGTGAAGTGCAAATGGTCACGTTCACTGAGAAACTAACACATTTAAAATATGAGCTGCTGATGGCTAACTTTGACAGAGATATTCAATTTTTAAGTTTCACATTAATTGAGTGCAGAAACATGATAATACATGAAATATTTATATCAACTTTTAAGTTAATCATCAGATTTGTTAGGAAATACGTTTCCAAGATCGAGATAAGTATCGTGTTTGAAAAGTGTTAATATGTAAGATATTCGAAAATTAAGTGCGTTGATAAATCACTTAATAATCTGAAAATATNAAATGATGTCAATAAAACTTATCTCGATGTTGGAAACGTATTTCCTAACAAATCTGATGATTAACTTAAAAATTGATATAAACATTTAATGTATTATCATGTTTCCGCACTCAATTAATGTGAAGCTGAAAAATTGAATATGTCTGTCAACGTAAGCCACCAGCAGCTCATATTTTAAATGCGTTAGTTACTCAGTGAATGTGATCATTTGCACCACACCGATCGTCCATCTCGCTTGATAGTACAAGCAGATCCATTGTTAGTATATGTTAGCAACTTCGAACATTTCAGATAAACAAGTCTATATAATATACGATGGAAGGAAAGGAAACGAAATAGCTTAGTAGATATGAAATGATTCGAAAAGATGAACGCATGGTCATATATATATATAAGTATGTCAAACTATTATGAGGAAAGAACGAAATGGCTTACTCAATGTTACTGAGTTCGAACATTTCAAATAGTGTATATAATAAACAGGAAATAAAGAAATGATTTAGCTTCATCTATGTATTTAGTCAGCAAACAGATTGCCTCATTTCTAGTTATATATGAGGCAAACTCTACGTATACGAATCCGATATAACAATTTTCGTACAAATTCAGTTGACCTAAGAATAGTCTAGTTTATCGATGTTATATGCAAGCCAGTACTGTTGTCCGCTAGTGTAAAAAATCAATATTTCTGAAGATGCTTGGTGGGAAACATGATTTAGATGAAACCTCCGAACAATTGGTATAAATTCATATGAAAATGGTATCAAAGCCTTGATTACTCACACTATGTCTTTATAACGAATGACTATATCACACTTACCGTGAATTAAATTCGTCATTATGTATAGATTTTTGAAAAGCAATTTCTCTATATTATAACAGTATAAATAAAATAAATTCTGTTGATATTATAAATAACCATATAGATTTAATGCCATCTGATGAGATCCTTAAGCAAAATCGAAACGCGTCATGGTTGACTATATCACACCCACATCCTTTTTCTTCAAAATTTTCAGTTTTAATGAATAGATATGAACTTCTTTGATCGCTTAAGATTATTGTTAAACGAATTCTATTTGGAAAATTTAAAATGTGCAAATATCTTGAAAAATCTAATTATTGTATTGAAAAGTAATTCAAATGTTATTTATCCGAATAATTTAAGATTTAGTATCTAGTAAATACAATATTAAGAATACCCCCTGATGAAGTCCCACCAGGACAGAAACAACCGTTGTCATGGTACGGCGATATAATTCTAAACATGCATCCACACCCAAAGATGGTTTTCAACTTTATGAACTGAAGATTTATTGGAATGTGGGTGCACATTTTCCAGAAATTTACAGCTGCACTCATACCCTCAAGAGAAACTGAGCATTATTTTGTATCTCGCTGTTGTTCTAGCATTTCACCATCAGTTTGTGTAAAAAGGAAAAAATAGGTGGACTTATAAAAAGAGAGAAGAAACAGAAAAAAGAAAATTAAAAAAGTAGAAAAAACAGACGCAGTGACTTGCAGGAATCTATTTATGCTCCCATGTATTTACGTTGGTAGCTGAAATTCATAATTGCTTAACATGGGAAATCGCCGAAAGCAGAAGAAAAGTGAAAATAGTCATCAGGAGAGAGAGAGAGAGAGTAATACTTAAGAAAAAAACTTCAGTTAGAAAAAACCTAGAAGCGGTTCTGCAGCGATCCATATAAAATATGCTCGATTGTTTACTGAATCAAAACCATGAGTAAACGCTGATGGCTTAATTTGAGCGCGAGTAGGTTGCCAACGTCCGTTTTTTCTGCATTCTATTGCCCAAAGTGATTAGCACACATATTTTAAGACAAGTATAACATTGGCAAAATTCATCCATGTAGACGATAGAAAGTACGACCAGCTATTGCCACGCTTGTTTTTCTGTTACTGAAAACGCAGTTTATGATTAGATTTTCATTTCATCTGACTTGAAATTGGGTGTGGGTGGGTATGGGTGGGTGTGAGGGTGCGAGGGTGATGGGTCATGAGTCAGATCGGTGCAACTGCATGTTTTTCAATGCTTCGAATACCCACACCGACTTCCAAATAGGTATGTACAAATGCCAGTGCAGAACTAGGGACTGAATATCTATATAATTCAACTCATTTTCAAATAAATAACGGTCTTTTCGTAGGCCATTATGAAATATAGTTAAATATCCTCTATAAATCATTACAGGATATATGGAGCTACCATCCATAAGTCATTGTAGGGCCATAGATGCCAAAATATCGTTACACCGGGTATTCATAATTGTATGTCATAATACTTCAGCATTGTGGATCAGAGTAATCAATTTTTGAAAATGGGTTCACTTAGGGTAATTTATTACCTTTCTGGTAATAAATTTCTATCTAACTATATATTTTAAAATCAAAGAATTTGATTAGACTTGGGGTATTAACTTATCTGTAACCACTGTCTATTTAACTATATAGAGTCTATATAGTGAGATAGAAAGTGGTTACTCAAAGGATAATACCCCGAATCCACTCAAATTCTTTAACTTTAAAACATATATGTAGTTAGATAGAAAGTCGGTACTGGGTCATCCAGTGGGACTGGGGTATCAGTCAGACTGGACACCCAGTTAACTGGCACTGGTGCATATCTACTCCCAAACTAGATAGTTATAGTTCTTATCTTAATTCATATCCACGTCCGCACTCCGAGCATCTATACCGCATAGCATAGGTGACTTTTCTAATGAATGGTAATCATATTAAATGGATGATTTCCTATCATATCATTTTAACTTTAGCTTTTCCCATCTCAAAATTCAATTGCATATAGGACTTCGATGGGTGCGCAAGTTTCGGTAAGTCCACTTGCTGCAATTTCACATTCATCTCTCTCTCTCTCTCATTCACAGCGTCCATTACTGAATAAAACTCAAGATGAACGAGTCAACAGACGCTTATTGATGAGTTCTGATGATAATAGCATATCAATGGAAATGCATGATATATCTGGTTATCAAGAAGCACCGCTTTTGTCATTAGAACAAGCTTGCAACAAACTTCATATCGAAAATCTGTCGAATTATATAGCAAAAGCAAAGAACATGTCTAGACGCTCCAGAAATGGGTTAACACAAGATGAACAAGCTGCTATTCACCTTTACACTCAAGAGACGCCACTATACCTATTGCTCAATACTGCTCTACGACAAGTTCATGGGTGTGACCTCACATCATGGTATGCATACTTAAAATTGTTCATAATTGCACTTCAAAAACTATCTCCATATCGCGGAACGGTATGGCGTGGTGTCCCGCGTGATCTTAGTGCGAAATATGAAAAAAGTGATGTAAAAACATGGTGGGGGTTCAGTTCTTGCACGTCATCACTGGATATTTTAACATCGTCGAGCTTTTTGGGTTCCACTGGTGTTCGAACATTGTTTAATATTGAAATTTTTAACGGCAGAGAGATTAGTGAATTTTCCGATCATTGTTCAGAAAAAGAAATTCTACTTCTACCTGGTACTTGTGTTCGCGTTGTCGGACAGATGAAGCAGTCGGATGGTCTTCAAATTGTACATTTGAAGCAAATAGAAGCTCCACATTTTTTGTTAGAGAATCATATACGAGCCAAGCCAATCCGACAAATTACAGAAAAATACAGCCAAAACCGAAAGACAGCTTACAATGATTCGCCAGAAGAAGAGTATGGATATGAACAGAAATATTTTGCAGCTCAAGGTGAGTGAAATATGCAACTAAATAGATCCATCATAATCTGTAATTAACACAGAAGGTATGAAGATATAAAGATTGGGGAGCCATATATACATCACTCCTAATGTTTTTCATGAGTGTAGTAGGCTAAAATTTAGTGGAAACTATTGCCCACTCAGTTTTTCTGACGAGCGTACGTGGATGGGCTCTGAATTCGCGTCTAATGACTGTGCATCACACACTTAGTGCTACTACTAATTATTATCGAAATCAGTATTCCTCACTGTAAAACACAATGACTTACAGTGCTGATGAAAAATTCTAAAAGTCTCTGTAATTTAGTGTGTGCTAATGAATAATTGCAGCTGTTAAGGCATGTTACACTTCCTCGTACAGACTTTCCTGATATCTGATAGTTCTTAGAAAAATTATTTCAATGGAAGATGACAATTATTCTTAAAAGATGGCGAAGTTTTATGTCTTTTTTGGGGGGGACCATGGAGTGTGTATGTGGTGTGCAGCTATCGCTGCGGTATTGGTATATAAAGGTCAGTTTAGACATGCCGGAGTTAGCCAAATTTCAACCTTCAGATTCTTCTACGCACCGATACTTATGCCTACATTGACATACATACATCCACCCCAGCTACCATTCATACATAGCTACACCCTATAGCCGCGTATATTTCTCAAATCTGTAGTCGTTTCTGATACTAGAAGAGTTCTCAGGCACAACAGGTGTAAGATACATGTTGATCCCCTTTACATTACGCATTGCATGCAAATTTCTGCATCCACTGATATTGATATTTGTAGTACATGAACTACACGTATACATGTACAGTATACCAAGGGAGAAAATCAGATATTGGATCCACGGATCCTGGTGGCTCCCGGAGTGTCCTTCAGTAGTAGATTTAACAGAATCTATCACAAGTCACTAGGAGTCACCAGAAGTCATCAGGAGCCACCATGATCTGTTTTTTCTCCGTCGCATTATACTAGAAAGTCAGATTTCTAGCCAATATTATCACAGAGGCGTAAGCATTATCAAAATCCCAAAACAGCTGAAATAGTTTTAAATGTGACTGATTATTGCTAATACTTGATTATAACGTTATAGTAAAAGTAATGTTCGAAAGAATATCCGCAAATTAAAATTCATCGAGAGAAATACCAAAAACATCACCGTATCAATGTTTCTGTAATTATTTGGTACTCGTCTTAATTTATGACTTGGTGCAATCTGTCGAAAATGGTTTCCATCATTAGTTAATATATTTTTGTAATGCATCTTCTTCAATGTGCTGTGCCTTGACAATGTGTTCTAATTCATTACAAACTTATTTCTCTATCGGTCTTTCCTCCGATGCGCGTCATACATTTTGTATTGACCAAATGTCAACTAATTTGATTTACAAAGTCGCACAATTAGATTTCGTTTCTATTTTTATGTGATTCATTCCAGCATTTTTTTATTTTTACTTGGTGATTGAATAAATGACAGACCACGCGAGCTATATGCAGGAAAGCAAATATTACTCGTATTGGATCAGTAATTACATAACTATAACCTTTTTATTCATAGAAATTCTAATATGGTTCAAAAATGTTCATCATTTGCATGATTCTTGAATATCTGTGATAATAATAGCTAAAATGGTGAACGGTTAGCATAAGGTAAATGGAGACTTCTAGTTCGTCAACCACAAACATCAATCTCGGTCGATGTAAAGATATGCCAGAAACGACTATTGCAAGAGGGAATCAAAATCTGTGTTTCAATCTTTATGAGTTTTAATTTCATCATGGAATATGACGCATGAATCGAGATTTCTCTATTGTAGTTACCCTAGGGAATGTACTGAGTTCAGAGTACCCATATACTGAGAAAGTCACACCAGGGTACCTATTAAGGGTACTTAGAAAATTCTCAGTAACCATACTGATGTAGGTACTGCATTGGGTAACCATAGCAGTATGTTTCACTGAAAAAAAATAAGTACTCTACGAAACTTAAAAAGGTTCCGAGATTTGCAACGAATTCGAAACCCTTTTGCGATGCCGTACGGAACCTTCAAAGCTCCGTATAGTCTCACGAAACCTGTGTTGGAGTCTCCGATATCTTTAAGGGTTTTGTGAGACTTCACGAAACCCTTGAAGAACCTCGAAGGTTCCGTATGATAAAGAAAAATGGTTTTGAATTCGTTGCAAATCTCGGCACCCTTTTAAGTTTCGTAGAGTGCTTATTTTTTTTTCAGTGTTCGCTGAACAAGTACTTGTATGGGTACTCGCACCTGTAATTTTACGTAGGAAAGCTCTACAGGGTATCCTAAATTTATTGCGTTCTGCGTAGCGACTGTTAATTCACCGTTTTCTTTTGCATGGACGGCTCCTTATAAACAACTCGGCGCAAACTATAAGAAGATAAACTATTTTCATATTTTTTTTCTAGATTATTTCTTGCCTATTCATTAGTCGAAAACATGCCGATCTTAATCGTAAATTAAGATCGGATTACCCTGAAGTGGTCGGATGAAGATTCGACCAACTCAAGTCCGGTTAGATCCCGAAATTTGACCTGCTAGAGTTTTAAGAATTGGAAAAATTAAATTAAATTAAATCGAAAAAATTTAACAGATTGTTTTGAGAGAAAAAAACGAAAAAGTTCGAAGATTGGGTTTGATCATCAGCCTACTGCAATTTTGGTGACAGAGTACCTAAGCATACGGTGCAATAGTACCCAGTTGAGTACTTGATCAGTACCTTCAAGTACCCATTTACTAGTTGCTTTCCAGCAGATTACCTACTTGAGTACCTAAAAGGTACCTAAAAGTACTTTTAAGTGCTCAAGTACCATAAAGTTCCTAAGACATACTAGTAGCAGGGTACTTTTTCGGGTACCCTTTGTTAAGTACATGTCCTAGGGTACTGCAAGTCGAGAATATTCCACATATTCATAGTTTAAGGGGTTCCCCCTCAGAAAATCGATTTTGAGATAAGCACATATACTGAGAGCCCAAAATGTCCTCTTTCAGATTATGTGCGATTCATTGCAGTTTGAATAGCTATTGGTGGTGAAAATAGCAGTTTTCTGGGAGCAGTAGTAGAAATATAAGGTTTTTTCAGAAATTTCCCTTAGTTACTGCGATGTGATATTGGTCCACAAGCTGGTAGATTTTATCTAATGATAAACAAATATGCGTTGTGCTATATTAATTAATTAATTAATTAATTAATTAATTAGTGAAACGTAGTCATTTCTGATTAAAATCCTGTATACATGACGAAATTGCAGAATAGAGGTCGTGACAGCCATAGTGAAATAAAAAATTGTTTCATACAACTTGTTGATTGGTTTTCTCAAAATCACTTTTTGGAGAGTTCGGAACCGATTTTTCAGACTGTATAAGAGCTAGCGAGCTACTTTTGTTTTAAATAAAAGAAGAAACCTATATCTAGAAACGTATGTAGCGTTTTTTCGAAATTCGATTTGTTTGCCAAGATAACTGGATAACACTGATGTCAAAATGCACTAAATTCCGAGTTCTTGTAGTAGACTGTCTCGGAAATCCGAACAAAATCGAATTCGAAAAAACGCTACATACATTTCTAAACATAGGTTTCTTCTTTTATTTAAAAAAAAATTAGCTCTATACGTCTTTGGCAGTTCGAAAAAATCGGTACCTTGCGAGAACCACCATTTGGGGACTAATTTGTCAATAACTCTTTAAAGCAAAAAATTGAGTTAACACAACACCCATATTGCCTAAAAATTTTAGACGAAACGGTCTACGAATAACGAAAAGCGATTCCTGAGGGGGGGGGGAGGGGGAGATCGGTCTCGAAATGAACTATCTTGAAATATTATCAAACTTTATCTACAGTGCACGAAATGCAAATTAATTATGTATCAGCTTGACATCTGTTCATCGAGATCATACATCGATTTAGTATTATAACCCGCAGACCTGTCCTATATGTTCTCACCTTTTGTTTTTTATTATCATGACTTGTCAAGTGGAAATTCTCTTTTTTTCTGTCTGAAAGTTGTAATCTCATCTGGAAAAAGCTGACAGACACTATAGACAAAGCCCACAGTGTGTACTCGTTGATTGATGTTTTTTTTAAATAATCGAGTGTGAACATTGTGTTTAATTAATATGTAAATATTTCTTTTTTTTAGCTTTCTGAGGTATTTGCTGAAGCTATTGATCCCGCTATGGATAGTCTAGGCTACTGTTGTGGTCGACAATATGTTTATTTACCACAAGTAATGTTTTGTTATGGTAATCAATTATGTTGTCAAATTCTACGCGATGGAAATTATTATTATTATAATAATCAGGAATCGTCTCGTTTTAATCTATCCGGTGATAAATATACATTTTGTTCGAAATGTTTTGATTCAGTTAAAAGTGATTCAATACTTGTCGGTGATGATCCAGCTCAAACATTAGTTGAACTACCAAAAAATTTATTTGTATCAGCTAAAAATGATATACAAGAACCTGAAAATATGATTGACTGTATTGTTTGTACACGTCGTTGGCATCAAGTTTGTGCATTACATATAGATCAAATATGGCCCGAAGGTTTCATATGCAAAACATGTATACGTGATTATAATATAAAACGTAAAGACAATCGTTATTCAGCTTACAAATTAACTGACACTGATTTAGCTAAAGTGTTAGAAAAGCGTGTTAACGATTTTCTAAGTAATGAAGGTTGTCAAACAGGTCGTGTCACTATACGTATATTAGCTGCAAGCGATAAAGTATGCGAAGTAAAACCACGTTTAAGAAAATATTATCATAATCAAGTACCCGATGGTTATCCGTATCGAACAAAAGCTGTATTTGCATTTCAAGAAATTGAAGGTGTCGATGTTGTTCTATTTGGTATGCATGTACAAGAATATGATGGACGTTGTCATGCGCCAAATACGCGACGTGTTTATGTATCATATTTGGATTCAGTACATTTTTTTCGACCGAAAGTCTATCGTACAGATGTTTACCATGAGATTTTAATTGGATATTTGGATTATGCAAAGAAACTTGGCTATGTTTATGCACATATATGGGCATGTCCACCGAGTGAAGGTGATGATTATATATTTCATTGTCATCCAGTTGAACAACGTGTACCTAAACCAAAACGCTTACAAGATTGGTATAAGAAAATGCTTGATAGAGCTATTCTAGAACGTGTTGTTATTGATTATAAAGTAAGAGAGAGTGACAGCAACAGAAACAACAAACGAAAAAAGGATTGAAAACTTTTTATTTGATTGTGTTTCTTTTTCTCTTCTCTTAAAGGACATTATGAAAGATTGTCAAGATAATCAAGTACAAAATGCTTTAAGTATTCCCTATTTTGAAGGTGATTTTTGGTCGAATATCATTGAAGAAAGTATTAAAGGTATGAAATCTATCAGCACGAGAAAATAAATTTATCATAATTTTATTCTTTTTTTTTTTTTTCGTTGAAGAACTTGATCAAGAAGAAGAAGATCGAAGAAAACAAGAAGTTGAAGCTGCAAGAGCAATGGAAGATGGTGGTTTCGACGATCCTATCGAACCAGAAGATCCGACAGATGTAAATTTTCAAAATAAAAATATTTCTTCTCTCAGTATATTTTTTCAATTTCTAGATCTCAGATAAACGTAAATCTGCAAATACGCATAAGAAGAAAAATCTCAAGAAAACAACAGCTAGTCAAAGAAAAGTAGCAAAGAAACAAATGTCGAACTGTACAGATTTATTATCGAAAATCTTTGCTACAATGGAAAAACATAAAGAAGTAAGTAATATGAAATTTTCGAGTGTCTACTAAACTTTCTCTTATATATGTTCAATGATACCCTTCAAATGATAGTATCAAAGATTTTTAATTTTTATATGGTTTCTTTTCTAGGCATTTTTTGTTATTCGTTTACGTAATCCTATTGCATCATGTCCAGCAGTAAATGATACTGATGCTTTAATACAATGTGATTTAATGGATACACGTGATGCTTTTCTAAATTTTGCTCGTGATAAACATTATGAATTTTCATCGTTACGTCGTGCGAAATTTTCTACATTGGCATTATTATACGAATTACATACGTCAACAACAGATAAATTTACTTACAATTGTAATGCATGTCGTCAACAATGTGAAATACGTTATCATTGTACAGTATGTGATGATTTTGACTTATGCGAAAAATGCTATCATACTGAACCAAAACATGAACACAGAATGGAACGTTCAGTACCATCTATTGTTGATGTTAGTCAAGATGGTGAACAAAATTCATTAAATAGTAACGATAAATCTATAGCAAGTCCACAATTGCAACGACAACAGTCAATGCAACGTTGCATTGAAGCATTATTACATGCTGTTAATTGTCGCAATGCTAATTGTGTTAATCGTAGTTGTTTTCGTTATAAACGTGTTATACAACACACAAAAGAATGCAAAGGAAAAAATAGTCAATGTAATGTATGTAAACAAGTTATTTTTCTTTGTTGGTATCATGCGAAAAGTTGTATGGACCTTAACTGTCAAGTACCATTTTGTACTAATCTAAAAACAAAAATACAGAAACAACGTGCAACTAGTTTGCAAACAGATAGACGTCGTATGCAAGCTATGATGCAACAAAGGACGAATACCATGCAAACACAGCAACAATCACAATCGCAATCACAAGTACAGCCAGGTAAAGAACAATTACATGATTTCGAAAGAATTAGAATATGATAGTTATTGAGGACATATAGGTTAGATAGTCGCAATAACTTTAATCTGCCTTTTGAATGCACCTTCAAGGATTCAATAAGCTGATTTACGATTTTTAAAGTTTAAGGGATCATCTGTCAAGGTTTGAGTTATAAAAATAGAGTTTATTCAAAAATTTAATACAAGATAATGTTCGTATTAAAATATAGAATTGATAAGTATTGAGTGTGTTTAATAGAATAAATTTATTTTGGATTTTTTTATCAATTTAAGTTTCGATAGCCGCATCTACACCATCGCATTCATTTGATTCAACTGGTAAACCAGCACCAGTAACATTAATTCGTGCGCCACAACCAGGAGCATGGTCCAATCAAACATATATAACAGTAGCGCAAAAACCAAATACTGGTAAACCAATTCAACAAGCCCCAAGTCAACTAAGTGTACTAATCGGACGTGTTAAACAAGATCCATCTATAGATGATCAGCAACGTTCAGATACGAATGATTCTAAACAGTTACTATATCAAACATTAGTAAATAAAGCTCCTGTAAACCGTTTACCAACCACAACAACAACATTTATTCAACAAGCCAACCAACCGCAACAATGGCATACTTCAGTATCTCAAGCTCAGTTAAATCCTCCTCCTAATTATACGACAGCTACACGTCCTCGACATCCTACTATAATGCAACAACAAAGTCTAAATCAAGCAACATCACATACACTATTAGCACCACTAAGAGCCAGTTCTTCAACGCCACCACCATCTACATTTATAGCACGAACGAGTTCAACACCAAATCTAACACGAATACCATTGAATGTAACGTTAGCAAGGCCATCACAATTTCTTTCTCAACAACAACAACAACAACAACAACCACAAGATCCATCTGCACGCTGATTGGGATTATCTTTGTACATGTATTCTTTTTTTTCTCTTTTGCCTTTGCCCTTTTTTACGTCTATCATCCATCTTTGATACACACTGTTCACCTCCGTTCAAACACACATTATTTCTGCCCTTAGCTCGTGTATATGTATCCGTGTTTGTTTGTTCGTCTTATTATATCATGAAGACACACAAGAAAATAAAAACTTGTTATATTACTGAAAACAGGAACGATTTTATTTTTCTGCTCGGGAAAAGGAACCTGTGTGCGTATGCATATAGATTTGAAATATATAAATATATCGGAAGCATGCGCTCGGTTCTTTTCTGTTTTCTCTTTATTTCTTTTTTGTTTTTCACTTTTTGTTTTGTGTGTGTTTCGTTGTTGTTTGTGGCGTGCTTTGCTCTTTCTCGTTCCTTTTTACATAACGAAAAACGAAACTAAACAAAAAGAACTGTGTGTATGCTGTATCGGTTTGGTTTTTGTTTTTGTTTTTGTTTTTGTTTTTGTTTTTGTTTATCTTTCATTGTCATTTTCTTCTCCCTTGAACATTTTTGGTTTTGTTGTTGTTGTTGTTGTTGTTGTTCTTCTTCTTCTTAACTATCGAAGTTGATCTTTTCTTTTTTCTTTCTCTCTTTTTTTTTGATATGTGAATAAAAAAAAAACAGCAAGAAGATGAGAGATATTCGTCGAAATGGAAAAAAAGAAACATGATTTTTATTTCATTATGTTATCATATAGTTGTAGAAAATAAAAATTTAAAGAACAGAAGAAATGAATTCGGAAGATGATTATAGTGATAATGATGATCAGGGTAAGTGATTGATATTTATCGAATTCGAATATTTTTGTAGTTCATGTTTTGTTTAATATTAGAAATCGACGATGAAAGCATAACAAGCGAAGAAGATGGTAGCCATCATGACGAATCATCTATGCAAATGGACGAGTCCACAAATTCACATGAATCAAAGCTTGATACAGAAAAACAAAAAGCAGATGCTTTGAAAAAGCAAATCGGTGAGTTTTTCTGCTAAAAACATACATCAGATTTGATTTAAATAGTAGAAAACTGTTGTTTTATTGATGTATTTATAGTAACAATTTAGATAGATCTAGTTTTTTTTTGTCAATCGGTCGTGTCTGTTCCGGTCTGTGATAATGTTTATTTACTTAGATTATGGCGATAATTGAATGAGAGTACAAGACTGTCTTGTTAATAAGATAGGCATGGCATGTATGCTCGTAAAGGTCATTACTACACAAAACATTCATTGATTGAATGTAGTGCGCATATGTCGAGAATAGACAACGACAAGAAGAAAACAAAATGAAGATTCACAATAAAACTACTGAGCTTTTTTTTCTAATTAAGCGATGATCTACTAAGAAAACACACGGAGAGAAAGACTTGCAGAGAAATTCATCATTTATAACAAAATCCAAAATGTTGACTGTTTTTTTTAGCTTTATGGGATTCATTTCTTGAATTACGGATAAAACTTCAACGTGCTACAATAACTTGTAATTGTTTACCGATATCGACAGTGCCAGATGACGATGAACTACGTGAAGTCATGGATGAAAGTAGGAAAAGAAGATTTTTATCTTTTTTTTAAATATTTTGTGTTTATTTAAGATGCAAAGCTCTTCCGTAAAACACTTGCTCTACTTCTTGCAATTGAAAATCGGCGATCGAATAAACGAGCGCGTGATCATGATGATGACGACGACGACGGCGAGGAAGAATCAAAAGAGAAAAATAATAGTAGTGAAACAACAGAAATTTTTAAAACAATATCAAAACGTCTTAAACGTGGTGAACATGTTGTTGATGAAGAACTAACGAAGTCCTATGAGCATTTTGTACCAGAAAGGTAAATAATATTTTTTTGTTTCTACAAAATTGTACCTGTGTTTCGTTGATTAGAGATGCTGTCATACAGAAATGGTTTGAACGTACGCGTGTTTTTACTAAACAAAACAAAAATAATGCTGTTGAACAATCACCACTTGTGCAAATTAAAGAAGTAAAATGTTTTTCTTTCTCACATCTATGCCAGATGTTAACCACCGATAGTCGACCCTCGGATTTCAACATTGACGGCCAACCGTAAAGTAGATGTACTCTAGAAGCTATTAAAAGTAAACGCTTCGTTTTCCTCGTCCCGAAATAGAATAGTCAAGGCCCCATTTTGATAAAGAAAAAAAAAGCTTGATGTCCATTGACTCGGAATTTATTAGTAATTTATCGTAAAATAAATTAACCGTTAATATCGCACGAACCATTCAGAAGAAAAGATTTATTACTAACAACAATAGCAGAAATTTGCAAGTCCCGAAGTATCATGACCGTATAATAATGCTCAAATGGATAAATAAAAAACAATAAAATACTTCCGAATTTCTTTTTTAAGAAGTTCTAAAAAAGTAATAAATTTAGATCATGTCTTTGCCTGATCGTCTTATAAAGCGTACACAAACCAGTAGAATTGATTACGATCTTATTTGTCCACCTTCTTCACCTAATCATCATGAAACATCAACTGATTTAACAACAAAAATCAATACTGAACTATTTGATGATGGTGACTTTTATCATCAATTATTACGTGAATTTATTGAACGTAAAACATCATCGATCACTGATCCCGAACAGATAAGCAAGTCAGTTATATATGCATATTCTATTTTTTGTCCTATCATAAAGTTTGACTTTTTTCCGTATAGACATTGGGCACAGTTAAGAAAACTAAGAACTAAATTAAAGAAAAATATCGATACAAAAGCAAGTAAAGATCGAAAAATTCGTTATAATATTCATAAAAAATTAATTAATTACATGGCACCAATTGATCGACGTTCATTCACTGATGAAGCACAGTAACTAGAAAATTTCAAGAAAAGAAAAACATAGATTTTTATTTATTTATTTTAGAACTGATCTTTTTTCATCGTTATTTGGTACAAACAAACTAACAATAACTGATACTCAACAAACATCATCAGTCAATGATATTCGTATTATTTAATAGATTGTTTTTGTTTTGTTTTGTTTAAAACAATAAAACTAAGTTTAAAAAAAACCGCATGAGATCTATTTAGTTCACTGTTATGACAAACAAAACTATTGTCTCAGTTTTTATTAAATTAAGAAGTAGAAATCTTTTTCAATCTATCAAGTAACACAAAATTAACGATATTGGCAAAGGAAAAGTATAAATATAAACAATAAATTGTACGTTATATACGTTTGCAAATTAAAGTCCACGAGTACCCCGTATGATATTTTATTCGAATAGTATTTTGAGCAATTCATTTGAACCCCTGTATCAGACATTTCATATGTTTGATTATTATCTAACGATCCATCAAGATAAATTAAAGATGACCAAAAGTTAATGTTGTATATTCAATCAAAAGTATATAATTCATTCGAAAATCTTCTTATCTTGAATAATCAGATGAAAACAATTATGTGAAAGTTTATGACCATACTGACTGATCATAATTGCACGTTTTTTTTCGTACATTCAAACAGATAAATAATGCGGAAACTTATAAATAAAACATCATGTACTTGTCATATGATGAGTATTAGAGTGGCGCACATATATATATATATATAAATAGTATGTTCTATTAATTTTCAAGATGAACCATATTTAAAAGAATTTAAATAAGAAAAGAATACTTACAATTCTTTGTGTTTCATTCTCAATAACTTTGAAAGGAACTTTGTTCCTCTTAAAATAGAGACAATCATCTTCAAAGATCCTTATTGCACTGAAATGACTAATTGCAAAATCTATATATTTATATTTGGACAGGTCATAATAATACGTTCAGGGTTGTCGATTGTTTTGACGAGCGAGAGGGACTCATGATTTGGCAGAAAGTCTGGCACGTTTTCAATTTTTGAGAGAAGTTAGTCCCTTCAGTTCCCTTTTGATTATACAAGTTCTTTCACTTCCTATTCCTATAACAAAGCCGCCTTGTACTAGACAAGAAAAAAAATACACATGATCAATTTAAATACAATAATCATCGTGCGTACGTGTTGTTATTCATGCATGATTGCAAATCCGTGATATACGTATAACATGATTATAAGAAAGTGACACTTCTTTAATTGCTGAACCCTAGCCAATTATTTACGTCTAGACAGTTCAGTATTATTCTAATGTTTTTCATGTGCCATTCGATATTATAGAAATCCTGATTTCATATTAAAATAATCATATGGCGAATGTATTCAGTTAATTTCATAATGTAAATCAGTCAATATCTGTTTAATTATATTTGTATTTACAAAGTTAAGATCTCTTGCAGTACTGGTCGACATTTATGATAAAGAAGAAAAAAACACACCTTTGATTGATGCCTTCTGACATTTTTCATACAAAGTAATATTATGTGCTTATGACTTGTTTTAATGAAAACGACTTTGTCAAATGTTTTGATCTTGCCATGGTCAGTGCATTGCTCTCTGTCTCTCGTTAATCTATTTTTAACCTTCACATGGTTTCGTTGTAGTGTATATGTTTACAATGTTTATTGAATATTTTTCTTGTCTTTCAATTTATTCAGTTTATTGCGGAAATATTTCAATTAAAAAGAAAAAAAAGAAGAAAAGCTAAGTTTGATCTTGATAACTAACATTTCGGTTCAAGAACATTCTTACCGAAACGATGGCGATAGTTGCCTGGCGGTCCATATTGAGCAACGATATATATTTTGCAACCTTCTCTTCCAAAAGCATATCCTACGCCGAGTTTTTGTGTGTCTTTCCAAACAATTTGCGTAAAATGACCTGTACTTAATTTGTAAGCCGGCTTGCTATAGTCATAAAACTCAATTTCTGCATACCATGCCATTATACATTTTTCAGCTAAAAACAATAAAACATGAACGCGAAATTTGACGATCAATTTAAATGAAAATAACAAAACTCTTACCACTTATATTTGCAATAGGACTTTTACGTGCTAGAGAGTAAAGATTTTCTCCGAAACGACTAGCTCGATTAGTACTATGTATCAATGGACTGTCCGTCTTGGCAAGATAATTCGCATAGATTTGAGAATTTATATTTATTTCTTCGTCGAGTTCTAATGGCGGTACACAATGACGAGCACGTAAAGTATTATGAACAACAAGTGAATCGTTTTGAAATTTGCGAATGTCGCTAGTAAATGTTATATCTTCTCGTTGCCTCAATAGAAGATATTGTTCCGCAAAATAACGACTAACCACCTTTGATTCATCAGAATTCGAATATGACTCGTGATCATGATTATGATATATCAAATTTGCATTGTTGAACGTAAATAATGTGAGTAAGACGATACCAACTACTGGGGCTTTCATAACTGTAATGTTTGTCTACTCTTGTTTTGGCGAGAGCATTTAAAGTAAAGAAAATCCATACATCATCCTAATGTTTTCTTAATAGTAGAATGATTATTAATGTATTTTACTTCGAAATATCATACAAAAGATATCATTTATCTTTTGATTTCACCCACATCAATGAATACGTTTCACATACGACAACGTCATATTGGATGCCAATGACAAAAAGTTCTTTCACATAAAGACAGTCTGACAGTTTTAATTAGTTACAATGTTCTAGATTCTGAAAAGGTAATGTATAAAAAAGAAACGACATAAATTAACATGTGGGTACGTACGTCTGGGATATATGCACTCGAGACTGAAACGACTGACAAAAGTGCCATTCGGTTCAATTCGGGGAATTTCGAAGTTCCATTCGAAGCGGACTCGATTCGTCTGGGGCAACTCGATTCGATTTGGTCTCTGATATGTACTATACTCTTTTCACTTACACATTACTCATCGGTGTATTTTGGACTTTCAATATAAATTTATCCATCACTTTTTTCTGTTGCTGATGGGATTTCTCAAACAATATTTCATTTCGTATATGACAAATAACATCATATTGAACAAAGAAGAAAGCAAACCCTTGAGTTTCACTTGCACACTATTGAATATTGTGATAAAGATTTCTAATGTCAACAACATATATTTTCTGCCCTATCATAGCTTTAAATTATTGCAATTCATATGTATACGTGATTTGGACTAGACTCAAGTCCTTCTCGATGAGTTTAATTTATGTTTTGGTTTCCAGTTCTCTTGTTTTTGTTCCGAAAATCAGCATTGCTACAATAGTAATCATTTTTTAAATTTAAATCTATTTTATAGTAGACGGCTGATCTTTGCAAAGGATTGAAAAGAAGAAGCGTATGTGTGTATGTGTGTGTGTGTCAGAGGAAGTGTATTTTTGTTTTTCTTATCTGCATCATTACTCAAACTGCCATCATCATAGCAAAATGCAATCGTTAATATGTGATTAATAGACAATGGGTTGTCTTCATTTGAAATGAATGTGAAAAAGTTTGAGCAAACATACAATATACCTTGACTATTGCAAACAATGAGGGGTATATCACGATAAAAACGAAAATCTCCGCGACGTTTATATGTAAGTATTTTATGACCGCCAGTCACACCTATCCGCGTAAGACTGCTTTGTCAATATTGAAGTGCAACTGCGTTTACTTGGTTGTTTTGCTCTTTTCTTATATCAATCTGGTTATCATTTTCTTTTATTACGACTGTTTTACCTCGATTACCAAACAGCTGTAAATAAAATATGTGATGAAGTTTTCTTCTCCCTGTTAATTTCTTTTTATGAGTAAAATACAGACTCATCTCTTCTTTTTTTAATTTCAGATCGAATAAAGAGAATTGTTACCGATAAAAATCAAGGTCTTTTCTTATCTTAAATTATGATTTTTGACATTGTTTTCGCAGTGTAAATTGTTTAACGTGTGGCGTGTTATAGAATTTAATACACATGGCCCATTGTTGAGTCAGTTCATTACATCAGTGATAAACATTTCTATGCTATTTCAACTGTTACAATACGATCAAATAAGAGAAAAATACAGATATTATCTACGCTAACGTTACCTAAGCAATCATTTCAATTTAGCTAGATTTTGCCTTGGAAAAAAAACAATTGGATCGAACCATAAATTTATTTGCATACTTTTATGATTAACTGTTGAAATCGCATAGCTTCACTAAATCTAACCATTGCATAGCTAACTTTAGGCTTTGTCTATAACATAAGACTTCACTAATTCTTAAATTGTTTTGGAACTTAACCATTGTTTAAATACAAATGTTCATATAGATAAGAAAATATCAAATGGATTCAGCAAACTAAAACGATTGTTGACTAATCTGAAAACACATTTAATGGATGGTTTCGATTATTTTCGACGTTGTTATTTCGATTTCTTCGTTCTACGTTTGATTTGCTACATTTACGAGACAACTAAATTAATGTCACTATTTCATTTTGTTGACATCGAGTTTCTAAGAGCAAAAGAAAATTGCATTCTCAATAGTTTTCGTCTTGATCTACTTATCATTTTATCTTAAGTGACATAATGACCCAGTAAATCACTAACATCTTTTATTGATGCACAATAAGAATATTATTACAACGCATATTCTTGTTTTTCCCTTGTTGTTTGATAGAGATAAACTCTAGTGAATGAAAAACATTTGAAAACTTTTTTAACTCACTTTGCAATGGCAAATCAAGCATTAGTTTGGATTAGACTACGATGGCGTTTAATAACTCTTATACTTATACCATTGATTTTTCTTCCATTACCCATTATTATCAACTTACCGGTAGGTTAAAGAGTTTGTGAAGAATTCTTATCGTTCATTATTTCGTTCTAGCAAGCAAAATGTGGTTATATTGTAATTATTATTACCGTTTACTGGATATTCGAAATAATACCATTACCAGTTACATCCCTATTACCACTTGTATTTTTTCCAATGGTACATGCGTTTTTTCTTTCAAAAAATGTTTTTTTAGTTTTGATGTTTTTCTATAGGCCGGTGTTTTGAAAGCTGAGACTGTGGCACCATTGTATTTCACTGATATAACTGCACTGTTTTTTGGCAGTCTGGCATTTGCGCATGCTATAGAATCAGTGAATCTACATCGCCGTATTGCATTATTTGTATTAAGTCTGGTTGGTACATCGACTAAATGGTAAATTCCGGAGAAAACTTATTGAGCATAGAGTTATTTCAGCAATAATCTTTGTTATTATTCATTATTAATTAGGACTATGGCTGGTTTAATGGGAGTAACAGCATTTCTTTCTATGTGGATTAGTAATACAGCATCGGTATCAATAATGCTACCCGTATCATTAGCTATTATTGGAGAACTTCAACAACAAGTAACAGATTTAACTGATAAAAACCAAGTCAACCAAGAAGCAACGACTGCTGTTGATGGTATGGCTAGTAGTAAAATATTTTATAAAGATCATCTATTTCTTATTTGCAGAAGTAATTGAGTTAAGTGAAATGGGTGTATCCAATGGCCATACAAAAACTGGAGTTATTCTCAATGCTTCTGAATTAGAAGAACAGTATGTGTATGAATGTAAAAATTACATTCTAACAGATTATTTAATTCTTTAGAAAAACAGAAGTTTCTGTTGAAGTGAAAACCCGTTTTCGACAATCACGGCAAAGACATGACCAACTTACAGTTGATAGATTACGTCAAAAACGATTTGATGACTTGAGAAAAGGTATTTTACAATTGTATTTAATTCAAAATGGTTCTCTACCGATAAATTATGTATAGGATTCCTACTCTCTATCGCTTATGCATCAACTATTGGTGGTTTAGCAACTCTTGTTGGCACAGGAACAAATGTTTTTGTCAAGGGTTATATCGACGAGTAGATACGAAAAAAACGTTTCTCTCTCTCTCTCTCTCTCTATTCTATGTCATCTATTTAGAACATACAAAGGAACTGCGTTTCGTGTAAATTTTCTTAATTTTCTTCTATTTGGATTGCCTGTTGGGGTAATAATGCTTATTCTATGTTGGTTATGGTTGCAAATATTATATAACAGAATACAGTTAGTACTAATCAAAGCACAGATTGTTTTGCTCAATTGTTTCTATTTTAGGTTCTTTAAATGGCGCACAGATTCTAAAGATCGTGTATCGCAAGGTAAACTAAAAGCTATGTTATTAAAACAGTATACGGATCTCGGAAAACCAAGGTAAACGTATCTGTTTAGAAATCGTCTATAAAAACAATTCTCTGTTTGATATTTAGTTGGAATGAATATTGTGTTGGAGTTGTTTTCATTATTATGATTCTTCTATGGGTGACACGGGACTTTGGTGAAACAAAAGGATGGAGTACTATATTCTTAGACGAGTACTATAAATCGGAATTCTGTCTCATAGGATAATCATTCTTGATTTAATTAGTCATTACTATCTTTCTGAAGCATTAAACTCTACTTTCATCACAATATTAACAACCAGTAAATAGATATTGCGTGTCACATAATAGGAATAGTAGACAAAACTCTACGAGTTGATTTCAGGACATCCATATTCATAATATTTGCTCATATTAGCGATAAGCTTTTGTAAAAAATTATAGAGATAACTTTTCAAATCAAGTGTGGTTATCATATCTAACAGGATCGTTTGTGTCCGAATAGACGAACTCATTTTTTTCGATTTTTTCATAGGTATATGGATGATTCTACAGTTGCCGTATTTTGTGGTTTACTTCCATTAATTTTGCCTAATTCAAATCCTTTTCAAAGTTTGTTAAAAAATAATACTCTGTTTGATTCGATTGTTTGCTTTATTTTTATAAAAAGAAAATTGGAAATATGAATCAATTGTCCAATGGAAAGTTCTGGTAAAAAGTGTATCATGGGATGCTTTATTTTTACTTGGTGCTGGCTTGTCTATTGCAGCCGCTTTTAGAGTTTGTATTTAAAAAAAAACATATTTGAATAATATTTTCTATTGAATAAATAAGACGTCAAAATTATCGGACAGTGTGGCGCAGGTACTTAAGTTTTTAGACGGCATACCAAATGCAGCAATTATTATCTTAGTGATCGTAATTAGTGGTCTATTTACTGAAGTAACATCAAATATAAGTACAGCAAGTATTTTCTTGCCTATACTTGATTCTGTTGTATGTTTGAGTATTTCCTGTTGATAAAACGAGAGTGAAATTACTTTTACATATAGGCACGTTCATCTTTTATTCATCCGGGTCTTCTTGTACTACCGTGTACTCTAGCTGTATCTCTTGCTTTCATGTTACCTATTGGTATGTTATCAGCATCAGAATTTATTAAAGAATTTATTCAATTATTGTTTTAGCCACACCACCAAATGCAATCATTTTCGGCTCTGGTGGTCTGCGAGTTATTGACATGGTAACTTTAATATTTAATAATAACTTTTAAAAAAGAATTATTGAATTGATCTATTTTGATTGTATTTTTTAGGTTAAAACTGGTATTGTCATGAATATTTTGGGTTTTCTAGTTGTGTTTTTGGCTGCAACCACTTGGATGCCAAAAATATATGGTCTTGACGATCGAGCCACAGAGATTTTCTACAGTATTAATATAACTACAAGTACAACTGCAGGACAGTAACGAAATAGATAGTTGAAATTGTAAATAATACATATATTTTTTTTTATTTTGTCGTTATACAAACAAGAAACTTTGTGGAAGAGAGAGAGAGAGAGAGAAAGAGACGCAAAAGGGTACGAGTAAATAAGAAAGTTTATTTATTACCACCGGCATAACGCGATCGACGATAAAAGGCATTGCGCTTATTTTTACCAAATTGATGTTTTTTTCCGTGTGCAAAATGTTTTTTCTTCATATTTAAACGTTGAAAATTTGCATTAGGATCTTTTATTTTGGGTTTCTTTGTACATGGTGGTTTGCTTACAGAAGATGCTGCATTGGTATCATTGTTCGCTGTTGAAAGTGCAGTTATATCATCGAGTAAAGTCACCGTTGATATTGATCGTTTTCGTTTTTTTGACTTGCGATTCTAAAATATTCAAGTTTAAAAAGTCAATGACTACGATCTAGACTCAGCTGAAGTCTCATCACATTAGATCACTAATCTTAAATCATCTTACTTCTTGCTCTTCGTCTTCTGCTAGTTCTCGATGTTCTGGTTCTTCCTGTTGTTCGTCTTCGTCATCTTCATCACTATCTAGCAAGTTTTGAGCAACAATTTTATCTTGTTTTTGTTCATCATCACTATTTAAATTTAACTGTTGTTGTCTAGCGAATGCTAAAAACTGGAATTGAACTAGTTTCGATTGACTACTAACAGGTACATATTGAAAATCATCTTTATCATTATGCGGTAAATCTTCTCTGTCATCTTCATTATCACTAGAATCATATGAAAATGAAATATGTGTTGGTAAACTCGATGTTGAAGTCGTTGGTGTTATAGTTGGTTTAGGTGATGTTGACGTTTGATGTTCTTCATTGGACGCTAACCGTTCCCATACTTGACTGCATGTCACTGTTGTATGTATAGGTGATGGGGTCCTAGGACTAATTGTTTTAGAATAAAGTTCTGTATGTGTATGGATAGTTGCTGAAAATAAAAACAAAAAAAGACGAACAAACATTTTATTGAAGAAATAAAACTAAAGAAAAGAACAAACGTGTTGATAGCGTCTGAGAATTCTTTTTTGTTATTGCTGTTGGTGTTGCTGTTGTTTTCTTAAGATTATTTGCTGTTGAGAGATCATCTTCGTTTTCAAAATCAGTACTCAATACTTGACTACGTGACAGATTGATGCGTCGTTTAAGATTCGTTCGATTGCGTTCACGCAATGGTTTCAACGATGAAGATGCTGTTGTTAAGATAAGAGGTAACAATAATGGATCAGATTCCTCGCTAGATAGTGTAGGGCCAGCATGAGGTGGTTCAGCATTCATTGATGATTATCTAAGAAATATAAACAAACGAGTTATATGTATTTGTTATTCTTTGAAAATAAAAGAAAGAACGCGAAAATTTCTTTTGATCGATATCTAGCGACATACAAACTTTTTAATTGGTTATCACTTTTCGAGGGTGATCGAGTCGAGATATATCTATATTGATTGAAAATTTCGTTCGTTTTCGATTAGTTAATTGCTGAAGTCTTTTGAAAATTATCTTCTCTTCTTTCAAGTAATTATTAGTCATGGAATGCTGAAGGAACACCGATGAAAAAAACGCAAATAAAATCTGCGGTCCCGAGTAAAAATCGAAAAAGTATAGAACGATCAGATTTTTTTATTTCGAGATTTGCCCTTCGCAATTTTATTTTGGCCGTAAGTCAATTATCAAGACTTTATAGTTATGTTCGATCTGTAATGAATCAAAATGCGCTAAAGCAAACTTGTTGCTTCATACGTTCCTAAATATTTCGATACAACTTCAGATAATATATTGAAACTATGTATGATCGTCGTCTTGATTTTGGCGTCTGAATTTGAACAATAAATGGGAAAAATAACGCCAATCTAAAGAACATTCTGAACAAGAATTACAAACGAAGGTCTATTGGCACTTACTGAGGTAAAAATGCTTTTGATTGAATTTGTAGATAACTTTATATTCTCATCTAAGTAAAACAATATTTTTATCGTTAACATGATTGCTAATTTCATTGCAGTATCTTGTTTTGATTAATGGATTTTGTTTATAATACATACAGTCGATAATGTTTTGTATATAATGAAATGTCATCACCTATAATTTACTTTCACTAATAGGAAACAAAAAGAAGGGCCGACTTACTCTATATTTTACATCAACCAGCTGTTAATTAAATAGAAATATGTATATATATATACGGCACTATATTTCCATAACGACAGTATATGGTTGTCCAAGGACAGAAGTACACTATGCAAAAACGAATGATTTCTGCTTGATAGGAATTTCAGTATTTTTAAACGTCGCTTCTTTAACATATGGGTGGTTTTGATCGATGCCTTATTGAGATGCTGTATAGTGGTACTCTGATGTTATAGCAAAACGACTCAGCAGTGAAACGTTCTAAAGTAAGATATGATTATCGATTAGGATGACAAAGACGTTTTACTGCCTAATGTCACATTTTATTAAATGCGATTATTCAAAATTCAGCAACCAATGAATATATTATTTATTCAATGTGATCAATTTTTTTTATTTTTATTTTTTTTGTTAAACAGTTCTTACAACGTTTATTAAAACAAGTTTAGAATTTTGGATTGAATTTTTTACAAAGTTAATCAAAGAAAATAATTTGATGATTTTAGTTTTTCATTTACATCATTTGGATGGTTCTTTTCGTTGCTAAATTAAAAGAATTTGTCTTGTTTTTCAGATCAAACTATTAAAATGGATATCGTTGGTACGATCACACGTTTACCAACACTTTTTTTTGGCGCATCACCGTGTGATGACAGTTTTGCTGATCGACTTTCATATAAATATACAGTTTTAATGCTTGCTCTCTTCGCTATTCTTGTTACTAGTAAGCAATTTGGTACTAAACACATACAATGTAAGTTGAGTGAAGAAAGCGAAAAAAATTTTCTTCACTGAAGATTTCATTTTAATGATCATAGGTTGGGTTCCTGCACAGTTTACGAAAAACTACGAGGTAAATACTAATGATGATTGAATAAATAATATTATTTGTGTGTACATACTTGTAAATTCATATTTGACTAGAGAGATAATGTCTTCTCGATCAAACATCTGCAGAATGCATAGAATTTCATTAAGTTTTACTTTAGTTAAAGAAAACACTTACAAAATCTTTTTTCAATATACATTAAGATATTACGCAATGTATACACAACTAATATAGCAATTTTGAATTTTCTAGGAATATGTTAATGATATATGTTGGGTGTCTAATACATATTATATTCCTCTCGAACAAAAAGTGCCAACACTCGAACATGAAAGACGTCAAAATGAACTACGTTATTATCAATGGATACCATTTATATTAATTCTTCAAGCATTTGGTTTTTATTTCCCACACATTGTTTGGCGTTCATTATCACGTCGTAGTGGTATTGATGTTCGTGATATAGTGGATGCTGCTATTCATTATAAATCTGTTGACGTAGCAACACAAGATGATAAACATAAAAATGAATTGATGGAATATATTGTCGAAGCCATTGATAAATATGTTGATGATCCACGACGACAAGTTGAAGAACGTCGCCAAAGTATAAGTTTAAAATATGTACTCCTGACAATATGTATTTGTTTGGGAAAATATTTGGGCAATTATTTAATTATTGTTTATTTTACAACCAAAGCATTGTTTATAGCCAATGCTGTCTGTCAAATATTTTTATTAAATTTATTTTTGGGACAAGAATTTCATCTCTTTGGGATACAAGTATTAAAGAGAATTCTTCAAGGACGAGGTAAACTAAAACGAAAGAAATTCTCATGTTGGTGTTGATTCTTATTGATTAGGTTGGGATACACAATCGAGATATTTTCCGAAGGTAACATTATGTGATTTTCAAATTCGAGAAGCTCTTCACCTAAACGGTTCACATCGGTATACTGTGCAATGTGTTCTACCGTTAAATCTATTTTCTCAACAAGTAAATATGATTGAAAATAAACTTTTGTTTTCTTTTTCATTCTTATTAAGAATTTAGATTTTTACTTTTATTTGGTTTTGGTATATGATGGTTTTTATAGTTGTATGTAATCGATTTAAATTGAATTTTTTAATTGAAATTTTCTTCTATAGTCAATATTTGATGTTATTGCTTGGGTAACAAGATTTTTTCCAAGTAAACAGTATAATTATATAAAACGACGATTGCAATTAATGAAACGTGATACTGAATTTAATAATTATCCACCAGAGTTTGTTAAACGCTACTATATGGAATTTATATTTGGTTATCTTGAGCCAGATGGTGTACTTATGCTTCGTTTGTTGTCATCGAATACAAGTGATTTTGTTTGTACTGAAGTAAATTCATCGATTATAGTTTAGAAGAGAAACTAATGAGAGTTTATTTAAGGTTATCAATCAATTATGGCAAAGATTCTATAAGAGAGATCCAAAACGAACAAAACGAAATCGTAAACCTGAATCAAATAGTGAACAAGTAGCACAGGAGCGTAAACAGCAAATAGCAAAAACGGCCGAGACTCATGATTCAATTCGATGTCGAAGTTTAAAAGCTACGTCCATCCCAACTCAAACAAATAATGGTCATGATGTATTAATACGAAGTAGAAAATCTTCTTTTCAACCTCGAGTCGAAGATAATGTATAAAGTTATAATTCGTGTACAATCAATAATTTCAGCCAATGCTTTTTTTCTTAATAATTTACTGCATGATAATAATTACTTTTTAAAATTTTTCGATACAATACTTACGCTTTATGCAGAATCTAGATGTTTGTGTATTTCTTGATGAATTTAACTAAGAATAGAAATGTGAAAAGGAACATTTGTTTGTCGAGTGTCTCAATAAGAATTTTGTTTTTAAGATCAAATCAGACATGTCATCCAGTGAATATATTCGAAAGAAAAATCGATTGAAAAAGCAATGGTCCTATATAGATGCTGCGCTTAAAATTGTTCAATTAACTCAACAAACTGAAAAACGAAAATATCTTCGTGAAGCAATTATAAAATCAGATTATCAAACATTTGATAAATTATTAAACGATGATCCAATATTAGTTGATTGCCCGGCGCCAGTTGGTTACAATCATTTTAATATATATCAAATTATAGTCGAACGATCCACCGATACATTTATTGACAATGTATTTAAGAAATATTTTACTATGATTGATAATTCAACTGAAGGTGGGAAATTTCTTGTGCCAATCGCATGCGAACGAGGTTAGATTTTATTTGAAAATTGTTTCGCCATCATAGAGTAAATGGCCAAACTAGCTACAAAATTCATCATGTTAGTTTCAGTATAAACTTTTATTTTCAGGTGATTGCAAAATTCTTCAGTTAATTTTAAAACATTTTCCGTGTGCACCACTTGATGGTATTAGTAATTCGAATCAATCACATAATTATTTACTCCATGATGAACCACGTCATTTAATTCAACGTGAATTAGAAGCCTACGAAAATGAAATACCTTTAGCATGTATTATTCGAAATGATCGGTCTGATCTTCTATCAATTCTATTTCAATTTAAATCTTTTTCATTTGATTGTTTAACTCAACAACAAAAACAGCAAATTTTCTATCTTTGTTTATTAGCTGAACATCGGCAAGTAACTATTGATAAATATAATATAAAATGGTATAAAAATCAATCATTGCGTCCATGTGGTTCTCTTGAATGTTTTCGTTTACTTATTGAATATGCTGGATTTAATCCATTTCATGATGAAAAATCATTTATATCTCCATTTACACTCATTGTTGAACCTATCTATCTCTATCTAATACAATTACACAATAAATTATTAATTGATTTACAAATTAAATTTCATACACGTTTACTACGAGCTTTATATGATTTAATAAATAAACAAATGCAATTATTTAGTTATCTTATAAGCCATTGCTGTTTGAAACCATCGGAAAGTGATATTATACGTTTAAATGAATGTAATCATTATATTGATGAAATATTTCATCAGAGTAATGAATATTTATTAGTAAAACGAACAATGTCAACTATAAATAATATCTTATCGAGAATTGATAGGAAAAATAGTGATAAATGTTTATCATTAAAACAAATATGTCGATTTGCTATTCGCAATTACGTACAAAATAAACAATGTGTACTTGTACAAGTTGAAAGAGCCTTTGTTAATTTAAGCTCTAGCCATAAAAAATATTTGAAATGTGTCAGTTGAAATTTTCTGTTGTTTTTAAAACTATTTTGTTAGATTTTTTCATTTTGAAGAATATATTGATGTATACCGATTTAAAACAAACTAAAATTTTCTTCTCTATTCAATTAATCAATATGGAAAGGATAAACTATGGAAGCAGAATGATTTTTTTTCTTTTCAAATAATTCTATTTATTACGCTCGACTTCTTTTCTATGCGGATGAGAAGCTTTACGCAACCGATTTTTTATTTAACAAATTGAACAAAGAGTAATTGTAGATTTCTCTATATATAAATATTTTGACATCATTGTAATAACATAAATGTTTGTATTTCTAGCTTTTATTTAACATTCTTTTGGTACAAACAAGTAAAAACTATTATTATTGTTTTATGAGTATAGCTTTGGGAAAATTTCTTCTGGCCATATATCAGTTGTCTCTGCTAGATTGCATGGTCTTTTCGATGTGATTCATTTATTGTTTCGATATCTTCCCAAAATCTTTCGTTTTCTTCATTACATAAAACTGGAAACTTGTCATCAATCAATGTAATACAAGGCATTTTTGATTCACATGAATCGACCATTGACGGATGTTTAACTAGTTCTTGTTCTCTTTGCCATGCTTCTTGCCAATAGACCAATTGCTCGTTTTCTTTAATTTTCTTACGATCAATCGATTTCGTTTTCAGTCCTAAATCATTTTCCATCCATTGAAGAATTTTAATACGTTTTTCATGTAATTCTTCTGGATATTTTTGTAACTCGATTAAATCTTCTCTTTTAAGTAATGCTTTCGATGCTTTATAAAATCCACAACCCATTCTCGAATAATAATATTTGACATGAAAATAAAATATAATTTAGTAGAAAAAGGAACCCGCCTAATAAAACGACGCTAGTTAGCTAAGAAAATCCATTGGTTTTCAGTGACATCTGCGAACGTAATACCATATTTTCTTCCATAGAATAGTTTCCTCCGATGAATCAATGATCGATCCTTTTTCTTCCGCACTGTGTTTTTTTTACTCAGCTATTTTTTTGTTGTTTTCTTTTATTGCAAGAATATTGATCGATTGATTGGAGTGTTCTATATAATTTTAATCCTAGATTTTTTCATTGAAATTTCTAGTTTTTTTTATTTCATAAAAATCTTATTTTGCAATGAGATAACATAGAAGATTTCTTAAATGGCTGGTGAGTTGATCTTGTTGAGAAAAATAAATGATAACTAACAAAATTTCATTTTTTAAAGGCGATTGGAGAATCAACGCCGAAGAACGAGCAAGGTACGAATCGTACTTTCAACAATGTGGCCCAACACAGGGCTATCTTTTGGGTATGTTGTTTCTTTTAATTAATAGTAAAAAAAAGGTAATTTTATATATTCTTTAAAACTCAGGTGAACAAGCAAGAGACTTTTTCGTTAAGTCCGGTTTACCTGGCGATATTCTTCGAAAAATTTGGTTCGTTTTTTATCTAACGATTATAATATCCAACAAAAAAACTAATATTCAATGATTTCTCTAGGGACTTAGCTGATGTTACAACTGATGGTCGTCTAGATTTACGAGAATTTATCATTGCATGTCATTTAATAGCATCACAGGTCAATAATTTATATACGGTAGTTTTTATTTCAAAAATTAATAAAAATAGGTTCAAAAGAAAGGACCATTGCCAGCAACTCTTCCACCTAGTCTTCTTTCGGATTCCGTAGTTACAATAAATGGTGTACGAGCCGTAACTGCATCGCCATTGACAATCACGCGTAAGTGATGCTATTGATTTATATTTCTAACAGATATTTAAAAAAAGATGAAATCATTTACAGTAAAGAAATATTTAATTTTAATAGTGGTAAGATTTAACACATAATAGATTTGAAAACAAAGCACTGCAAATATTAACAAAAAAATAATAATGCTTTTAAATAACTTCTTCTTTGTCTAGGCTTTTTGTTATTATAAATAAACATAAAATCTTTCTTCTAGCTTCCAATCAACCTTCAATATCGAGTCAACTGCCTGGGTAAATAAAAATAAATTCATTTTATTAATCATTATATTGAATTTCTTATTTAGATCTATTTTAAAAACAGCTGGTCTAAATAATATTCTATCTGTAACTCCAACAATTCGCTCGAAATACATCCGAAATTTTCATTCATTAGTTGATGTAACAAAAACTAATGGATTTATGAGTGGCTTACAAGCTAAAACTATTCTTCAACAAACTGGCTTATCAAATGCTCTTCTTCATCAAATATGGTAAATAGGTTTTTTCTTTAGTTCTATTCTAATAGCAATTCGAGCGAATTCGATATTATCGGAAAATTTAATCAAGCAGAAGAATTCTATTTATTGTTTTACACAGGGATTTAGCCGATCACGATAAAGATGGCTGTTTAACACCAGATGAATTTGTTATTGCAATGCATTGTTGCGACATTGCACGTACAGGTCAACCATTACCAACACATTTTCCTGATGAATGGTTAGTGAAAAATACAGCACCGACTGAAACTGCTGCAGCTAATCATCTAAGTGATGCAGCCGCAGAAGCTGAACGGAAATCTATTTTAGCAACATATGAAGAAAAACGTTTGAAAAATTATGAAGTAAATCATTGAGACAAAAAAAAATACTTTTTTTTCTAAAACGTTTTCAAATTAGGATGGAAATCGAGAACTGGAACGACGTCGACAATTATTACGCGAGCAAGAAGAACGCGAACAGAAAGAACGTGAAGAACGAGGTACCTATATATCTTTGTGTCTAAAATGAGAAATTCAGATAGCTGAGTGGACATAGTCATTATTGATTTTCACATATCACCTGGTTGAATGTTCGAATCTCTCGTTTAGAACGTAAACGTGAATATGAACTACAAAAACAGAAGGACGAACAAGATCGTAAAAAACAAATGGAGATTGAAAAACAATTAGAGAAACAACGTCAAATCGAACAACAAAAAGAAGAAGAACGTAAAAAACTCTATGAACAACGTGAGGTAAATAAAAAATACTAATAAACTATACGCATGGATCAGGAGATCACGTCTTAATATTCAATAAGGCGAGTTTGAGTCATATCCATGCAACATTATCAACTCTAAACTTCATTGTGTATGCGTTATGCATATGTGATTCGAAGTTCTCTATGGAACGGGATTTTAGTATACGATCCTTTGTATACAAAAAAATCAAAATTCCAGTGTCCAGACATAACCTTTTTTGTTTTGTTTAATTTTAAATCTATTTTTAAATGTTTTAGGCCGCACGAAAAGAAATGGAACGTAAAAGTCGCCTCGAATGGGAACGTCAACGTATGCAAGAATTATCAGCACAAAAATCCCGTTTACTCGAGCAAATCAATGATTTTAAATCTCGTGGAAAAGCTTTTGAACTTGAATTAGAAAGTATGGATGATACAATGCAAACAAGTCAAGTCAAAATAAGTCAAATCGAAACAGCTATACATACAATTGATGTATCCATAGCTGAAATACAAAGAAATATAATGAGCGAGAGAAGTCTTTTTGATAATGCTGAACAACAAGTCAAAGATTTTAAAATGCAATTAAATAATGTACAAGCAGAACGTGAATCACTTGATTCATCATTAAATCAACTTAATGAATATATAGAATTTGGTAAGTGTAACGATCGATTGAGAAAAAAACTAAACGGGGAATTTTGAAACATCGAATGCATTGTATTATTTTCATAGGTACGAGTAATCGAGAATCGGATCAAATCAAATATTTACAAGTTCAAATTGAAACAATGAAAGAAGAAAATACACAAATAGATGAACAGATCGTAGCAACAACTGATCAGTCTAAAGAATATCAAAATCAAATGGAGGTTTCTAGAAGCATAAATAAACTATTGATTTAACGATAAAAAAAAAATTTTTTTCCTTCTAGGAACTGCGTCTTCAACTTGATCAACTCGAACAAGAAGCTAAAGCTAAACAACCAATAGAGTATGAATTATATTTATTTCAGTTTATTTTAATAAATATATTCATCTTCTAGAGAAGTCGCAATTCCAGCTACAGATTTCGGTAAATATTTCTATATCGCTACAAGTCGTACGTAATGTTCATATTTTTAGCTAATTTCGATCAATTCAACGCTAATATTCCTACTGAGGATATAAATAAACAATCGACTGACGTATCTTCTTCATTATTTGTTGCTCCAACGACTACATCTCCTCTACCAACTATAGATGTAGATCCATTTCAAACAGTGGACCCGTTTGCTTCTCACTCTGATGTGGTAACGACAACAGCAGCTAATGATTGGTTTCAACCATCAAAAGAGGGTCAAAATACAATAACAGTTGATCCATTTCTTGCAAAAGTTGAACCCACAGAAAATGTACCAACTATAGCATCACCAAAAATCAAGAAAGCAGCGCCAAAAGCAAATCCTAATAATAAAAGTTTGTTTTTATTTTCATCTTGTTGAAAAAGAAAAACTTTTCTCTTGCTGATCTAGCGACACCAAGATCACCACCTACAACTGCGGATCCATGGGGAGAATCTGCAACTGCGAATACCAATAGCAACGATTGGGCACAATTTAATAACAATACAAGTTCACCGTTCGGTACGGCATCTGATTGGCCACAATCAGCAAATGTTTCTAGCGAAAACTCATCGACTGGTAAGTAAATTTTCATTAGAAAAAAAACAAATTTCATTCAAATTTTATTTTAGATTTAATTCAATATCAAGCTTTATATGATTATATACCTGAACGTCCTGATGAATTGGCTATAACATCTGGAGATATCATAGCAGTAAGTTTCATCGATTGAACGTTTTCTCTTGCTCTATAACATCAAGTTATTTCTCTGGTCGATTTCAGGTTGATCCAAGTAAACAACAAGATGAACATTGGTTATATGGTCATATTGGTAATGACAAACAAGGATTCTTTCCAGTGGTTTATGCTGAACGTATCGTGTAAGTTCTACACACACATGATGTTGGTTAGAATCAGAGATGGGCAAGTCAAGCCATTTTTGACTTGACTTGCGATTTGATGTATATAAAAAAAAAAGTCCAGTCAAGTCAAGTCTAAAAATGTAGATATTTGAGGGTATTTTATTCACTTCAATTTCGATTTTCTAACTTGAAATGTAATGGAAAATACAAATGAAGATCATGACATATGCTCAGATATTGACACTGCGTGAAATAAGATAATGCTGTTAAAATATGTAGAAAAGTCTTATTCTCAATTTCTATTGGATGTTGCATTTTCCAACAATTTGTTTCACGAAAATACGTTGTTTCCTTTGTTTTTATAAAAATTTAATTGATTCATAACTTAGAAAACGATAGTAAAACTATAATATGGATCAAGGAAGCAATGTTGTCGGTAGTTTACTTTTGATTTAAGAAAACTTAATGAAAATCGGGTTGAATTCCAACTTGAGTTGACTTGACTGGAGCCAAAAAAATCGCTGACTTGCCCATCTCTGGTTAGAATGAGTATTCAGTATCTAGATTTCACAAAAAATGATCGTAATTATTATTTTTTTTATATAGATCAACACCATTAAATAATGTGGTTGATACTACATCACCATTATTGGTATGCTATATTCCTTAATTGTTAATGCTTTTATTCATAGTATAATTTATTTTTTCAAGTCTGGATCATGGGTGATAACGTTAGCAGACTATGAAGGCAAAACAGTTGATAAACATCTATCATTTCCAAAAGGTGAACTTATTCTTGTACGAGAACAAAAAGATGCAACATGGTATAGTGGCCAACTTCAAGGCAAAGTTGGTTGGTTTCCACGAAAATATGTTCGACCAGCAACTGATGTTGAAATAGAAAATAACAAAAATACGACAAAGTAAATTGATATTATCTAGGAGATTATTTCTAAATCTTCGTGAATAATTTTAGAACTACACCAACAAATGAAAAACCATTGAATTTACCAACTTCCAATGATCCATCATCAAATATTGTCGATAATGGTAATATTTCTAAGAGATAAGAACGTTTTATTTTGTTGAATAAAAAATATTTTTCTATTGTACCAATTCAGCTTGTCTATATGAAGCTATTTATGCGTATGAAGCTACTGATCCATCAGATTTAACATTTCAAGTTGGTGAACATATTATTGTCTTACAACGTGATGGTGATTGGTGGACAGGATGCATTGGTGATCGTACAGGATTATTTCCAAGTAATTATGTTCAACAAGTTAATCATATGCAGGAAACAGCTATTGCAATAAAACCATTTCAAAGTACAGAAGAAGATCGTTTATCATTTGAAGAAGGTCAAATAATTTATATAATAAAAAACGATGATAAAGGATTGTATCAAGGAGAAATACGAGTACGGAAAAAAATTTATTTTCCATTGAAAAAAAAATCGTTTTTTCTTTATCACAGTTTCCTGATCAACCAGTACGTGTTGGTTGGTTTCCAGCTGAATGTGTACAAATACAAGAGATCAACCCATCGGCATCTTCACAACCAAATACTTCGCGTAAATATAATTTTTTTGTCGTCAAGTATAAATAATCATATTATTTTCATTAGAATTACCACAATGCATTGCAATATTTCCATATGAAGCTCAACAAGATGACGAATTAAGTTTTCCGGCTGATGCTGTTTTAGAAATTTTACATGAAGCAAATGCAAGCGGATGGTTTCAAGCTCGTCTTGGTGATCAAGTTGGTTTGATTCCATCGACTTATGTACAACCGATTGAGTCTCATAATCAATGTAAGTAGAATTACAAATAAAAATTTGGGAGATAAAAAAATATTGTAAGATAATTGTAGAGAATATCACTTCGTTGGTTAGTTTTTGGCGATGTATGTGGATTTTTTTGTCCATTTTCTAGAACCATGATAATCATCATATCAAACGCATCATCTCACATGAAGTCAAATAAGGAAGAAGATGATGATGGTGCCCAAATGCAGATATACATACCTACATTTATGTCTCATCCGCGTTCTCTTTTCTTCTTCATATTGAATGCATCACATTGTGTGTTGCCAATCGTCATTATATTTTATTGAGTGCAATCACAGACGTTTCTTTTTTAAACACAATCCACATACATTCGCGTTTTATTCTATTTAATTCTGTTTTTCTTCTTCTGTATGCTTTTCTCTGACTGTTCGCGTTCATGTTTAAGTCATTTATATTCTCAATAATTTTTGTTTTTCTCATCGGCAACAGAAAAAAATCTTACAAAAATCGAAAAATATCTTTAATGTACACTTTATGCAATAGTCGTTTGTATTTGTCAATAAATTCATAGTCATTTTTTTGCGCTGTTTGTTTTTCCTATTGTTATCTTTAAATTGTCAAACCTGGTGATATTGATGATTCAAACTTGTGGCTATGTATCCATACATGTTTCACCAGTCACTCCTATTTTTCTATGGTCTTGCATTAGCGTGATTTGATTATATGTTTATTCGTCTCATATTTATTCTTCTCTCTATTAGTCCTATTTTTCTGTGTCTCCTACTATTAGTTTGCTCTCTCTCTCTCACATATATTTAAAAAAAGAAAAAGAAATATACAACTAATTACATATACTTGGATAAAAATTAGGAGAAAAAATGTTCTTTTCATTTGTTTATTATTTGAACAGAAGAAGATAATGTTTCAAAAAGTGCTTTCTTTTGCTTGCTGCTGTTTTCCAATGCTAACATCGGATACAGCATCATTATCAACATCCTCTGCCAAATATAAACGTCATACAGAGTATAAGCAAAAAACAGCGTTTATGATATCGTGTCGTAAGTCAAGAATAAGCAAGAAAAAAAAACAAAAGTTAAAAATATGTTGACTGCATGAAGATAAAAAGTATATGAAAACTGATAAAATACTCTTCGTTGTTGTTGTTGTTATTGTTTTCCCGTGTTGTCAAAAAAAAACAATCTCTTTCTGCATGATAATAAGCATGGCTTCTACTCTTATACCTTAGTATTTATCGTTCTATGAAACTATAAACGTTATATTCAATAAATTTTTTTCCAGCTTCATCTGTACAATGTCAGCTTTCTTCAAATATGATTCCGTCTACATCGACAACAGCCAATTCTTCTCAACATCCTTTTTGTGATAATTCAACAATGGTATCAATGGATGATTCATCATCTCGTGAAAGATTAAATAATTCATCACGTATATCAGCTATTCGAGAATTAATTGAAACTGAACAACGTTATGTTAATGATTTACGTATTATTGCTAATGAATTTATTAAACCGTTAAGTAATGGCCGAGTTTTAAATGATTATGAAATTGAACAACTATTTAGTAATTGGTTTAGTTTAATTGCATGCAATACTGTTTTTCTATCGACATTAGAAGAACAAGTACGATACAAAGAGCATAGTCTCCCACCCGATATTGAAGTATCTATGCGAACATCTCGTTCGGTATCGATGTCAAATATTTCAATGGTTACACCGGTTAGTCTTCAGTATGTCTCATTTTTTTTTCTCATGTTACATTAATTTTTAGACTCCAACTGTTCCGTTTGTCGAAAAACGTCCTCGCTCATTGACTCCTCATCTTTATGATTCGCCTCCTGGTGGCAGATTATCTTATCCTATTGAAAATGAATGTCATCAACGTTCCGATGATAATATTGTTCCTCAATTGTCACATTTAGCATCATCCATGACTATAGATCAATCAACAAGAATAGGTGAAATTCTTTGTTCCTATTTACCATATATGGCTGATACTTACTTTGAATATTGTAATTGCCGTTCACAAGCAAATAAGTATTTACAATCAAAAGTTGAATTAAACGAACAATTCCGCTCATATTTACAAGCTTTTCAAAGTAAAACCGGTGGTTTATCATTAAACAGTTTTCTAACAAAACCAATACAATGTGTTACACGTTATCCATTGTTAATCGAAAAAATCCTTAAACATACACCCATAAATCATCCTGATTATCAACCTATACAACAAGCATTTGAATGTGCACGCCAATTAAATAAACGAATTAATAAACAAATAAGTGAGCAAGAAAATAGTGTACGTTTAGATTGGTTGCAACGTCATATTACATTAAATACAGATGAAACGTCTGCAGATGGATATATATTTGATGAAGTATTAAAATTTAATTCTATGACTAAATTTCATATACAACGACAATTACTGTTGCATGGCCTTTTAATGAAGGTTAACCGAAGTTACAATTTAAGATCTAGTCTATTATTCAGATTTTTATACATTTTGTTTAGGTATCGAGTGGAAAAGAATTAGTAGCATTTTTATTTAACGATTTTCTTTTACTTTCAACTATAAAAATATCGTCACATAATTGGCAATCACAATTATTTGAATCGAAATCAAATTTACAATTAAAACTCTATCGATTGGTATTTTAATTCATTGAACCGTCTATTCTATTCACATATATTCTTTATTTTTAAGCCATTATTATTAGCCGATATCGTTCTTGCACATGAAATGCTCAATGATCAATTCAGTTTTTCTATTCGAACGAAAATTCATGAAAAACCATTACTTTTAAAAACACAACACACTAATATTCGGTATAAAATCCCACATAAATCAATTGAATGGGTAGATCGTTTCTTTTGTTTTGTCTAGTACATTATGGGTAAAAACAATAAATACTGCTCTTGAAAATTATCAAACAACAGAGAAATCAATTCTAACCGATAAAACATTATTTACTATAAAAGGTAAAAATAGTTTATAATTTATAGATGATAATTCAACTATAATTATCTTGTCATCATTTAAGACCAAGAACCGAAATCTGCTATTGCTCGTCTTATTCTGATTGCAGTAGAAGCTCGTGATTTAATACCATCAACGACAAGCACTGAACGACATCGTAATTATTAATTAGTAGTATAAAAATGTCATGATTTTAATTATTTCTTCACTAGGCAGTTTAAATCCCTTTTGTGAAATAACGGTTGGCTCGTTAACATTAAGAACACCTGTCATGATTCGAACAAATAATCCAAAATGGAATGCAACTATGGAATTTGCTCTCTATGATCTTGTTGAAGATATTATCCATATAAATATATTTGATAATGAAGTTTTTTCTCCGAATGGTTTGTTCGATAGTTTTCATGCATGAGAGGGAGAGAGAGAAAAAATAAGTTTTTATTTTTTAGAAAATATTGGTCATACATCTATGCATCTGATAGATATCTTGCCGTTTGCATTTGACACATTTCTTTCTCAATCATCATCATCACATACATCTATACAAACAATCTATTTAAACAATGGAGCATCAATGGTCATGAAATGTGCTATTGAATTTCTATCGTGATATGAAATGAATTTTATTTTCGCCTTTCCTATTCTATTTGTACTTTTATGTCTTTGATGTGATTACTTTTTAATTCGTCCAAAACATGCATTTATACATGATTTATCGCTTAACATACTCAGATGATATTAAATAAGTCAATGAATCTAATTTTTTTTCTTCTTTCTGAAATACATTATTCTATTAACCAAAACTACTTGTGATTTCTATTTTCGTTTTTCTACCTTGTTATCTATCTATCCTTCGATTTTATGTTATTTCTATTCTTTCCATCTATTATAGTAAAAAAAAGACGTTTTCATAAGTAAAAAATGCATTTACAAACACACACACACATTAGAAGCGCAGATTTGATTGTGTGAGGTTCTCGTTTGGGGATGTGTCAAATGGCTTTAACCTCCGTTTCCTACGAGGGTTAAATTGACGTTTGAGGGATACTAGTCTGTTCTCTAGGGAGAAACTCACAATAAATATCCTACAGTGACCTGATGATGTTGTGATGAAGATGGTGTTGGTCCGAGATAGGTTCAAAAAAGGGTTTTATTAATAACTATCAACTATTGATATAATATGTTGATGGATTGAGAGGAGCAAAAGAGGAAGATCAGGGATAGCAAATGGGAGACGAAAAAAAGGAGACAAACAACGGGATGTTGAAAGTTAAACAGAAGAAGAGATACTGAAGAGGAAACAAGATCAACTAACCATATATAGAGAAAAAAAGAAAAACGCAATAAGAAAAAAGGAACGACGTAAAAAGGTCATCATGATATTGTGATGAGCGATTTGATATTACGTTCATAGAGTTAGCGTCATAAGGTGACATCTGTTGACGCTAACAGATTGTATGGCATTTGTGCAATAGTCACCCTCCTGGTTATGGCAATTCAAGTAGTTTTAATCTTTCATTTCCCTTCGCAATTTCCATCAGTCGTTCTCGTGCTTCTTCTCCAAAACAATTCCAACGAATGTAGACCGTTGCAACTGTCTATATGTATAGACAAGATTGTACTAACAACTGCATGAATGGATATTACCGTGCAGTCGTCAGAGAGAGCATTAGCGAGGTGTGCTGCTCCTTTTTCTCGTATTTCATTATTTTGAAGATTGAGCGTAATAAGTGTCTGTGTGAAAAATTCACAGTTACTAAAGCAAAGTGTAGAGTAAAGTAAACTATATTTTACTCTGTTGTTTCTGAGAGCGTTGGCAAAACATTCTGCTCCGTGATCACGTATTTGATTTAATCTTAGATTGAGTGAGATAAGTGTCTGAGTAATAATTCGAGCTTCATAAAGCGTAGAGAGCAGCAGATGGATAGTCTATTACTGTGTTATTTATGAGAGTATTAGCTAAGTGTTGTGCTCCATTGTCACCGATTCGATTATTGCAAAGATCAAGAGTAGTAAGTGTCTACGTAGAAAATCAAAATTGACCAGGTGAATTTCACCAATTTATAGTGCGTTTTACTCTATTATTTCTTAGAGCAAAAGCAAGGTTTTCTACTCCTTCATCTTCAATTTCATTAAGTCTAAGGACGAATGAAATTAATGTCTATATGTGAAACGTGAATTTTAAACGAGTCATATAAATGGAGTATTACTGTATTGTTAATGAGAGCATTACCAAGATGTTGTGCTCCTCGATTTCCGATTTCGTTATGGCCAAGATCAATTGAAGTAAGTGCCTGTATTTAAAATGGCCCATTGAGATAACAAAAAAGATGATTATAAAACTGTAGCTTACTGTGTTGCTTGTCAGAGCGTTGCCAAGATGTTGTGCCCCTAGACCGCTTATTTCATTACATTCAAGATTGAGTATGGTGAGTGTCTATGTACCAATCGATAATCTAAAAAAAAAGAAGATGATTATTAAATAGTGTATTACCTTGTTGTTTGTGAGTGCATGGGCAAGATGTTGTGCTCCTTGATCTCCGATTGAATTTTCGCTCAAATTAAGTGTAGTGAGCGCCTGTTTTAAAATTAGAGATCGACAAGAGGAAAAAATTAAGAAACGTATTTACGTTGTTGTTTGTGAGAGAGTCGGCTAGATACACAGCTCCTTGGCTCTCAATTCCGTTTTCACTTAGATCAAGGATACGCAGTGTCTGAATGAAAATCGAACGTAAGCAACATGAAGATGATGATGGTTATTACTTTGTTTTGTTTGAGTCCAGCGGCTAGATATTGTGCTCCAGAAGTACCAATTTGATTTCTTCCAAGGTTAAGTATGGTTAGTGTCTGCGTAAAAGTCATAGATAAATAGAAGAAAGATGAATAGCACATTGTCTATTACTGAGTTGTTTCTCAAAGCAGCCGCGAGATATTTTGCTCCGTTGTCTTGGATTTCGTTAGCACAAAGATCCAGTGCAGTTAGTGTCTATGTTAAAGAAAAACGTAGAGTTACAAAATAAGAATGAATACCGATTTATTTTGCATTACAGTATTGAATGCGAGACCATGGACCAGATTTTGTGCACCTAGTTCTTTGATTTTGTTGCTTTGTAGATCGATCATAACGATAGCCTACTCAAGAATTAGAGATTGAAAAGATCAAGATGAATGGAGAATTCTTTAATACAGCATTATTTGCGAGAGCATTGCCAAGATGTTGCGCTCCTTGATCTTCAATCCCATTATCACTAAGATCTAATGTGGTAAGTGTCTTCAAAAAAATCAGACATTAATATAAAGAATAATCAATAGTAATCTATGTAATACTGCATTTTTTGTTAGAGTGTTGGCAAAATACGCTGCCCCTCGGTCTCTAATTTGATTGTTGCTAAGGTTGAGTGTCGTCAATGCCTGGATGAAGGATGAAAATCGTCAAAACGAAAATTTGTTTATCGTGTAGTACCGTATTGTTTAGAAGAATATCAGTAAGATATTTTGCTCCTTGATCTTCGATAGAATTGCATTGCAAGTTAAGTGTCGTGAGTGTCTGTATGCAAAAAAAAATAAATTAATAAGTGAATTATGCACTATATTGAATCCTCTTTTACTGTGTTATTTTTAAGAGCAGCGGTAAGATAGGCTATCCCTTGGTCATGGATTTTATTATCCGCAAGATTGATTGTAGTGATTATCTATTGAAAAAATACATAGAGATCAATAAGGAATAGGTAATCGATAAAAGCTCATTGACAGTATTGTTTGTCAGAGCATGTGCAAGATGTTGTGTTTTTCGGTCGTTAATTTGATACTCGCTAAGGTCGAGTATGGCGAGTGTCTGTTCGAAAATAAAGCATACAGACTTGATTTCTCAATTTTCATTTTCTGGAACGAAAACAAAATTTGAAATCCTTCAATATCGACTGCCCAGTTATTTGGATAGTTCTCTGTTGATTCTATCTACATTTATGTTTCATTTCACTTGAAGTCAACTGAATCTTGCAATTCTGACGGATTTTTCTTCAAACGTCGAAACAAAAAAAAACTGAAATAATCATTTCTCGTATGCAACTATGTTTTTGTGAAGATCGATGTATAATGGTATAAGAAAAGTGAAATTTACCTGATATCGATGATATGCATCTGTTATATAATTTAGTCGCTGACAAACATTACGAGTTGAACATAAAAACGTGAAGTCATCGAGGTTATCCAAAATGCGATAGATAAGTTCGACAGGTAATGTCAAAAGAGACGAAGTAACATCGCGAGACATTATTGTTTGTTTCTTTTAAAAAGGTTTATTTGTATCAATGTTACCTTAACTGCATTGATGATTTGTTTTTTTTATTTCGTTCGCATTTCAAAGAGAAGTCGCTCACATATGTATAATTCATTATCTGTAAGAATTTTCGTTACCGTTAAATTCATAAGCATCTCCTTCGGTTTTACTTTTCTTTTGTTCGTTTCGTTTTGACCTTGAGAACGGGGTGTGGATGTGTACAAAGAGACGAACTTGGGTTGTGATACTGAAATAAAGGATCAGCTACGCTACCAACGTTTTTCCTAAGTTGGCAGGGGAAATAATTCTCACCTGCATACATAAACGTTTAGACCTAGATCATGCACTACACAATCACACTCACACCGAATATTTAGGATTCGAATTCTCTTATTTGTCCGATGATCCCTAATGAAATGGATACCATCTCATAGTAAAATAAATGAGGAAACATCGGATTCGCATCCGATTATTACGTGTACTGCAAAAACTGAGTCGATTTATATATGCTTTGAATAATTCTGAGGAAAAACATTATTTTTGAAAAAAATCCCTTTACCCTCAACTTTTAAATAGATCTTGCGTATGAATTCTGTGGAATCTTGTNCTGAGTCGATTTATATATGCTTTTAATAATTCTGACGAAAAACATTATTTTTGAAAAAAATCCCTCTACCCCCCCCCCTCCCGCCCATTGACGGATCCTTCTCATCTTCGAACTCGACTGAGATATTGATGCGATCATTCTGTGTACAAAATTTCAAGACAATTGGATGAGGCTTTCAAGAGTTATCGTGTTAACGGCCAGACACACTGACCGAATCTAGATTGCACTTACTTTTTGAGTACACAAAAGTAAAATAGTCGAGAAAATACGAGTAATAATGTTAAAAAAATTTATGAGTTAATTTTTTAACTCGTTCTATTCTTCTGAACTAAACTGTTTGTTTAATAATTCGCAGCATGAATTTTCTATTTCTAAAGATTCTTCAACGTAAAAACTTGAATGCTTACAACGACTCTGTAATTATCATTACGACTAGATACCATGAATGAATATGTTTATGTTGAGATGAAAAGCAAAATACTTTTCTTGTTTTCCTTTCTGTTGAAATAAAACGATGGTGTATTCGACTTATTTACTTTCTCTCATTGATCTTAAAATCTAAACCGTTTTTTTGAACTTTGTATTTCATATGAAATGTTAAATGCTTCTCAACACAAAATACTTCAGCGTTTTCATGCTGGAAAAATATATGCATACACTGTAGATGACGCGCTCACACTCGGCTTCGAAAAGTCACGTTATCCAACGATATACGTATATTGGGGCTTGAACAGAACAAATATGTTTGATCTCTTACTTTTTTGAGTAGATAAAATCTCCTCTGTAAGCAGCTTACTTTAGTAAACATTTTTTTCTCCTGAGCCATATTTTGGATATTTTTTGAAAATAATTTTCCAACATGAATCATTTATTTGCATTGCATAAAACGCATCATATGTCTTTCTTTTCGTTTCATTTATCAACATTTGTCTTTTTTCGCAACTACTCGCAGCATGGCGACGGCAACGAATTATTCTTGTAACATCAAAGATTGTAAAAAAAGAGCGACAATGACGTGCTTGGGATGTCCAGATTTATTCTATTGCAGTCCACATCATAAGGAGCATCGTAGTAAACTGAATACAGATTTGCAAGACTTGACTGATAAATGTAATGCGTTTCTCGACGAATTCGAAACACAAGTACAGGATTCACAAAAACATGCAGTAATGAAAATTATTGACGAATGGGAAACGAAATCGATTGAAAAAATTAAACGACTAGCACAAGAAACCAGAGAGGAATTGATCCATCATGCCAAAAAATTTATTCCTGGTGTAAAAATGCAATTGATAAGCTTAAGTACTGAAATTCGCCAAGATCCTGATGATGACGGATTCGTGGACACTGATATAGAGAATTGGAAGAAAGAACTACAGAGACTAAAAACAATACTAAACAATCCACCTGATTTTACTGTTCGACAAGATTCCACAGAATTCATAAGCAAGATCTATTTAAAAGTTGAGGGTAAGTTGAGAGATAAAGAGAAAAAACCGAAGTAAAGCAACATGTTTTATGTGAAACTTCTTATGCGTCTCCTAAGAAATTAGAAACATTTTATTCTTTAATTAAGGAAAAGTCCATACTGAATAAACATTTCTAAATCCTATTTGTGTATTTCTTTTGTAATCTGAAAGTACTTCAACTAAAGATTCTCATTGCATATGATAAGCAGGGTGTATGAATGGATCGTTTTTCCAGTCACTCCCTATATAATTTATCTCTAATTTAAATGAATATTGTTTATTCAATACAATTATTGCTCAATTAAATATACATCGCTTCCATTCACGTTTTGACTGAAAAAAAGTCAATAATATGCAAAATCTAGCATCATATTTATGTTTTTATATGATTATCCCAACTAAAATGAGTTATAATCCGAAAGATTGCACATCTCTCTTTTAAACTATTCGACAGTATTATATTATCTATAGTAAACATAATCTTACTCAGATCCTGATCTCATAATCTTCATTCATCATAAGGCACGTCGTTCTCTATGGTAGTCTTATTTTAGATGAGAAAATGAATGATAATGGAAAAAATAGTTGAGTATATAAATATCATAAGATATGTCTAAATTCTATCGAAACCTTGATAGTTATGTATATTTTCAAACTTTTCGTCATCGTCGTCGAGAAACAATGAAGACAAACAACTAATAATAGAATCAGATATTCAAATATCAGGAAATAGATTTCTCTTTAAATATTCTTCTAATCAAATGATCAGTATACTCAACAAGTCTGTCATATATAATTATCAATGAATAAAGAAGTATAGACTATTATTTTCTCTATCGTTCTCTACCAGTTATCAATGAAGATTTATACAGAAATTGAGAAAGTCAAGGTTCAAACTCAAGAAATAAATTACATATGTAATATCTAAATCATGATACTTGCAGATTAGTATTATTCACTTTATAATATTTTCATGGCATAAACTACAAAGTTATAAAAGAAAACGTTTTTCGATATTTTTACTGTGTTATAGACGTGATGTATTTCAATCCATTCGATTCTCCATTCCTGATTCTCTATGGCTCAAAGTGTATCAGGAGAAATCAATAATTTCCACGAAATATATCATCTCGAGTGAAGAAAAAAGTAAAATTCAATTCTTGTGAAGAATTCAGAATTTCAAAAAGCCAATCTCATGAGATTTCGCATTTATAAGTCTTGTGAAAATTTCTCATACTTTCTTTGAATAGAAAACCTTTGACAGAAATCTATTGATTTTCCATGTAGGTTTAACGTAGTCTTCCCTACAGTTCTCTAAAGATTATTGGGAATAATCTGTCGGAAAATCTTGAGAATTTTCCCTACTTTCGGAATTATATGAGACTGGATCACATTATTTGAGAGTACAAAGCCTATAAAAATATTCTTCTTTCTTAGTAATACATAAAACTATTGAGGAATGCATGTATTCAATACATGAATTACCCAGGTGTGTAGTGCAGTGGGACTACAAAGTGTAGTCGTATTCAAGCAACTCTCAATGGATTTTGTTGCGGATAAATTTTACGATATCTTATCCACCAGATTAGCGACGATTTCTCGTTTATTCTTTTCACATTTCTATCGCGTCTTTCTAACACTACTACAAGAGAGAGAGAGAGAGAGAGAGAGAGAGTAAGAGATCTCCTGTATTTTTCGTTTTCTTGTAGGTATGTCCAATATTCCTGCTAATGCCAAATGGACACAGGACGGAATAACTGTTGCTGGAGGTAACGGGAAAGGTAGTGCAACTAATCAACTCAGCAGCCCTTGGGGTCTCTTCTTTGATGATGATCAAACGGTGGTTATTGCTGACCACGGGAATCAACGTATCATCCAATGGAAGAAATATGATACGACGAATGGACAAGTTGTTGCTGGTGGCAAAGGTGAAGGAAATGAATTGAATCAGTTGAAATGGCCAACTGATGTATTGATTAACGAAGAGACGGACAGTCTTATTATTTGTGATTACGGGAATCGACGAGTTGTAAGATGGTCTCGTCATAGCAACGCAATACAAGGAGAGATCCTCATCGACAATATCGATTGCTTTGGATTATCTATAGATGACCAGAGATATCTCTACGTTTCTGACCACAAAAAACACGAAGTAAGACGGTATCAGTTGGGAGACAAGAATGGCACTCTCGTGGCTGGTGGTAATGGCGAAGGTGCGAATCTCAATCAACTCCACCAGCCGAGACATCTCTTTGTCGATCGACAACAGAATGTTTACATATCAGACTGGCAAAATCATCGTGTAATGAAATGGCATAAAGGTTCAAAAGAAGGCATTATCGTCGCTGGAGGTCACGGCAATGGGAATGCTCTGACACAATTGAGTTCTCCGCACGGACTCTTCGTCGATACGTTGGGAGCTCTCTATGTAACAGACACGATGAATGATCGTGTAATGCGTTGGCCTCAAGGAGTGAAGCAAGGCACTGTAATTGCGGGTGGAAATGGTCGAGAAGCAGGAGCAAATCAGTTCAACCAACCCGTTTGTTTATCTTTCGATCGACATGGTAATCTCTATGTCGTCGATCGTTTGAATAATCGTGTTCAACGATTTTCTATCAAATAAGACTTGTGAATTGTTTTATTCGTTTTCTATTTCTTTTTGCTACTTTTGAAATAGATGAACAAAAAAGAAGAAATTTTCTTTCTTTTTCTCTCTCTCTCGTTGAAAAGAAAAGAAAAAAGAAGTGAATTAAATAAAAATGTGTCTTTTGGCAAAATATTTATTTAAAATAAAAAAAAAGAAATTGAGTTGAGCCTAAAACAGAAAAAATTAGACTTTGATTCAAAAATTGGATGTTTGCTATGAGAAATTCCTTGGCAAGTATAACTTCCGAAGGTGACATTTTTCGGGTGAGAATAATTGATAGACATACATCATTAAACGTTATCTAAACATGCGCAAACGTGGGAATAAATTCAATTGTAATATCTTCCATTTCTGTGTATGAACCATACTTACTGAATATAATTTATTCGAACTGACAAAACAAAAAATACAATAAAATCTATTAACAGGGACTCAAAAGAAATCTCATTTAATTATTCCTTTTATAGTTTCAATACTCGATTGTTTCAGTAGTTTCTTTATCGTAAGAGTGTGGGTGTTTGGTGAAAAAATGTAACACTCTGATTCACATCCACATTCTTTAATTGTTCCATTACTTTGTTGAATGATCAATCTTGAAGATCTACATTTGTATCTAGTAGTAGCAAGATTCGATACGAGGTATATCGATGGCATTCAATTATGAGCAATTTCTGATTTATATGACACGATGAAAGAAATTTACATTTAATATCGAGACAATCGTCCAGAACAGGAAATTTTGAGTTGAACGTCAATCGAATGAATATATTCAACATAGTAATTTCATTGGAAGAAGTTATCAACAAGTAGCTTGATATGTTTCTACTGCTTACACAAGCATATCGGACGGTGAATGCCATATCTATTCACTTCCGTATGAGTTCGATTATTATTTTAAGCTCGAAAATTCTTTTGAAGGTGGTATGCTTAATAAAGTTCGACCATTGACAATGGTTGATAGAATTCCGATAAAATACGAATTATTTCAACACACATCTCATGACTTTGTTTTCTCGAATTTTTCTCGATATCAAATGTTCGTGCAATGGACGAAATTGTTTCAATAAAAGAAAATAGTTGAAGATAAAATAATTTTGATGTAAACTATGCTGTAACACAGAATACGTGTATAAATAACGGGTGACCCATAAACTTCTGGCAGCTTTTATTCGATTCGAATATACGAGTTTTCAAACAGCTATTACTTTCTTCAAGTAAATTTCAATGAAATTCAAACAATTTCTTCTAAAATTAAAATAAATAAAAGAATCTTAGGTTAGAAAATTTTATTTAACGTTCTTCCTTTTCTTTTATATCTTAAGTCATTAGAAAGAATTAATTTTGTTGTAAAATGTAGTTTTTATCTTAAGTTTTTGCAAATTTCATTATTTGATAAAAATTATTTGAAGGCAACAATGATTTTGAGTAATAATATATTTACCTACGTATATCGCAATTACATCGCATACAAGTTTTTGAAACTAAATAACTGAAATAGATAAAAATACAAGTTGATTAATAAAAAAATTATCGACTAGAGCATCACAACTGCGATGATTTTTGGACTAAGTCCGATGAAAGTTGTCACTAGTCTGTATGTTTCTACATACACGTATTTACTTAGTATGCTGATAAAAAAAGTCAGAATGAAGACTCACTGTACTTGTTACTGTTATATGTGAATTTCATTCTCAGACAAAAATATTCAAATTAGAAGCTTTTTTATTAGGAAGTGGAAAAATTTGTAAATAGAAAAAGATGTTCTACGAAATCTTTTTTCATCCCTACAAAATAAAGTTAATGATTAAAATTACGAGTATGTACTCGCTGTCTATTTCTTGAGGCAGCTCTCTTTGCTGTGATTCTTTGTCTGAATTTATGAAGAATTTTCCTAAAGAACAGTAAAAAAAATCGTCCATTAAAGTAACCGCAGTAGAACTAAGGATACTGTAGGAGTGAATATACTGTAAAGAATCTAATTCTTTGAAAATTACAGTAATGTTAAAGACTACTCTTTAGTCGTTCTCCTTCGCTTAAGCAAATATTCGTATTAAAGTTAAAAATCACCTAGTAAAAGTGTATATGTTAAAAGACAGCTGATAATCTCAAACTTCATGGTAAATTAGTTTTAGACGTTGATAAATATTAGCCTCTGTGCAATTGAAACGACGACATAATTTTACTCTATCTAAAGCAAGAAGAAAGTTTCAATTTTTTAACAACGGCATATATCTCAATACTAATTACTACCGTTCTAAGCTGTATGCACAGTTGAGAAAGTTCATTCTATCCACATTTTATTTTGCTCAACAAATAAATTGTAACGACCACCATCAAAAAAAATCGTATGTTATTCGATTTAAATCAGAATGACATCTGGCAACTGTTCTATTGAATTTAAGTTTATGTATTCTATTATGAACACTTTATAAGTTTTAATCGATTAAATTTGAGATTATATTTGCATTCTTCGACCAAAACGAATAGAAAATCGTATATCATCATATTTAACGCCATCTACTGTTTTTTTTTCTTTTTATTTAATTGAAAGATGTTGCTCTGGCAGGTCGATGTTACCATCAACCCACACGATTTCGTCATCGCAACATGTATTTGATCAGTAAAGATCATTTACCTCTTGGTAAGTTTGTAATAAGCAATTTTTCTCGTTGCGATGCGGGGCACGATATCTCTTCTGTCCTTACGCGTTTCATTTTTTTTTCTGTTCTGTGCGAGCCTTGGAGTGAGCGATGTGTCATTGCAGCCGCAATTTCGTGCTTTCCTATCCTGCAAGATAGGCATCGCTTCTCGGCCTTTTCGGCTAAGATCAAAGTGTAGTATCTGTTCTCGTCGGTTTGAAAGCCGGCGCTGGTCCCATTGGGGCCAGGCTCTTTCAAGCGGATTTTTGGACATCGGCCAGGATCACCCGGGTTCACTCGGACCTGTGCCACGGATCGTCTCGACACTGCAGTGCCGTCGAGTTCGGTCCACTCCCGTCTCCTTCGGGAAACGGGAACCCTCTTCTTATAAAATATAAAATAAAATTCATTCACTACTGTCTAACATTACATATGTGATACATGTAGAATAGTTTCATGGCAATATATTAGTTGTAAAATATCAAGTTCGATATGTTTTCACGAATTCGTTAAATAGAAAAATTAGATTTATTAATGAACATACTATAAGTTATCGAAAATAGTATTCATCTTCAAAGGAAAAAAAAACAATCATACTTTCATTTTGAAATCTTTCAAATTTCAATGCTCTAAAGGAATGAATTCTTGATGATTTTAATAATACATTAACAAGTACTCGATTTGTTTCATCAATCAGTTTACCAACATCAAATGCCAATGTTCAATCGTTTTTGTTTTCTTATACAATTCATATTTTCTTGGTCTTTAAAATACGATGAATCTCCACCAGTTGATCAACCGTCATCATTTGACATATTGGATTTCTGTTATGCTCTATTATCGAAACATTAGATCTGTTTGTCAAAGGGATAAATATAAACTAATACCTAAAAATATAGCAATCCATATCTAATCTTAAAATAAATTTATATCTAATATAGGATGAGTTCATATCTAATTTATTAAGTAACCCTACCTAACAACACAAAGTTATATCTAATTAATAATAAAAGTAATAGAAAAAAATAAGCATACAATTATCAATTATAACAAAAAAGACAGGGTAAAAAAAGAAAACTAATACACAATTAACGCTGTTTTAGAGTCTATTGCATCAGTTTTATCATCAACTGATAATCCTTCTGCCATTTTTTAATGGTATCTTTTTTAATATTTTTTTAAACTAACTTGTTTCTATCACTTATCGTCATTCCTAGCTCATCTATACTCTTTCAATTAATTGATAAGTACTTCTCAATTATAGATTACGTTCAAATTAATTAGATAAGTCGATTAATTGATTGATAATCATTTGTTAAAATTGATAATATGTTAAATTAAAAGATAGAACATTTTTTAATTCAGACATGTAATTGATTTAAAAGATGTTTGACTACAAAATTAGATCAAACAATTTTTTAAAAGGTGTTTCTTCACCGAAATAGATACTACTGTATTAATTTATATATGGATTGCTATATTTTTAGATATTACATTAAATGCATGCCTTTGTCAAACGTAACTCTATGCAACATTGAATTTATGACATGAAAACATGGAATTTTCTTACAGTTAATTTTCTTTATGTTTTAGTGTGAATATTATTATGTTGATTACATTCATTAATTAAACAACAATTAGCAATCAATGATGCATTTCAAAGTCGAACAATCTATATTCATAGTTTGCATGTTCTTAGAATGGTCTGAGGAGGTAAATTTTTTGTTTCTATAGAATTAATTTTAGTAGATGCTTAATCCAAAGCTGAAAAAACTTGATAAAGATATTTGTTATGTATTTTTAGCTGCTTATCAGATTTTAACTATGGATAAAAATAGAAGTCAAGTAAATAATTGAATGAGAAAAGCATTGAAGCAAATGGTTTAATTTATTTAGAATTAGTTAAATGATTTATTAATGTTTGTTCAAAAGTGTAGAGAAAGTTGAAATTTTTTTTCGATTTTAGTTCAACAAATAATTTGAAATGTGATTTATCTGAAAAGAATTTTTCACTTGATATTTTAATTAAATACATGACACATGAATCAGATAATCGGTCGTGATCACATATATTTAATTATATTTTTCTAAAGTTTCGAATTATTGTCGATTAGCTGTTCTTCTTCATCTTCTTCTTCAACCAAAAAATTATAAGTATCAAATGAATATTGTAATACTTTTACGACAATTAACAGTAGAAAAATAGCTTTTGTTGAATCCAAAACATTATCCATTGGTCAGTGTATTTTTATTTAGTATTTGAAAAACAAGTTATCGTCAGTGTGTTGTTTATATGCTAGCAAATACTCGTATAGTATAAGACTTGATGAATTTCATCCTGGCGACAAATTATTTGATTTATTTGTAGATGCAGAAATCTTAACAAAAGAATATGTTAATGTAAAGTGTATGATCGAATTTCTTTTTCTTTGTTTCTATAATTCTCGGTTTACAGTGAAAGTTTTCTTCTTGTTCTGATTGACTTTTGAACAATGTATTAATATTTTCAAGTATTGAAAATCTATACAGTAACTATGATGGATGGCTTTGTCATGAAATTTCGATGTCAACATATGTATGCTAGTCTTTGCTGCTGATGATGATGAGTAACCAGATAAGCACGACATTTGTAGTTTTATTCGATTATACGTTTTTAGAAAAACCCAACTACACACAAATGTATATATTCTAAGCTTGAAAATATCTCTTCTGTTTCGATTTCAATGTTGATTTTTCATAGAATAACTCTAAATAATGAAGAGATAGTTTAGTAAAGAATAAGCTGATGAATTCTTAAATGTGTTTTTAAAGAAATGAAAAATAACATGGTAGTCTATATAGATTAGATTATTTAGTTTCAATTAAACTTTTTTCATCTACATTAACTTTTTATATTTATTTTTTCAAATCTATAACGAGATAACTTATGTTATACAAACCCATTTCAATAATCTTGGTTTATTGAGTAAAAGTAGACTAACGATTTTAACATCCGTATTTTTGCATCTCGTTTAAAACAGTACTATACGTGTGCTCAAGTTAATTTTTTCATAAATAAGAATGATTTAGAACTATGATGAAACTTATCTGTTATTCATTGACAGTGACATACATTTTTCACTGGAAAATAACGAAAATTATATATTGAATATCTTCGTTTGATGGGAAACTACTTTGATTATGAAAATAAACAAATGTGCATAGATTTATGAGTTAATGAAAAATATTTTAAATTAAAAAGTTTCTTCTTGAGAAGTCGAAAAGGACCGCTTTACAATTGATTATTTTTGATAGGCAAAAAAAGGAATCAAATAATATACGGCTCATATCATCGGCTAAAAAGGGATAGTTTTCGTACGAGTCTATTACAAAATATGAGTCCAACACTGTTGGAGATAAAAAAAAATCAATCTGAGCGTGTAGGATAAACGAATGATAAAATTTCAATTTTGAGAATACGACGTAAAAAACTTTCATCTAAATAAATATGAAAGATTTTTGAATGTTTTTCGTGGTAGCTTTTTTTGTAATCTATCTTTGTTCAGAAGTATGACCACAATTTGATATTGCTTCTCGAAAGATATGTCCTTTACTGGAAAAACTTGTACACCCTCATCGCTTCTAGATCCTAAATCCCAATGAGAAAATGTTTTGTTCGTCAACAACGCATTTATTTATTCGCATTGAATTTTCATCGTAATAAAATAAATCTTACTGCCACTACTTTCTTTAATAGTATTTGATATTTTTCTTCCAGATTTCGACAGACTTTCATTTCAATAAAATGATTAGAACAACAACAATCGTGATGAGTTGCATCGCTTTCGTTACCTTAACCTTTATACAATATAAAACTGAATAGTTACAAGTATTACAGTTAAACGTGTTTGATTTAATGTAACCTTCATACTGTATTCAGTTCGTATCAACTAATATCGATCAATAGCCACTCAACTAACACTGAGTCAATGAAATAAATAGATGTAATACAAATGTTAAAACAATACTATTTTAAACAGCTTTTTCGGATTCACATTATTCTTGAACACATAAATATATAAAAGGATTAATTTACCCTAGAACTAGATTTCACTTGAAAATCTCAATTGAGAAATCGAAAACTATTTACTTACAATAGATTATTTAACTATTGCAGAAATTAGTATGTTTATTTCAATTCAGTTAGATGTTGCCAATTTCTGCACATGAATAATCAAATTCTTATTCTAACGACTACAAATTGAAAATGACTTGCTTGAAAACACACGTATCTTTTAACTGAACAGAAATTATGATGCTTGGCTTATCAAAGTTTCAATAGAAGATATTTAAAATCATCTAAAGATCCCAATTTCATTTTTTCAGCTTTCGACAGACATATAATCATCATGAAACGACTTATCATTTGCGATTGCGAAAAAGCATATTTTTTATTTTCTATCAATTTACTGGTTTCTTCGCATTATAGCTAAAATAGTTCAGTAGAAAAAGTAAAATATATCGAATGAAGAAATTCTTTAGTTTTTGTTTCCAAGATAATTGACTATTACGAACAAAACGAGACGTTTCCGAAGAAGAAATTTAATTTTCTCAAAATTCATGTAAATTCCACGTCAAACACCCAAAATACAACAAAAGCTGGAGGATATTTTCTATTGGCACTTTTAGCTGGTATTCATACTGTTTCATTTTGTTCAATTATTTTAGTTCTAAATGAAATTCTAGCTTGATCACTAGTTACAGAATTATCATTTATATTATCTCATTCATACTTTTACTCTTAGAAATGGATGAAAGACGAGATTTTTTGGTGATATCCAATACTATCATCAAGTTTAGCTTTTAGTTTTTTCATAAATTTTCTTCGAGTTATTTTATTACACCCGGGCAATTTGGTACATTACTTTAATCTTTCATATATGTTCATCGATATCCATTTCATTCATTAGCTCAATGGCGTTACCACCATCTATAACAGCCAGATGAGCGTGGGAAGCCATTGCTTCGTCAAAGACCATTGCTAGTCTATGCAAAGGACAGCTTTCGTTGATGAAAAGTGTAAAGACAATCCGGGTGTCGTGCCCCACACATGAACGAGAAAAAATGCTTGTTACAACTTACCAAAAGCTTTAGATTAATTTTAAGAAAAATGGATCAAGATGACGATCAATATCGTTGGGAATCAGGTTATGAACGAACTTGAGAAGTTATTCAAGAAGATGAAAGTGGCTCCATTGCAGCTACTGGTAATGCTATCAATCAGAACAATCGACGTAAAGAATTAGCACAATTACCTAATGTTCGGCTGGGAATGATGCGTCATCGCTATGTAGTACTCGATATGTCAGATGCTATGAAAGATCAAGATCTTCGGCCAAATCGACTATTTTGTTCTATTGAACTTTTAAAAGAATTTATATTTATGTATTTTGATTCAAATCCAACTATCTCAAATAGGCTTAATAATCACACGAAAGAAACGGTCAAGAAAAAATAAGTGAATTAGCGGGTAATCCACGTTCACATGTTGCACTACTCGAACAAATTAAAGTATCAAGAATGTGAAGGCGAAGCATCAATACAAAATGCACTTGAAATGGGATTACAAACGTTAAAACATATGCCAAAATATTCTAGTCGTGAAATGCTTTTTGTGCTGGGCTGTTTAACAACATGTGATCCAGCAAATATTTTACAAACACTAAAGATTTGTAAAGAGAACGAAATACGTTGCTCAGTGATTAGTCTCTCGGCTGAAGTTCGAGTTTTTCGGAAATTATGCGTTGATACTAAAGGCATATTTCATGTCATAATGGATTCAAGTCATTTTCAAGAACTATTACAGATTCATTCTTGACCACTGCCAGCTCTAGATAAATTCGAATCATCACTTGTACGTATGGATTTTCCTAAATATCGAACATATACAACATCGAATGCAAATATATCAACAACGTCATCGAACAGTGCAAAACACGAAAAAGCGTCCATGTGTATGTGCCATTTGGAACAACGTGGTGGAATAAATGGTTTCTCTATTGGTGACTATTTTTGTCCAACATGCGAGAGTAAATATTGGGAATTACCAACGGAATGTAGTATATGTCATCTAACACTTGTATCCGCACCACATTTGGCACGATCGTATCACTTTTTATTTCCAATCGAACAATTTATCGAAGTAACACGTGACGAATTACCAAGTCAGAAATGTTTTGCTTGTCAGCATGCATTCGATGAACAAAAACATAAGAGTATTTTTAAATGTACAAGTTGTAATAATATTTTCTGTTTCGAATGTGATCTTTTTATACATGGAACTATATTTACATGTCCCGGTTGTATACGTTATGCACAGTTGAAATAAAACGTAAGACATACATCAATGAAAATGTTTTTTCTAGATGCTATCTCGATCGTTGCGTAATCTATCGAAAGGAGTTTTCTTACAAAGAACAATGGCGACTGAGTCACCGTTTAAATCGACTATTTTACAAAATCAAGTTGCACTTGTAACAGGTGGTTCAAGTGGAATTGGTTTGGAAATTTGTCGTGAATTAGGAAAACATGGTTGCAGTGTTGTTATGATGGGACGACGAGCAGAGATGCTTACATTAGCAGAAAAAATGTTAACTGACGAAGGAATTCGAGCATTCAGTGTTCAAGGTGACGTTCGAATACCCGAAGATGGTGTACGAGCGATAAAATCGACTGTTGAAAAATTCGGCGGATTAGATTGTCTAATTAATGGAGCAGCTGGAAAGTGAGAATAATCATTATGAAAAAAAAAATATAAGGGTTTCTTTTACATGAGATGTTTCTAATTAGTTTTTTATGTGCTGCAGAAAATCTTACACCAAACGGTTTTAAAACTGTTCTCGATATTGATACACAAGGCACGTTTAATATGTGCCGTGCAGCATTTCCACAAGTAGATTGTTCTTTATTGATAATTATTTTGTTTTTCACTTATTTTTTTCGTTGTAGCTTCGTGAAAGTTCAAATGCAAATATTATAAATATAAGTACAACATTTCATTATGCTGCTATGTGGTATCAAGCACATGTCTGTGCAGCAAAAGCAGCTATTGACGCTCTTACTCGAGCATTAGCACTTGAATGGGGTGAATATGGTATTCGTGTGAATGGTATTGCACCAGGACCTATTGCAGATACAGCTGGTTTTGCGAAATTAGGCGGATCATTAATGGATTCAGATAGTTCTGAGAACCCCTTACTTGAAGCTATACCATTGAAACGAATCGGTACTAAATGGGATATTGCAATGTCAGTCTTGTATCTCTGTTCCACAGCCGGACAAAACATAACTGGCAGCATATTGGTTAATGATGGTGGCAATTGGCTATATAAGCCACAAATACTTGATCGTGAAACTGTTCAAAGTTTTTCACGTTCAGTAGAAAAGAAAAGTCGCCAGGCAGGTATTGCGACAAAATCAAAATTATAATTCATTTGTGTTGAAAATCTTCCTGTGTGTTGCTTTTTTATTGTTTATTAATAAGTAAACAAGCAAAAAAAATAATAAGGAGAAATACAATGTTGAACATATAATCACCAGATATATTTGAATGAAAAAAAAAAGAAGCGGAATGAAGACAAAGAAAAGGTGACGACGTATATATCTATGGATGTTTGACGACTAGTTAAACAACACACACACACACGCACGAGGAAAAACGATAAGAAACGAAAGATGAAAATGCTTGTCGTCTTAATTAATAAAAAAATTCAGGTAATTTTAAACATTAGGTACAGAAGAATGAAAATATGGTTGAGAATCTTTGACAAGTAAGGTATAACATACATCACATACACGAGAAGGGCGATTATGCGGACCAGTATAAACGGTTTTATTAGTACAATCTTTACATAGGACTTTACCTATGAAAATAGAAAACAAGACATCGTAATTGAAATAAATTATTTTACTGTAACTTACCACAATGACCTAGATAGGAAAAAAGAAAAGAAATTTTAATCCTGTTTTTTTTTATCGAACAATCGAATTACTTACGACAATGATGTTTACGCCAAGTGACAGAAAATTGTGAATGACAACGTTGACATTCTGGATGATCTTCTTCAGGTTGCCAACGTAATTCATTTTCTGAATTACGAATCTCTTCTAATTGTACCTTTCGGAAGTAAACAATGGCACGAGTTTAATAATCCAATATAGAATGAAAGGAAAAAGTAACTTAGCGTTAACTTACTAACATACTTGGAGCGTTTGGGAAAGCTTAACAAAATCATGTTGAACTACTTCATTATTTTCTAGGTCAATTTTTAATTTTTGAATTTGCACACGCAATGTTACATTTTCTTCATCAACTTGATCCTAAAATAAAACAAAAGTCAATGCAACTTCAATCATTTTATCTTTGTCTTTTCTTTTACCTTTGCTTTAGTAATCTGTTCAAGTTTTTCTTTGAGTTGATTTGTAAATGAATTAGCAACTGTTTTCGTTGCTTTTAATTCATTTACACGTTCTTCTAATTGCTTTTCAAGATTATTTTTCAAGCTCATAACACGTTCGTATTCAGTTTGTAGACTTCGTAAAACAACTATAAAAAAAAATAAATTCAATAAGAATAGTCGAACCGGATAAATCAATTTTTCTGTGTTTGAACCAAATCAAAAACAACTCATAATGATATACTAAGAATTTGATAGCTATTTCCAGGATTAGAAACATTTCTTCCTGGATAAAGAGTGCACACACACACATTTTCAAGACTTCACACGCTGCTAGAGTATGTTTACCCTTATGATCATGATTTATCTCTAACTCATTTCAAACAGTAAAAATCGAAATATTTTAGAAGACAGAAAAAATGTTCTTACTGATTTCATCTTTAGCTGCGTTCAAATCTCTATTCAGTAGATGCTCAATTTGTTCTCTTTCGCGCAAATCAGCTTTATGATTGTATTGCAATTGTTGAATGTCATTTTTTAATTTTTCTTTAATTTTTAATTGTTGAATTATTTGTTCACGTAATTTAACAATTAAACCCCATGCTTCCTTAAATAGAAAATTTTTATATAATCTAAACTTGAAGTTTTTTTTACTTCGTATGTACTGGGTGATTGTGATGAATAATTTAATAATTTCACTGTATCGTCATCGTTGGTGATTTTAACAAGCGAGGAATTTTCTATTTCTAATCGTTGAATATATAGATGTAATAATTCACGTTCTTTAACAAGTTTTTTTATGTTATTAACTTGTTCGGCAAATAGATTTTCATAATGTGATTTCATATCTTGTAAATCTGAATCATTTTTTTCTGTTTTTTGTGTTAAGTTTGTTAGCTAAAAATTCATAAATTTTCTCCTTAAAAAAATCAAATTCAAACGAGCAAAATTGATCAAATAGAGCAGCTATGACAAACTAAAAAATCGTTCTTTCAACGTCAATACCTGTGAATGTCTCAAATAATTCTGGAAATCTTTAAGAACATATTTCATTTTTGTCTCTTTTTGAATATATTTTTATTTTTGGTACTTACTTGATCAGTAATTATATTTGCATCTGACAATTGTTTTTCAATTTGTGAACGTATCTGTTGTTCTTTTTCATTTTCAGCTTTAGCTAATGATAAATCAAATAATAATTGAACATTTTCTTCTTGCTTTTGGATGTTTAATAAACGCAATTTATTATTTTCTTCACGTTGTTGAGAACATTTATCGCAACATTTCTGCGATAAATCCATTATTTGAGTTATCTATATAGTAAAAACGAAGATTTTTCGAGTGGCTTGAGTTTTTCTTTTTACTTTTCGTCCGTAGTTACTGCTCATCGGGCTTTTTCCTATATAGATGTTTGTACGTTGTGTATTATGAAGAAAGGAGAGAAGAAAAGGATAGGAGTAAGGATGAGGGCACTCAAACTATCATTATGGCAAATAGGACGCATATCTTGTTTTCTTTCATTGGTGCAGAACAAACCTGTGTTAGTAATTCGTCCCAATCGGAGTCAGTTTTATGATATCGTGCTGCACTCAGTTTTGTATCATCGTCTTTATTAGTAGTTTTTGTTTCTTGAGAAATTTCTTTTGATTGTGAATCATCAACTATCGACGAACTCGTATCCGATTGTTGTTGCTGTATTTGTGATGAATCAGTCGGCCTTTCTTTTGATCCAATGGTTTCTAAATATAATAAAAACAAAATAAGCGAATGAAATAAGACACAAATATGTGTTTGCATCAAGAATTAGATCAACTTCATTTCCCGAGGCAATAGCATGTATGAAGTTTGTAGTATGGTAATTTAATTTCAAGATCAAACTTCATGCAAAAATTATTGAAAAGAAATTCTCGATTATGTTTTTCTTTCATTAAGGGACGAAAAATGTGTTTCTTTGGATATTAACATTACCAGTTACAAATTTGTATTGATCTATGGTTAATACAGTTAATAATCGACGCATTTGTTCTAATTGCTTTTTTTCAAATGCAACAAAACGTTCGTGTGTACGAGCATAGATTTTTAAATATTTATCTCGTTCATCATAGGCATGCTTTCCAGCTGCTTGGCCTATGAAAATGATTAGAAATGGCATAGTACGAAACCAAATTCTATATCTATTACTTTCATTGAAATTAGCTGTTAATTCATGTAGTTGACTTTTAAGTTTTTCACATTGTATGTTAAGGCGAATAATTGCTAATTCATTTGAAGTACCGGATGATGTAGCATTAGATGAAGCAGATTCAAGTGTTGATTGATCATTCGAATCATCAGCTGCGTTATTCTATAAAAAAAAGACCAGAAATAAATTAAAGGTGAAACCAAATGTAAATTACTAGGTCAATTTGAAAGGTAACTGATAAAAGACATGAAATTCTTTTTTACTTTCTTCTAAAAAAAAATGTCCACGTAATCGAACTATCGTATTAGATTTTCTTTTGCTTCTATCAGCTTCATATCAAGGTCGTAAACAGGTGCATGTCTTTCGCACTGTTTAAAGTCAAGTATTATAATATTAGATATATATATATCTATATTTATATGCAACCTGTCTTACTTCTATCATTCGTCTTTTTCTATTCACCGAGTAAAATTTCACACGAAAGAAATAAAACTCATGACTGGCCGAAATCGAAATCAACATGTCGAAAAATTTCATTGGCATCTGTGGCTATTATTTGCCATTGAAAATTGGATACTCGATTTTGGTCGTCCAATTGCAATGTTAATATTTCCTCTTGAATGGTTTCCATTGAATTTACCAAGTGTAGGCGATTATTTTCATATGATATATAATGTAGTAACACCATTTATATTGCAAAGTTTAATTTTGAAAAGTCCGAAAAAAGTTAATCAAAGTTTATTTACAATTCTAATGACTATATTTGTTATGGGTGCAAGTATACATTTAGTTGGAGATTCAATTAACCATCGTTTAGTACTTAATGGTTATCAATTACATTTAAGTGTACGTGAAAATCCTATTATGCAAAAACTTGATCCACCAAGTTTAATAGATTCATTTGAATTACTCTATTTTTATGATGAAGAATTAGGTCATTATATGTGGTTTGTAGAATAATTCGAAAATTTGTTCATTCAATATTTTGTTTGTTCTAGGTATTTACCATATTTTATGTGTTTTCTAATGTTCTTCAATAGTACATTTGTTTCCGTGCAATCTGAAAAAGTCAAATCGTCAGGATTTTGGTTTTTAGCTTTATTAAATTCGACGTATTATTGGTATTTGGTTACAGAAGGACAAATAACACCATTGTTTATTGTAACAACCCTTCTTATGACAATAATCTGGTTATATCAACGATTTATTAAAAAAAATCATTTGGATGTAAATGGACGATTTCTTCTTTATACATTCCATATGACAATTCTATTAGTTGCTGGTTGGACAAGTCTCTTTTGGACTGATGAAGTATTAAGAACAAAATATGCATCAAGTTTAATTTATGTACCAGAACCGTGGTCGGTTTATTCATTATATGGGAAAAGATTTTTTTAAAGACAGAAATATTGATTCATTCGGGTTTGAAATCATAGAATAAATAAACAATAGAAACTAAAGTACTTACTGAAAGTTCATGATTGTCTTGTTCATCTGCTGGCAATGAGATTTTCACTTCTCGTGGCTAAAAATAAAATAATTCATTTGAAAATCCCTCCGCCTGTACAATTGGCGCTGTGACTATTCATGATCTTCAAAACAAAGCATTTTAGTTGGTGTAATCTATAAAAATTACAGCCTTCATCAATATTTTTTTGTGAAAATATTTAAACAAATTATTTACTCATGGGAGAAATCTGGTTACAAACTTCTGTTATTTTTTAATATCCATCGAAAATATATTAAAATATTTCTAACTAGTCTTCCCAAGCTGCTTTTTGTGTAAGTTTAATTTGAACTCATTACGAGGAACAACCATCAGTTCGAATGGTTCGCTACTCGATTTCTAGTACTGAAAACGAAATTAAAATTTTACTTCTATCAATTGATTGACTAAAGACTAAAGTATCGAATTTCATTGGCAAATGAAAAATAATCTATTGGAATACTTTTACAAAAATTCCAATGACAATTAAAAGAAACAAAACTTACTAATTCTTCAAGTTCAATAATTTTATCTTTTGCTTGTTTCAATTGAACTTTAAGTTGATTGATTTCTGCTTCAAGCGGAACTATAACCGACTTAAGCATTAATGTACTTTCTTGTGCTTTTCTCATGTCTTCTTCGAGATTTTCATTTTCTTGTGCTAATGTAGATTGACTTGATGTTAATTTATCACGTAATGATCGTGATATTGTAGCTATTACACTATCTCTATTCAACAAGCAAAGATAGAGCAACATTAATCAAGAGGAAAAACACAATTTACTTTTCATCGGCTACTTTCGATCTTAATTCATGATTTTCTTGTTGTAATAATTCAAATTTACGTCTGATTATATTCAATTCATTTTCATATTTTCCTCTCATATCATCAACACGAACACGAATCGTTTCTACAAGAAAAACAAAAGTAAAATGTTTGTTATTTAAACATTTCTTTTCGCAAACCTTCCATCAATATATTTAATGTTGCAAGTTCTTGTTGATGCCGTTGTTTTAGATCAGCTATTTCTGCTATTTTAGTTGAATCAGCAAAATCCACAACAGCTGTGAGATTGCTAAACTGTGTTTGTAATGATTGCAATTCTTGAATGTATCGACTATTTTCATCTTGCAATTTTGATATATAATTTTTGACATGATCGGGTGTTTGGGAAAAATCTGTTTTTAAACATTAAAAATAAACAGATAGTTCATAGAAGAAAATTCAAAATAAGACTTAATATTTTACCTATCATCTCTGTCATAGTTATTATTATTATTATTTATTACAGAATAGAAAATAAGTAACGTGTTGATCCAATCGAATCGATTATTTTCTTCTATATATTATATTATATTATATTTATTCCTTCCTAACCAACTAGATGACTAATAGGAACAAGCGAAAAAAGATGTCACTACAAACTAAATTGTTTGTCTTTATAGAATTTTTGGTTTTTTAAAAAGTTCTTTCATTTTGTGTTCTTCATCAAGTAGATGTTGAAAATAATTCTCTTGGAAATTAGCAATTTGTGTATGTTTAAATTGCCGAAGATCAGCCACTTTTTGTATCATCAGTACACGACGCTGTTGTTCAAGATGTTCTTGTTCTTGTCGCTGCTTTTGATGGTGCTCATAGCGAAGAATATTCAAGGCTTCACTATCAATATAAATCGATCTAGTAGCGCTAAATGTTTAGTGGGCTTATGTTACCGAGCATCACGTAATGCAGTTAGCTTTTCTTGAAGTGTTTCAAAATGTTGACGTTGATGATCTAGATCGTATTTTAACTGTTCAAGGTCCGTTGCACATGTTTGAAGTGATATAAATGCTGAGAGTAATGCAGTATCGCCAATAACATCACGATTACGTTGATCTACAGGGAGAAAAAAAAGAAGTTCATGATTATGAAATACGGATGAAAAGTAAATTTGTTAGAAGAGGCTGATCATCTTACGAAGATTGAATAAACAAATTTCTGTATTTAAAAGCAATTGATGATACAAAGAGATTCACAGATGAACTTTTCGGTACTTGAGTGTATGTGTAAAGAACTAGGGTATGCATTTGAGAGCCGTGTTTTTACTCTCGCACCGGATATCGACTTTCTATTTTGTTTAAAATTAATTGACAAAGACTCAGCTGTCACGACTCGATCTTTCGTGTTAATAAATAACGCCATTCTAACGAGAATAAAAATCCTATGGGATAGTTTTTCATCAGATGTAATAATTGAGTATATAGTCTAATCATCGTTTTTTCTCCTTCATAAAAAATGAATGTTAAACTTTTTAATACGACAAATGCATATCTGATTTTTCGCTTTCTTGGAGAAAAAAATGATTGTGCTGAATAATTTGACATTATTGATTGCATTTTCTATCGAATTCATTATTATGAATGTGATATAAATTGACTGTACATAGTAAGCCGATTTTAAAAGAGATTTTCATAAAATGTTCTCATTTTCTACAGGATTAGTTTCAATGATGACATTTATAATCAAGGTTTGCATTCGGTGAGTTTACTGATGAACATTAGAGATTAAAAAGAAACTTTGTATTCAAATACATTAGTGTCACGTTAAAGTCATTTGGCTACACGCTCTATTTATTAAATTTGTCTATGCTGTTGTTCTTCAGAAATTATTTTTAACAAAGACAAAAACATCAGAAACTAGAATAGAAAATGAAAAGCAAAAATTAAATGTTAAAGATAGAATACTGATGCAATTATTTGAACGTTAATATTTAAAAATCTTCTTACAGTTAGAAGGGGGAAAAAAAAGATGCTAGTTATTAACGAAATTATAATGTAATATTAAAAGGAAGCACTATCTGAAGCAGTTTTTGATCCATTCACTGTGTGATGCTGATAGTGGAACTGGGCTTCCGTCAACAAACATTATCTAAGGGTATAATCATCGAAAGAAATGGATGCCAAGTTTGTAACAGTCGTGCCTTTCTGTTCGCTTGTAAACGCGTGTAAAAATATGTCGCCGACGGATTTTCAGTACAAGATTCCTTCCGAATACGAATACATATTGTTGTATCAACGAACTGATTACGACAAAACATATAGACGCATCTATCTCGATTCTATGCAATCAAGTGAACAAGCGAGATAGATTATATTCGCTTTTCGCTTTTAATTTTCCGGTATATTACTTTGATTTAATTTCAACTTACAGTTGCTTTTAGCTCTATTCATAAATCTTTCGATTGCTTCTGTAGTTTTGTCAAGTAAATTTTCATGATTATCATTGAATTGTTTTTTTTCTATTAAATTAAATTTTTGAATATGAGTATCTTCATCCAATTTTCTTTTCTGTTTTCTTTTTTCGTCGGCTTCATTTTTTGATAAAGCTAAAGCTAATGCTAGTTGATAATCGTCATCTTGCTCCACTTGCTTTTTCACTTTCGAATTTTCTAATGTATTCTGAACTAAGACTTTTCTACATGTTGAACATATTCGTTTCGCAATTGAATTATGCGTCTTCGGAAGTATATCGATTAAAATTTTATAATCATCTGATATTTGTAATTCTGACCAACATTGATTACAATGTTTTGTTGAACATCGGGAACATTTTTTAAATGTTTCTAGAAGTTTCGTATGAATATGACAACGTGAACAAATATTATCTTGATTATTTATCATCATAGAAGATAATAAACAAATAAAACAACACAAAACAAAAAGAAAAAGAGATATTTCTTTTCAGGTTGACAAGGAGATGCTTAACGAAATTTGATTGAACTATTTTGCGAGTAGTAGATTGAAGGAGAAATAAAGGCAGAAAGGACACAAAGAGTTTGTTGGATGTATGTGACGGTACAACGAAAAGAACGAGAGAACTTGGCAAATAAACACACGCGATCGAACGAATAGATGAGGAGAGAGAGAAAAAAAAAGTTGAGGTAGACAAATATACATAATGGTTCAATGGGTGTGTATATGTTGCATGCATATTTTGAACCAACTTGCCGTTGACAAGTAACAAGTATGAAATTTAGTTCGGTAAGAAAAATAATAAATGTAATATACTATTAAAGGTCGAATTTACTATTCTCTCACTCTCATTCATATGGGTTAGGTTTTTCTTTGAAGGTTGTATCACTGTTTTTTATCTAAAAAGTTAATAGAATAGCGCTGCACACTATCGAACTAAAAACAGATGAAGCGCCAGCAGTTGTTTGATCGCAATCCAGACTTAATCCTGCTTTTTTATTTTCTTCCTCTCAATGGATATTTGATTATCAGCAATATACGTCTATATTGAGGTCGCTTTTGTTCTTACAATTAATGTCTGGACATGATGAAAAAAAAATCATATTTTTTTTTTCTTTGGCCAGACGCGTCATTTGACCTAACAACAAAAGAAATAAAGCTACGCGTTTTTTTTATTCACGTCATCTAATAAGTAAGTATGTCTGATTTCAATTCATAATAGAAACGGTCAATGAGACCCCTAGAGGTGCGGCGAGCGTCCATTGTATAGTATATTTTTAACGTAGACAAATGTATGTTGATCTAAAAGATAATAAGGAAATCGAGAATGATGGATAGAAGGAAAGAAAAAAAATGAAAGGAAGGCGATTGTCTTCGTTTGTTGAACAGACAAGCAAGATAGTTTATAAGGGCGGTATATGAGTTGCAATACGCAGATAGTTAAACACAACGTTAAAACAAATTTATCTTGCTCAGAGAAAGATCTAGTTGCATTATTTCTGTTTTTTGCGATGATCATTTTTCAGAGAAAAGGATCATTTATTTATAAAGTGCAGATGTTTTCATTCATCAGAGAGAGTAAAATTCGAACAACGAGTTCTGTTTTTTTTTCTGTAACGCTCATAAATGAGGTTTTCTCAATTATTTTTCAGAATTTAGATAAAGAAAAGTGAATCATATTTAACAAGGTCATAATGTTTAGTATAATTTTTGTTATTAATTTTGCCGTCGGCATTATTATGCTAATCGAAATTAGGTCTGATGTTGAGAATTCACATTTCGTGCGCAATAGAACCAGCTTCTCTTCCGGAATAATCAGCATGAAAGAAAACAATTCTTTTTCTATCTCACTAGTTCATTTCCTTTCTTTGTCTGCTGCTCTTTTTTTCTTCTTCTTTGTAAATCAGTGAACAAAACTTCTTTCTCATTTACTGTATGCTCAATTAGAGAAGCAAGGAGTGGACTGTTCTTTTTTTCGATGTTCTAAGTATTTGATATTGATTGAAGAGAAAAAGCAACTTGTCATTTCATCTTCATATCTTTTTGTTTTTGCTTCTGACATTTCATTCTTTTAGGTGATGCTGTACCATTTCCTACTCGCTTGATACGACTCATTGACATTACAAAATTAGAATGAATACATCAATGTTTAAACTTGTCAATCGATTTGCTCTCATTATACTGTGTGTTATTGGTCTCATTGAATTCGGTTTAGGTATATGGACGGTATTGGAAAATCGTTATAAAATTCTGGCATACAATCTTGCTGATGTTGGTTATATTGTAAGTAAAATGGAAAGAAAAACTGGACAATTTTTTTTATTAATTAACGTTTATTGAATAGGATTTATGGATATTACGATATCTATCCATGTGTTTATTTGCTTCTGCGATCATTACATTAGTCATGTGTCTTATCTTAGCATGGGGTTTATATTCAACACATGTATTTATATTTATTTCATCAACGATGATCGCTCTAGTTGTTATTGCTGAATTTATGATAGCAATGATGGCATTTACAAATAAATTTCAAACGCGAATAACAATTCAAGAACAACTACCGAAATTAGGTAAATTGTATTGATAGGAGTTCATTTTTAATTTTTAATTTTTTCTCTTCTTTATTTATAGTCATTACTTATCGGCAAGGTAATGATGAACGGGCTAGTCGAGCTCTAGATATGCTTCAGTCAACATTTCATTGTTGTGGATCTGATGGACGTTTATCATTTCAAAATAATGTTCCATCAAGTTGTAATGTGTATAGCGTCGGGTGTCTTACACGTGCAATGAGTTTTCTCGACTCCTGTATGGATGTATTAGCTTATATATTAATGTTCTTTAGTTTAATTAAATTAGTTATTATTACCTATTTTTATTCATTTCTGTGTATATATCAACGACTTAAGGGTTATCATCATCGTTATCATCCAAAAAAGAGCAAATTAATGAATGAATCTCTACCATGGCGTCATTCAGCAAGTTTTGATTCATCGTCACCAGATGATATGCCGAAGAAAATTTTTGCCATTGCCAATCAAGATAAAATTACTAATAACGACAATAACTATGTTGAAAAACGACGTATTATACTGAATGAATACGATTCACAATCAGCAAATAAACGCGTAGAAAATGCTGCTACGATTTTACCAGCAGCATCATTATCACTGTCACTGCCTATGCCGATAAGCAGTAAGCTTTCTACGCCACCCTATGATCAACAAGTATCAAGAAAATTATCATCCATATCAGAACGAACCGAAAAAACTGAAACCGATGATAGTGAACCCGAGCTTCTACGTATTAGACAACATAATTCAAAGCAAAAAGCAATTATAGCTGCGGCCAATGAGAAAGACAAACAACCGCCGCCGTTACCAACAAAATTACCGATGATTAAAAGTCGGAAAAGAATCGCACGAGACGATGATAATGACAATGATTCAGGTAGTTTTAAAATTTATTGGATCATTATATTGTTTTGTAGACGAAAGAGAATATGTTTTTTTTATTATTAATATCGAATTCATGTCATTTTAACTAATATTATGAATTCAAGTAGCTGAAAAGTCTTTTATGTCCTGTAGGAGGAGTATGAACTATCATTCTTTTCACGTAGGATAATCTCGAAGAAATAGTATCTTTTTTGAATAAATAAACACAAGCCTTGCATTGTACTAACAAAGTTGAGTAAAAGAGTTGTTAGCGCAGTCCCTGCGGGATTAAAATGTGAAACATGATGAAACTGCTTTTTTTAGAGCTCAGCTACCACAGTCAGTGAATCTGTGCACCTTTTCTGGCACGGTCTGTATTATTATGGCTGACGTCTCTAGACATTGTCACATATTCAGATAGAGTAATTAATTAATTTCTCGGTCGCAGTCTGTGTGGTTGGGGATGGGTTCAAATCTCTACCCTGGGTACTTTCAACACGCCTGTTAGATCGTGTTTCACAAAATAGGTATGTTTCTTTATCAAAATCTAATCCAATCGAATATTTTCTCCCGGTAAACATTCAATAAGGAATTCTAATTAAAAGATGATTTAGTTTAAATCTAAACTATGCTATTAGAAGGATACAATGTTCTCCGTCGACGTGAACATGTTGTTTATAAATAATGAGATTATTCGACACCCTCATCTATTTTTTATGTTATATACAATGGCAAGTAAGATTTGTTTTTCTCACGACTAATATAGTTAACTCAATGAGGTCTACGCGTAAAAACATTCTCCCCGTGAAATTTGAAATAATCAAGTTCTCGATGTTTTATTAAACAGGTGTTGAACGTTCATCATCAGAAAAATCTTTCGATGATCAAAATATAAGCAAAGCAAACTCTGATAATACTCAACCATTAATTGGTACGAATACGAAACCAAAATCAATACTAAATAAACCAACCGGCAAAACACCTCCAACATTGAGTTTTTCTAATGTTTTTGTAACATCGATTTCTCAAAGTGATATAAGACAGCCAACACAAAATGTTGAACTTGAAAAAAAACCTATTACGTCATCGCCATCATCGTCATCATCATTATCTGATCAATTATTATTGAGCGATGCCACAATTCCAAAGCCAATCTTGAAAAAATCTAATCAACAATCATCACCATCAAGTGATCAAGATCGTATTCCGCCAAGTTATAATGACCAAATGAAAATTTCATCGATCATCCATCCAAAATCCTATGTAAAATTATCAGAACCTCACATTCTTTCGAATCCACCAAAAATGTATGTACCTTATAAAGCAAAAGAAAATTCTCTATTACGAAATGCACCAAAACCAGCTCCGCGACCAAGTTTACAACAAGTTTTAAAGGAAAAACAAGGCGAAAGTCTTGTTTAAATGTTTTGTTTCGGTTTTTTTAACAAATAAATATTAGAGATGATGTAATATTTATGTTTCTTCTCATTTTGTTTTTTCATAATCACCAAACGAAAGCGATTATTCTTTTATGTATTCACTACGAATAAAATGGTCACAAAGCAATATCTAGGTCAAAATAAAATATTCGTGGAGAAGCCATAAGGAAAATAATTTCCTTTCTAATCAAACTACAATAACAGACGTCGACGATAGCTAAATAGAACTTTCTTTTTTGACAAGACAAGAAGCAAAAATATTCTGGCAGCACTTTTATGCGGTTTGCTGGCTGGATAGACAGCAGTTGATAGTTAATATTATAGAGGCCGACATCTGGTTACATGTTGATCATAACTTCTTCAAATGTCAGTTGTCAATACATACTATTTTTTAGCTCACACAATTGGAACAGTATGATAGATCCATTTCACTTCTAGAGCACGAAATCTAAATATAGTCATACAGTGACTAACTATTACAAAGTATTTATAATTAGCTACTAATAATATGTTGAAGATTTATTGGTATTCAATCATATGATTAATTATTTTGATAGCGTGTTAACGATGAATTAAGAAAAATACATATTACGGAATTTTTTATCAAGCTAGAGTCTAGTTCTGCAGCCTTTTTTTAGCTGCTCCGTTTGACTAGATTCACAGTAGTTTTGAAACAAAAGTGACTAATTTCAACTTTCACGCTACTACTTACTACTGGTATTAATTATTTCTTGAGATGAGAAATTGGCCGTTTTTATAATTGTTCTAGAAAGAATGCAGAATCAACGTATAATTATCCTTCAACCTTGACATCTTAAATACAACATTTAATCTCGGCAACAATGAAATACTGCTCTATTTAGAACATGATTTTAGCATGTTTTACATCAGTCTAAGTTTTGTCTTTAACGCTCTTATTCATCATTAAGGAATTTTAGAGCGAGTTCGAAAATTGTTGCTTTCGTTGGGTTCAATGTGCGGTGACGAGGAGAAGAAATGATAAATATTCAATTTGAGACCGGCACTCTTTATGTTCTTTGATATTATATGCTAATTCAAAACAAAATGGCAGCATACATAGAGAAATTCTAAATAGCATTTTATACAGATAAGCTATTCTAATGCTCCGTGTACTATTTCATAGTAAATATATACTTACTTATCGCGTCCTGTTCAAATTTTTTGCTGAAGAGTATTTCTCGACTCGTTTTGTTTTGCCGCAGAAAGTCAGCTTATGGCGTCGAAGCAAAAGATCCTGTGGAAGGTCGATTTGCACACCTCTATACCTGATTTTTTCAGCTGTGCTCTCATTCATATGATTTGCATAAATTCATGAAGCATTAAACTAGACTCTTTCGCTTCGATTGAGAGAACGTTTTCTCATTATCAGAATAATAATGTGATCTATCACATCTCTATATCGTTTGCTGGGTACAAACTGTTTTCTAGAAACTAAATAAATTGAACAGTAGAAATAAGCTGCTGTAACTCGACACAATTTCATTGCGCATAAATTTGGTAGCTGATTAAAAAAGTAAAGAAAGAAAAAAATCTTTTACTTCACTCGCTTCGGCATTAAAAAGTACTTTCAACTCTGGTAATAATATGTCGTGCTGAAGTGACAAATTCGAAATGACATTTACATTAATCATAGATCGATAAGGTCAGCGACGAAAAAAATTTGTGACGTCGATACGATCATAAAACAGCGAAGAGGATCGATTACCGATATACGCATTTATCAAGTAGCAAACCTCGCCGTTTAAGCATCACTCAGAAAAATCTATTTTTTCAATTTATGCCATATTTACGTTTGGTTTAGATAGAAAAGAAAAAAGTTTGTTTTACTAAGCGACTACTAAAATATTCTTTTTGATGATGATGTCGTAGGCTACGAACGTGCCACGCTAACAATGAGGTCGATAGAACCATCAAGGAAGAAAAAAATATTTCTCTCTCCCTCTCCTTTGTCGTAAGGAAGGCAGAATGCGTCAATGAATCAGAAGAGAACAATGTGGCAATATTAGTTTAACAGCATTAAAATAAATATAACAAAAGAAAAAGAAGAAACTAGTAGGATCTACACTTGGTTTACTATTATGCAATGAACAAGATGAAATCTATCAAGTGACAGTGAAATTCTACTCGAAAATTATATTATCAATTATGTATTCTGTTAAACGACCTAGCAATTTTCAAGTATTACTCGTGCTCATTATTACTTCGGTTTTTATTTTCTTCTATCATAATTCAATATTTAAAACAAGTCAACCATATATTCCTCAAGCTCGTCTTCGACCTTACAGAAGCGCGGCATCAATTAAAGTTTCTATATCACATTACACAGCAAATTATGGCTTCCGGACTGATTCTCGTTCAAATATTTTTAATAAAAATTTACAGCAAATATGTGACATATATGATCCCGAAGAATACGAATATGCTGATAGTGTTATTGTTAGTCTTGTTGATTTTTTTCGTTTTCCAACCATATCTAATAGCAAACAACTATATAGGAAAAAATATCCATCGCAATTATGGGTGTTGCAAGTTGAAGAATCACCAAGAAATTCTTATCGAACAGCTCAAATAAAGAGTGTAGAAGAGCTTGACGATTGGTTTAATCTAACGGCAACATTAAAACCAGAATCCGATTTTCACATTCAATATAGAGTAGGTTTTTCTTTTTTTTCAATTTCAATAACGGCATATGGTCATCGGTTTAAAAGAGCAGGGTGTGGGTGAAGGATAGGATACTTTTTCTTGAAAACCTTAAAGTTTGAGAATAATATGCTTTTATTGCGCAAATTGAAGATGTTGATCATACGTGTTTCTCAAGTAAATTGATGACTAATTATCTCAAATATTGATTAAGATGGCCTGTTTGAAAAATATGTCAAACGTCGTAGTGATTGAAAAGTGACACGTCGATCAATATTTTCTTGAGTAAGATAATTTTGTGGTGAATATATTTTCAAAAAACTTCTCGATTATCTAAAAAATTCAATTATTTCAATGATGAATCATACGACATGAAATAGTAGTTCACCAATATCTGAGCTTTCATACCCTAGTCAACTCTCCCTAGAAGAATCCCTAGGGATTTCGTTCTTTTGCGGGGACTGCCCGGGGAGTTATCTGATCAAATCGATGAAATATCTAATTACTAATAAATTCTTCTTAATTGTTTAAAAATTAAAAAACTTAAAAAGTTTTTTTTATTTTAAAAAATTTCATCAATTCTCCCCAGAGAAATCCCCGGAGAGTCCCCCAAATAAAAAGTCCCCGGGGGCTCTCGACAGAGACTCCCCAGGGATTTCGTTATTTTACGGGGACTCTCCGGGGAGTCCTTTGGGGGAGAGTCGATTAGGGTATAAAGTACACGTTTTATTTCCTCGCATCTTTTTGATTCATCGGTGCAACAACTCATATATACAATGTTGCATGAAAATAAAGATGCTCTATAGCAAGTAGGAATCACGTGTTAGAAATTTAATTTTAGTAATTTATAACGTAAGAGATTTCATTAGCAAAAGAAACCAACATTAGGACAAAAGCAATGACTTCGACACTTGAGACATCTATATTATTGCGAGAACTTTTTCTGTATGAAATAAATCTTTTCTTTTTACTTTGTTCTTTAGGGTTATCGTATAAAACCTGAAATAGTAAATCTCATTGAAGAAAAATTAAATATTAAATTTGATCATGCAATCAATTCAACGTCACTTCCGCAATCAAATCTATTTACAAATGGTCTTTCAAATTACTTAAATATTCTTGCTTTCGTACTAGATAGAGAATTAAATGATCGACAAGATGCCTACTCCAAAATTTGTCCATATACCTGTAATCAACCGTTACCGCCTGATATAGTTAAATCGCTTCAACCACATTTGAATCCTATTTTTCCTCGTATAATGAATCGTGATATTGTTTACATAGCTTGGTTTGTATCGAATTGTGATAGTCATTCTGGCCGTGAAGAATATGTTCTTAAGTTACGTTCACAACCAGGTATTCTGGTTGATATCTACGGTGGATGTTCGTCAATGTTTCATTCTCATATCATAAATATGAAATGTAAGAAAGGCATATCCGGTTGTGTAGAGAAAACATTGCCAAATTATCGTTTTTATTTATCATTTGAAAATTCAAAATGTGATACATATATAACAGAAAAATATTGGATGCACGGTCTCAATGGAGAAGCGATACCCATTGTTATGGGTGCTAAAATTGAACAATATGAACGTATAGCAGTACCAAATTCATATATTCACGTTGATAATTATCCAACAATTGAAAAGCTTGCTGAAGAACTGCATCGTCTAAATAGAAATGATTCGGAATATGTAAAATATCTTCAATGGAAACAATTCTATGATATAGGAGAAAGCTATTCGCCACAAGCACGATATAATATGCATTCAACACTTTGTTTCCTTGGTCATTATCAACGTTTACATGCAATGCAAGGCCATAATGATCAGAGAAAATATTTACTAGAACGTATACGTGAGATATTTAATGTTGAAAAAATTCGTTTACCAAATTTTATTTGGGAAACTGCCAAGACGAAATTAATACGTATCAGTGAATTCTACAATCCGAAAGTTAATTGTTGGGATAATGATTTTCCATCACTGCCTAGAAGAATTTATAATTATTTGTTCACTTGGTGGAAATTGTTTTAGTTATTTTTTGTTGTTGTTACAAAGATTAGTTTCGTCAGATTTCACTTTTTTTTGCGAATGAAGAAATGAGAATTTTAAAAGATGCACTAAATAAAATATTCTATTTAGGGAATTAGACGAATTCCGAGAAACAAAGTTTTACTCAGGAAATCAATTGTATGACTGATTGAAAATTAATTCCAATGCTGAGCTGTTTTTTATGTAATAATCCGAAAAAAAGGCTATGAACCGTTTTAAAAATTGATATGGGTGGCGGTATGTTCGCCAATAAGACTTTCGCCAATAAGACAATCGCCGATGGCGAAGTTCCACCGAATGTGTTGGTGAAAGTACAGTGGACGTTCGCCAATTGGCGAAGTTCTAGAGACCATATTGGCGAAAGTATGGTGGACGTTCGCCAATTGGCGAAGCTCCACCGAATGTATTGGTGAAAGTACAGTGGACGTTCGCCAATTGGCGAAAGTGAGATGGGGTATCTCAGTAATTACACAACGATATTACGAAAGTGTATATGTCAGCACTGAAGTTAATGTTACTAGAATATATATATATATATATGTTGTAGGCAAAATTGGAATCCAGGCAGATTCTAAATCTGCCCGGGGAAAATTGGAAATCTAATTTTGCCCGGGCAGAATTAGAATTCTAATTTTGACTAGACAATCATCAGTCAAAATCTGAATTCTAGTTTTGACCGGGCAGATTTAGAATCTGCCTGGATTCCAATTTTGCCTACAACATATATATATATATATATATATATATATCATAGTTTACACTTAGCATTTGCTCGAATATGCGGCAGTCATGTTTTCAAGAGTAAAATAGGGAGAATAATAAGAAAAAAAGTGATATCAATATGAAAAGAGAGATTAAAAAAGAATGAATTAATAATCCTCTGACGAGAGAATTGATAAATCTGATGTGGAAACATTGTTTTTTTCTTCTTTCCCTTTCTTCCTCGACAAACAGGTTCGCCAACAAGATGAGCAAAAGATTTGATTGTATCATCTAGTGATCTTTTTTTTGACTCTAATAATTGCAACAGATTTTGAATTTGTTTACTTTTACGAGCTGCTTTACGTGTCGATTTTTTTTTCTTGAATAGAAGAAAATCCTAATCCAGTTTGCACCATGCGATGAGATATCACACTTTCCTCCTGCTTTAGGCATTGGATAAATCGCAAATATGTCTACGACATAGACGAATATAATCTACCGATGTGGGTGAGAAAACGTTTTTTAGTCTACGTCTATTTTACAATGACATTGTTGAAAGATCACTGTACTTTCGCCAATTGGCGAAATTCTACCGAATGTATTGGCGAAAGTATAGTGGACGTTCGCCAATTGGCGAAGTTCCAGAGACCATATTGGCGAAAGTATAGTGGACTTTCGCCAATTGGCGAAGCTCCACCGAATGTATTGGTGAAAGTACAGTGGACTTTCGCCATTGGCGGAAGTCCTATTGGCGAAAGTCTTATTGGCGAAATTCCGGAACCCCATTAGACAGTCCTTGTGATTTTGAAATTTTGTATATGTGTATTGCTCTATTTATTGGACTACACATGTTTATTCAAATCAAAGATTATGAGCTTGATCTGAATTTTCCTTCAACTTCGATCATGCGCAATATTACATATGATTCCACTGAAAGATCGTGATTTGTTTAATGTTTATCATTAACTGATTTCACATTTTCCCCTAAAATACAAATGCACAATATGAAGCTTTTGACTATTTTTTAAATTGTCTGCTACTTTTTTCTGCATTATCAGTGGTTTTTTTTCAAGTTGCAGTAAAGTGTACTACGTTATAAAATCGGAATAGAAAAATGTTAACAAGATGTTTGCTTAAAGTTCCTTTCGTTTATCTGATTTTACTAAGTTTCTAGCGGATCATAATAGGTTTACGAATGTATCGCTATTTCAAAGCTTTATGGGATATGTAACGATAAATAAGACTCTGTTGAGTTTATATCGTATTGACAAACTGGATAGAGGAGGAGTAGCTTACAGCCACTCACGGCAATGATGTTTATTCGTTTATTCACATATCCAGAGTGTAACAACTTCATACATAACACACGTATATATAGAAGAGAGATAGAAGAGAGACATGAGAGAGAATAGAAGGAAGAGGAAGGAGAATCATCGAAGCGTGCCATCAATATCGGCACACCCTCCCACTCAGATCAGACGCGCTCCTGAGCGTCTTTACAATATCAATAAAAAGGAAAATGGAAAAGAGATACGCGAAGAAAAGGAAAAGGAACGACACAAACGCATAATAACAAAAAAAAACACAATATCAGTTCATCATTTGAACTTTCTTTCACAGTTACGTGCAATACGCACGAGATAAACACATAAAACAGATAATCAAATCGGGTGCAACCTTCACAGATAAACGGCATTATCATAATATACGAAGTTAACAATTTACGACGAACGAACTTTTTAGAACACTTTTTCTTCATTTTTTAAGCACGTACAATATGCATTACATTAATAGCGTACAAAGAACATGATACGGCAGGAACGAGTCAGACAAAATAATATTTTCACTCTTTTAATTAGTATACATCAATATTTTTCACAACACAGAAAACAATTTAACAACTTAAGCTTGATAGAATTCTTCACAGACATTATAAATCACGCATTTTCGCATGTACTGGTCTCATTGAAATATCATACACATAGGACATTTAAAAAATGATAACATAGCTTTTAGAAACAATCAAACAATCAATCAGTTACTTAGCGAATTCGAATACATACTTTTTCTTTTGCAGAAATTAGAAAAGAACAATTTAGTAATTCATAGCGTACAGAAAATCTAATCTAGTGCATAAACGATACCTAGAACGTTTTCTTTTTCTAACTTTCTAGTTAGATTAGTTTTACATGTTACAAATAGCAAAGAAAAAAAATAGTGTCTCAGCACTAAACGATCAATAACAGACGATAACCTATCGGAGAAAAATTTAGTCACACATTAATTCCTTATAAAAAAATTTTACATTTCATTTTTGATTTTATCAAAAGTAGCACGTCTAATTTAACACGAATACACGGAAAATTAATATCCCTTCTGGGCAATCGATCGAAAAAAATTTTTTTTTTACACTTTTCATAAGTGTTAATCTTAAAGATGATCTATTTCTTTTTATTTTTTATTCTAATCATATTTACGTACCTGATATTGGCGAATATTTGAACATTGAAAACAGTCAGCTGAATGTTGTACAGATGGTATATTGGTGATCTAAGAATTGAAATTGCTTACGAACGGTAGTCAATAGTGTTCAACTGTCATCAACATCAGCTTGTTATAATCGGAACGGAACAATTCTGATTGAAATTAATGGTGAATGAAGAGATTTGAGAAGAAGAGACATGAAACGTACAGATGTTGCGAAGGAACGCGAGCCGATGACTCGCACTGCCGGCCGGGAGAATAGCCGCCCTGTAGTACGTTCACTGATGTTCTGTAACACTGCCGTCTGTGTCGTACTGCAACAACATCAGTACCACAGTTCGTTGACAGTGCCATGTCTTTCAACTCGTAGTCTCTCACTCAGTCATTCCTTCTCTCATTATTTATTACCGTCCGTTGCTATTGAATTAAATTTTTGAATGGTGGTTCATGATGTTGAGTTATTGTTGATTTTGACACAAATCAATTGCGTTGAGAATTTGCCAGGATTCGACAGCCTGGGTTCAGATGTAATGACCAAGGTCTGCCAGAGTCGCCATGTAACGATAAATAAGACTCTGTTGAGTTTATATCGTATTGACAAACTGGGTAGAGGTGGAGTAGCTTACAGCCACTCACGGCAATGATGTTTATTCGTTTATTCACGTATCCAGAGTGTAACAACTCCATACATAACACACGTATATATAGAAGAGAGATAGAAGAGAGACAGGAGAGAGATATATTATAATAATGGAAGGAGAATAGAAGGAAGAGGAAGGAGAATCATCGAAGCGTGCCATCAATATCGGCACATGTGTTTGATCTAGCAGTCCATGCCGGGGAGATAGACATTAACCTTTTCACTGACAAGGAGCGGCTATCACACTCAAATGAATTATTTATTCACAAATAATATATTATCCAATCAGCGTGCAGATCAATCGATGCGCTGAAATAGTTACGCATGCCCGACTATTACATGCAAAGAATGACGCATATTGTCTAGATCATCAACTTTATTATTATCAAAACAAGAACAGGATAAAATGCACACAGATACCACATCAGAAGAACTGAAAATTTTTTGTATACATACCGACGAGGTCATGCCCGATAAACACAGGAAAGAAAGAAATTATATCTTCAACTATGGAAAATTCATTTTATTAGTCCATTTGTTAAACTATACTATTTCTATTCTAGTAATATAAAATCATGTCTTATCAAACAAGAAGATTATCCGACCCGCCGGATTACTTCAATAAACTAACTACCAAACAAAAACGAAACTGGCGAAAAATAACCAAAAAAATTGAGAAAAAAGAAGAACTACGCACTCGATATCGACCATTTCAATCATCATCAAACATCACGGTTATCCATCTCCATTACAAATCAACAATTAATATTATTGATGAACTGATAACAAAAGCAAAACAAACAACAAGATATGTACTTGATACAGAATCGGAAAAGGGCGAACAGAACAACCAAGGTGCCTTAATCCAAATACAATTTGTACATTCGATCAGCCAATCGACAATAATATTAATCGAAACGAATTATTTACCTGATCCACAGTCAATATTATTTGCACGGATAGAAGAATTATGTTCGATTATCTTTAGAAACAATAATGAAATTATATCCTGGGGAACAATTGCCGAAGAATTCGAACCTTTTCATTATCTCGGACTCATTCATCTAGGTAAGAACATTGACGATATAAATTTACAATCTCGCTTTAGTGATTGGAAAAACAACTCTAAAACGCATCCAGAAATGGAGAGATGTGATGAGATAACCGGCCACGTACCATTAGATATGTTGGATATATCCGGTGACGATGATGATATGGACGATGAACAACCAAATTATAATTTTCAAGTTAATACTCATCAGCAAAGGTCAAACATTGAATCGTCATTACAAGCTGCATTTGCAGCAACACTCGATAAATTCCTCGATAAAACCGAAATCATCAATCACTGGAAATGTGGGCTCGACTTCGAACTCAACACGTGGCAGAACAAACTATTCAGCCGCAACCGATACGACAAACAAATAGAACAAACTAAACGTTTGAAAATGAAACAATATGCAACTGACGATTGTACATATGTGGCTGAGATATTTTTTACAATGTATCCATCGAAGATAAACCACGACAACGAAGTCAAAAATGAAATTCCGCCGGCAACAATAGAAACAACAACAACCCGACGAACTATACTTGATCTACGCGATGATTTATCTGACATCAGCGAAGACGAATTAATCGAAATTCTCAAACCGAAATTCGACAAACCACAAACCACATTACAAATATTAAATGAAGAACCCGCAACATTAACAATTCAAGCAACAGCCGAAGAAATGAACGAATTCAACTTAACTGATGAACAACCACAACAATCACAAACAACCACGACAACAACTGTAATAAAAGCTGAACGACAAAAGAAAAAAAACATCAAACTAAAATGGAAACAAACATCACCCCAACTTTCAAAACAAAATTAAACGACCGATATATCACAAATATGATTACCGGAAAATTCGTGCACAACTTACCGACGACAACATCTATATAGGGGTGGCACATTTACTTTACTTTTTGAAAAAGTAAATCAGTAAAGTAAATAAAATATTTGCAATTTACTTTTGTAAAGTAAATAAACAATTTACTATTTACTTTTACAAAGTAAATAAAATATTTATTATTTACTGTTGGAAAGTAAATAAATTATTTACAATTTACTTTCGTAAAGTAAATATATTTACTAGTAAATAAAATAAAAATGATCTAATTCCATCAAGCTACATATAGAGCAACATATATACTGCACAATCCACTTTGAATTAGCTAAAATACGTAAATTCAAAAACGAATATGATTAGATTTTTTACTGATAATCCAACTTTTACAGGAAAGGATGTTGGTGCTTACGTTAGATTTCATAGTGAATTTAATTCTTTACTTCAAATGATTTTTATCCAATGATTCGTTATTCGATGAACTATGACTTTTTTCAAGAAGAATTCCAAACTGCTATTATGTAAGGCAGTTACTTATATTTTTTATGGAGTCGATATCATTATCAAGCTTGATAACTTTATTAAACGTTTTCTAGGTGATTTGTTTTCTGCTATTTTACATTTTGTGTTTATGTAACAGATTCAACTCATTTGTATGAAAGAATTTACATAGTAAGGGATTGGCCTCATTCAACAGGGAGCAGAAGTACTGCTTATATTTTCTGATTGATATTCATATCACGGAAGTGCTTAGCATAACTTGAAGAGTGATTATAAAAAATCAAATATTTACATTCTAATAAAATCATAAATAATAAGCAATGATATAACTAGAATATTTTATCATCTTGATATTAATACTCGAATGCAGTCGCTTTTTTTACACAATCGAGTATTTCATCATCTATAAAGTAGCAATCTTATTTATTCTGAGGTAGATAACAAATCAATCTGATAATAAGATTATAAGTATCAGTTTTGTCGATAATTTCAATCCATCAAATAGATAAATTCAGCTGCGAGCAGCCTCAGATAATGAAAAGAAAACTAATAACTGAAATGTGCTTGATGAAGCTATATGGAATATTTTATTTTGATTCGTATTAATCATATTATTTGCTATCAATAAATAATTGCCATATGAATCAACAAAGTAGTGTTTTTGATATATCAAAAACACGATTGGTGCAACCAATAATTTTCTAGCATTGGCAAAATATAAAAAAGATTCTCTTGAGAGAAATACTCGATTTCAGTGAGATTCTGTTATTACTTTAAGTTTATTTTTTATATTATACCGATAGTAACGACTTTTCCTTTTCTATGTTTCGGCTTGTCCAAACGTAACGCTGTGACATTTTTGACACACTCTTTTTAGAATATCTCAAAAACTATGATAACTAGAAAGTTCGTTCGAACGTCATTCGACGTAGCTCGTCAAGTTCTAATTACAGTAAAACATTTACGCTTCTCCATTGAAGTCTTTAATTTACAGAAAGGGTTTATAGTCGGGTAACACTGACAAAAAAGGACCCTGAACTCGGAGTGCTTGAGCTCAGCATTGAATTTCCTGCGAATGAGAATCTCCAAATGAAATGAACCTGAAACCAATTTTGTAGAGCATGAAATCAGCTTTCGAATGATAAAAAATATTTTCTTTTAATCTTTATTATTTGTCTAAAAAATGAAAAAAAGAAACCGTAACGCTGTGATACGTTTTGAGCCGCTGTGATACGTCGATTTTTTTTCAATTTTGAGATACTTAACTTATTCACATTCACTTGATTTCTATAGTAGTTAATCTTTCGTGTATTGGCAGTCGTTTTACGCTAGAATCAGATCGATACATCGAACTGGAAGCCCATCCACTATTCAATAAACTGGAAGTTGTACTGTCTTTTATAAGCTCTTGCTGGCTATGAATGAAAACACCGAATATACCATTTTGTAGAGAATCGAATTCTGCGTTGAATGATATGATTCTCATTATTATCTGAGAAAATTTTGTGATTAATAAATTGAAAATACGATTTTTCAAAATTTTGAAACTAAGGTTTTGACATCAAAGTTTAATTTTTTCACAAAATTAATGTCGAATTCGAAATCAGCGCTAATATCTATATCTAGGAAACTATCCAAATCTGTTGAACTCCAAGAAAAAAGTTTTAGATTTTTCAAAACTTAATCAGCGAAGTAGCGAGCTACGCGGACACCCCGGTTTCTTCTTCTGTATTTTATTTTCTCTATATATCTACAGTTGATTAAGAAACAGAAAAAAATGTACTATTAAACGTATTCTTGATCCGTGAAATAAAAATTGAAAAATTGAACTTGCCAATAGGTAATAATATAAAATAATTCTATTAATTAAGGCAATAGTCTCACACACGATATACTTATTTTCAAAGAACTTTTATAGTTTAGTTCGATATCTGAATGACATATTCATTCTTGAACATGAATACATTTTTGCCTAGACAATGCATGAATGATGTCGTTTTTCTATATGAATACTAAGCACGAATGAAAGTATGTTCGATCGAAGCAATCACGAGTAGTTCTTCTTATTTTGTTTTATCGACTATCATCATTACTAGATGAAATTAATATTTTTACACGGACGGACGGAAGGAAGAAAAATTTATTTTTCTATTGAAATAGAAGTTTATTCTGAGAAACTATCATACATTCTTTTTTATTGTATTAATCTGATGGAGGAACAACAAGAGTTTTTAAGAGCAGACAGTCATTTTTATTTGAAAAATAAATGTGGAAACTTCGGATTTCATCCGAGAGTCATCTGTACTGCAAAAAGTGCATGAGACATATGAGTCATTCTAGAATGTCTGAACACAAAAATGATCATGAGAAACTAGGCAATTTGATTTCTGGATGCAGTTTTTGTGCATTTTGAGACCTTTTCAGGCGATGCTTCGTTAGAAAGCTACAATTTAGTTCAAAACTAATATCAGATTCTGAATCAGCGTTAAAAACTGAGTCGATTTATATATGTTGTGGATAATTCTGAGAAAAACGTTTTTTCAAAAATCCCTGTACTCCTCCTCAGGGATGGTCTGATCAAAAATGACAATTTTTTCGGTAACAGCCATTTCTTGACGGATCCCTCTCATCTTCGAACTCGACCGAGATATTGATGAGATAATGCTGTGTACAAAATTTCATGACAATCGGATCAGCCTTTCAGGAGTTATCGTGTAAACGGCCGGACGGCCGGACGGACACACTGACCGATTCTATAGTGTACTCACTTTTGTTTTTGAGTACACAAAAATCATTGTATATTTGCTTTAGTAAATTTTCATACTTATTTAATACTTTTCCTTATTATTAGGTATACATAAAAAAGGTGTAGAATTATTATATTACGCTTATAAACAGTAGCTGATACGCTTGTTGATTACACGACAGCTATTGGTCCATTCGTTAAATCTTTCATTCTTCATATGAACACACATGTGAAGAAAACGAAGAGAAATAATGATTAATTAACAGTTTTTGATCGAAAGAAAAGACTCCAAATAAGTCTATTTGAAATGAAAAACATTTCTTGAGAAACATCGTTTTTGAAAAAATTGACGACTTTCTAAAGCATTAGAATTGAAAGTATATTCCATGGGTAATGCTGCAGCATTGAAAATGAGTGTCCATTAAATACAGAAAACAATAAATATGAACGCTAACTTGGAGAGTGAAATTTAGTTATACAATAATAATAATATAATGGGACAAACAAATATAAGGCATCAATGAAATCCAATATTCAGATTAACTTTATAACAATCGCTCCTTAAAAAGAGAATTGTGATCTAGTTCAATCAGCACTCATTGGGTTACACTTACACGATCAGTGTAAAATAACTTACGTTTTTAATTAATTCACAACAAATGAGAACTACAAGAAATCAAAATGCTTATTTAAAACAAATCTCTACAATTTAAAACTTGATGTCATTGATGCTAAGAGTGTATTCTTTTCAATCAGATTTTCAATTGACGTTTACGCACACGTGATATATTCTATCATATATGCTAAATTTATGAACTACGATAGAGATTATCGATTAAAAGCAGTATATCTAGTATTTTCCAAGAAAATCTCGATTGATATTGATTGAAACAAAAGAAGAAAAAAAGAAAAACTAATACAAATTTAATCAGTTAATATTAAACTTTGTTTTTATACATGTGCACATAGTAGACTTTTTATTTCTTTATTTCTAGTTAATTGTACTGTGGGTAAGATAGTGGCAGTCTAGTCAGTTAAACGTAAAGTTCTTGATCATCTGCAGTACTATGAAATGGAAACAAAGAAATAAAAATGTCAACTATGTGTACATGTATAAAAGGAAATTAATATTCCATGTGTACATTTTCTTCTGAAGAAGAGCAGTATTACTATCTGAGATTATAAGTAAAAAATCAAACGTTATAATCACACAGAGGCAACTAGGGATAATCCATCGAAATATATTTCTTGGTGATAAGTATGTTCTTCGTGTCTTTTTGTTAAAATGATTATGCATTATAAGTATTTCTCGTTTTTCTTGTTGATTGTTATACATATGTTCGATTCTGTCGTTTGATACTATGAAATTATGGATTTTTGCTATTTCTGATATTGTACTGCCGGTTTTATGTAGTTTCCCTACTCTTAATGCTCATTTTGCTTGTGATAAAAAAAAGATTGTGAAATTGAAACTAATACCAGAATATTTAGGAAAAAACCTTAGCTCATATCGATCATCAGATCAAACGAACAACTAGGAGATATTGATCCTTCATAGGAGCTAATTTCAAATGAAGTCCGAAAACTATAAAGAACTAAACTAGTAAAAAAACTAGCACGAACCAGAAGAATAGATCAACATACTATCTACTATCTACTGTGATTCTGAAGTGGAGATTGAAAAGAAGAAAAGAAAAAGAAAAGTTGTTTTTGATAGCTCAAAAAAACACTGCGTTATGGAATAATCAGATGATTTTAGGTGTGAACATCACTTCTGTGATGGTGCTTTATTATTATTCTCATATAAAAATAATTTATTTACTTTCTAAAAGTAAATAGTAAATAGTTTATTTACTTTGCAGAAGTAAATAATAAATAGTTTATTTACTTTACAAAAGTAAATAATAAGTATTTTATTTACCTTTATAAAAGTAAATAGTAAATAAATTATTTACTTTACAAAAGTAAATTGTTTATTTACTTTTGTAAAGTAAATACTGAATTATTTATTTACTTTATAAAAGTAACTAGTAAATAATTTATTTACCTATTTACTAGTAAAGTAAATATAAAGTACCACCCCTACTACCCATGTCGATCAAAACGGACTACCGTAAACGGCCGTTTTTGCATCGTATTCCGTCGTAAAGCGACCGTTTTAAGCCGAGGTAAGGCGTTTTAACAGGGACAGTATTACGGCCATACACGAACACCGTATATCAGTCGTAAAACCTTGTAAAGCTGGCGCAATATTATCGTATTCTATAGAATATACGGTCGTATTACTGTCCCTGTTATACGGGTAAAATACGGCACGTAAAACGGGCTGTACTTGTATCGCATACGACCGTTTACTGATCGTTTTCTTCGATCGGGGTAATCGAAACCATGTGTGAGCTTTTCCGCTATCTACCATATGCGGGTGTGGATACGGGCAAATAGATTGATGACGTTGTAACGCTCTCAGTTAAGTGTGACTATTATTTTGTATTTACTATGTATTTTTTTCTATGTTTTGTATGTATTTTGATGCCCTTAGCGTTTGTCCTTAACTGTCATCAGCTTTCGTTCTCTCGGATGGTTGAGTATTTAAATCTGTGCTTTTTTTGTAATTGACACGATTCATGATATGAAGAAATGAAATAAAGCATGATTCCATCAATGCAAGCACTTATTCTATCAGAAATCGTCACAGACGCCCACACCCTTTGTCGGCTATCATTTGTCTCTGAGTACAGAATATATATGGGATTTGGTTTTATGCATGCGTATATCAACAGTTTCGTTATACTCATCCATGTGTGTCCACACTTGCATCTCATCATAGTTCAACTAAACTTAAGAGCACCTTTCTTTAAATTTTACTTGAGATCACTGGCTGACAATGGAGCTTTAAGCTGATTCTGTTGAGTAACAAATGCAACTATGCAATGCCACCGGTTTTTCGTGATAGCAAAATTGGCATTTGTCTATATTATTTCTAAAACGAGTGGTTCTAAATAGCCCCCTTGTCTTCTTCTTTAAAACGATTATCATCTCTATTTCCCATGGAAGAATCGATAAGGGAAACGTTTTGTATATGTGTGAAATCTATTTGAGCACATCGGGATAGATAGTGAAAGGTTCATATTGTCTGCTATATCAATGCTACTTGGAGTATACGTACTAAATTGGAACACAGTTCTCTCACAATAAACAGACGTCTGGGAGCGTCTTGTGTCATTCTAAAACTTATAGATTCGATAATCTCTAATGCTTCTTGAGAGTTTTTGATGGATTTTAAGTTTAATAACATTTTTCATGCAATAAACTGTGTATTTGTGCTTTTGATTCAGATGATAGCAAACTTCGATAGAGTCTGTTACATTAATAAGAATTCAGTTTTCTTTTGTTAAAGGACCATTAGTTTGCATATTAACAAAGATAGTTGAAGAGTAATATCAATCAATAACTAAAATTAAAAAGAAGAAGTTTGAATCTATTTTTTAATTTACTAGACAAAAACATTGGTATTCGCTTGACAGGTAACATAAAAATTATGAAGGAAATGAATTTGGTGAATATGGTCTGTCTTTTGATGAATTTTTCATAGGTGTTAAACAAGTAATATCGTCTACTGAATCATTGTTTGATGATGGATTTGATAATTGTACTATTGGAGATGGAATATTAAAAGTTGTTGATAAGGGAGAAAATAATGATGATAGTGGATCAATTATTACATCATCTTTAGCATGTGCTGGAAGAGTAAAATGTTCAATCGCATCAGATAACGGATGATGAATTAATGTTGAATCACTATTGGTATCAAATACATTTAAAGGAAATTCTAAAATAGAATGTAAATCGAAAATCTCTTTTAAATGAAATTCTTTTTATCACCTTCTCTGACCAGATTTTTCGTTTGTTGATATATTACTTGATTAGTTGACGGATGTTTTATTTGATACTGATTGATAAATTCAAGCATATCGTCGATAACTTGAATTTCTTCTTGACGAACACGTATTTCAGCTTCTTTACTCTTTCGACGTTCAATTAATTTTTCTCGAATATTTTTTCGATAAATTCCGCTTCCAAGATGAGATAAAAATGACTAATGAAAGCAAAACTCACCCTAAATTTAATCAACTATGCCATTCTAAATACAAACCGTTATTTCACTTTCTGATGATGAATTCTTTTCTGGTGGATTTTCTGTTGGTGAAGTAACCGTTGTTGTTGCTGTGGTCGACGGAACAGATACAGATTCAACTAAAATTTTAGAATGAATTTATTCAATGATAAAAAGAAAAATTTCTTGAGGGAACAGCCAAGCACAATATTCCGTAAGAATCAATTCTAGCTGTCATTTCTCGATTTTTTTTAAGTAGAATTAAATCGTTTTGAAAGTATACACAATAAACGTGAAATAATAAAAATTACCGGTAGAAAGTTTCTAACAATGGCTAAAAGTAAACTTAAAAATTCTAAATCTAACTAAACACGTTTCAACTTTCCGTTATATTAGGTGAATTTTAGTTTTAAGTGATAAAAATTAATTAAAAAAGATAATTTCTGTTTGTCACGAGATTAAATTAACTACTAAGTTTAAAAGAGGATTCTTCTACGAATCAATGTCTAGAAATAAAAGTAAAATATTTACTATTTGAATTGTTTGATAGAGCATCCGTTGATATAAATGATAATTGATTCTGTAACGAATCGTTTGAACTAATTTTAGAAAAAAAAAAGCAAACTGCTTCTTCTTTTTTCTTCAGTCAAAATAAAATTTACGATTGAATAATATTTGTTGTGCAAATATAACTTTCGGGTTTTCCATTCCAAGAATTAATTTGTACCTGAGAATGTGTTTGAAGAAAAAGCCATTGTTGACCTTTGCTTAAAAATCGATATGGGTCACTTTTCCCATTTCCATTTTCTTTCCCTAATACAAAACAATGATTTGTATTGATTTAGATAAAAACCAAAAATGAAATTTTTTACATAACTGATGTGCTCGAACAATAATTGATAAATCATCGGGATGAACAAAATCAAAAAATGTTCGACCAATTAATTCAAATGAACTATAACCAAGATATTGTCGGGCTCTTGAAAACAGAAAATAAATATAGTAAAAAAAAAGGGAAAATATTCACGAACTTTGCATCAATGAAAATAAATTTTCCATAAATATTTAAATGAGTAACGAATTCTTCCGATGAACTCTCATTATTGATAATTAATGTTCGATCTAACGTATTTAATTTAACAATTGACATCAAATATTTTTCATTTTCATTAACTAAATAAAAAAAAGGAAATAAGCAAACTGAAAGAAAGAAAATCCTATATTTATTTTTAGTTTACTATTTCGAAATGCACCGATGATTGTACATTGTTCATAATCATCGCTAAAAGCTCTTTTCCAAGATACATCGCAACTTTCTAATACTGTAAAAACAAATGACAGATTACAATTTTTATTTTTAATAAAATCGAACCTCTATGATCATTTATAAGATAATCACGTAATCGATCGTGATAAGATGGAAAAATAAATTTAAATAATGATTGATTTAAAATTTCATGCTGAGAATAACCAAGATATGAACTAATATTTTTCGACACATATACTATTTCAGTATTATATGGATTAGATTTAACGACTAGGAGAAAACAATTCAAAGACTAACAAACGAAAAAAAGCGTCGAGATTAAAGTTTATTTTTATAGAGAATTAAATTACTTCAATAGCAATTTGTAACCATTCTTCAATATTAACTATATCAGATGATGGTTTCCATGAAAAATCTAAAACATGATTTCTTTTTGATGCAGTTGATTTTTTATTTGATACTTCAACTTTTTCATCATTTGTTAAATCTTAATATTTTATAGAAAATAATTTTCGATAAACTATCAAAATAGAAATCGTTCTTACGATGCCGATGTTTTTGTAAATATTGAACAGTTTGACGTAAGATTGAAGCTTTATCGAATTTATTATTTTGATCATTCGTTGGGCAGATTTGTTTTATAGAAAGTAAATCTTCTAAATTTGTTATTAATTTACTAAAGAGATCACGACGACGTTTTTCATTTTCATTACGAAATTGTCTGAAACATAGAATAATTAATTAAATCTTAAACAAAAAGCGAAACATATTTTTTACCGTTTTGATGGTGATTGTTTTGCATCGCTTCTAAAAAAAAAAGAAAAAACAATGAGATTACTTCTTTTTTCGTTGACTTATTAATTTACTTTGAATGAGTTCGCTTTAATTTCTTTGTGCTTTTATTCATATTCAAACATCAAACATTTGATGAAAGGAGAGTATAAATAAGTACCTATCAATAACAAATACAAGATAATATTAAAAATAAAGAACACATTCTTTCTGTATATTTTTTAACTTGATGGAAAATCTTCAATTAAATTTAATATCACAGTTTTCCTAGTCAGAAAAGATTTTATCATAGAAGTAAAAACACTTTAAGGTACACTAGAATTTTTATTGACAATATTTTATCGATATAAAATCAGAATGTTTTCTGGCAGGTTTATGGAGAGTAGAAAAGTTCTGAAAATAATACCAGTGTACATAATCATGTTTTTCAATGACTCATACTTTCTAACATAGATTGAAAAAGTGACGAATGTACATTGAGTTGGTATAATTGGCAAATTGATTCTGTGAGATAAGACTATGTACAAAGAATGGTGATTTCAAGTTCGTATATACAGTAGTCTGCTTAATTTGATAGGAAGTTTTCAGTTATTAGATCAAAGCAATTATTTTTACAGCACTGCCCTCTATATTTTTCTGGGATTCATGAGCCAAACTATAGATGTCTGCACTGAAAATGCATCGGCTGTTCATGAACTGAACAATTACAAAAATTTTAGAAGCAAATATCTGCAATACAATCCACATACAGACGAGATAAGGCATAGGTCAAATTATGATTTTAAAGTATTCCAATAAAAGATGTACTGATATGATTGCCATGTTTGCTTTTGCCTATAGTTTCACCGTTAAGAAGACTCGTAAAGAAATAAAATTTCAATTGAGACTATCGAGTCGTCTTGTGGTTATTAAAGTTACAAAAAATAGTTGGCGTTTTGTATATGCTCTAAAAAGTAAATATAATCGAATGTAAATCGTCGTAATAACGTTTTTTAAAGTTTCTATAATGAATTGCACGCACTTCAGAACTGTTACTCAGTTTTGATTGAAAAGTGTGTGCCACCATTTTTTCTTAGACAACGAACAGTTAGCACTGTAGTTAGGTGAACACAGAGATAAATTATACCACAAGAGTAATAACATTAGCGCCCATCAAGGATACATATAATAGAGTTTATGGCTTGGGTAGATGATGATGAAATTATATTTTCTTGTTCTTTTTCGGCATCTGAAATGACTTTATTTTTATTTTCTTCGGTACACTTGATTTCATAATCATTGATTTTCTAGGATCTTGAGTACTACTACCATTGGTTTGTTTTACTGAGTGGCGATGAAACTGAGATCGTCTCATCATAGAAATATTTTCACTCATCTTATCATTGGTCATTTTTCTCTGTGAGTTAAGACTCGATGAAATTTTATCTTTTATTCAAACAACTTGTTGTAAGTCTGTGTTTGATATTTCAATTTCTCTACTTATCTTTGTTTCTCATGTTTGAAAATCATCGTTCTGACTGCAGAAGATAAGACTGTATCAGTATGGTTTATCGGGTCTCAACGTCGAAAGTTTACTTCATTATTGTGCATTCGCTGCTTTTAATAGACAATTTTTCGAGTGATTTCAGGTACGTAGATGTGGACGTTTAGTTTCAATGGTTTTTTTTTCTATAAATAAAATGTGATAAATAGTCATGAAAAATAGATAGCCATGGGATCCGTTTTTTTTAATATATTGGCAACGTAAAGGTTGGGACACAGATGTACAATGCATGGAAATCATTACAACATCTATACATGACGAATAGTAGTCTATCCAACACAAAATATCATCAGAGTCCACTGTAACTTTTCAATCATAACGCGATTGACTTCCTTTTAGAAATGAATAACGAATTATTGATTCAATTAAAGATTTCAATTGGATTCATACATGGTTCCCATGAACAAAAATGTCACTTGTAGGCTTCGTATATAAGAGCTCAGAAGTTAGTGTCGATTTCTATTCCTCCAAATCTAAAATCTTCTACCAACTTTTATTCTCTACTAGCAGTAACCACATTATAAAATCAGTTATAATATAACTAGTTAGCTAAATTTCTTAAACGAGTATAGAATTTCTATTTTTCTCTGCATCAGTGGAATAACGCAATAACATACATTTTCTCACTAGAACTATAGGGAATTACAGTGAATAAGATCAAAATTTCATTCTTAAAATCCTGTGGATCGTTCTGAACTGATAGGACTCCGATAAAACATAACATGGTGACTTAGTACAACATGATATAAACTGTATAGACTACCTTATCTTCATGGGTTCTCATAATAATAAGTGTTGATATGGAACTGTGACTTTTGCAGTCTAATCAAAAGAAACTCAACTCAGAAATATTTGTGATGCCTTTATCTCTACTACGTGTTTTCAATCATAACTTTTCCAGATAAAGATCTTACTACACAAGTAGTGATCAGATTAGATCAAGCTTGGCTACAGAATGTAAATGAAAATTTAGCTATTGTTTTGACATTGAAAAGAATAAATTACATCTGTGATTTTTGAAAATCACCACAGATTTTTATTTATTGTTATTTTTACATTAAATTAGTAGTCATGCATCATCTTTTTTCTAGGTACTTATTACACGGAAATAGAGTTTAGATCAATCATTGAATTGTCTGAAGAAAGTAGTCCTGATTCAATTTACGATAGAAGAAAGTTTGTGTAGATCATCTAAGTATATATCTATAAATTTCAGATAGAGAACATTCTTAGATATTCTCATAATACATTACACATAAGAGAAATGGCAACAATAATTGAATCAAATGCATGTTCAATCTGTACAAAGTCTTCAGCTAAATTCTTATGCATTGGATGTAGTGCATACTTCTGTTCGACACATTTCAAAGAACATCAGCAACAACTCTCAACTAAATTCGACAATGAAATCGTAAAATCGCATGATGCACTATTTGAACAAATCCAAAAATTAGAAAATTCGAATCAAGTACCATCAGATCTTTTTGCTCTAATTGAACAATGGAGAAAAGCAACAATTGATAAAGTAGAGAAAACAGCAGAAAGAGCTCGTCACGAACTTACCGAACGTTTTGATAAAAAGCGAAAAGTAATGGAAAAACAACTTGAGTCAATTACAAAGGAAATTCATATTCGTCGAAAAGACGATGATTTTGTCGAAACTGACATTCATCGACTTCGCCAACAAATTCATGGCATTCAACGACTACTACAGCACTATATTGGAAAAGATACCACCAAGACCACGATCCTTATTGATAATGATCAAATCGATTGGAATCGACTCATTTGCATTCGAGGAGACCAACAAAATAGCAAGTATCTTAAACTAAAACCAAATAATAGGACATCTTTTCTATAGCAAGAAGTTATTTAGAAATCGCTGATAAATTAAGTTGTCTTTCTCTTTCAAAAAATTTGTCAATTATCTCGAAATCTTTTCAAGATCATTTAATTATTTATTTAATTTTGTTCAAAATTCATTTCGATCAGAAGTAATGATTCATGTGACAAAAGGATTTTCAAATTATGAATATTTCATCTATCTGTTTTTCTGTCTCTCTATCGATACGTATTAACCGAATATCAAATTTAATGAAATCATGTTTGTTTTAGCAACATTTTTGGACAGTATAAATGTAGATACAAAATGGTTGCAGAACGGTGTCACTGTAGCTGGAGGAAATGAATTTGGCAGTGAGATGAACCAACTGTATCATCCATGGGGTTTGTGTATTGATGATGATCAAACTATCTACATTGCTGAATATTCAAATCACCGTGTTGTGGAGTGGAAATGTGGTGCAACGACTGGCCGAGTTGTAGCAGGTGGAAATGGGCAGGGAAACCAATCTGATCAATTGAACTATCCAACAGATGTTATTATTGATGAAGAAACAGATAGTTTAATTATTTCTGATTATAACAATAAGAGAGTAGTTCGATGGTCTCGCCAAAATGGTATACACGGCGAAACAATTATCTCAAATATTGGATGTATAGGTTTGACAATGGATGATGATGGATTCCTTTATGTTGTTGATCATGATGCACATGAAGTCAAACGGTATCGAGTGGGAGAAAATCATGGAACTGTTGTTGCAGGTGGAAATGGGCCAGGAGATCGTCTCGATCAGCTGTATTATCCGAGATATGTGACCGTCGATCAAGAACATTCCGTATACATATCAGAGTATGACAATCATCGTGTGGTGAAATGGACAAAAGGTGCAAAGCAAGGAATTATTGTGGCTGGTGGTCATGGTCAAGGATATAGTTTTACGCAATTATCAAATCCTTATGGAGTCGTCGTGGACCAGGCAGGTAATGTCTACGTCGCTGACTATGCGAACAATCGAATAATGCGTTGGAGTTCCGGAGCTACACAGGGAAAAGTTATCGCTGGTGGAAATGGCCATGGAAATCAATTAAATCAACTCCATAGTCCCATCAGTTTTTCGTTTGATCGACAGGGTAATATGTATGTGAGTGATAGTGGAAATCATCGTATACAGAAGTTTAATATTGATCAGCATTAATGACTTTTTTAAAAGTTACATTTCTTCAATATTTCTTATTTTATTTTTAAATAATTGATCGAACAGTAAAGTCTCTTCCTCTTGCCTACAGGTATTTTCAGTCAGGTATCATCGCAAGAAATACATGAACTGAATTGGCGCTTTTGCGTATTGTAGAAAATTAATTAACTTAGAATACGAATTTGAGCGATGCTAGTCTTTATTCGAATGACTAATTTATTGATACTAATTCAAATTGTGATACTGGAAAAGATATGGACGTATATAGGAAAAACTGTCACAAGTATATTTCAACGTAGCCTTATTCTTAAAAAGTATCAATGACAAAATAAAAGTATACACAGGCGGCACGAATGAATTACGTAATCCGACTAGACTCAATGAACGGTGTCAAAAACAGATGCATCATTCATTCAACAAGTTGTCGAAATTAAACCGTCCGTTTGATATTCAATGGAAGATTTCTTAATTTTGTTTTCTTATTCCTTGTATTAAAAACCCTAAGAAGAAATTCATTGATAGAAAAAAATTGGAAACTTTTCATTAGTTCTACCAGCCAACAGGTACAGTGCACGCTGAGCATATTTTCGATTCCATAAGAGTGATTCTCATTCAACAATGAATCCATTCGACCGATCGCAATAATTTAAATGAGTCAGATAATTTAAAGTAAGACACACTCTCCCTAACAGAGTAAAACGATGACGTTAAAATTTCTGGGCATGCTATTGATTGCAATTGAATACAAAACAAACATCAAAGACAATATTTTGTGTTTTGAATAATCAACAATGAATATATCATTGCAAAATTCTTACACATAGACAACACGACATAGCAATATATGAAAAGAAAATTCTATGAGATATTCACCAAAGAGTACCAAAATTTGATCAAATGCGATAGCTAACTTCAATGCAAACGAACAAAACTAAATTAATTTTTTTCTTTTAGAATTCAATTAGTAAATAAAGAAGATGATGAAATCAAGTTTTGAGTTCTTGTTGGACAAGACTTATCCAATAGGCAACACCAAATGGAATTGCATCATCATTAAAGTTATAATCAGGTGAATGCAATTTAACCGATACTTTTTCATCATTGATACCCATAAAAATAAAAGCACCTGGTCGTTTCAAAAGCATAAAAGCAAAATCTTCACCGCCCATGATAGGTTCTCTGTTCTTGTTCACGTTCACTGTACCAACGACTGCTTCAGCAGCGTTGATTGCTCGTTGTGTTTCTTCATTGTGATTAACGAGGGGGATACCTCCTCGATTGTACTCTATATGAGCTGTACAATCAAATGCCGTTGCTAAATTATTTGCTAGTTCATTCATACGACGTTCGATAAGATTACGGACTGATTCAGTAAAACTTCGTGCAGTACCTGCAATACGTATTTCAGATGGCATAACATTAGCCGATAAGAAAGAACCGCCTTGGATGGCACCAACACTGATCACTGCTGAATCAATTGCATTGACATTACGACTAACAATTGTTTGTAGAGCCACGATGAACTGTGCTTGTAAGACTGTTACGTCTGTTGCAAGATGAGGTCCTGCACCTCCGTGACCTCCTGTACCACGAAATGTAACATACCAACGATCGGATGCTGCCATGAGAGGGCCTGATCGTATAGAAAATGTTCCTAATGGTTCCGGCATATTGTGTAATCCATAGACCGCATCGACGGGAAATCTTTCGAATAAATTATCATTAATCATTGCAATTGCGCCTCGAAGTCCTTCTTCACCCGGCTGAAAAATAAATTGAACGGTTCCAAAGAATGAATCTCGATGTTCAGCTAAATATTTTGCAGCGCCAAGTAGCATTGTCGTGTGTCCATCATGACCGCAAGCGTGCATGATGCCAGGTTTGGTTGAAACATATGGTACATCACATTTTTCAATAAGTTCCAGAGCATCCATATCAGCACGAAGACCAATAGAACGAGTGCCTGGCTTACTACTTGTCAATGTTCCAACAACACCGAATTGACCGACACCTTTAGTCACGGTTAGACCCCATTCATTGAGCTTAGTAGCGACAAGACTTGACGTTCGTTCTTCTTCCATGGCCATCTCCGGATGAGCATGAATATCTTGACGAATCTTTGTTAATTCTGTTTGCAAATTACGCACTTCTAGAAGTAATGAATCGTTCATTTTTACTTTTCGATTGACTATTTCAAATATGTTTGACAGAACAGATGCGATTTAGTCTAGAAAAAAAGCAAGAAGAACTAATTATGCAAGATACAACATCATTTTGACGATTTTTGATAGCATCAGTATTAGTGCAATAATATTACATTTTGTTATGCTTCGTCATATCATAATTATTATTGTATTGTTTACATAACAGAACACATTTTTACATACGCAATCATAAGAGGTAAGCAAAGAAGAATGCACAGATGAAGGAGAAATTAACAAAGGAGAGCGACGACATTGTTTACAATACATAGGCAACGTATCGAGAGAGAACAATAAAGTATACGATAAAAAGAAATGGCAAGCAAAAATTAAGCATCATGCATGAACACCCAGTTTAATTATGTAAAAAGACTTTCATATTGGTATCGTGTAGACTGAGTTGAAAATGCCACAACAATTGAATATACAATAGATATAATATTTTGACATAGGTAGGCATACACAGATAGAAGGACGAATATAACATTATAGGTTGTTTCACTCTTATCTAATCTATGTTGACTTTTTACGCATTTAACCAATCATTGGTTGTCTAATTCTTGTTTTGTTAACTGTTTGCGAGTTTGCTCTCTCTTTTGTATGTTAGACAGTTAAAGGACATGATGTGGCCATTTTAATGTTCTATTCAATAATAGAGTGAATTAAGATTGATTTCTTATATATCAGTGAACAACACAGAGTATGATTGAGGGTGAAAAACTAAGGAAACAGTTTATGATCAAGTAACTATAGACCATCAAATTAGATCGAAAGCAAACAAACTCTGACAAAAAGATTTAGAGTAAGATGAGACTTAGCCAAAGACTATGCTCAACTTAGAAAGGAAGTTCTTAAATTTGTAAAAATCAGAGAATTTTAAAATGAAATAATGATAATAATCTTAAATAGACGCTAAGTTATTGATCGAATAACACTATTGAAAGACAATTTGAATTTTTTTATTTCAGTTATAACTTCATCTGAACGTTAACAATGTTTTCTCTCGGGTATTTCATTATATTACAAAATTCTGGTATTTCATGGAGTTCTAGCCACACGAACTGTTGAATTTTGAAGTATTTGCAAACACCCAAATGACACTATTGTGGGTATACTACTACAAAAATATCTAAAAAACCTAAGAACCTTCCTACTATTCAACAGGATTGATGTACCTGTGTGTAACAGCAAGGAATTATTGCAGAATTTAGCAAAATATTTCATGCAGAAACATCTACATGAAACAAGTATTATTACAGAAAAATACCAGTAATTCTTAAAGTTCCATCTTTTCGTTTCAATACAAAAAAAATGAATGTATCCAACAATTGATTATTTTTTAGTCGCAATACAGGACCATCATATTCTCTGATAAGATATTTGCAATTGACATTCCATATGCATTGTTACTTCGGGTTTTTCAGTTGTAGATTAAAATTTACTTTACAAAAAACATTCGGAATGCTCGAAAGCAATTAGAAATATATTCGACTCAATATTTGCTACAGTACACGAGACAAATAAAATAGAAAAATAAAGTACTCTGCTAGTGGTTCTTCACTAAATCGATCTTAGTAGATACGTATACAAGTATTCGCTTAGTACATGTACGAATATGGATACTTAGCCAAATAATCAAGTCACCATGACTAGTCAGGATTATTCAAAGTACCTCCGTTAGTTAACCTACTGGAATTTGTTCAGTAAATCGGTTTCCTGAGCTTAGCACATTCTTTAGAATCACATGATATTTCGAACGAGTGTTATGACAAATGTTAAGTATCTGTCTGATGGGTGGCAGAATTTACGCTAAACCAGTTTTTGTTTATGATTTACATAAATTTTTCAATAGATGGATCTTTCTTTTGATATGTATGATCCGATTATAAATATAAAGTGACCCTGTTATACAATTGAATTAACGAAATAAAACGAATAATAGAACACCGACATGAGCTATATTGTCCTAGTTTTGTGTATATGCAAAATAATTGAAAAGATAGCAAGGAAATATATACTATAATTAAAAGAAAAGTACACGAGAATAAACATAAAGATAGACGATTTCCAATATCTTATTCTTGCACAGATATCCAGTTGTCATTTTATTTTTATAAATCGTTTATTTCTCTACGATAATTTTCATACTGCAGCATAGGATCCTACGACTTTTTCTGAAGGAAAATAATGTAAATAACAATAGCATAAAAATTAGAATGAGAGAGCAGATACTCATCCATACTGATGTTGATGTTGTTTACTTAGTATTTGGTTCGATTCGAAAAATAAGAAGACTTTTATCTGTTTCGACAAAAGAAAAAGATAGATAACAGTAAGCATAGAAGCAGAGGTAATGGAAATAAAATAATCAATAGAGTTATTCTGCCTGAATGTGTACTCATTAGACGTTTGAATAGTGATGATTGATTTGATGAGTTTAAATTGCATACTCCACTAAATGATAACGGTACACAAACTTTTCTTGCACAACCTGAATCAATAATACACACAGACGATGAAGTTGAGCAAGAATGACAATCTGGAAATATTGAACATTGAAATTTTGGTGCACAGAACTGAATACTGCTTGATGTTTGATAACAGACACATTCATGTTTCTTCAATGTCTTAATTTCCATCGTTGAAAAACCTTCTTTATCATTTGATTCTACGAATATAACAAAGAATCCAAATTTATCATCAAAAGTAAGAAATCATTTGATTTAGATAACTACCATTGTTGCGAATACAATTGTAATCTTTATCGCATTGGCTTTGATTTACTTGTTTACACCATTTTGAATACTTCAATTCTTCTGCAGCTTGTATCCAATATTTTACTTCTAATGCTTTTTGCATTTGATTGAATGTCTTCAATGTTCGACAACTAGTAAAAGCTACATCAATAATTGCATTTCTTTTCGTTGATGGCAGATTAGAAACATATTCGTCTACACATCTGGGAGCTTCTGGATACGAAATTCTGTAAAAGATATCTTTAGCTTGATCGTTGGCCAGGCAGTATGTTGATGTATTTCTATGACAATCACTTAAAACTTGTGATAATGTTAAATTATACATGGACATGACTGTTTTAGAGTTGTTTTGTAAAAGTTGATATCCAATGCCTATCGTTGGCGTTTTCTTGATATCATAATGGCAACATAGTTGTGTTTCGTGATTGATCATGGTTTGTTTTGAATCACACATTGTTGACATTAATCTTGTCCATGCAAAAAGCAAGACTATTTGCAACATCGTAGCTAAAGGTTTTGTATATTGCATGATCAATAAGAAGGTAATCAAAACGGAGTAGAATTGATCCAAGAAAAAAAAGCGCATACAAACGGAAAGCTTCCGATGTAAATTAGAAAGTAAGTCTAGTTTTGAAATGGATTACTTCATAGTATGATAGATTTTATTTGCATAATATTCTTTCATAGATGTAAAAAATTATTCGTAATAAATATTGTCATTCAGCAATCATACAAGGGAGCCAAGTGATCCTTAAAAAATGTAAATCAATGCGATATTCCGCTCAGGGACGGCGCGAACGGGGAGGGGGTTGGGGGGGGGGGGGTTACCCCCGCCAAATTGGGAATTTTTGTTTGAATTTTTTAAAAANGTTTCCCCCTCCAACTTTGGAAATTTTTGTTTCAATTTTTGAAAAAACCTCTCGTTTTTGAAAAAAAACCTCCCGTTTTCAAGTAACCCCCCTATACTTTTATTACTTCGCGCCGTCTCTGATTCCGCTTATAAAATATGCATCACCATATCTATTCAGACTAAATTAATACTAATACATATGTAATTCAATTAAATGCTTGTCGTAGAACATGGGTTTTTGAGTTCGTACGACGAGTTCTCAGACTGAACAACGACAAAGTCAAAAATGATCGATTCCATATTTATCGTATCCTTTCATACGAGTGCAATATATTCTATTAATAAATATAAGAAATTAGAAGTAAGTGTTCTCTAAAAATGTCCACTCATTCACTGTATTATATAATTGATTTATTATACTTGCCACGAATTTATAAATCTTTATAGGGCTACTAAACCGTTCGAGATCTAATTTATTTTATATACAAGACCATAAATTAATGGATTTCGAATATTCTTCAAGTAGTGGCACTCTCCGTGACACAGAACAGCAAGTTAACCTGTTTTTCTGCGTAATAGAATCTGCGATGGAACTAAATTTCATTATTTGCTAATTGAACCAGCTTTTCATCATCTGCTTATCAATTCCTAATTCGAAGTTACGACGCAGATGCTTGCAATCTTCTTTAAAATAGATTATGCCACATTGATGAAATTCATTCATTGAGAATTCTTCAGAAACACCCGTGTAGCCACTACTAAGAGTACCTTTTTGTTTTGAATTCAATTATTTAAGCTTTGCGGAGCGTTTGGCATTTTGTTTTTATATAAATGTTTATGCCAATAATAGAAGGCTCTTGTCAGATTTCTTCGTTTTTTCACTTCTCAAAGTTTCTAGCATTATGAAACGGTAAGAAAAATGCTATCTAGCACATTTACATGTTGCACAGTACAGTTTTTGTTTTCTTTGATCAACTCATTAGAGAGAGCATCTATGTAGGAAAGCGTTCTCTTGTTGCCTGACATATTTTGTATTTTTGCTTTTCGTTGTGATTCAAACTAATAAAGACTGAATGTAATCAATGCAAACAGAACAAAGAAGGTGAATGATCGAATGCTGATGTCAAACTAGAAACGGCATCGGGTAAGAAAACATGGGCCGCATTGAGTATATCTTTTCCAATGGTTATTATTGTTAATCATAAAGGCCATCAATAGGAATCAATGATGTGTTCTTCATAATGAAATGAATTTTTGAGGACAACAGTAATTGTGAGCCATGTGATTGTCTCGACAGTTCATCGCCATAACAAACAAGAATGTGAGCATTAAGCTACATAGTTAAACAGACATTCAAGTTGAACATTTGCATCTATCCTTAAAGTCAGTACAATAAGATTGCAACAACTTCTTTCATTCTTTATCACGCTAAAATTCGTGCATTGATTATTTTATTTCATCATAAATTAGTTAGTCACATTTGATTGTATCGAATATTCTTAATTTGGAATATTTTAAAGGTTGGATTTATTTCTGATATGATGCGTTTGTATTTGGTATTTTTCAAATTTTCAATTACTTTAGAGAGTAATCTAATAAGAAGAAGGTGTATTGAATGTTTGAGCTATGGCAGCGACTATAAGTTGTTATCTTTTATTTTATGTGATATTTCATAAGATTACACCACTATGAAGACGAAATCAGATTCAATACGAAAGTCCTATTAGATTTTATTCTTTCAAATATCAACCAGTGTTACTACATATTCGAAAAGCACACAAAGTAAATAGATATGATCAACTTGTCTTTAACCGTTGACTTTTTTTTTGTGAATACTATTGTCATCATGCTTATCTTAACTGCAATGATACTGGTTGACTATTTGTCATGTTCTTCATCGTTTGCGTGATGTCATTATTTGCTAAAGGCTTCTCAAATAATAAATAGTTAGCACAATCGACTGCAGAAGTAGATGCACGCCAAAATGTACATGATGGGTAAACGGCTACAACTAGTCTTCCTTTTAAATTTATTTTCTGTAGCGTTGTCATGGTATTCATGTCCATTCAACGATGGATCCCTTAATAAAACTATACAAAACAATATTACCATTCAAGCTGAGTGCATGTACTTAACTAGTCCACTCGAGTGGAATGAATTCAATCCAAATACTTTCGATGGATTGTACTACAATTCGACTAAGACAATATCCTTGACGGATCTACATATGAAACGTTTATATTTCTCGGATTTACCACCACGAAATACTTCCACTATCAAACATATCATCAACTATTGGCTTTTAAAATGGTGGCGGTGGCTCTCAATACGGAATGGAAACATTTGGTGTATCCATGTTGAAACAAATTATTTAAAATAAGTATCATCAAACATATCCTCAGACACATCGAATAATATACCTATTTCAATACAGAGGAGCGGGTTTGAGTAAACCATCGATCCATTGTTATACTGCAAAGACATGGATTGAGTGCGCTAGGGAATTGATTCAAACAACAGTACCCAGTTCTGTCAATGACTCATTGAAAATAATCAATGCTATGACAAATTAAAATATTGCGCAAGATTTACAATATCAAATTCAATATGCAATCAATCAATCACAGTCAATATCTCCGACGTCTACTTATATCTATGGTTTAAGTCAAGGTATGAAATAAAAGTTGCCAAGACATGAATGAATTGGCTAAAATTCAGGCAATAGACTAAAGATGAGTACTTAGGGCGTGGGTGTGGATACTTCTATTATCTTATCATACCCACCGACACCGACACCCATCACTGATAAACTCGTGTCAGTGTGCATACGTTGTTAACTTCATGTTATTATCTAGTCTAGTAACGACGTGGATAATTTGTATCTTTTTTGTTTTGTAATTAGGTACCACTATTATTCAATATTATCTATCAATTCAATCAATCAATTCACACTTACAGACAATCGATGGTATAATTCTCGATGGCATAATGTCAATAAAAAGGTCAGATGCTTTTCAAAATCAAATCAAATCAATCAATAATCGATTCTATTTGTATTTATCCAAATGTCAAAATGATATTTCATGTGCGAAAACCTTCGCACTTGTCACTGGTACTGATCAAGACATAATAACTGTTACATTAGCATTACAAATGCTTTTTCTGACCAATTTGACAAATCCTCTATGTACAACCAATCTGGGATTAAATGATTGGGATTTATTTGCTCTTATCGCTAGTGAAAGTATTGAACTTATATCTGCTCGTCCACTTGCTGCTATATTGATTGCTCGTCTCTATCGTTGTTCAATTGAAGATCAACGAATTCTATCTCGAGCATTACCAATTTTAATTGCTTTGATAGAAAAATCGTTAGCACCAAGTTTAATTGATCCACCTGATGTATATCCAGATGATGGAAATGTTTTAAGTATAACAACAGTGTGGAGCGATTTTGTTGGATTCACTCTAGAAGAAAATTTCAAAACAAATATTACTTTTTTCAATGATTTTTGCATTAATAGTGCTGCTATCAATAAATATTATTTAGCATCTACAGGTCCAATGCCAGTGTGTCGTGAAATAGAACATTGGAAATACAATTATACCATTCCGTCTGTATTCAGTGAGATTTTATATACGAAAAACCCTCGTTATTGGGGACAATTTCAAGTTAATTCACAGATTTTTCGATCGAACAAAGACGGTGCATTATTATTAAATGGAGATTTAGATTATAATTCACCAATGTATTCAGCACAACAAACACAAATATGGTTTCAATCTGAACATATACCTACAAAACTGATTGAAATGAAAGGTTTGACTCATGTCACTAGTGTACAATCGTATACGAAACAAGGTGGATTTCAATCAACAACATGTACAGATCAAATTGTTGTTCAATTATTGTATCAAAACGAGTTGAATTTAAATTTAGACACGATAGATTATACGTGTAGTTCGAAAGAAAATTTAATTGGTATAGATTGGTTGTATTCGAATCCGATTGTCAATCAAACATTGTATACACTATTTGGTAATTCAACTACAAACTATTGGGGAACAAATACAACAGTAAAAGGATTAACTAAACGAAGAAAAAAACCCACCGTAAATCAATCTGAAAAATTTTATGCCGAACGCATGTACTTACACAATTGATCTTACTATTGCATTGAATATCAATATCGATGTAACCGCATTGGGAATACAGCAGACAGAATAATGCTTATTTATTTATTTTATTTCAAACAGTGTGTCATAATAATCGTTCAGAAATTCAATTGGTGTAAAGAAGATCTAGAGAATTTCTTAATTTGATCAAACGGGTTTTGTTTTGCACATTCAGATAGCTTTTCAGTCTACTAGTGGATGAAGGTTGTATGCATAAAGTTTTACTGGCAGTGCAAAGTACTTCAGCATCTATTGAAGTAAAAACAACTTTTCAGATTTTAATGATGAATATGTAAATAGTTTAAGAGAAAGATTTTCCCATGTGCACATGATGACGATGAAGTAGCACTTTCTACATATATACTATTATCAATATTTCTAACTTGAAATCCTACATCACTCAATTTTTTCTTAGATATCACGCTATCATTAAGAATAAATAAACATCGTGAAAGTTAAATGGCTTCTGCTTTTGGAGAGATTTCAGAATTTTCCCAATATGACTTTTGTCAACTGGCAAAGTTTCAGGAGCGTGCACTACATCTGATAGATTCTATATGATCTATTTAAATAGGCGATGAAAACAGAAGAAAACTTGACTTTAAAAGTTATGCATACTACAGAGTTATTTAGGCAGCATAATCGATGGATCAGTTTGAAAATTTTTACTTTTAGTCGAACCTCTTTTCTAGCTATTATATTGGGTATCCTAAAATTTTGCTACAATCAAAACTATTTCTTCCATTTTTTTTGAATGCATGATACGAAGTAATAATTTGCTGATCGAACTTTCATTTGATTAATTCTGTTCAATGAATTAATTTTTCTCGACGAGTGCACTGCCACTAACATTCATTCATTATAATATCAATTTTGGCAGTAGAGAAATAACTAGGAAAAGAACAAGTTTACTGTTCTTGTACGATCGCTGCAGTATCACTTTCTTGCTTTTTGTAGAAAGATGATTTCTGGTTTGAATAAGGAGGTATCTCTATTGGAAATTAAAAAATTTTCTCATTGGACCAAACTGGAGCGTAATTGGCATCATTCTGACGAACTTCAGGTCGACTGTAGTGTCCAGCTGAATCTATGAAAACTTGGATTATACAAAGTTGGCTAAGATCAATATTACAAATGATGAGTTTTTGTTCCAAACCTTGGTGAGGTCCATCGAGGTATATATTGAAAGGATGAAGGGTTCCACTAATGCCTCCACCAGTCTTGATTAGTTCTTGTTTACCTAGTTTAGTTTCCATCCAATCACGACAATAGTGGTCCACCGTATTAGATGCATAAATTACCCAACATTGACCGCTCGGTGCGTGACTTTTCATCATAGCATCAATCTTAATTAATATATTGTAGATATTAAAATTTTGAAAAAAAATGAATTAAATGATACATTAAAAATATGTCACAAGAATTTTATCGTAATTGAGTCTCCTTCTACAACAAAAAAGAGACTTCTCATTTAATTTTTCACAAAATTCAGATATATTCTAATTATCATAAATGATCTCTATTGCGTATGATATACAATACCATCCATTCGTTCGAATGATGTTCTACTGTTTGTTTTGAAATAGTTCATGTACTGATTAATCGATTCTGATACTACTTGACCAATCTTCATTTGAACTAATTTACCTATTAATTTCTAACAAGATTAAGTAAATCGTAGTTCATCAACAAGTGTCTAGTTCTTAAATATGAGAAATCCAAAGAATTCATGAAAAAATACTAGTTCCATGTTCGACATGAACAATAGCATGGTTTTCTTTAAAAACTATTTACACATTCTGAAAATAATCGATTTTACTTAAATTCACCGAGAAAAAAGTGAAATGTAATAAACGACTTTGAAGCATCATATTTTGACGAACGGTCTTTAATGAGTCATCAATCGTTTTTTTTTGTAAATTTCTCGAAAAAGTGATGAAAAAGTTTGATACTATTTGAAACTTTCAATCAACCTACTATTGAAAGGTCAGCATCGATGGCAAAAAAATCTACATCGACAATTTACATGTATTCTTGAGTTTAACAACCGGAGAAGGTCCGTATTTTATTAGCACTATAGAAATCACATGATCACCCTTATTTTGTTTTTAAATAAAAATACTTTTTTTTATAAATTTTCTCAAACAAGTCTTCATATCGAAATCAAGACTAAGTGTGCTATTAATTTGACACGTATGTTTTCCATCTCTTTCAGATGCTAGGTATTTTTTGTTTGTTATTGCAGAGCTCAAGATTGAGTTAGTGAAAAAACGATGAATTTAATTTGATTACAAAGTGGATTTCTGCACATTATTCATTAATTAATTATTAAGTCAATTATTTTCTTGTAATTAATTTTTTTCCTATTCTTAAAATTATCAAAAAAGTTTTTTTGTTTTAAAATTAGATACTAACGTTAGGCAAATGTAGGTAACGTTTATTATTTAACTTGTTGCTATACGTCAGATGATTTTAGATCACAGTTGATTAGAAGATTTCGAAAGCATGCATCCAAATATAAGCAATAAAACCTATATACTATTTAGTTTTTCCTGTCGGAGAGAAAAATATCGGTGAAAAATGAAAAGAAACATCATTTCCATCACACATTCGACGAGTTGAATATTTATCAAAAAACAGATCAATATTATTGACAATTTATAATTGTTCTCAGCGAAGAAAAACTTCCAGTTTTTATTATCATTCACATTATTCTTGATGTTACCCATCTGAAAAAAAAGTAGATTTCTATCTTCTGTTTACAATTGTGTCTCATTCTATTTATGTTAATTAGATACGCTTCGCTTCAATTTCTTTCCTTTCTTTTCTTTTTCTGTTGTTTTTATTTTGATCGTGCTCTCGTGTATTACCAAATTTTGTCATGTTTGTTGGTGTTTTTCCCCATACTTGGGCATATATTCACATAAGGCACTCTTTTCTCATTCGTTTCTTTTTTTTCGTCTTTTTCTTTACTTTTATCTATTGACATACAAGAAATAAATCGTCCAGTTGTAAAATTATTTTCATTGATAGTGATAAAACATAGATTTATTTATTTATTTACAGTATTGACCGTTGAAAAACACTAGGTAACCATGCATACAAATGTTAATATAGCTATACGAAAATCGTATTGAAGACAATGAATAAACAATTTAAAATGATGTTTTTTTATTTGTTCATTTTTATTCCTGCGAGTCAAGTTATTCAGTATGATTAATTACATTATTTAAATATGCAGATTGTTGAACAAAAAGGTACTAGATTAATATGTTTAAAAGAGAAAAACTGTTGGATTATAGATAAGAGTTCTTCGTAACTATTATATTTAAAGGATTTTGTAATAACTGCATGTTGAAATTTCTAGATTTTCAATAAATTTTATCTAATTGATAGGAACGGTAATCCATTGTCATTGCATTTCATATGAGAATTCATTGTGGAAATAACTTCTTTTGAATATTTTTCGAAACTGAATAACTACACGCAATTAGTTTATGTTCATGAAATGTTTCATGCATTGATTTTGTATCTTCAATTGAAATAAAACTTGCAGAATTCGAACAGAAATATAAAATAGAGTGATATATATATATATATATTCATTTAGCATGTTCTCATTTCAGATTATTAATAACACAAGAGCTATTATGGCTGAAAAGGTGTATTTAGTCAATCCAGAAACAGGTAGTCGTCATCGTCTTAACGACTGTAAACCCTGTCCAAGACCATCGTCTTCGCTGAAATTTTCATCCTCACCAAAGTATCGGAACAAAGATTTACCTAAAACAGTTGATTTAAGTTCAAAAATGACGCCAGTAGAAACCCAAGAGGATACTGCTGCATGGTAAGTATTTAACCATATTTCAGGATGAACTCAGTGAAAAAATTTCAGAATAACTTCATTAAATAAGATTATTCAAATTTTACAATCACGTTCTAATGTTTCGTCTAGCACCGTTTGATTCTTGCTCATCTATGAAGATTGTTTGAATAAAAAAGAATTATCTTTTCATTCTAGTGTTGGTAATGCCTTAGCTGGTAAGGTCTTGCCATTTATGTTTATCGATAGATTCTAAATTTCATTTTAGCTGCCTATGAATTTTTAATAAAGAAAAAAACTGGACGCGATATTGATGTTAGTCGTTTATTTATTTATTATAATGGTCGTGTTAGAGATGCAGTCGATGAAGGTATTATCGAAGATTCAGGTTGCTCTATTGCAGGTGCTATCGAAGGATTGAAGGAGTATGGTTGTTGTAAAGAAGACTGGTTTCCGTATGATATTAGAAAAGTCAATCAAAGACCACCAAAAAATTGTTATGACGATGCTATTCACTTTCGTATCACGCATGGTCTTGTGTTAAAACCTAATCTGCAAGAAATGAAAGTATGTTTAGCGCAAGGCTACCCGTTTGTATTTGGTCTCAAAACATTTAAATCATTTTCAACAGCTGAAACCAATGGTGGACTGGTACCGATGCCAGAACCCAATGAAGATATTAGTCTAGACCATTATCAGCATGCAATGTTGGCAGTTGGATATGATGATAAATTAAAACAGTTTATTGTTAAAAATTCATGGGGTCCAAATTGGGTGAGTTGCGTTAGATAATTAATTAACAGCTTTTGCTGATATTGTTTGGTTAGCATCATTTTTCTTTGAATTCAACATGAAACGAAAGATTCATCACAAACGAATTAATCTCCTGGCTGAACAAAGTGTCCCGGAAAAAAGAGTGACTAAAACGGAATATATCCATTCATTTACTCTATATGAAAGAGAGCAAAATAATTTATCATTTTATATTTTGATTTTTGACTTGAAGTCGAAAATGTCAGCCAGCAGTTCTTAAAGCCTGAGAAATAAAAGTTCTCTCTCAATGGTTTAACAATTCTGTAGTTCATAAGACCCAAAATCAGTACTATCTATGGCAGTTCTTATTCTGAGATTTATATCTATTAAGAAATTTAGGAACATGCGCGCATGAGTATGACAAATGCTAGTGACTTATATGAAACACCAAAAATATGATAGCACTATAACGACTACTTCTAACTTATCCTAGTAATAATTATAGCATCGTTTAAATGTAATTTACTATACTTCAAAAGTATTCACAGTTCTCCACTCTTGTACATATCTGATATTTTAACAGAAACTGAGCTGCTAGCACCTTCAAATGAGATCTTAGATCATTCTTTTTTTGATAAAGTGTATCATAAAAGGCAAACATTATTTTACTGCAAGTACATCGGACGTATCAAAATGCAGCATTTTTTCTTTCTCATAGTTGGGTTTGATTTGTTTTCTATATGATACATTGCTACAAAAAAAACTTCATAGAAATTTTGGCAGTTTCAGTACTTCCATTCCTCTGCTTTATTTACTTTATTACTGGAACATCCATGTGATATGAGAATAGTTGAAAAGAAATACTTATATAATCTGAATTTTGGAAAGTTCTTTGATGCAAAGCTCGCGGCGTGAAAGACTAGAAAAAGCATGTATTGCTGATTATCGGTAAATCTGTGTTTGGTGCTGCTCATCGTGAAGGATAGAAAAAAAAAGCTTGATTGAAGCGCTCTCTGTTGTATTTAAAAAGTCATACTGATAAATAATTACAACCTCGGAAAAAACTTCCTCTCTACATGAACTATCAGTTGATTTACTTTTAGGGTCACAATGGATACTGTTACATTCCTTATGATTATATGGCTAATAAAAAATATTGTTCAGATTTACACACAATAAAAACCATTTCGGAAAGACAGCGTCAGCGTAGAGAACGCATTGCTGAAAATGGAAAAGGTAGGAATAATGCAAAAAATAAGCCAAATGAGTCGAAAATTGCGCATAATTCACTCAATCCACAGCTGCTCGATGATGACGATGACGATGATGATGATGATCACGATGATGATGATGACGATGATGATGACAATAAAGATATTTTCCAGAGTGATTCCTTTTGGAAAACAGAACGATCAGATTATATACAAACAATGACCAAAAAATATCATGAAACACTTTCTGCAAGACAGCAGGATGCATCGTCGCAAAAGAAAGTTCAACCTTATTTTGAAAACATTTCAAGACAAGCAAACTTAAATAAATCGTACATTCTTTGGATTGATAAGAAGATTGGAGATAATGCTTTTGTTGCAAATCAACTAACCAGTGATTCACAAATTCATATCGATTTTTGTGAGACCCTTGCAGTCGCACAAAATCATGTAGAAAGAAATTTACACAAAATCAAATCAAATTCATCGATATTCCAAGTGATTTGTCGTGGTTATTATAAAAGTGAACATAAAAATGCATTGGATTTGTTATTTTTCTTGAATAGAAACCAATTAAAACATATACCGGCTACTATTTTTACACATGATAAAGAAGGTTTGATCAAACATTTAGATTATGAGGCATCACAGGTCGGTCTTGTTGAATGGAGAGAACGGTTTTACATTACAAGTGATACCAAAAAGTTGATTAAGAAATGCAAGTGCAATATTACACAAAAACATGATAAACCATCTAAATGATAAGTCGAATTAAGAGATTATTAAGAAAAAAAAGACGTTCTAAGAAAAACCAACGCAAAATTGAGTTATCTAACAAAAATTTGTATTTTTCATTTTTATTATATTTAAATAAACTAAAAAATGGCAAAGTCTTCGAATGAAATATAAATTCGAATATTTGATAATTAAGTTAATTATTAAGGGAGTTAACTTGACGTATAGATGTATTCAAGCAGATCAAACTTTTAAAAAGAGTTTCAAAATGATGTCAAAATCATTCTTATCACTGTTTTACATCATGTAAAAGCGTTGACTGATTTCATACGTGTTCTAAGTCTATTTTCCATCATTTAGTTTAGTGCACCGACGTGATAAACTATTTAAAAAAGTTGCATTTTATTTCTACGACAGGCAAGAATCAGGTTCAAACAAAGTTATTTTTGTCTTCACAGATAGTCTCCGAATGATCGAACGTTATTTATTTGTTTTTCAACAAGATAATGAAACGAAACTGTTGAACATGGTGATAACTGTCAATACACTTCTTAGGTTGAAAAATAGATCCATCATCTCGATAAATTTAGAGAATGAAGAAAAGAACTTCATGCGTTCTCTATTCCTTTTTTTCCAAATTAGAATGACGCACTGATTTTAATACTAAGATCTCGAAAGCACTACAGAGTTAGCTTATGCAAATATTTCAAATTAAATTTTGCTGACTGTTAATTTGCAACTACATTTATCAGTGAACTTACATATCTTTCAGTAGTCTATTTTTCACTTTACACAAATAGTCAAGCCAATTGCAAATGAAAGACATGCAGAAATATACGAAAATCTAAGGTACACCATTGACAATATTTATTTTATTTATCACATTTAACCAATGATTTTCTTTGAAATGTTTTATAATATGCGTGACGTTTGGTCTAATAACCGCGAGAATATATTGAAAACGAACAGCAGCTACATGATTTCATAACCGAATCTAATTTTATCGTTAATCTCCACCTTCTGACTTTTCACACTGCCATATTGGTTTTGCCTCTCATACTCTTTTAGTATATTTTATAAATCCAGTATTCATACAGACAGAGAATGTGTATCTATTTTTCAGTCATGAAAGAAAGAAACAAAAGTCAAAGTTTATTATTACAGGTCATAGATCAAACCTAACGAATGAAATTATTTTTGTCGAAAAAATCAGTAGACTTTGATACCTTCCTGTGTATACTGATCTATGTAATTTGGAACTATGGGAAAGTCCACCAAGTGACAGTGTTTAATGTTTGATGATGCCTCTCATATATACATATAAATACATGAATGTTGTCTAAAAAAAATAAAGACGTGGTAAAGAAGTTTTCTTGAGGTAGACTACTGACGAAAAAACTAAGCCTTACTTCGAATTCATGCTAGCATTTTTATGATTTTGTATAATACTTCGCATTGAACCGAAATAAGACTACTTTATTTGATCAGTTTAAAACCTGGAAACTTCAAAAGAGTATATATATATGTAAGTTAAATTAATTTATAAGTTTATTTTTCTAGATACATCAAAAACATGTTGTTATTCTACATCTCTCTTGTTTGTCTCGTCCAATCATCGTTCAGTGTCGAATTATCTATCTACAAAAGTTTTACTGAAGTTCATCAAGTTTGCTATGGAATCGGTGAACATGCATTGCAATTTACAAATGCTGATTATGGAAATATAATTGATGAATCAATCAGTTGGATAGGTACACCATTACTTCGACAAGAAATCTACAGTACAATTCAATCACTTCAAAATGCCAAAGTAATAGTACGCCGATCGACAGTGTGTGGATGTGAAACAATTGAAGCGAAAATTGTCGATCCTGATTCAATGTTACTGCAAAACGTGAATACAGGAGCCTATTTCTATGCCGATAAACAATCAATTGAATATTCGTCAGTACGACCGAACGAAGGTAGAACTACATTGGCACTTCGATTTGAAACTGAAAACACACAGTACAATGGAACATTGTCATATTTAATGAAAGGAATCACATGGAAACCTACTTACGATCTTTTATTAAGAGGCGAAAATGGTAAGTTGACTCAATCAGTTTTAAATCTAAAATTTCTTCTATTAAATATGTCGTTCGATTTCAGATTGCAAACTTGTTGCTTTCGCAAATATCAAGAATGACCAACAAAGTGAATATACAGTCGAAATGACTCATCTCTTGGGTGGTGATGTTCCACTAGCTACTGGTTATTCGAATCCGAGTCATGCATTAGAGTTTGATAAGAAACCAACAAATCTGAGACCAATTCAATTGGATGGGGAACAAAAAGGTGTGTACTCGTATTCATTGAACGATAAATACACACTACGCCCATCAAGTTCGATTCGTTTGCCATTCATTGATATTATTGCAAAATATAAATTCTACTACAAAGCATCGGCAAGCATCAGTGCAGGAACGTATCAAGGTGTCTTTGAAAGAATTTACGATCTAACGCCCGATCATTTCATGCCTGCTGGTACTGTCACTATTCATGATAATCAAGTACTTGTTGGTCAAGTGGCTTTACCTGATGTTCCTGAAAATTACACACAAACATTTGCAGTTGGCCAAGACAACGACGTTCGCTACACGATCAAGGGTAATTTAACAGCGAAGAGTGATGATAAGGCACCTAAATCATTCGAAACATACAATATCGACGTTAACGTTATGAATTTTAAGGGCAAAAAAATTGATACTCAACTTGTTTTCCAAGCGGGTATTCAAATAATCCTTCTTGAATCAACATGTAAGTCTGTTAATGTACAAGGAAATCAACTCAATATGTTAGTTCAACTCAATCAGAATGAACGTCGTTCGTGCAAGTTAAATGCTACGGTGCAATTCAATTAAGTCGACCGGTGAAATAGCTAAAAACATGGTTCAAATTCTAGTTTAAATTTACAATTAAAATAATAAAATCATATTGTATGTGTTTGTGAAACACTACGATTTGCAAGTTTTTGTTTAACTTTCTAACTTTACTGCTGTGAGACAAAACCAATAGAAACATATTCTAATTAAATAATTCTATAGTGGAAAAATTCTCTTTTATTTCCTAATTCACTGTTTAAATTGACGATAATTAAAGCATGTTCACACATATTTTGCATTCATATCGAGTAACATGACTTTTATTCAGCCTATCTCACTGCTATTCGACAAAAGATATTCATTTTTTTCCAAAGAGTAAAATATGTCTAGTTTTTTTTATCAAAAAACTTGAAAGCATAAAATTTTAATATTTAAAAATTTCGATAGATCATAGAGGAAAAAAGTTGTAGACGATCGATTTAATCCTATCCATCTAAAGTGTAAATATTATGGTATCAGTTGTTTGTCGATATTACTGTAGATGATTTCTCACTAATTATGCACAGTCATTGTGCACATAAAAATCATAAGTTTATTTTTTCTATTATTAACTCCTTATCAGTTTACGGCAGCATGATTAATATTTAGTAAAACTGTCATTCAAGAATTTATTTCTTCAAAAAGAACTATCATTGATTTACTGCTCATTGAAAAATTGTAATAAAAAATTGATCATTCAGATATATGTGTATTCGATGTATTTCTATTTCAATTTAATGGAAATTTTAAAAGATGTTGGTGACGATGTACAGTGACAATATATTATTTGAAGTAGCTTTCTTAGTTAGTTTTAAGTGTAAGGAACATTAGTTTCAAATTCAGCACACAAATACCCACACTCATTTTGTACACTGGGCAACACTGCATTGACAACTGTATGCAAATAGCTAATGAAATATTTTAGGTATTGAATCTTTTCGGTGTTTGTCTAGTTCGGTACAATATTATAATAAAAATAAAAATAATACTTCATATTAAATTAGTTTGATTCTAAATTGAACATCACATTCTTGTTTCGCTTTTTCTTATCAAAATATTTAAGAAAATAAGATTGCATCGAATATATTGAATTTATGTATGAAACGAAAAATCTAATATTCTGTTAGTGAATCGGATACATGAACATAGCAAATTAGAAATGAATAGGTTTTTATTGACGTGTTCGCATTAAACTTATTTTTAATGATATATTAATAGGCTTCTTTAAATAGTTAGTTATTCCTTTATTGTATAAGCAGTACATTCAATTTCCACTTTAGCATTAGCTGGTAACGTTTTAACCGCAACAGTCGAGCGAGCAGGATAATCTTCTGGTGAAGGGAAGAAGGATGCATAGATTTGATTTACTGATTGAAAATCGTTCATATCGGTTAATAGAACAAGACATCGTGCTATCTGATTTAAATCAGCTCCAGCTGCATTTAAGACAGCTTTAATATTAATAAATGCTTGTTGCGTTTGATTTCGGACGTCGTCTGATACAAGTTGACCTGTTGCTGGGTTAATTCCAATCTGGCCACTTAAATAAATCATGTAATTAATTTGAACAGCTTGATTGTAGGGTCCTATGGGTTTTGGAGCATCCTAAACAGATACACTACAAAAAAATTCAATGTGTAATATTAATTTACCGGTGTTAATATAACTTTCTTTTTAACATCATAATCATTTAACTGATTTTTGAATGCAGTATCTTCTAAATTCAATTTTGAAACAACAGAATTAATTTGAATCAAAAAGCCAAACAAACAAATCAGTCCAATGGTAGATACTTTCATTCTGGTGAAATTATTCGAATAAAATAAAAGACAAAATGCAAAAAGTTATCAAAGATAAACTGATACCTACATATTTATAAAGCGAAGAAGGCAAGTGTGTTACAATTGTGTAATAACAGTAAGATGTTGGATATTTAAAAGAATTCTCTATTTTGTTTCTACAAAACATATCTATATGAACATTGAGATAATAAAACGACTTTATATCCATGGAAATTCGAGAGCTTTTATGTGTCACAAATTTTCGTTCTGTATCAATTTTGTTAACATGAAACTTATGTTTTAATTGCATTAAGACTAAACTAACGTATTGTAAATCTGATTATTTCACAATCTAAGCTTTTTTTTTTAATGTTATACTCATGCTGATTCAGCGAATAAAAAACACACAACATGAAAGTTCCTCAAAACTATATCATCATGATCTTCTTAATTCATTTGCATCGTGACAAACCGTCCGCTTTATCATTATGTCTATACAAGAACGACAACACATATAGCTAATGTATTTTATCACAAAGCATTTTTAGTGTCTAAAATTAGACAAAAGCGTTGCTCAAAACTACATCTATACTAGCGTTCTCATAGTATTTTGATTTGTTTAGAATATCAATCAGAGTATATTAATTTCATAGAAAGAAACTGCAGCTTTGCCATATATGAATATTATTTGTCTTGTTGGTTAGCAGTCTATTTTTATCTCGCTTATATACAGAATCCATCCTTGATACACTGCAAGCACTGAGTTTAGCTTGGTTTTTATCTGTGGATGATGTATTTTATCTATAAACATTTACACATTTCTTTGTATTTCTCTATGTAACCATATTCAAATTCTTATCAATATAAAGCAGTGATTTTCATTGTAATCGGATTATCTTAACAGTTCATTTATTTCAAAACGATTTGAACTCGTTACATAAAATCTGTATAACATGAGGTGAGAGCGAGTTTAAGAATTCATTTTCCAATTTTTAAAAAGTAAACAGTTATTTTCATTTTATATCTAGTTCAGTTTTTCTAAATCCATATATTTCCACGCATAATTGATCATCTAGAAAAGCAACATAAGCCGGTTAATTTTCACATTCTCATTCGAGTTTTAGCTTCGATACATTTCAAATGACCTATCAATTGAATTATCCGTTCTTCAAAACGTTCTCACAGTCTTCACGAAAAAACAAAAACGTTACCAATGAGAATATAACTAAGTTGAACAAGATAGATTTTCATGAAGCAATATATTAACTGAAAGAAAATCAGAATTTTAATGTGGTAGTGATTATGCTGACATCTTATTTTTTTACTCATTACTTCTTTAGGTTTTCTCGCTTTCGACAACTATCGATAGATATAGAATTTCGGAGGACTACGATTTCCATATTTACCTTTTGATACGAATAAAATATTCATCAGATAAAGAAATTCCATATCGGCTGTCGATATGTACTCAGTGTCTCTCAATGGAATGAATTTTTCATGTCTATTTTTCCTGCGTAAGATATGCTATAAATATTACAATAAATTGTAACGATGATATAATTTCCTATCAAAAGTGAATCGATAAAATATACCAAACTTCTAATTAAGTCAAGAACGATTGATCTAGTAAAAGAATCCTATCATTTTTACTTTCACTGTGCCATAATTCATTGAATCAAATAAATTTTACAATCAAATGTAAAATTTGACAAACAGCAATCACCACATTACAAGTTATTGAAAGACTTATTTGAAAAGCTAAAATAAGTTAGCTTCTTGGCAAAACATTATGTCGGTGATAACATTCATATTAATTCTCGTCAGAAGAAGAAACAGTAGACTCTGCGCATGCCAGAGCAAAGACACCTAATCACAATTATAGCAAAAATAAAAGAATAGAATTAAGTGAAAATTGTGTGCGCAAGAAATATCAATAGAGAAAATATCTTATTCACATCTACACAAATACACCGATACCAATGCAAATATCATGCAAATATACAGACAAGAATATTCGAAATTCTCAATGATCACAAATATGAACTGGCATTCACTATATAGAATCTTTTACGGCAAATTATACATGGTTGTTTCTTTTTTCGCTTTATCCCAATTATAACGGTTAATATTCGCTTCTATAGATTTCGTACATTTTACTATTCTAAAAGAAATTCAACAAGCATCACCTGGTCATTTCTCGTTTATGATTCTTTTTTTTCAATAATTTAACTTCAATGTTAAACAAACATGTAGATTGTTGCTTGCCTTTTTTTTTATAGTAGTTGTAATGTTTCTTCTGTGTTCTTTGTCTTTCTGATAAACTGTCATACTCTCAACGGCGTAAAGAACAAAGAAAAGCAGAACGTCTCTTTTTCAATTCATCATGAATGATCGAACATCATGTTTCTTTTTTCAAGCTCGTCATTTAAAAATGAAAAAATGTGTAGTTAAAACAAACGAACATTAGCCTTTTATTTTTTATTCAGTAAGAAAGGTTGTGAACAAGCGCATTGTAAATATGTTGTAATAAAAGACTAGTGAGAAGCATGCTTGTAGTAAGTTAACTTTTTTCCACAATGAATTATATGCAACATTGAGATTGAATCCAGTCCGATTTGTTCTACAGATCATCGGTTCGAAAATGGGAAATGAGACGAAGTTTTTTAAAATTTATTTCACTAATTTTGATTGTGTGGGATTATTATTAAAAAAAAACCTAATTTTCTATCAACCTTCTTAGCATATCAAACAGTGCATGCGCATAGACTTTCTTCATGATTTCTAAGAACAACGAACATCCCTGTTTGAAGAACTAGTACAAGTTTAAGACAACAATAAACATTGATCTATGTTTTTAGTATTTTGTTCAAAATTGAGTGTAAGTCCGTTTCAACAATACTTTTTATAGTAGAAAAAAGGGTTTCTTGTTAGAGCTATTTTCTTACACACATTGACCTTGTTATCTATTTATTTATATTTTACTCATTCCTGGTTTTCAAGATGAATATTGAATATAGCACCATCTGAAGGTCAGCCACAGGAAACAGTATCTGTATAATCCTTTTTTACTGAAGAAAAATGAGAACTTGATATGTAGTTAACTGAAAAGTTGACTATAATCTAGTATAAATAGTTTTATTTTTCTGTATAAATCGACATATTTTCTTGTCCTTCCCAACTATTTAGAGGTTAAAATCAAAATGAAAAGTAACCAATAGAGATTAACTTTCTCCCATATTTTATTGATCGACTGAGATTTATTTTTCTTGTAACAGAGAATGACGCTGCCGAATGCAGGTATCTCTATCACATCAATACGCCCAAAGCAGAGAAATTGCTTTCAAAACCGCTTGAGAGTAGTAGTATTCTAGTCGTTACATTAAACAATAGTCGAAAGACAGTAAACTATGGCTTCAAGAGTAGTACTTGTTACTAAGAGAAATCCTGTGCAAATCAATCATTTCAAATCATCCATGTTTTGCAACATTTGTTTTTTGAATTTCTCACAAGCTCACAAATACTCTATGTGTTTAAATATATATATAGATATAGATATAAGTGTGTTGAAGCTGATTTGAGAAAAATATTGAATGCATCCAAATCAAGAAATAGAAATTGAATTTATAGAAAAGTACGAAAAATCAATAGAATCGTTAGGTAGTATTTCAAATAGAAAATCTACAGAAGTTTCTTCATTCTTTACTGTGTAAAACGAACTAAGTTCGAAGACTTACTAGTTTGAAATACTGTTAACGAGTTCAGTCTGTTTCCTTTATTTTCTTGTCAAATATGATGCTGTCTGCTGTATCTCTTGACTTGGTTTTAACAGAATTCTGTAGTTTTCATAGCCAGAAGTTACATTAAACTCATTATAATGTGCTTTCTTTTTCAATAAAAATATCGAGCGATTGCTTTTTTTTATTCTGTTAGATTACCAAGAGATACTTCAAATGTCTACAGAAGGAATCGTACGTGGCTATGATTTTATGGATGCATCATCTATCGATGAACATGTTATATGTGCTATTTGTGCACATCCTTTTATCGATCCAGTAGTTACTCCCTGCGATCATACATTTTGCAAAACTTGCATCAAATCTTGGTTCGATAAAAAATCAGAATGCTATTTATGCCGAAAAGGTGGACTCTCGATGAAAGCACTTCGTCCAGCTAATCACTGTATGATGAATATACTTGATAAGATTCTTGTTCGATGCCTAGCTTGTGAAGACGAAAATATTCGACGTGGTGACTTTGCCGATCACTTGGAAAACCATTGTCTCTATCATCCACAGAAATGTTCAGCTAGTGATCTAAAATGTCCTTGGGTTGGATTACGAAACCAAGCAAAATCGCATCACTCTGCTTGCGTTTTTGAAACGTTGAGACCAGCTTTCGAAGATATTCTGACACGACTTCATACCATCGAGAAAGAGAACAAGTCGCTTCGATCTGAAAATAATGATTTAAAAGAAGAACTAATGACGCTGGAGCGCGAGTACAACGAATTGGAAGGTGTAATAAAGAATAACGAGGAACACGGGCACTCAAGACGCACAGGTATTGTAGTATTTTTTTCTTTTTTTAAATTATAAAAACCTGATAAATGATATAACTACATTGCCTTGAGGATAAACATTTCATACAAGCCAACGGCGGTGAGTACTGAACATTTCCTATTCCAAATTTTGTTGAGACTTAAATGTATTAGTAAACAAAAATACAATCAACTCCTTTTGTATGCAGTAGTATATAATGAAATTGTTGATTTCCAGCTATGTAATTGGTGCGCAACTTTTGTTTAGTAACGGAAGAATGACAGCTTTAAGTGTTATTTTGTACACATGTACAACTATATTCACATTTTAAGCGTCTATTTTAATACAAAGATGTCTTTTTTCTTATTGAGCAAAATGGTACGATTTAATTCAATGGATGTTGCTTTTTATTCACAAATAATATGTATGAAACTAATATTATTTCCTCATATATTAGGTAAAAATGTCTCCAAATCTAAAAAGTCATCTGATTACGCTCCAGAGCTTCGAGACAAACATCACCATATGTTCACTAGCGACGATGATAAAGACGAGACAACACGCAACATAAACACTCATTTGCCAGCTACGCATGAGGTAAATGTTAATATCTATTAAATATTATTTTCAGATGTGGAATGCTGTCTTTGTTTCTTCGAGAACAGTTTAAAAATCAAAGTATCTTTCCTTCTAATTACAACTAATTATCGTTAAGTTTCTTCTGAAAACGTAATATTCATTGCTTTCTTTCAGTACATTTTCTAAATCACTAGGACTCGAATAAAGCGTTCAACATGGTAGCGTGTTCAACTTTAAATGGTTTCTCTTTTTATTGTAACAATATTTCGTAAAAATCATGCCCAAAGTCAAACATTACATAGGCAGATCGACTATTTTCTTGAATTTCTTAAAATCGTGAAAAATGTTTTGGCAACAATAGAGAATCGTTCGATTTCATTTCATTGCGGTAGACAAAATTCTTACCAATTTTAATCTGAGTGCTTCTAAATCAAATAGAATTTTTATATTAAACTGAATATTAATATTGATTGTAAACTTCTTTTCTTATGAAATCTTAATCATATTTTTCAATTAAAGGAAATAATCATAGCGATGATAAATGCTTTTCAAATATTTCTTGAATGACTTGAACTCGTACATTTTTTATTATTATTTTCATCAGGTCTATATTAAGAAAGTTGAAAGTCAATAAACTCCTAATTGAAATGTTTTACAATAACACCAACATAATTACTACAGCAAAATGCAGATTGTTGTTTTATTTGTTTAAAACCTATCCAATACCAATAGAATTTTATTTAGAATAGTTTTTACCAATAAAAACATGAGTAAAATATATTTGACTACATTGAGTTCACCACTATAATATCGAGCATTTTCAGCATGACTTGAAATTACGTTCCTCGATCTCTATTACTTGGCTGTTATAGACATCAAAGTAAATAGTCGACGATCACAGACATGTAGTTATCTGAAGTAGAAAATGGTTAGAATATGATTTTTTTCTCTCTTGTAGGGAAACGCCAATGCGTCACATAAACATTCTTAATTGTGCATGACTATGCTTAAACAACAAATGGAAACAACACTTGACAGCATGTATGCTTTAAAGAGCCTACATAAACTTTGATCATTAATGACTTCACTCTTGTATTTGTTATTACTATTTTTTTAGTTAAATAGAACAATATTAAAAAGATCGAGTGACACCATCAATTAATAGCATGCAATAGGTAACCAAACACGTATCAATTAAATTTTGCCTTCTCTTCATTCATTCCGTGTCTAATCCAGTTGTCATTCATAAATTTTAGAAGGAGGGATAGCAAGCTAATACACATTACAACATTCCATCATGATTGATATTGAAAAATATAGATTTTTAATAATCAACAACATGGTTATAGATGAAGTCAATCAAGTGTTTGAGCATGATGCTCGTACAAAAATGCGATTCTGCACCTATCAGTAGTCGAAATTGTTAAATCGTACAAAACAAACAGGTGCAGCTAACTATACGAATATGAATTCACATTCATTATTGGGACAGTCACACAAGAATGTTTTTCATCAGCTGACAACTTCCATTTATTTGAACCATTTCATAGAAATCGAGGAATAATCTAGCATTTTTGTTTATCATATGCAATATTATTCACATTACATAATAATATTTATTAACAATTATGTCTGCGATAGCTACGCTATCAACATGGCTTGATTTGAAATGAAGATGAATTCATAAAGTACAATAGGTGCATTATGATGGATTATTACATCTGCAGCATTTTGTGCTTTATCTCTCATAGTAGTAGTAGTAGTAGTCTGGATATATTCTCGCGTAGGAAATGAATACGAAAGTCATATAATTCTAACAAGTAGAGGAAGGACTGAACTCTTTAGTTTGGAGCAATTCAATCATTTACTGTTGCCATATAAATATATGACAATGATTATCCAGCAAAAAACAGAGATCACACTAAGAAATGTAGTTCAACTACATCAAGTTACTTAGGGCTCAAAAATTACAAAGGTATTTGACACAAATTTAACAGAAAAAAATAACGACAACGGATCTAATCGTATAATGATCAATGCTTAGTGGGATCATCTACTTTTTTTGGACTTTTTTACAATATTGAGTCGATTACGTATTTGCTCGTATGATTCCTCGACTAGTGAAGCATTAACTAAAACAAACAGATGATACAATCTAATTTGATGCAGACTATATTGAATTGTATTGAGACCGTCCAGACTATAGTTATATTTGGAATGTAGTATCGTATCACGATGTGGATTTGTTTTGCCTGATTTGTGACCATGTGTACGAATCATTTTGTATCGGGCAATCTCAATAGGAGAGCGTGTTATATTTTTTTTCAGATTTTTTATAACACGGAAGTACATATCGTCATCTTCATTGCCCCATCCCCAATAAACATTCGGGTAACCATTGGCTTGAATAAAATCCTCAGTATGAAATGCTGTTACACCACCAAATAATGTAGGATAGAGCAACTTGTACTTGAACTTGTCCACTGCTACGGACCTGAGAACAGAAAAAAAAGTTGAATTAATAGAAAGTTTCAAGGAGCTGAAATATTACAATTTCAATTCTAGTTACTCGTGTTATAGCGAATAGATCAAGAAAAACACACGTCTAAATAAACTCGATAATTGGCTTTCTATCATAGCAATGTAGAAACGGATTGTCCGATGTCATCAAACATCTTTAGCTTACTGCTCAGTTTTTCTTCTATCACAAGTTAGTTAAACCACGAAATTAATCATGATTATACTTGCTACAAATCAGATTTTAGAATGTTTCGAGAACAAATAAAGCTACAGAAACAAGTCGATTTATTCAAACTATTGATGAAAAACGTTTTCTTATTTGCTTGAAGTCCTTCATTGCAATTCAATTACGTTCACTGAATTCAGAGAACTGAATCCTGTTCATATTAAATGATTTTCTTCTGGAGCCTGATATCAATCAACAAGATTGTATTTGCTTTTAAATATACAAAATGAATAAAATGAAAATTATACAGTTTAATCCAAAACATGTTTTGTTCAGAAACTTTTTGAAAACGTATTACTGAGCTACTCCTCCTCGCGCGAAAATAATTATCATTCAAATGCTGGTTCAACGAATAACTAATTCTACTTACATGTGTTTCGGGCGTGAGCCACATTTGTAAATGTTTCTCAAGTCTTCAGGCAACAAGTCGACATCATGAAAGATAAAGCATGTAAATGGATAGAGTTTGATTGCTTCAACGAATCCAACATTGAATAAGGCACCACGATTGAATGATTCATTTCCGTGTTGATTAACAACAATAATCGTATAGTCAAGTTTTTGTTGCTTAAGAAACCAATGCATATGATTTAAAAACATTTTTAAATGTTGCTCACGTTGTCGATAACAAATAATTATCGCAAGACGCTGCTTAGCTTGACAATCCGATGGATACCAATGACCACCAAAATGAATATCAACAGAATGTTTTCTTTCAATTTCAGTATATGAGCTTAACGTCGTACTAACATTTACTCGATATTTCACCGAATTTTTAACAACATTGCTAGTGGATGATATTTTACACTCGGATAAATTGAAGTAGACGTCTATATCAGGTACCGAAAAATCAAGTGTTTCAATAAAGGACGCATTGATAAATGTATCTGGTCTTTTTGTATTGTTTCTGGTAATATTGACAGTAATATTCCGTGGTAATGTTTCGCGAAGTTTAGCAGCAGCATGTTGTGATGATACTTTGATCTAGCAACAAGATTTCTGTGAAAAAGAATGATCATTCATAAGAATAAATTCTGATTTCGAAGGAATTTGTCTTATGACTACAGAACTAGATTTGACACAATTTAGAGTTTTTATTCTTGTATAGAACTGCATATTGTCTAATGAAACCAATCAAGAGACACATTTAGTTAGACTGCTAGAATTTAAAATTCTCTTACTTTCAATTTTATTGAAAGTTTGTCAGATAATAAGTTTTACGGCACTATTGGTAATTTCTAGATTGTTTGCGTGTCTGTAATTTTTGTTATTTAAAAACGAAAGACTATCTTACTGCTTTCAACTGTGAAAGATCTTCAACTAGAGGTGCTAAATTATGAGTTTGCCTTAATTTTGTTTACTCTCATGTAATTGGTATTTATCTCCCTTTGCTTTTGTTAACTCAATCGAAACACCAAAAAATTACTTAGTGATACTCACGTGGTTCCTAGGACGAACATTGAGGATAACAGTTGCATTGTTCGGCCAAAGAACTGACGTTATTAACTGTTGCAATGATTTATCAAGAGTATTTCGTAATGTTCCATAATATCCTGACTGTTTTCTGATTTGAAGTTTAACAATAGAGTAAAGTAATTGGATAAAAAAAGTCAAAGAAATGAAAACAAGTAACGTACGATAGTATCGGAACATGAACACTAGTAATGAAATTCTTTACAACGTTTACTACGGATATGTTTAGTTTTTCTCAGCGTGTAAATATTTTTATAACAGTTGCATACGATGAACACACATCAGTAGCTGATTTATTCGATTCATTCTTGCTTCACTACACTCTCGAATGCAATTTAATGGTAGAACAAATATTGAGGGAAGAAAAAATGAAAATACAGATGAAAAGTAAAACTTGGTATAGGCTGTTACAAAAAAAATGCCGCTGGATGAAAGAAAGAAAGAAAGAAAGAAAGAACGAAGCATGAATGGCAAACATTAAATAAACTAGTACTGGCAAGTCGATAGGACAAAAAATATGACTGTCAGGTAAGCGTTAGAAGAAAAAAATCAATAGTTTTCATCATTATTTTTCATTCACAATACTATTACATAACTTTTATCAATTTTATGCTTACATCTGCGTAAGGTTGCTTCACTAGGTGGCTGTTTCAGAATTCGCTCCAACCTTTGTTTGATATTTAAGTAATTCTATATTAAATTAAGGTTTTATAATTACTGATTATCGTAGTTCGAGAAACATAGAGATACATTTACTAATATGCTGACTCAAACGAAATTGATGGTAATAAACGATGCATAAGAGGTTAGCTGATTATCATTAAATTCTAGGTAAATTTGGATACTTTTATATTTGTATTCAGAATGAAATATATTCATGTTTATCAAATCACAGATACCTATTATATATTTAAATTCAAGTATAAAATTCAATTTTTTCTTACCAACAGTCGAATAAAATTACACCTGAATGTTTGTAGCTCCATGGTCTTACCAATTAAGTCTTTTTTCTCTTATTTTCACTGAAATTGAATAACAGCAACAGAATATGTCTTTTTCGATGTTTTTCGAGGAAGACAAAGTTTCGATAACTTTCAATATCTATCAGTTTCTCTGAGAAGACAAAAAATGAAAAGCCAAATTAATAGAAAATAGATCATATTGACACATCAGAAATATAGTATAAGCCATATTCAAAGGCAAAAAAAATTTCGAATTCTCTTCATTTTTAACATGCCTATAAAAAAATCTTGAGATACGTTATTGTGTTATTTTTATCGAACAGTTCGTACGATTCACAGTGTCTCAGCAACGCACATACGTAGTATTGACAACTTTGTTAGAATGAATGTATCCTTTTTGTTTCTTTTTAGATATATGCCTACAAAAGTAAACAATTACAATCATAATCAAAACTGGAATTAAATAGGTGCATCATACTCAACAATGTAAATACTCATTTCACCGCACATAGTGTATTAAACAAGCACAAGGCCAAGGAAATTCAAACATATTACAAAAATACAGCATCAGGTTTGAACTGATTTTTATCATGTTTTTTATTCAATATAAATTTTTCATCTAGCCTTGAATAGATGATAATTTGAATTTTATTGTTTATATAACAACTATAAATCAATAGAATTAGAGTAGATCATGTATCGATCTGGATCATAAGGAAAAGAAAAAACCACATAGAACTCTTTAAAATAAACTTCAACATTTATGGGTAGATGAACTCGTCTTCCTACCTAATTATAGTAATTACAGGTCTCTATACAATTCATAGCTTTCGTTTTATAGGTCATCCCACACCCTCAAGTAAATACAAAACAATTAGTAGAGAGAGTATAAAAGATCGAGTAGAATTTTTTCTCTTTTTCTTCTCGACTAATGAATCTTGTGTGCTCAAGTCTGCAAGATGAGTTATGTATAGGGTACGTATTATTAGACAGTCATTGATTGAAGTTCGTTTATTGAGATTTTTATGCACCGAAATATTGAAAATTGTACAAGTTTTCTTTTTCTTCCAGTAAAGAACCAGTATTTTAGCTGGTATTTTGCTAAGCAGTTGTCCAAAAATTGCTGTACTCGAATTAAATGCTTTTAGTAAAATTCTTCTTATAGATTTTGTTGACCGTTAAGCTGCATTCAATCTTGACGAGATTAAGACATATCTGATCGAAAAAAGTAATCATGCAGTTTGCTCTCTGATGACTTATAGCAATGAGAATTTAGGTTTCTCGACATGATTATATTCAGTTGTATGTTGATTAGCTCTAAAACAACAATCGATTGCCGTCGAAATACAAACATTGTTACAAGTAATTCATTCTATGTGTATCGCATTATAATATTCTTCGAATTAATAGGAGGAGCGAAATATATCCTATGTAAAAATTCATCGATTTCATTGAAGTTTATGATGTACTATAGCTAAGATTTTCACAATATGTCATCGATTATTGCGACCCTAGTGTACAATATAGAATATTTGTGTTCTTTTCTTTTTGATCAACATGATATTTCCCTTTTGAGAAATCCTTGTGCTGTGGATTCCTAAATATTTCTTTTATTTCTTCAATTTAATTTTAATTATTTGACCTATTTCTTTGTTTTTGTGCAATACTGAAAAATCATTCGATTACAATTGAATTTTAGTGCAACAATATTGAAATTATAGTCGATTTGAGAGACTTTCTTTGTGTGAAGACAAATAAAATCGACAAAATCGATTATATTTCAATTTTAATCGAAACATTCTTCATTGCTGGATACAATCACCTGCATTGCACTTTTTAACGGTTTCTGAATCAGCGTCTGGTTCATTCATTCATTCATCGATCGACATCGTCATAATAACACAAATTATACTTACATGAAACTAGTTGAGATAGTCAATTATTTATGTTGCCATGACTTCAAATTCTTAGAGTTTTTCCTTAGTTGTGAAATCTTTGACGAAATATAGGCAAAGTCATGAAAGAGAAAAAATCTGTCAGTTCACACACACCTTGTTGAAAGGAAATGCCGAACTCATAACATCATGCAGTAATCAAGGTGGGTGTGGGTGTGGGTGTGGGTGTGGGTGTGGGTGTGGGTGTGGGTGTTCATTCAGAGCTACAGCAACACACCCACCACCATCCCCGCACACCATATCTGAAATTTGTTGAGTTAACGCGACGCTCAGAAGTAAATCTAATCGAAATAATACTTGAAGTTTTTTGAAGTCTCAAACCTTCGAAAATTCAGCTTCTTCTATTCTGCGTAAATATCAGCTAGCTAACGAGGACTCAAGTTTGAATATAGAAAAATTCGAACGAGTGAAACTTCTTTTTCTTTCTACGAAATTCTTTTTATTACTTGAAATTCTTCGAAAATGATCGTTTAATGAGCATCACATACTGAAATTATCTTCTAGTTGAAAGAAATCTAATGAAAATTCTGAGACGATGAAGAATCATAATATTATAAATGATTGACTACATAATGCATTATTCTTAAATATAAGTCTTTTTTGGGTTAGCTTCTTAGAAGTAAAAATAAATAAAAGTTTCTCAAAGTCATCATTTAATCTACATTTAGCATCACAATGAGTGTTATCGATAGAGAGAGAGAGAGTTGGAATTTAAGTACACGAACGCATTAAGAAAATCTTTTTTCTACACATAATGATCAGTGTGTTGCTTATTAGCTATTGAAGTGGTGTGATTGGAGATATGTTTCAGTCCTATGTTACCCAACTAAATCTTTTAAGGATAGCCACAGCGATCTACGGCTCTATTTCACTTCGATACGGATCGGAACATGTAAAAAGTGCGAGTCTTCACATGTGATTAAAGTGACTTACGTTAGTTTCGTTTGCCATCTCAGTCTCATGCGAATCATATTTTTATATTTTCCATTAGAAAAAAGTCTAGAATTACTGTTTTTATTAAGGAGATATTTCGTCATTTCTAAAAATATCTTGTTGCAAAATATTGGTCTGATTATGAGACTCTTGCACAGTCAATATCGCTAAGTATGGAATCACTTACTTCGAAATTTCTAACTAATCTTTTGTCTCAAAAATGAAATACTCCGTATGAGTTACACATACCACTATTGAATTATTTCTCCAATTTCCTTCTAGACGTATTGAATCCCAACATTAGTTCTGCATCTATTTGATTTCATAAGGAAACAACATTGGTTACTGATGATAAATTTATCTATTTCGTTGTACCATGTGACGGAGTTGCAGTATATAAACAGTTTGAGGATTGTCAGTGACTTATGTAAGTCTTTGCTAAACCCACATATACTTCATATCAACTACGCATTCTTCTCTGACCTTTGTTTGATTTAATAAACTATCAGAACAGTAATAATAGCTGAATAAAAAAAGAAAACTTTCATTCTGCCTATTATTTTTTAGGAATCAACTTATTTATATTCGACTCCCAATAATTATTGTTCATCGGATACACTCGTATTGAAGCTGTACCAGTCATTTATAAATCACTTCAAATAATTAAAATTTTTAATCGATTGCTTAAATAAAAATGTATGTCAATGCTCTATTGAATAATCGTCAGAAGTCTATAGATAAATCGTCAGTGTGACTCATAAAAATGAATATACGTACTCTGGTTTGTCTCATTCAATTAGTTATATGTGTTGTTATTATATTACACATCCGCTTATATAGTAAGTCATTGGATTTATCTGATGCGCCTCAAACTTCTTCAACTCCCGTCAAGATCATCAACAAAGCTATTATTGAATCGTCTCCAAAACGAGCCCCCATCGTTTTCAAATGCACCAAAAAATATAAAGTAGCTTTTACATTTGATGATGGTCCTCATCCTACTTACACTCCGCTCATCGTAAAAACTTTAAATCTACATCGAGTTAATGCTGGATTTTTTGTTTTGGGCACCTCAATTCAAAGTTTTTTGAGCGCCTGTAATAATCTTAGCGTTCATCAATACGAAAGGCCACGTATAGGCTATTTGCTCTTACAAGATTATTCATTAATCGAAGAATTATTCACTCAACATGATATTTATCTTCACGGATGGGTACATGAAAAAATTAATGAAATGCGTCTACAAACAATCGTTGATAACATTTCAACACAGCTAATAGAAATTGGCCTTCTAAAAGGATTCAAACCAGTCTATCGAGCACCATGGGGAATCGGTATAGCACCTGCTGCTATCAACAGCAAAGGAATACTTTCGAAAATTTTAAATCAAATAGGACTTATACCTGCACATTGGACTATTGATTCAAAGGATTATCTTATGCAGGTCGATGAATATAATTTAACTAATAACATCCTTAAAATGATCTGTAGAACAAAAGGTGGTCTTATTTTGATGCACGATAATCAGCCAACCACAGCTAATTTCCTTGATAGAATTATTCGTTCGATTAGAGCCAGTGGGCACAGTATTGTACATCCCAGTGAAATCAATAGACAGTGGAATAATAAAACTTTAATCAACAGAACGAGAAGATATACCGAATTTCTCAGATATAGAGTGAAAGCAATACAAAGTTCACCAGCAAAACTTCAGGCTAATAGGCTTTTTCGACCAGTACAAATTTCCTTGCCAACCGGACAACGTCAAAATAATATTCTACAGAGCATTGATGCAAATGCAAGATACAAAGGTATCATTAAAGTATTACCTAACATAAATGATTTCGAATTAAATGCAAATAATACGAAACAGCTTCAAAACTAAAGTGATCGCAACTCATCATACTGAAATATCTAAGTTCGAGCAATTCATGCGTTTCTTTCTCCACAACTTGCTGTTTTCCTACTTCCTGCAAACGTATTTTGTTTCTTATATTGTGCAGGCCTTTTGTTTTTTATTGTATTTTTCTTCACTCAACATTTATGTAATTAAATCAATGCTAGAATAATGGCAGTACTATCTGGCAAGTTGCAAATAATAAAAAATAAAAGCTTCGGCATTATATAATGAATTTGAGTATTGAAAAAAGAAACTTTAAAATCGTTCAAGGGTATAACTGTATGAGTGTATATGAGTTTGGGTTTGGATACAGACAGTATTACACCCTTTTATTCGAACAAACGTCGAATAAATTACTAGGATAATTACACGCAAGGTGACAATTCAACTAACAAGCATCAAGAACTTATCAGATGTTCTCCTGTGTTTCCCGTAACAGATGTTTTGTTAAAAACAATTGAAATCAATATACATGCGTGCATTACCACCGTCTCCCGATCGTACTGAAATGTATCAAATTTAAATGCCACATGTGTTAAGTACACAATGTTATCTTATAACATTGAAAAAATTGTCATGTCACCAAATGCAAAACCTAGAAATTTTAAAATATTTTCATAACTTCTAAAAATATGTCCTATCCTATGGTAGTTAAAGAAGCGGTGGTGATTGAAATATTGTTGAACGATTTGTCTAATATTATCAACATCAAGATTGAGACTCTAAAATTTTCATCAAAACTTCAACATTAATCTTAAAAAGAACTTTCATGTTTTTTAGTTTCCTTGCATCGTCTGCCACACTATAGAAAATAAAAAAGAAAACAATTGATAATCCAAACTTTCATTGATCATTGCAAAGCGTTCATTGATCAGACCTCCTGTAAACAAATAATTGCTGAATTCAATTTTCTGAAACTTTGAGTATTCATTTTGTATTTTATTGGGATGATGCAGAATAATCAAAATATCTTTAAGAAACGATAGAAAACGTTGTCTAAACAGATAAATATAGTAAACAAGTTTATTATGCAAAATATCGACGGTCAGTGTTCATATTTTGTTCAAAAACAATACCATGAATTGATTATCGATATTCGTCGCCGCAGTCACCAATTACTCGATACAAATCTCGCGATTTTCGAGATATAGTATCTATCTTTTCAACATCCTCATTGTCAAGACTGAATTGAAATATTTTGGCATTGTCATTTAGATGTTCACTTAACCCTAATCTCGCACCAATAATTACACCTCCAACTGTGGGTTTGTCTAAAATGTAACGCACAGCTACGTTACCGATGCTAACGCCATACTTATTTGCAATTTGTTTGAGAACGATGAGTAACTCTTGAAATAGCTCCCAACCTCCCCAACTATCGATCATATTCTTGTATTTTTTCAAACTCGGAGTATTTATATCTTCGACTCGTGGTTCAGGTTTACCGAGATACTTTTCTGATAACAAACCACCGCATAACGTACCGTACGTTAACAGTTTAATATTATGCTTCTGACAGTGTTGTATCATGTGGACTTCTGGACGACGATCTATGATGGAAAATTGCACTTGATTAGAAACGATTGTAATGCCTGCTTCATGGATTATTTTTAAATGTTTAGTATCAAAATTTGTCAAACCCAAATGTTTTATTTTGCCTTCTTTTTGCAGCTCAGATAAATATTGTAGAGCATCAAGGTAATTACTATTGTGATAGTCCCACCAATGAAACTGAAGCAAATCTATGGATTTCACACCGATTCTTGTCAAAGACTTGTTAATACTTTCTTCTACCAGTTTTTTCGTCATTTTTGTCGGTTGCGGCACCCACTTGGTGAAGATTTGAAGACTGGATAGAGCCGTTTCACCACGAGTAGCGAGTAGTTGACGCCGAAATTCGCCCATTAGATCTTCTGCTGGTCCATAGATATCTGCTAAGTCCCATGTTGTGAAACCAGCATCTAGATAATCAAACATAGCTTTTACGGCAGCTACGGGATCGATACGCCCATAACCACTTCCAGATACTTGCCACATTCCAATTAATGTACGGCAAATATTAATATCGGGCGTCAGTTGTAATCGATTCAATGTGGTTAATGCCATTATCAATTTGTTGAATGTAAGATAATGGAAAATGATTTATAGATTGCCTGAAATGCCGTAAAAAAAGCTGATCTCTAGGTTGATATTCTGATTGGTGCTTGTTACTACGCAATTGTATATCAGCTTGAAAGATGTCAGAAAAATAACAGATAAATTTAGAATATGCCACATGTAGTTTAATAAATTATATTATTTTATGTTCAGATTATCATAGTCGCTTTCGGTTTATCAATAAATGTATTCTGCCTCTATTGGTTGATCTATTGTGGTCTCATGTAAACGTTTTAGAAATTGAAAGTACGAATGTAAAATATTCGACAAATAAACAAACGTTCAAATCGAAACGAATTAAAATACTAAGATGATGAGTGAATAGAGTACAAGACAATATAGCTGGCAACTATACTCATTACGAACGTCTGCATGTTCATCGAAGCAAATATTATCCCAAATGATTCTCTCGATTGACTAACATAATGACAATAGAATATCGTTATCGGCTTCCATCATTTTTATCTTGAATAATGTGAGAAATGATGAGGTAGATTTAGTACTATATGCATCTTCTTGTATTTTTTGCTCATTGGTCTCAATTATTTGTTACTCGTAATTGATACTTTGAAAATATACTATCATTACAGATAGATTTAGGGGAAATTTTGAATGTTTTTAACCAGAGAGCAATGAATTTTCAGTTTGTAAAACTTTTATTTATTTCCAGTTTTGTATACTGCTAGAGAAGTAGATATATTCTATTACGGTAGATAATATGTAGTTTTAGTTTCAATAAATTCTCGCGTAAAATATGATGGTCTATTAATCATCTTATAAAACGGAAGTTAAATGTAACCATTCTTCTTTCTTTTAGCGTCAATACATCGTTACAAAATCCTCAAAGATTTTCCCCTTGGGTATAGATTCGGTAGTAAATTATTCTTTAAGACTGTATTGATATTTTTGTTTTCTGTATTTACCATTTTTCCTGTGATACTTTTCGAACCAACTATTGCTGATAACTGTATGTATTATAGAATTGATATTAATAATTGAAAGTCTTTTAGGTTATGTATAAAATGAAATGTATTCACAAAACTGATTATTATGATTATCTATTGTATTATTAATATCTAAGCTAAAGATGAACTTCTTTTCTATCATATCTTTGGGGAGACAATTAGAAGGACACATCCAATCGATTACCAAATGAATCGAATAAAACAATCTACATGATTAACAAGAAGAACTAGGTTATGTTTTGCATGAGAATTACACATAGATCAAACTAGTATCTTTTTCTAGATTTATATTTAACAAAGAAAGAAAAAGATATTTTTAGTGCTTCAATATTAGTGTCCTATATAGAAAAGTGGAACAATGAAATCTCTTGTTTCCTTTATGAGTAGCATGTAGACAGTCGAGAGACTTCATTTTTTATACTATTCGATAGGGGATTTGTCTATTTGGAAAATTATTTTTGAATATCTCAAATAGACAATGATTTTTGTCGAATATAAGACTTACAATAATACACTGATGTGTTCGTTTGAAATATGTTTGCAATATTTATCTTTCAAAACTTCAGACAGGTTGTAAAAAGACTCTAATTTCGAATATGATTTTAAAATCAAACGATGCTAAACCTTTTGGTTCTTTCCATATAAAATGTTTATATTCCAGAAATTGAAGAAAAAAATTATACAGATGTTTTTACATGATTGAATAATTATTTCCATCTATTAAATCCAACACGCCTACATCATTTTGGACATTTGTTTTAAAGTAGAACATTCAAAAATGAGAAATACATTTTTGATCGACAACAATTCTTTCTGTATAAAGGGTCAAAGAATAATGACTGATTTGCTTTCGATTCAAAGAATGAATTTGTTTTATTCGATTCTATTTACTATTCAATAATTCTTCGCCGTCTATGTATTTTGATCGGTAAATATCAATAAAGCGAGTCGAACATAAAGATGTGCGCTCTTCATGACATAATCATCCAACGTTCTAACGAATGAATACACATCGATTGACTGATGTACTTTCTAATAAATCTTCGCGATTAAATCGATGCATATTGTTGTATTTTTCTTAACTTTCTATTTCACTGTCACTACGAATCACTACCGACACACATATTGATACAGCAGTCAATAAGACTATCACAACTTTAACAAAGTAAGGAAATGAAATATTTCTAATTTCGATGTCATTTGTATCTTCATTAGTTGAATAATAAAACTACTTAGGTTTTCTTCTTGTTAATACTAGTTAAGTGAGTCAACAGTAATTCATGATAACGAAGTTTCATAAAATATTCAGTTTATGAGTCGGTTGGATACAATTATGTTGTAATGCTAGCTTTGAATACAAATAGTAGAATAAAAAGTAACGAAAACTTTCGACGAGCATTACTTGGCATCATCTGGAGAATACATAATGCCAAAAAACAAAGGAATATGCTATACATACGGATGTAATCAAGTGTTAGAAGAAAAAGAATGAAAAGCAAATTCTGAAATATATCTTATTTTTGGCACATCTTTGTTGTATTGATTCAAATGAAAATAGCACAATCATTCATGGATTTACAAAATGAGGTATGTCGATAAAACGTTTTATTACTGAGAAATAATCAATTATACTTCATATAAAAGTTTTCATACTATGTGATTCAAATCGAAAATAGATATGATCCATTGGACACATATGAATATTAGTTTTTATTATTTATTATTGCAGTATGACTATTTCCAGAGGCAGATTCAGTTTCCAATCGAAACATTTTTTTCCATTGTCGCAGTAATCAACGTGAGAAATCGTTCAACTTCTCACTTAAGGATAATATAAACAAAGAACCAATGACTACAATGGAATGTTTTTATTTATAAACGTTTTTTTTTTTATCTGTTCTTGAAAGATTTACAGATTAATCATTTTGCAATAATTTACAGTTAGGTATGAATAACTTATCTATTCTTCTTATACAACTCATGTCATACCATATTCATCCTTTTTCTATTATTGAGCCATTGAAATAATAAGTTATGATTTATGATTAATAATTATTTTTGAATTGTCAGTGCTATTGATTTTTGAACTTCAATAAAAGAAAGTCAGTGTTAACATGAAATAATACGTGGTGAAAACAAAAGATAAATTTTACTGACGATCGAATATAATGCATGAAGTAACAAGAAAAGTATGTTAATTAATCGAACATTCCTATGAGCAACTCAATTTTCCTACGTGAAACCACGATTTTTTTGTTGAGATAGAAAATTCAAAGGTATCTGATATTTGAGTGAATTTTTTTGTAAGCTTTTAAGACTGTTATGTCATTCAAGATTTATTCTAAGTTGATCAATATTGAGATTTTCTTTCTTTGGACACCTTGCTCTATCCTTTGTCTTCCTTCATATTTATCTATTCAAGCTGTTTGACTGCAATTTCTCAATTTTATTCTTTCTGCGCGATGAAATCAATACAAAATTTCCTTTTATCTCTTTCTACTTGAGCTTCTTTTCGACGACGAGTGTGACGTTTAGAAGCACACAAATTTTGCGTCACTATTGCGAATAAGTAACACATGAACGTGGCACTATTTTATCGCTACTAATCTTTTTCTCTTCGTCCTGTAACATTGTATTGGTTCCATCTACTAACGCGTTATCACCTCGTTTTCATTTTCAGTATTCGAAACAGATTGTTGATCTATCAACCGAACACAGCATAACTAATAACACCTACAGCTATATGTTTGACTAATGAATTCTTCCCAATAATCTGCAACTTAAATTTCCAACTTTAGATAAATCAAGTGATGGCAACTTATAGGTCTTCAATAAAAATTGATGGCAGATGTACTAGATTCTTAGTATAGGATGAGATATTCTTAGAAAATTTGTACAAATAATCGTCTATCTAGGCTTGAAAGCTCTTTACACTTTCATGAACTAGAACTTGTCGGATTGAAAAATTTTCTACTGTAATCTAAACTAGATTTTTATTGGTAAAAGCCTTTATTAAATTTACAGAAGCGCACTGACTAGTCGTTCCATCGAATTGAAACTATTGTAGTGAGGGTATCTTTTCGATAACTAGCCCACCCTATGCATTACTAGGATAATTTTGACTATACTGTCTCAATAATCAAGTTTTTATTGACTGTTACTTCGAGAATGGTTCTAATCAGAAAGAGTTTTTTCTCCTTAGAAAAATGAAGGTTCATCTGTTTTTCAACTTTGATTTAGTCAAAAGACATCATTGATTTACACTTTAGATTTTTAAAAAAATATCATTAAGGTCAGGAGAAATTTTTGTGGAAAAATTTTCTGAGTAATAATTCACGGTATAGTAAGAGTTCAGAAAAATACTGACAAATTTGTATGAAAGATCTGTGTTTTCGAATCTTGTTTGGTTTATTTCTTTTTGAGAACATAACTTGCTGTAGTTCTATCTAACAATGTTAACTTAGTACGATTCTATTTTCAGAATATATAATTTCATAGAAAGACAACATTCGAATCAAAACTAATATTGTCCTAATTGGTAACTGAATTTAATTCATCGGAAATCATCATCGTTTAAAATGAGCGCACGTTTCAAACTTATTACTGGTCTAACAATTGTCATGACTTCTTTGCCAATGTTATACTTCTTGAAATCAAATAACGATTTTTTAACATTAACTACATCTGCAAGTGATTCTACAATATCAGCTGTTCATGAAATATTTTCCTGTAATAGTTGGAAGAATCTTTCATATATTGACGTTCCAAAATATAAAAACTGCTTAAAACAGAGTCGAAATGATCAATTTTGGACTGTTCACGGACTACGTCATACGTCTTTTAAAAATTTATTAAATTCTTCGTCACTCATTATCGAAGTTGGTGGAAATACTGGACTTGATACATCTCAATTTATTACACTGTACAACCCTTCAATAATTAGTTTTGAACCGATAGTAGAAATGTCAAAAGGACTCGTAGAAAAATTTAAAACAAATCCAAAAATTGAAATTCAACCTTACGGACTTGGTAGTCAAGCAAGAAATGTGTCCATTGAACTATTTGACACTGATAATGCTGGTACAAGTATTTTTCGAAAATTATCCTTAAAAAATTCAGCGAATATTCAAACAATTCAGTTGCTCAACGTAGTACAAGTTATTGAAAATATTCGCAATACAAGAACACAAAATGGTATCATTGATATGATTAGTATAAACTGTGAAGGTTGTGAATTCGAAATTCTACCTGCTCTTATTCATAGTAATATGATAAAATATTTTCGTATTATACAATTTGGATCACATATGAATTTTTTAAGTGGATCATCATGTATTTACTGTCAGATCGAACAATCACTAGAACAAACTCATGAAATCGTATATCACTACGTTATGTTATGGGAAGCTTGGATATTAAAGAATAAAATAGAAAATTAAGCGTTTTGGTTTTGTTAGAAAAATAGAGAAAGTGAGATTTTTTCTGGTCAAGTAAAAAATCGCTTTCAAATTTTCAATACTTCGATCTTTTTATTGTAGAAGCTGGTATAATCATGTGGAAAAGTTTTAAAATATGTATAAGCAATCATGTTTGGCATAGGAATCCTACTCTAATTATGAGATTTCATCGGCTATGATCAAATAATTAGCAACAGTCTAATCAATGAAATATTTCTAGTGAAACATATGTGTAATACAACGAATAATGCTTAAGAACGCATCTAGTCTATAAGAATATTGTTGAATCATGTTTAATAACAATGGATTTGAATCTATTTTTTTTTCTTGTTATTTTATTCTCTGTCAAATAGGAAATTATTCAGTGCAAACTATAAAAAAAAAAGGAAATTACGACTCTGAAATGCGCTTGTAGCTCCCCAAATTTCGTCTTAGTGAATAAGCCAGAATAACTATTACAAAGTGGAATATACAGATTAAAAAAACATAACAGAAAAGCGGCACCGGTCGCATTATCAAAAAAGAACCTGCTCTATGTTCATTCTTCAGTTGCTCGATGACTGCCGCGTAATGGACCGCGTACTGGACTTCGATTATTAGCATTTGTACTACGATCATTACGTATGGATGGATTCGGCTGTTGTTCGTACCCAATTGCTGCACGATTAGATGTTTCTAAAAATCAAAGTATTACTAGCACTGACTGAATTTTACTAAAATGTGAAATACAAATATGTTTTCAAGTCGCATTAGATAGACAAATAGGAAATGCTTTGACTGAACAATTTCTAAGAATCTGTTGCCAGTTTCCATTAAAATTGATTATTTGAGAAATGAACTTCGTCTTTTTACAATGCACAAAATAATACTTTAAAATTTTTTCTTGTCAAAATACTAGATTCATGCTTATCACTGATATGATGGAAAAAATACTCTATTGCTCATGTCAATTAGATCTAAAATAGATTGTATTGCATTTGTACAGATATCAACTAGCGTGGAAGCATCGTATTTCGACTTTTTCGTATTATCATTTGAGCAGTTCGTGTCTTTTGTTATTGATCACATAGTCACTAGGGCGAATCAATGCATTACTATCGATTATTTTTCACTGTATAAAAAGTAGGAACATCAATATTTAGAACAGTCAATTACTCACGTTTTCGAACTATTCAGATTTGGAAAAATATTTTCTCTGTTGAAATGAAATTTTCTATAATACTCTAGATTTAGTGATTAACATTGCCACTGCTGTTTCCAATTATTAAGGAACTCCAAAGAAGAAGTTTGATGTATAATTCTCGTTCTCAATTTATATGAAAACACGTATTTAACATTAATTAGTTCGCCTTGTATTTCTTGTTCTAGAAATGATAGAAAATCTAGGCACAAACTTTCAACCTAAAATTAACGTTAATTACACTTTTCTTCATTAAACATAGCAATAACTTCTCAGCATATTGAAATCGTGTTTTCTCCATATCATATCATATCATTAGATAATTTTCTCAGTTCTATTTGAAAAGAAAACTTACGTAGTGCAGCAGCACGTCCTCTAATTTCTCCACTTTGTTGAATAGATGGTCGTCTTGGCGCTGCATCTAAATATGGACTTGGCATATGTGCATCCGATCCCGTCAAAATCACTTGTTGCATATCAGGTAATTCAGAGAATGGCATATAAAATTCACCAGTTGGTAATTTTTGTTGTTCACGTTCACTACCACGTTCAAAAAATGTTTCATGTTGTTCCCAATGATTGTTACAAGCAGCACATGAAAAATTCGAAATAAAATTACTGCAGCCACATTCTGAAGAAAATAGTAATAAGAAATCTTTTTTGGAATTATTTCTACATCGAAATGAACAAACCTTTACATCGCTTATGTTTTGGTTCATGTCGATCATGTGGATGACCACATTTACATTTAGCACGCCAAGTGGATGCATCGAAACCTGGTCGTTTCGTTAACCAAAATTCTCCAACTTCATCGGGTCGCGATGGAACATAAGCAAACGCATCGCAAGTACAATTAGCTGTTCGACATTTCAAACGATTGACTTTACCTTATCATATTTAACAACAAGAAATAAATTTAAAAAAAAATAAATGATTTAATACCAGTAAATTTAACATGTTCGCTAAGTGTATGACCACAAAAACACTTTCCATTAGATCCTATTCGATAACAATCGAAATCTTTCCCTGGTTGTCGATAACTTATATAAAGATCATTTTCTATGGCATCATGTGCTGCATCAATTTCACTTTGAAACATGGCTTTTGCTTTTGGTGCAAAATCATGATTCATTGCTCGAGCCATTGTCACCTTTGATCAATAAGAAAGAAAAAGTAATTTTTCAAATATGATCTAATAGGAATATTGAACTGTATCAATACGAAATTGAGACTGTCTTTTCTCTTTTACAAAACATCATAGAAACATCAGATAACAGAATATTAAAGAAATATATACGTCAATACGTAGAATATTGTCATATACTGTGATTAGCAAGAGCAACTCAATTTTTACTTCAAATTTGAGTGTGTTACACGTATTATGTGTACGGCTTATTTTCAAAAATTTTAAATTTCAAAACCAGTATCTACGTACAATATCAGCTCTTGCAGCTGGACGAATTTGTCTTGCAGTGTAACCTATAAAAATAAAGACAATTAAATAAGAAGTTTAACCAAAGATGCTAACCATCAGGAACCATCATTCCATTTTCTTCATGAAAACGGATTGGATTCTTTGCAACACGTTCTAATGCATTATTTCGAGAATTGGTCGGCACCAATGATCTATTAGCTGAACCTAACATATATGATTAAACAAAGTTTTGCAACTAAGAGAAATTAAAAGGCACATACGTGGAACATCAACAGATGATGATCGATACGAGGCAGATGGACGCTGCTGTTGTGATCCTGTCAAAATAAAACAAAAAGTTCGATAATAACAAGAATAATCAAAAAAATAATCGAGATGAATTTGCCAGACGATGAATTTTAAAAAAAGCAAAACATTACTCCTACTTTAACCTGGTGTCGGACGTTTGTTCATTTCTTTTGATTTCGAATCAAATATTCAAACTTGAGAAAGAAAAAAGGGAATGATTGATAACCGCCATCTATCATTGAGCTTCTAAACGGCTTGTTCCTAAGCAATGACCTCTGTGATGTTACAGTTTTTGCAATATTGATTGAATTTTTCAATTTTAAGTCTTTCATGAATAAATGAATTATTAGTTTTTTTTAATTTTCTTTATATGAAATAATAAATATATTTAAACCAGTCATTTCACATTCTACCAATCGTTAATATCAGAACGCATTAGACTATTCTTATTTATTCAACAGGACTGAATACAAACAAATAATCGCTGTAATTGTAGTGATATATTTATCACTGAAACCTGCTTATGATTATTCTTTAACGTGTTTCTCATTACTAAGTTTTTGTTTGATTTAGATTAATCTTTAACAGAAAAATGCCATCGGTAGGAACATTAGCTTTCGACGAATTCGGTCGTCCAGTAATTATACTCAGGGGACAAGATTCGAAAAAACGTCTATTTGGTATCGAAGCACACAAGGTTATTGCGAACGAATCATTTCTATTTTTTTTCTAATTTTCCCTTCGATGTTTTAGTCACATATATTGGCCGCTAAAGCAGTAGCTAATACACTTAAAACATCATTAGGTCCACGAGGTAAATTTGCCAGGTTTATGTTCATCGATCATGCATTATCTAGTTTTGTTTTATAGGAATGGATAAATGTATGGTTTCACCTGATGGTGATATAACAATAACGAATGATGGCGCAACGATACTTAGTATGATGCATGTTGAAAATGAAATTGGCAAGTTACTTGTTCAATTATCAAAATCACAAGATGATGAAATAGGTGATGGTACAACTGGCGTTGTCGGTAAGTTGTCCTTGTAATAATTTAGTTGAAGTATAACTGTTGGAATGTTTTTTCTAATCCTATTACTAATAGTTTTGGCGGGTGCCTTACTAGAACAAGCTGAAGCCTTACTTGACAAAGGTATTCATCCAATTCGTATAGCAGATGGATATGAATTAGCAGCAAAAATTGCACTCGATCATTTGGATAAAATCGCTGAATCTTATCCACTTGATTTAAACAAAATTGACCCGTTAATTAATACAGCAATGACAACACTTGGATCAAAAATGTAGGAGAAAAAAATAATAACGTATTCTAAACGTTATATATATATATATATAAATATTTCTTGATTTTATTTAATCAAGTATCAATCGCTGTCAATATCAAATGGCTGAAATAGCTGTTAGTGCTATCATGAATGTTGCTGACATGGAACGACGTGATGTAAATTTTGAACTTATTAAAGTTCAAGGCAAAGTTGGCGGTCGTCTTGAAGATACTATTTTAGTTAAAGGAGTTGTTATTGATAAAACATTTTCACATCCACAAATGCCCAAAGTTTGTTTTTGCTTATAAATTATCAGTGTGATAGAAAAAAAACAATTCTATATTTATAGGAAGTTCGTGATGCTAAAATAGCTATTTTAACATGTCCATTTGAACCACCAAAACCAAAAACAAAACATAAATTAGATATAACTAATGTTGAAGATTATAAAAAACTACGTGAATATGAAAAAGAAAAATTCAGTGAAATGATTAAATCAGTATGTAAAAAATTATACAATAAAAGAAAAGGCTTTAAATTTAAATTTGATTCAATTAGATTAAAGATTCTGGTGCCAATTTAGTTATTTGTCAATGGGGTTTTGATGATGAAGCAAATCATTTACTTTTATCTCAGGATTTACCAGCTGTGCGTTGGGTTGGTGGGCCGGAAATCGAGTTAATTGCTATTGCAACGGGTGGCCGTATTGTGCCAAGATTTCAAGAGCTTACATCAGAAAAATTAGGTTTTGCCGGACATGTATATGAACTTGATTTTGGTACAACTGGCGATCATATGTTATGTATTGAAAAATGTGCAAAATCAAATACATGCACAATTTTCGTTCGTGGAGGCAATAAAATGGTAAGTTTTTTTTCCATTATGATATATTTAGGAATTCGTGATTGTGAGCACATAGAAAAAAAAATGCATCGTTAGGATAATGAATCTATTGGAATAAATACATATCGTCGTAGACAAAGATAGTAAATATAGATGTTCATGAAATTAATTTTCTAATTTGAAATTATCATTTACTCTAAGTATCAATCTGTTATTGACGCCAGAGTCTTGTATAGAATGAATGCATAATATGATCACAAGCTGGTTTTTTATGAATAGTTCAAAACATCTTAGAAAAAATACATTCTTAGACTTTTGTTAATATCAGCATGGTTGGCCATAGAGTTAATTGCTTTGTTATTCGATAGCATATGATTTACTTGCTTTCATAAGAGAAAGAGAGATTTTTTTGAGATGCACTTATTTTTGCAAGTATGATGTATTGTCAAAGACAAAATCGAGGTAATATCGACTATTGTAATCTTGAAAATCGTCAACACGAAGATAAAATACAAAACTATCGAGTATTCTATTCATCATAAAAGTACTTTGAGACTTCCAGTTGATATGAAATCAAAAGAGAAAATTTTTAATACGTAGAAGTTCATCTTTCATTCTAATAATATCAAGAAAACTATGCAATAGTCAAGTTGGGAAATAAAATAATAGTTTCATAAAAATTCTATATAACTTCTGTAAATATATGATATCATTATCGTTCGTGAGTAATTATCTGAATGGTTTCACTTGACTAAAGAATACATTTTTCTAACAAACACATTTTTAGATTGTTGAAGAAGCAAAACGTGCTTTACATGATGCATTATGTGTTGTCAGAAATCTTGTACGTGACAATCGAATCGTTTACGGTGGTGGTGCTTGTGAAATATCATGTGCCATTGAAGTTGCCAAAGAAGCAAACAAGGTTCGAACATAAATTTATATTTAATTCATTTCAATAAAAATTTATTTCCACTTAGATTCCAACGATTGAACAGTATGCTATCCGAGCATTTGCTGATGCACTTGAATCAGTTCCATTGGCTTTGGCTGAAAATAGTGGTTTTTCACCAATAAAACTCGTGTCTGATGTTAAAGCGCAACAAATCGCTCAAAACAATTCACGATTAGGCATTGATTGTTTGAATAAAGGAACAAATGGTAAGTTTGACTATTTTTGAATTTAAAACAAATAACTAAAAAAGAATATATTCACATTTAGATATGAAAGCTCAATCAGTTATTGAAACACTTATTGGTAAAAGACAACAGATAAGTTTAGCAACTCAACTCGTCCGAATGATACTTAAAATTGATGATATTCGTTTACCAGGTGAATCTGAAGAGTGATCTTTTTGGTTTCTTTTCATCGCAAAGCGTAGTCTCTCTTTTTTTATTATTTCAAACTATTTGTTATTCATTGTTAAGTTTTTTTGTTAACGAACAAAATCTTTGATGAATCTTTTGTATTACTTCGCTTGATAAGAACGTTTAACGGAAAAAAAAATAATAACTACATGAACCAATCGATTTTAATAATGCATTGAATATTTAATTGCTAGTCATATACTATGCATGTCGCACTGATGTAAAGGGTCATAAGCCTTGAGCTGTATTCCACTTCAACAGGAGAATGTTTGCTTTAGCTGTATCTACACATTTTAGATTAATATTCACTATCGATATGGGCTCAAATGCAAGTCTAGTGCCTCAGCAAGAAGACTTACAGACTATTTGCCAACAAACAGGTTTGTTCATAGGATTAGTTTGATCAAATACTTTTTGATTGAGTGATGAATACGAGCAGCGCATTTCAAAGTAGTGAGTATACCTAACGAACAATACGCATGCATTGTTCGAGAATATATTCAACATGTTGCGATGATTACATGAGATTCCATGTAGAGAAATCCTTCATTACTTGTTTTTTGTTAAAAAAATATTCACCCGTTGGATAAATATCTTTACGTTAAATGCTTTATTAAATATTGAAATGTTAATTTTCTAATTCATTAAACTTTCCATTAAAAAATAGATTAGCTTTAACAGCTTTTTGTCTGTAAGTATGCTGGTGTAAAACTTGTGATAGTTTTTTATTTTAATATGACTGTATATGAAAGATCAATTTTCTTATCTTAAAAATGATTATTTTCTGTAATTCAATAGAATTCTTACATGTTATCTCGAAAATCCGTTTCTGAGTATCTCAGACAGCATTAAACTCTTATGCAAGAAAAACAAATTCATTAAATTTTCTTGTAGAAGATGATTTTTTCTTGATTTTTGTTTCTCATATCGTGCATGCTAGAATTATCAAACTACTTCGTTATAATCATTTGCATTTGTTTTTTGAACGAACACAACAATTGAGTCTCTGTCATAGTCGTCTTTTTGAATTAAGTTCTTTTTACAAAAGTGATAAACCTTTGTTTTTCGAAAGTTTCTCAAGTTCTAAAACATATCATTATTTTTACTTCACATAAAAAGTAAGTATTATTATGAAAAATGATTTTATCAGACACTGTAAATTGACATGAGTTTTCAATTCAATTAAAAATTAACTTTTATAATTACCATTATAGAGAATTATCAATTAGCAAATAAATCATTCTTCATATTTTTTTTTGAATTGAGTATCTTTCGAAAATGTCATGATGTTCACCTTAGAAAACTTAACATCACATTGGTTCATATATGAATGAGTAGTTTTATGTAGTCTTTCTTAGCCTTTCATCATATAAAATGTTCTACATTCATTCACTCTCGACTCGCAAGACAATCGATTATCTTAATCTTGTAATTAACAGGTTATCATTGAGTAATACGTAAATCATAATTCTCATTAATATAGTTGTATAAGCGAAATAGGCAGGGGAAAATAAATATCTATAATCAAATGATGAAATAAATCAATGAGAAATACTTCCCAATTGCTTCTTAATATTTGATAACTGTGTTTTTTTCGCGTAGGTTTTACTGCTAAAGAAGTTCAACGTTTATATAGCCGTTTTAAAATATTAGACAAAAATAACTGTGAATTTTTAACACGAGAAAATCTTCTATGCATATCTGAAGTTAATATTAATCCATTAGGTAAACGTTTAATTGATGTTATAATGGAAGATTATGGTGAAAATAATAAAATTGATTTCCAACAATTTATTTTTCTTCTTGCCAAATTTCGAAGAGCAAAATTTAAATCATCAGTGACAGAATTTAATACACGAAATAGTAAACTTCGATTTTTGTTTGATGTAAATCATAATTAAATAAAAAGAAAATAATCATTAGTTATTGCTTTTTGTTTTGTATTTAGATGTATGATAGAAATCATGATATGAAAATTGATCGAAATGAGCTGCTTGAAGTTCTTAAAATGATGATCGGTGGAAATGTACACGATGATCAAATTGAAATGATTGCCGATCATACCATCAATGAATTAGTATTTCTATATTTTATAGTTTCAAGCTTTATTTTCAGTAATTCATCTTCGTTTCTAGGATAAAGATGGTGATAAATCAATCACATTTGAAGAATTTTGTAAAACACTCGATCGTATTGATGCTGACGATAAAATGAGCATGAAATTTTTAAGTTAAATATTATATCTAGTATTCAATTATAAATGTATATGATCACAAGAATCTCTATTTATATGTGTGTGTTGCTTTTAATGATATATCAATTTATTTTTATTTTTATTTTATTGTGTTTATTACATAAAATTATTTGTTAGAGAAAAAATTAGCAATTAATATAGTAGATTTATATTTTCTATTTGAGATAAGTCATCTTACTTTATGGGTCCAAAGAAGCAACAAGAATTATCGACTATGCGGCGACTATTTGGTGTTGAAATGGCTGATTTTCAATCATGGTCGAGTTTTGTTAAACTAATGAATCGCCCAGAAGATCCAAGTTCATTAGCAGCATTTCGTATCTTATTTGGTATGATTAAAGGAAATAAAACACGATTGAAACACTTCTTAAAAACATAATTCTATTCTATATTGATATTGTCAAATTTTTCTTAGTTTTGCTAAGGACAAAAGACAAAGATATCAATTTAATTCTCGAGTATTAACTAGCTAGGTTTGCTTTGTGCGTCGCCAATGATCTGTTTCTTGCTAGATATTTTTCTTTTTACGAAGTGATTAGGCGTGAATAGAAATTGACAATATAGTTTTCACTATTTTTGCTTCAATCGACGAAGAAAAAATTGCTTACTATTGTCGTAGATTTATTAGTATTGATTACAACATTTTACTTTGTGCTTTATATTTTATATCCTTTCATTATTTTAGGCATTCTGATGATGCTGGATATTCCTCAAGAACGTGGTATGTCTCATGCTGATCTTTACTATCCAAATGAAGATCGAGAGTGTCAATTTCCATTATTTAATTTTCTCGAGCCATTCCGTGCTGAATACATGGTTGTCATTTATTTCATCATGTTTCTCGGTATGAATTCGAGATGTTCATTTTGAGAACTTTTGTATATGTTCTTTTTAGGTGCTGTTGGCATCACTCTTGGCTTATTTTATCGTTGCTCTGCAATCATTTTTGCAATAACATACTGGTATATTTTTCTTCTTGACAAAACATCATGGAACAATCATTCGTATCTATATGGTCTACTTGGTTTTCAACTAATATTTTTTGATGCACATCATTACTGGTAAAACTTGTGCTTTAATTTCGTGTATTTTCTCTAACTGAAACAAAATCTATTGATATAAATAAGCATATAACAAAAGCAAGAATTTTCTATTCTATTTTTATTTTATAGAAAAAGATCGGATTGTGAATGTCAGTGAGTGATGTCTTTTTTCTTCTCTTGTCTAAAACCATTTGGGCTAAAAATAAACTCAATTTTAGTCATCTTGATTTTTTTTGCACACATTTTCTCACACGGTTTCTTCTTCTGATTGAAGATTGATTTTTTTCGTATTATTTTAAAATCATTAATTAAATTTTATGGTTTAGGTCAATCGATGGATTATTGTTTCGAAAAAAAATTCGTAATTCCCATGTACCATTATGGAATTATACATTGCTTCGATATCAAATATTTCTTGTTTATTTTATTGCTGGTTTGAAAAAAACCGAATGGGATTGGGTTGCTGGATATTCAATGGATTCATTAGGTGATCATTGGGTATTTTCACCATTTCGGTAGTTTATTTAATAGAATGTAAATATTCTTTACAGATAGTTTTGCTTTTGTTTTTCTTAGAACATTTATGACAATCGAACAAATTACATGGTTGCTTGTGCATGTTTGTGGTTTACTCTTTGATCTATTCATTGGTTTTGCTCTCTTTTTTGACCGCTCACGGCCGATTGCCATTGTCTTTTGTGCCGCTTTTCATACTATGAATTCACAAATGTTTAATATCGGTAAATCAGTTCTATTGAATTCAAAAGATTTAATATTGGTGTTTTTGTAAAATAATTCTTAATTTCAGGTATGTTTCCCTATACCATGCTTGCTACGATTCCCGTATTTTTTCATAATAATTGGCTAAGAAAATTCGTCAATCGTGTTCTACCAAAATTTCTATATAAAGAAGAACCAGTACAATATAGTTCATCGTGTTTATATTCAAAAGAAGAAATCAAACCAGAAGAATCAAAAACGACATCATTAAAATCAGCAATTGCAAATGCTACTTCGGTAAAACATGCACCTGTTAAAGCAACATTTCGTCATAAAATGTTGACAATTTTTGCACTTCTTTATCTTACTGAACAAGCATTTTTACCATATTCACATTTTATTACTAAAGGTTATAATAATTGGACAAATGTAAGTTCATTCGATGAATTTATTTTGGCATAAAAAATAGAAAAGTTTTCTAGGGTCTTTATGGTTATTCATGGGATATGATGGTACACAGTTGGCATACGTAAGAATAGTATTTCGTTAAATTTTATCTAATTTCAAATTTTCTTTTCTAAATAGTCAACACGTAAAAATAACTTTTATTGATAAATCTACTGACGAAGTTCATTACTTAAAACCAACAGCATGGGCATCAGCAAAACGATGGAGTTCTCATGCCGATATGATTGGTAAATATTCTTTTTTTTTTATAAGAAAAAGAAACGTCAGAAGCTTCTTATTTTTCTTCTAGTTCAATATGCTCAATGTATAAAAGGAAAATTGAAAGAACATAATTATGATGATGTTGAAATTCGTTTTGATATCTGGCGTTCAATGAATGGACGATTTAATCAACGACAAATCGACCCGCGCATTGATTTACTTTCTGCAGATGTTAAATGGAGTACATTTGAAGATACACCATGGTTACAACCGTTATTAACAAATTTAAGTGATTGGAGAACACGAATGCAAAAAATTGAAAATACATTATCAAGCAAAGATCAAAATGTTCTCGTAACATTTGTTGCTGATTTTCCAGGTAAAACGAAGAAATTATCTTCTTTTTTCAAAATCTAAAAATATATTTAGGTCTCTTTCTTGAAAATTACATACCTCCGGATTTGAATACAACTATTGAAGTACTTGAAGGTCAAATTATAGTTGAATTAATAAGTTTAAAGAAAAATATTACTTTAAATGTTGGAGAAAATACGACAGTACCAAATGGAGATTATCATAATGGTCAGTTTTATTAGAAGTTTCTATTTATAAGAAAAACAGAGACGTTTTTTCTTTTAGTTCACACAGTATCACCAACACCTTCATGTTATATGTATGTTTATTTAAATCAATCGGATGCTGATATCGTTCAATTATGGGATCGATTTTATAATTTAACTGATCGATTACTGAATGAAACAATTGTACGTAATCGTCCTTTGCACAGTGATAAAGAAGAAGCTGATCTTGTTCGTCTGTCATATGAAAATGTTTTTGAAGAATTACGTCATAAAACAATTCATGAATTATTAGAAATTCCAATTGATTATAAAATTCATAACAAAAATGAAACAAGTACAAATTGGACTAATATTCGTTTACAATTTGAAACCAGTATGAATCGATCAATAGTTAAACGTTTAGATTCAAAAGTTAAAGTACAAGAACGAACTCTTCGTGTATTTAAAGCATTGATGAATAGAAAAAAGAAACAATTTTTACGATGGTAAAGTATAGAAAATGTTTTATTGATTTTAATGAATATTGATAGGCTGTCTAAGATGTTAATAGAATACATTGCTAAAAATATGGATAATTTTCCAATGCAAAAACGTAATCTATAATAATAAGATTTACTCACAGAGAAATTCACGATCAAGTATAAGAAAGTTTTAACTGCATAAAAATAATTGTCAATCATCATGTAATTTAATAAGAGTGAAAAATTCTTAAATGAATAGTACACAGAACTTTGTACATAACACGATTTTACTATAATAATAGGTTTTGCAAAACTTCGAATCACTGCATTTTGGTTGTTTGACAAATTACTTTTTCGAGACGATAAGACTAGTAAAACTAATTTACGTTGAAAATAAAAGCCTATAGACACATTGGATCTAATGTACGTAGGCAATAAAAAGAAGCTCAAACATGGAAACACTTCAGCAGATTTCTATAGATTATCTATTATTCACCTATCCATTTTCATATCAAAATGTCAAGTAATATTTTTCAATCATTCATAATTTTGAAAACTTCATTCTTTATAATTGTTTACAATACAGAAGTAGTTTCACTTTATTTTCATCCTCTAAAAATTGTGCATATGCATTCAAAAAAAAATCATTTTATTGTATTTTTTTTTCTTTTAGTTATCACATTGTAAAAGTTGCTTTCAAAAGTATCATCTTTCGTAAAGACTTCATGCAATTAGTTGACGATGAAATCAATAATGTTGACGACGAAAGTGGATCAAATACTATTGTTACTGAAGAATCTCCGCCTCCATCTTCATCAAAACCGTTGTCTTCGAAGAAAACCTCATCAACAAATGGTAAAACAAAAAAAAAGCAAATCAAAAAATAAATTTTTCAAATCTCATTAAATAGATCAGAAAACAAAAATTATTGTTTCTTATAAGACAGTGATTTTCGTTCTTTTTTTGTTTCTCATTTATTCGTATTATAATTTCCATAGTTTTAATTTTATTCATAGAGAAATAATTTTTGTTTGTTTTTTTATCAATAAGACTTGACATTTCTATGTTATATCGTGAATAATAATAATAATAATAAAATTAATAAAAAAAATAGCTAAATGTATTCGAAAATGAAAAAAAACGCACTTCGTTAGTTGGTTGATGTTGATTTCTTTTTTTGTTTTTTATCGTTTGTCGATGACGGACCATTAATAAAGTTTACAAGATCATCGATGTTTTCATTGCCACGATTACCAGGAATTGCTTCAGCAAGTATTGCAGTTTGCTTTTTAGGTTTCTTATGTTTTCGCTTCGCTGGCGTTTCATTTGTCGCACCCAACAATGACGAATATAAATCACTTTGATTGAAAATTGATGGTTTCTCATGATTATGTGTTGGATCATTACATACATGAGAATGATCATGAACAGATTCAGGTACTATCATCGAATTTATTTCATCTACAGTTGTCGTGATATGTTCTTTGTTTTTGTTTTCAACACCAACAGAAGCCATCAATTAAATAATAGTTTTTTATTGTTGAGAAAATATCGTGTAAATCAGTTTATTAGATTGTGAACCTGTAGTTATATATTTTGATGTCGATGATTGAGGATTGAAATTTCCAACCAATAATGACTAACTGATTATATAAAATATTATTGGATATTCTGATTCAATAATAAATAAATAATCGCAAGAAATGGAGATATGAGAAGAGGTCGCCAGATATTGGACGTATTTGATTGGAAGAGAAATTGAACCAAAACAATGAATATAAACGATGATTTCTCTATTTTTTTTACAGAAACAGATATTAAAGATTCTTCTAGATTACAATGGGGGATAGTGACGATGATTTTGATAGTCGACGAAATCGTGATAAATTTCGTCGTGAACGTGATGATTTTAGTGGAAGTCGTGGACATAATAATCGTGGTAGTGGAGAATGGAATGATGGAAGGTAAGAAGAGACACAGCTTCGGTTCGATGAATGAAATTTTATCACGAATAGTATTGTTCAATAAGAAAACTAATGGACTATTCCATTTTATGTTTGATTTTTTTAGAGATCGATCCAATCGATTTCGAGGACAGTATTCCAGTGGTCCACCACAAGGACGTGATTTTCCGCCAAGATACAATCGAAGTCCTGCTAGATATGATATGAGTCCACCACAGAATAAACGTCTTCGACGCGACTGGTAAAAACTACTTTGTTGAAACGCTTCTATTAATAAAGTTACCTTTTTTTCTATATCACAGGGATACTTCTGATCAGTCATCATCATCTCGTTTTGATTCAAATATCGGTTCGCCATATCTTCATAGTGGCGGAGGTTTCCCATCGAATACATCATCAAATATTCCTTCAAATGCTGAGCAGTTAAATAAGTAAGATTTTTTTATATTTGTAAACTTTTGCTAAAATATGATGTTCTCTTTTTTTTCCTTTCAGAGAATCATCTGATAGTGGAACACAGCCACCATTACTCAGTTTCAAAAATTTCTTGTTAGATCAAGACGATAATATCGAACAAGAAGAAGCTGTGAAACGTTATAATGTCTATAAAACAGATTTCAAAAAAACTCAAATAGCCGAATTTTTTACAGCACATAAAAATGAAGAATGGTTCGCCAAATTATTTCGTATTGAAATACTTCTTTTTATTCATACTTGTACTTTTATTCAGGTTCAAATATAAATATCATCCTGATGAACATCCAAAACGACATCAGGAACAAAAACAAATAATTCAAAAACGCTTGGACATATTTATGGATCTCTATAATAAAGGTTATCTGAATAATGTTAGTGTTGATATTGATAATCAACAAGCACTTATCAAATTTCTTGATACTGGTATGATATATTTATTTTATATGAAACATAACAATGATATAATGAAGATGATTTCATCATTTTTTTCAACGATACGATAATAAGCTTTATCATTAGTACTTGATAGAGTAGAATGACTAGTTCCGTTATGGGTATCATGTTTTCATAAACGAATAAGCCTAATTTAATAAAAAAATCTTTCTAACATATTTATCTTTCGTTTTTAAAGTAGAAAAAATTCCATGTAATCTAATTTCATACACAATGAGAACAAAAGATAAATATATCAAATAAATATTCTATTTTGAAGCTTTCTGCACGGTATTGAATCATGAAACATTTTTAAAAATAGCGTAATACGTCTTTCAACAATTTTCAACTGCGAAGAGCCTGATCAGCGAGTGAAAATGAATCATCATTTGACTCGAGTGTAAAGTTCAGTACTACCCCTTTTACTTGTTGATTAAATTCACGTATAGGTATTTAACGTGATCTTTTTGACATTTTATTTTTCTACAATATACAGCTGTCATCAAAATGGAAGGTGGAAGTGATCAAGATCTTCGTCTGCTTGATATTGTGACATCATCACATGATGAAAATGCAGCCAAACAATCATCGGAGAAAAACGATAATGAAAATGATTCGAAAAAAAGATCTGATAATAAAGTAACAGAAATAAATTCTTTTCAAACAAAACATTTTTGTTTTTATCTGAAATTTTTAGAGAAAACGTGAAGACAGTAAGTCTGACGATGAAACAATATCTAATGGTGAGCATGGTTTATCGACTAGTAAATTATTTTATCGATTTTTATATAATCCGTTTTTTAGCTGAATCAAAAGATACAAATGAAATTAAATCATCTTCACAAGATACTATGCATGAAGCCGGTGAAGTACCTGACACATCACGATTATTACATCGCACAACGTCTATATTTTTTCGTCATTTAACTATGCAGACAACAAACGATGATCTTGAAAATGTAAGAAAAAGAATCTTTTTTTCTTTGCCCTAAATATGTTTAGTTAAAAAACAAACTTGAATTTCGTATTCATATAGATGTGTAAACAATATGCAGGTTTTCGTCGTGCGTGCATCACTGATCCAGCACCGGAAAGAAAATTTTTTCGTCGTGGTTGGGCTACATTCGATCATTCAGTTCAAATTCGAAATATTTGTTATGAACTTAATCTTACTAAAGTAAATTTTACTTATTGATAATAGAACGAAAAAAAAGCTCATCATTCTGTTTCATTTCTATCAGCTACATGATACTGACGTGGGTGCTATAGTAAATCGTGAATTGAAAAATCGTGTTCGTACAATAAGTGGTATTGCGCATCATAAAACTATTGTACGTAATGATCTTCGACTTATAACAAAAATCATTAAGCAATTAGATACACAATGGAATATTTGGGAATCTAATGAAAATGATCATAACGAAAAAAAGGTTACAATAAGTGATGATTCAGAAATTTCATCTTCAACAATGAATACATCATCAATACAAAATAAAAATCCTATGGGTTTTATTAGTTATAATCCATTATTAAAAAATATAACTGAATATCTTGTTGAAGAAGGTGATGCAGAAGAAGAAGAATTGCTTGGTGATGCATCAACAACTATGGAAAATAATTCAAATGCATTTGAAATTGACAAAGAATTAACTAAAGTAATTCATTAAGCTAATTAATGCCATTTTCTTTTTTCTATATTTCCAAATATTTTAAGGTATTGGATCGTTTAATTTTATATCTACGTGTTGTTCATTCTGTCGATTATTACAATTGTGCCGAATATACACAAGAAGATTCAATGCCTAATCGTTGTGGTGTTATACATGTACGTGGTGGTTTATTATCGGCAATAATACAAAAAGAATTAACAAATTTTATGCAACAATTTGAAAGTCGCCTAAAAGTATTTATGGATTCTCATGAAAAAATAGACGATGATGAAGCTTTAAAATTAGGTGCAAAAAATGAAGAAAATGAAATAGAAAAATTTATGGATGCAAATTGCCAGGAAGTTAGTAAAGATAAATGGTCATGTCCACTAAGTGGAAAGAAATTCAAAGGTCCAGAATTCGTGCGTAAACACATCTTAAATAAACATCATGATAAAATTGACGAAGTTAAAAAAGAAGTAAGTTTTCTAAAAGTTACGCTACGAAATGTTTTTCACACAGTACATCATGCATTCTCCTATTTAGATGATCTATTTTAATAATTACTTATATGATCCGAAACGACCACAATTACCTGAACATTCATCAAATCGACCTGGAGCAACAGCAGCTGCACCACATCCATCTGGTTTACCATTACCAACACCAATGACAGTTCAACCATTACTTGCACGTGCACCTCTATGGCCTACTAGTATGCTACTCGAATGTATAACCTGATGGCAAAATTCTTTTCTTTTTGATTTATAGTGTCGGCACCTCCTCATTCGGGTTCACCTGGTTATTATCCAAATCAATTTCATCAAGCTCGCCATCATAGACCACCATTCATGTATCAAGGTTTGGGTGGTTCGATGCATCGACCACCGTAAGTTGTTGAATTTTTCTTGATTTTAACACACGATAAAATACACATGTATAGAACTATTTCATTCCAAATAACTAGATATACTGTGAATAGTAACAAACATTTCTTTTTTTCATGTTTTAACTTTTGTTTCCGTACTATCGTTTACTTCATGTTTTTTTTTTTTAGAAACAATCGACCGTTGAGAAGTTATGAAGATCTTGATGCACCAAGTGAAATGTAACTTCAGGTTATAAAATATTTGAAATGAATAAAATAAAACGCGTATAATAGTCATCTTGTTGATGTGCTTGTAATTTTTTCTCATATTTCGTTGATGTTGTATGAATAACGTCATAGATCTCTTGTTTGTTTGTTTTTCCTTCCTGTACAAGTGTGTATTCATGCACTTTCTTTTCTTTTTGTGCTCTTTTTGTGTCTCGTAATTCTATAAAAATTACAGATCTAAAATATATAAGTAATCATAGGATAATCAACAATATCCTAAGTTGATATTGAATGTCAATATGAAAATAAGATAAGAAACAATCTTACTATTTATTTTCTAGTGGCAAAGCATTCGAATTCAAAAGACAAAACTCTTACAACACAATCATCGAAGTAGTACACCAATCACAAAATCTGATTGTGCTAAAACTATAATAAATTATGACAAAAAACTTTTGATCATGTAAACATTTGAAATTGCTGAAAGATGAAAAAAAGCATGGAAGATATCCGATTCAGTTAGTCCATTTTAGAATGTATTCTCAATCAAAAGTGCAATCATCGACGAAAGTAAATTCTCCAAGGGGGAAAAGGCGGTCTTAGATTTTGAAAATGCCAAAATCCAAAACGTGAATGACGAAATTTCCATCTGAATTTTTTCATATGTAAGTCCCATGATCCTTAGAATATTCTAACATTTTCAGCGCAAACGGATGTTTCTATCTCAAGATAATGAATGCGCCAGAAATGTTCATTTCACGGCACGACCAGAAAATCCATTTTTTTTGAAAAATCAATATTATAAGAAAAAAACATTTGTTCGAGTTGAAACTTTTAGGATCTTCTATGGACCATGAAACCTATATATGGGAAGAATTTCAGGTCGAAATTACGTCATTCACAGGGAGGGGGGGGGCGGAAAATTATATTAGTGATGATTGTATTGAAACGGTCAAATATCACTGTGTTGTTTGTTTGATAATCGGCACACAACAATGTAGATTCAGGACTATCGCTGATTTGAAGTAGCAGAGGAGCTCAAATTTCGACTCTACTTTTTCAATTAAAAGACTTATTTATTTGATTTCTTAACACTTGTGCTGGATAATATTGAAACAGAAATGATGATCTTATACATAACTATTTTTCGTATAATAATTGCCAATGCTGGACATATACAAGTCTCTTAATAGATATTAGTTGGTAGGGTATCTTCATAATTGAGGAAAAGAAAAGTATTGAGTACAACAAATCACATAACATATTTACCAATGTATTGTATCTCTCATAAAAGAAGATATTGCTTTAATTTATGCTTATTCTTAGATGAAAATATCGTTGAGTTTGTTTTTCTGGACATCACCTTCGATTGAAAAATCAGATGTTTACTATTAGAGATAGGTTATTTTTAGATATTATACAGTTTGACTATTTACTCTGGGGCAATTTTTCAAAGGCTGTCCTTCTTACAATAGATTTTCTACGGAATAAAATTCTGTTATTGATTTAGTAGTCATTTATTATGAAAATATCGATAATTTACATTTCATGCACTTGAAAAATATCAATATTTGCATCACAGTATATAGGACATAGTCATGTTCATATTTCTTTCTCTAACTTGATAGGATTTGTGATCTGGCAACCTTCTACGAAATTTTATTTAGAATAGAAGCTTTTTTATTAGCAAAATAATTTATTGAGAAAAAATTCGATATTTACAAAACTACAGATAATTTTAAAAAATTAAGTATCTTTGCTCTTCCTCTTCCCGAAAACATATATCTTCGGTGAATTATGGTGAATATTAAAATCATTGATAAAATAAAATTCACATAAACCATACAGTCGATAAACCATGATACGTTGATAAGGATTCTAATAATTATTGATGAACTTTGGTACTAGTTTTACTATGATGGAGCATAGTCTTCAATTAATCGCACAAATATTATTGCGCTTTTCTTTCTTTTTGTAGCAGCGACTTTCTTATGTCAATGCCAGTGTGGTGGAAATTTGTCCCATGTAAACGCTATCGTGTAATATATAAATAGTAAAACAAGTCAGTTTCATTGAACAAGAAAGTATGAATTTACTAGTATGTTTCAATTACAGTTTAAGATACAAAGAAAGGATTGTGCTAATACATTAGAATTCATATATTTTCAGAATTGATGAAATCGCTTTCTTTTGATATAATCCGCTTTTTCGAAACAAAAATGCCGTCCTAATTCTAAGTTAGGGTCGCTTGAAAATTACAAAACTTCAATAAAAAAATGCACGCCGCACAAACAGTCAATTGATATGATAGCAATCTTGTTACATTTTCCGTTTTCTTTATACATGAACCGAATTTCCTTCTTGATATTCTACATGGAACGAGAACCATTGATGTGTGTCATCATCAGCTGGATACAGATTTTCAGTCTATTCCTTCATGCCTTATCATCGAATGTATACTGTCATTCATTGGTGATATACAATTATTTAGCAACTACTATTGATTCATTGAATGAAATTTCTATAGAAAAATAAAATAAAATAAAAATCTAACATCTCCACTGAAGTGAAACATTTTCAAGATATTTATTATTTATTAGAACTGACAAACTGCATGTAGTCCCGACTCAATCGTAATTAATCAGTGACGAGACTCTTCTTCTTGTAAACTCAAGAAATAAGAAGAGTATCACTGTTTGTAATTTAGACATTTATGTCTATTGGTTTATAAAATAGATTATTTCGCATTCTAAAAATCTATCTATCTCTGTTTTTTTTATCGGGTATTGTTACGTATTTTCGCTCAAATTAGAGGTCGCTATATTCTTAACTCACACGAAAGTCGTTCATTACTATTGGTGTTCGATCTATATATATTTCCACGCGAGCATTTGTTCATCTAATCAACTGGTTCCTTTAGATCTCGTAAGAAATCTCATAACTATAATATCTTACTATGACTACAATCGTCACTCCGATGGAAATTACTGACGACGAAGATATATCATCATCCGATACCGATACTTGGATCTATAGTGACCAAGAAAGTGAAACATCAGGTTAGTCAAATAAAAATTCTTCTCATTCATACAGTTGCTGATTGATTCTAGACCGTGAAATAAATGAGCATAATTGGCGATACAACTTTCAAGAAACAATAAATGATTTACAAGAAAATAAATTAGACGACGGTGCAAGATCACTTCTTTTTGATGTTCCCTATCAAATTCGAATAAAACAACTTGGAGATGCACCTTTTACATTTCCATTATCGAATGCTCTATGTTCTCGTATTATTTGTGAACATGGTGTACCATTACCTCTGTCAAATAAGTATGATTTTTGTGGAACAAAGGTAACGAAAGTACAACTATGTAAATTCGATTGATTCTGAACTATTCGTTTCGTCTAGATTCTTAATACAGCATGGCAAATAGATTACAGTTCAATCGATTTTCCTCTTTCTTTTTCGGCTGCTATTCGAGCAAGTACATTCGAACAACTTCATTTAAATACATCAGACATAAAAACACATTTCGATTTAAATCTACACAAACTTATCATGCTTGGTCCATGTTCACATACAAAAATTTATCATTTTGATGATAAACTCTTTATTTATCATGCTACTGTACTTGTTTTTCTACCTTCAAATTATACAGGCGGTAATTATCGATTTATAGATGATAATGACGATGAGGAGGATGATAATGATGAAAAGCGCATTTACCGACATGTTTTTAATCAACACGAATCAGTGAATTCCAAACCTTCCGTTCTTGTTGTACCATCTGATTGTCAACATGAAATTGAACCCATCGAAAAAGGATTTCAACTTCTACTTGTTTATCATCTTGTTTCAAAAACAAAGTAAAATAAACTATACCTCCTCTTTTTTTATTGTGTTTATTATTATATATAGTTCAATTCATCAATTCTATTCACTTCTATCGAATGTAAATTATGAGTCTATGAATATCGAACATGTTTTTCTAACGCAACGTATCAAACGGATATTTAATTATTGGGAAAAAAATCTTGATAAAATGCCTAATAAACTTCTAATACCTCTTCAACATCCATTGGATTATTCTCCGTATTTCTCGATTCTATTTCGTGATAAATATCGAATAATACTTGAATTGATTATGGCAGCAATGAAATATTTATCTTCATTTTTAATTTGTTCAGCTATTTTTCAATATGATCGATCATCCGTGAATGCGGTCGATTCAAGATTTCTCATTCGTGATATCAAATTATTAAGCAAGACCAATAAAATAACTCTCGATTTGACTTCACAACATGAACGTACAGTCATTCCCAATGAATTTCTTGGTGAACTTCATACATATGTTTATGCCTTTGAACATAATGGTGGTAAACAGCATGGCCTAAATACAGGTGAGTTAGTTTCAATAACTAGAAAAAAAAGGAAAATTTAACAGTAATCTTCTTAGACAATTCAATATTTCGTAATAATACAAAATATCATGTTCTTGTTGTAATTCCTTACCAACGCCAATGGGACTTATTACTTGATGATCATTCATTTGCATATCATCATCTATCTTATATGCTCTCTTTACCGATAAATACATTAGATAATTTATGTTTAAATTTATTTGATTGTATTCTTCATGATAAAACAACAAAGAAATATTCATTCGATCAAATCATTCGTTATCTTATTCTTCTTCGCCATCGTTTTGGTTTAATGCCAAAAATGATTCCATCAATCAAAACACTTTTTCAAAATAAACAATTTAAAGATGAATTATTCTCAAACAATAATCTTCATTTTTGGTTAAGTCGTTTAGCTGAAAGATTTTATGATTGGCCAATGTTTTCAAAAGAATTTTTAGATTTATTTCGTAAAGTAATTATTTCATCAATGCCAACAAAGCTCAATGAAATTATTCAATTTTTGATACAATTTACAAATAAAACATTACGTGCCTTATTGATCAATGCATTAATTCGATTCATATTTAAACCGCATGAGTTTTCAAGACACATTCTATTATCAACACTTTGTTCTATTTTTCATCTATTAACTATTGATCAATCATATTCAGACGATGCATTATCAATTCTTGCTTATAGTATAATAAAACGTGTTCGAAAAACTACATCTGAACATGAAATTATTCAGAAATGCTTTAAAATTCATTTAGTACCAATGCTTATTAATATTTATCGTGACAAACAAGAGAAAGCAAATAAGAATGACCCTAAAAATGTAATGTCACCTGCATTTTTTCTGATTTATGAATATTGTTTAAATACTCTTAACTATTATTGTTCGCCAATATCATCCTCTTCGTCATCATCATCTTTAACTATGATTTCAATGAATGAAGCATTATTAATGTGTTCATGTACATTATGCAGTCGATTACAAATGTTTTTAGGTGATTCAAAAAGTTCAACATTAATATTTGATTTATCATCAACATTAATTCCTGATCATTGTCTTCGTCATACATTAAGTAAATTTCCAATGTTATCCATTGAATATAAACATGAGCCATGTACAGGTCGTGAACAAACTTTAATTATATCAAAATATGCTTACGAACAAGAGCAAAAACAGTTATGTTTTCATCTTCGACGTTTATTACTGAGATTACATAAAATATAAGGAGCCGAATGTTTATATATATTTTTTTTGTTGTTTTGTTTTTATGTGAAACTTTTTTTTCTTTTGTTAAAAATGAACTTTATTTAATGATGAAAGATTATTTTATATGAAAATAAAAAGAAGGCATTACGAGAGAGGCTATAATCGCGATGCTCATGTTTCTTGATTTCCATTATTTTATTTAACTATAATTTCCAGTATTGGCTAAAATATAAGATTGTCTTTTCTAACATTTCTATATCTGAGTAAATATCTAAATTGTAATAAAAACAAAATTTCTTTGTAAGTTTTTTTCTTTTGGAATGATACATTTTTAATCATCTCCATTGTATGAAATTATATGACCATATTTTATCTATCTATTATGAAAAGTTCAATTATAGAGAAATAGGCACAATAGACGATTGTTTTGTTTAAAGTCAATTGAAATGTGTAAAATAATTTGAATTCCATCGATCGAACACATTTAACACAATAAAAAAAAATATTCGTATTTTTGGTAACCAACCGAACAGGGTTTCTAAATCTACTGTGTACCGTTTTTTGGGTCGGTTTCCCCAAAAAACGAATAATTTTTAGCATGAACTTAAATGAATATTTGCAAAAAGGGTTTATGTGATTATAAAGTTCAAAATGCTTGAGGATCTATCCACATAGTTAAAAGATTATTATTTAAAATAAAATGTAATATCTCTTGTTTTTATTTGCTCATTCAGCTAAATATCTTGTTGATTTCCACATATTTAGAAAATGAAGCAAATTAATGTCTTGTCCTATTTATTAAATAATATGTATGTGAATTTTTTCTGCATTGAACGAAGTTTTGAATAAGTAGGCGATTATTCAAGAGAAGACATTGCAAATTTTAAAATCTTATCGTATGCTAATAAGTTCGACTGAAAAATCAAAGCTAATTTATTTCGTTTCAGAAAACTTTTGTGTGTAAGATCAGTTGATTTTATTTATAATGATAAAAAGTGTAGGATAAAAATGTGTAGCATAAAAAAAAATCATTATTTTATTTATGCTCATAACCTAGATTGACCTAAAAAGAAAACTGAATCATTATTAAATTCAATAGAAGACTAAAACTTACAAAATTTGATGTATTTTTTATTATATTAAGATGGCCGGCAAGAACTAATTGTTTTTTAAAAGGTTCATCATTTTTCACCTCTTCAGCAGTTTTTTGTATTTGACTGAGTAAATCTGGTCGACGTCGTATGAAGCGTAAAAATTCATAGAGATGTTCGTTGTGCATGGTAAGTTGAATTTGTGCTAAATGTTGAAAACGGCGAATTTCTAAACAAAAGAAAATTCTTTTCTTTCTACCCTTCTTGATGAAAACAGACACAGTAAACAATATCTTCGTATCTTTCTTACACTCTTTGAGGCACTCCATTTATACATGTCTTTTTATAAGGGTAGATTACATCAATGGTTTTCAAAATTTAAAAAAGCGTGCATCATAAATATTTCCACTTGCATAATAGACAATAAATAAATTGAGTTTAATTTTTGAAAACATAATTATTCGTCAACTTCAAATACAGAAAAAGTAACTTCTAAATCCGAGTGCAATTCGCAGGTCACTTTTTTTTCGTTGCTTGTCTGACTGGATATACAGGGTAGAAAGGACACTGCTGGATAAGCTTGACAGCTCTTTTTCTTGAAACACTCTTTTCAAATACACAGAGTGGAATAGCATCTTTTTTGACCCGGAAGTATCGCATAAGCTATACTGTAGGGGCTATCCACATTTCTCTGGCATCAAAGGAATGCTGGTAAACACGTTCTTTTTATCCCTTCTCTCTAAAGAAATTAAAACTCTCAAAAAATTTCCAAGGGTCGATCTGTCATTATTCTGTGAAAAAAAATAAGCACAAACTGAAAACGTTTTACTGAATATTAAAATCCAAATGTGGCGAGGTGATTGATTATTAATGAAATTGATAAGCTCGAAAAAGTTGACTTATTCCATATCAAACTATAGGAATTTCTGGAGAAATCAGTTCTATATTAATTGGCATTGTTGAGTCGCTACGTCGGGTAAAATACTTAACGATTCTCATAGGTATACTAAATGGAACAGCTGCTGACAAATAACTAGCTTTTCTTTATCTATCAATTTGATGGTCCATCAGTCTAGTTCTCATATGACATGATACTGTCTACTGAACACTTCAGAATGAAATAAGACTGCAGAAGAAAAACTCTGACGACAATATTCTAGGGGTAGGATTCTATCTTTCTTTTTTTTACTACTGTTTCGTAGTTTAATTAGATTATTTCAAGGATCAGCAATACTAACACGATATTTTAAATCAACATTCAAAACTGAAATCAACGATATGACTTTTGAAGAACTTTGATTTTTTAAAGAAAAAAACTACTTTTGGTTCCCGTCAGAGGTTACTAAAACACTCGATTTTTTATCGAATATATTCCTTCCGAATTCCCTTTTACATAATCGCTCGTTCATTAAATTTTTCGTCAAAATTTTTCTCTCATTATTTTCGTTTACAGAAAACGTTTAATAGCTTCGGTGAGTTTACTATATAGAAGAATCAGAAGCGTTTCCATAAATAAATATTATGGGTAATTAAATTGAAACATGCCTTGCTCATTATTCGACAATCCTTAATATCTTATATGAATAAAAAGCGATCAATACATACCAATAACATCAGTCAACAATAAATACTTTTGACAGAAATAATCAATGCGACTGCTCGTTACTAATTCAAAATCTGCTCTATCTTCAGCTGAAACTTTTTCAGATGGATATATTTGTTCAAGTGATGGCGGTCGATATTGTTCATCGCTTGAAAATGACCATTCATTGTTATCTTGACATCAAGCATAACAAAAAATTATGCAAAAGACAAAAAATGATTAATACTCACATGACAATTGATTGATTGATTTTTCCTAAAAATATTGTAATTTTTTCACAAATGAACTCGTACGTAATAGATAAATATTTCACTTTTGGATTTCTACGCTCTTTTTAATTGATTTTTGACAATTATCTCTATAAGCTACTGCTCAGTTTCAGAAATATAACGAATATACGTCAAGCTCAGCTCAAAAGAACAGTTTCTACGAAAGGGGCAATGTCTTAACAATTATCCTTAAGAAAACGAGAGGTAAATAGTCTCCTTAATTCAAAGGAGAAAGTCAGCTGAAAATCGTTTTAAAAATTTTTGAAAATGATGTCGATAATGATCATACTATTTTCGTTATTTACATAGAAAAAAAGGTATTTAGATTGTCTCAGAATTTCAGAAAAAACTAAGTTGAGTAGTTTCTATAGCATTTAACGAAATTACCCAACTGAAATATCACTCGACTATCGATGCCTGAATGTCTTCGACACTTATTCTAAATATTCTTCTTACAAAGATCTTAAATAAAGTATAAAACTAGGCCTTTTCAGTTTATCTTTTACAAGGAAGCTTCATGATTCAATTCAAAATGTTTTGAAAATATGTATATCAAAAGTATTTTTGAAACTAACTTTTCGAAATCGTCGTTTACGTTTACCAAGTAGTTTATCATTTGATGGACTCAATGCAGTTTGCTTTTCATAAAACTCAGCATCAGTCATTTCAGTTGATGTTGTTGTTGAATCAACTAAAATAAGAAAAATAACGAAAAGTTTTATCTTGAAAACTATTTGAGATTTTTCTTATCGATAGTTATTTAAACCAAAGAAAGACATGATCTCATCAGATATAGCTTGAGACTTTCAGATAATGTCAAATAGAAAAGTATTTTCGAAAGATATTCTTGAACAACATCGATAACTTTAATCCAGAACAGAGACCGAAAGCAGTTCTCAATCCTGGTCCCACCTCGCTGCAGCCAAAACCTTTCGTTGATTCGATACCAAGTTTTGATTTAACGTTAGCTTCCAATTTCTACTAGTGACGAACAAGAAACAGTCAATACATTACGAATCAACGAAATACAGGATGATTTCTCATCACTAAAGTCTTGATCAAAAGCTACAACTAAGCCGTTATGGCTTCTTAAAATACGTTATAGATTTGAGTTCCGAATTTGAGAGAGTATTTCAAGAGAAGCTAAAAGTGAAAATAGATCATTTTGAAATAATTGATCTCTATTTCAATATTCAGCATTGCACTGAGAAAAAATGTATACGATTTCATTAATGAATTGTAGGTCCATAAAGATAGAAACCATTTCATTTTCGGAAATTAGAAGTATGCTTTCGACAGAGAGACCATTATACATCAAGTGAAGTCTCCTACTTTATTTTCTCGATAGATTACTCTTATCGCCAAAAAATTGAGAAGACTAACAAATATTTAGTTATTTGAGTACGGTCTTCAATATTTTCTCTGAGCATAAATAGATTTCTGTAAACTTTTTTCTTGTCAAGTTCTATCCAAATATGAAAAAATTTCGCGCCAATAAATATAGAATTTTATGGTCTATATAATTATATATATATATAACATCTCCACAAGGTTTAGTCGGAAGATATTGATGTAAAATTGAAAGGGATAAAAGTAAATATTCAGATTGCAATAATATAAGAACAAATATTAACCCAGGTCCATTGCAAACTATTTTTTTCTAGAATTTTCGAATGATTATTTCCAACAACATCGCTTTCAAATATTTTGTAAAAGTTTAACACAAGACTTATTACCTTTTCGTTTTTTGCTACGTTCACTTGTAAATTCTTTCTTTAGTAAACACAATAAACCTAAGATACTTTGTTTTAATTCATGATTGCCATTTTTATCGGAATGATCACCAGTATAATAGTCAGTACTGCTTGTTTTTAAATCTGGATACACAGCACGACTAAGATCATTGATTTCCTTCATTGTTAATATTGTTAATGCAGATGGAGTTATAAATTTTAATTCTCGAGAAACAAATACAGCAAAAACTTCATCAAATCTTATTTTTAAATACGAAAAAAACGCTTGAACATCCATATTCATGAGTGGTCTACAAGAAAAAAAGAAAGATCACTATGAAAAATCCAATATCATACTTACCCTGAAGCTGTTGATGATATAGAAGGCATTTCACAATTGTAATGATTTCGTTGAATAGGCAGCGGTAATTTATTTCAATATAAAAAACAAACAATTGCGTGATTGTCTGTCTGCCTGCTGGTCTGCCGGTTCACATTCGCTCTTTAGCTAATTCAACCAATCTGGGGAAAAAACGACAGATGACGCAACAAATTGATTCGATACTTTCCATCAACTATATCAGCGTATCTAGCTCAATAGGTAGTTTACCACCTAGGTCGAAGATTCCTGAAGGAGTATTCCGTCAATTTCCGACAGAAACCCGCAGGAAACGCGCCACTTCCGACAAGAAACCACCGGGAAATGTCAGGAGTTCAATGACTGTATCCAGCTGCCGGTTTTGCCAGGGTACTGCAGGTTTCGGGCGGAATCGAGCCGTATTTCTCGACTTGAGCCACTGGTTTCTTTAGATCTAGTGAAAACACTCATAGTTATAATCTTACTATGACAACAATCGTCACTCCAATGGACATCAATGATGACGAATATTTATCATCATCTGATGGCGATACTTAGATACAAACTTTAGCAACTTACAAATAACGGCAAAATGCAGTTTTAGGAAATCATGATATTTCACAAAATTTCGCTTAAATTCATTCACTTTAACACCGAGTAACTAGATATGAAGATCTCACAAGAGTTGAAATTAGATAGAACTCGCTACTGCTCAGTGACATAAGACGCAAAATAAAACATGTAAGCAATCAATCACCGATTTAAAATCGATATCTGTCCTTCTGGGTTGCATACTTATTCATGTTAGTAGAAAGAAAAATGTATAGTTCGCGGCAGCGAAGTAAATGGTTAGTTAAGTAGCCGAATCATTCATTGTATAGTTGAATTGTAGTTGACACTCGTAGATATATATATATATATATATATCGCTACAGATTTACTCAATGACTGAATGTAAGAATTAAAGTAGCATTATCATGTATTCTGATCACGATACTGATTCAAAGCTTTCTAAGCATTAAATATCAGACTAACTATAATTTTTCAGAAGTTGCTTTACATAGCAATATATTTTCTGAGTAGAGTCTATTAGTTGGTGACTGTAGCATTTGTGATGGCCACTTTAGCATGCTAGGTGAGTGGCTAAAGCATCTCAAGTGATATATTATATAAGGGTTCATTTGAGAATTGTCTCAACCAGGTCGATAATTAAAATCTACAGTAAATTTGTCTTGTGCTCTCTTATTGCGTCTTTGAGAGGGTGGGGGGCGAGTGATGTTTTCATCTGATTTTCAGCTATTCTCGAAGTCATACAAGGCATTTAGTTTTCATTAATATTCGAACTTGAATAAGGAAACTCATATCAGCCTCAGTGTTTCATTCAATGGTAGTCTAGACTTCAATAAATCGTTCAGGAAATTTATTTTCTTTGTAATTTTAAACACCATTTGAATAAAATATTTTAAAGTGATACTCATCTTTCCTTTGTTTTAGAATTGTTCTCGTTTCGAAAAAGAAAACAGACATCTAAAAAATGAAGAATAATAATCTGAAAAAGAAATGATCCTATTACATCAATAGCCTCAATATTAGTATCCATATTAATGTTTTCTTTTACTTTCTTCTTCAGTTGTGTTTTTCTAGATTGAACTACTGTTTATTGTGTATTAATCATCACATGTTGTATTTCTATTGTACTTTTCCCTTCTTATCTTCAGCTCTCATTTTTTTATGTAACTTATGCCACTGAACTATGTTGTTGATATGATATTTAAGTAAATATTTCGTTCTTTCTTTTTGTTTCTATTTGCACAATTGTGAATCAGTGAACAGTTATCTCTAATAGATTTCTTGGTCAACTCATGTATATGTCAATATATATGAGCATAGTACTGATCAACAACATGATCTAGATATACTGGTAAACTAGGTTTTAAAAATTTCACAAGAAAAAACACTTTGACATGTATCTTTTTAAACAGTAGAACATCTTGTGATGATACGAAAAGCTAAGTTTATGTGTTCTAACCATTAGTTAGTATCAACAGATTTGATTATTTATTTGATCACGCTTCATTTGCATATCATCATTTGTCGTCTATATTTTTACTCGTGAACAAATTAATCAAAGGATTTTTGTTAAGATTTACTTGATTTATAATTATTTGCCATCAGGATGTGGGTGTGTGGGATGTAGGTTTGTGTGGTTGTTGACGTTAAAAGACCCACACCCTCAGCATCAGTAATATCATTTTTTTTTGATTGGTACTGCTGCATGCCTCGTACCCAGAAAAATGTAAAACTTTCTGTACAGTATACTTACGAATTATTGAATATCAAGAAGAAAAATAGTTAGAGCATAGAATACTGACTAACATCAAATAAAAACCGTAGTGTGTACTTCGATAAACCCATGCAGTTAAAAGTGTATGGAATATCTCGACATGGTTTTGTTTTTACTTGAATCCACTTGCAAATATGATCAATAGTTGAATTATACTTTCATTTCCTTTTTTTTTAAGATTAAGTCTAGCATCGCTCGAAGGGAAATTACTGATTTTATTAGAGCTACAAGCATAGATATGATTGATCTTTTGTGCCCTAGTTTATTTTATCGATCATGATTGTTGAGGGCCAAATATCAATTTCGAAAACGTAACAATTATTAATTCTATGAAATCAATATTATTACTCGAAGAATTCATTTTTTATCTATATTACTTTTTGCCTAATGGATATTAATGAATATAGTTACAAAGTCTTGAATAAAGTTCACAAATGGAGAGTTTAGAGTTTTGAGATCATATTACGAAGATTCATAACGTAATATTAGAATTTCAAGAATGAAATAGATTGATTTTATGAGATTATAACAAAGCTTTGAGAAAATCAACTGGTTAACTATTTCTTTGCAGCTGTTCACTGGTTGTACCCAAAATAGCCTGCTATCTATAATTAGTATTTGATCCTTATAAATTACTAATATGACTATGTAAACTATAACCAGCAATATAATTATTAATGGAAATCGATTCAATATTTTCATCGACAGGGCGTTCCGTTATTATTAAGCGATTATATCAATAGAATTAATCAATGAAGAATGTTTCGAAAAGTTTCACAGAAGAAACTGAATGAACCATAAGATTTCTAATTGTATTATCAAGAATAGAAAATAATAATCAAAATAAGGATTCGAGTTGAATACTAATAAATGTACTGATCGATAAAAAGAAATTGGAAATATCTTCTCTTCAAATATTTTTCATTTGTTGTACTTAACATACATATCAAAACCTTTACTTGTGTGTTTTATTCTAAATGTCAATTGGATCTTGTAGAGTCAACAGCTCAATCATTAAGTGCTCTATCTATGCGATTAGCAGAAAGAAATTTGTTGATGTTGTTATGATTTAGCTTGTGTAATCGTTATTGACATATACAACGTTCCTTTTCGCTCTCTTCTATCTTGTTTGTTGCTCAGAATCGTAGGTACCTAACTTCTACAATGGCTTGTCCTTTTAACGCTATATATAAATCAAGAGAATGGAGAAAATATTCAGACTAATAATAATATGTGTAGGCATTCGATGCAATACTTTTGTACAGTTCATTGCATGCAATACATATATATACACATATGTTGATATATACATATCTATAGTTGTGCATTATTTCCTCTTTTCTGTATCGCAATTCCATATTACCAAATAAGGAATTGTTCGTTTCCCTTTTTCTATACAAGAAAACCACCAAGATTATCGTGTATATCCTAATATGGTATGCAAGACAAGAAAAGAGAAAAATAGCAAATACTATATAACACTCTGTACTATCCATTATACGATTGCCTTCTATATCTTGTTATATTCACGATTCAATCTATCTGTTAATCTTACAAAGAGTAGAACATAAATATGTGTGACGAAGACGTTGCTGCTATTGTTATTGATAATGGATCAGGTATGTGCAAAGCTGGTTTCGCTGGTGATGATGCACCTCGATCAGTATTTCCCTCGGTTGTTGGTCGACCTCGTCATCAAGCTGTTATGGTTGGTATGGGTCAAAAAGATTCATATGTTGGTGATGAAGCTCAATCAAAACGTGGTATCTTAACACTTAAATATCCAATTGAACATGGTATTATTACTAATTGGGATGATATTGAAAAAATCTGGCATCATACTTTCTACAATGAACTTCGTGTCGCACCTGAAGAACACCCAGTACTTTTAACAGAAGCTCCACTTAATCCAAAGGCCAATCGTGAAAAAATGACACAAATCATGTTTGAAACATTTAATTCACCTGGTAAATAAACCTATATATAAGTATTACAAAAAGCTCTATTTTGTTTTCTCGTCTAGCTATGTACGTTGCTATTCAAGCCGTACTTTCTCTCTATGCAAGTGGCCGTACAACCGGCATTGTACTTGATTCAGGCGATGGTGTTACACACGATGTACCCATCTATGAAGGTTATGCTTTGCCTCATGCCATTCTTCGTCTTGATTTGGCTGGTCGTGATTTAACTGATTATTTAATGAAGATTCTTACTGAACGTGGTTATTCGTTTGTGACAACTGCTGAACGTGAAATTGTTCGTGATATCAAGGAGAAATTATGCTATGTTGCACTTGATTTCGAACAAGAAATGGCCACAGCTGCATCGACGTCATCACTTGAAAAGAGTTACGAATTACCTGATGGCCAAGTTATTACTATTGGTAATGAACGTTTCCGTTGTCCAGAATCCCTCTTTCAACCTTCATTCTTGGTAAGTTTTGGTATTTCCAAAACATTTTTATTATGTATTAATTTGCAAATTGCTATATTAATACTTTATAGGGTATGGAAGTTGCTGGTATTCATGAAACAACATTCAACTCAATCATGAAATGCGATATCGATATTCGTAAAGATTTATATGCTAACACAGTTCTATCCGGAGGTAAAAAGCGATTTATAATAAAAACTGAATTTTTATTTTATTTTATATTTTAAACTATTTAGGTACTTCTATGTATCCTGGTATTGCTGATCGTATGCAAAAAGAAATCACAGCATTAGCTCCATCGACAATGAAAATCAAAATCATTGCTCCACCTGAACGTAAATATTCAGTATGGATTGGTGGTTCAATTTTAGCATCACTTTCAACCTTTCAACAAATGTGGATTTCAAAACAAGAATACGATGAAGCTGGTCCATCGATTGTTCATCGTAAATGCTTTTAAATACGAAAATCAATTCAACAGTATAGACTTACATATATACTTCTTTTTTTAAGCTGAGTTTTTCGTGTTAACTATATGTATTCTTCTTCTTCTTCTTCTTCTTTAATAAACCTTCATGCACATTAATATCGGCATCATTTTGTTTCTCTAACTTTTTGTTTTGGCCTTATACATCAGCTAAGATAAATATTCTATTGGAAAGAGTTTTTTTCTGAGTGTAGAAAGAAATCATCATCAATTCATTCATCGTGATTATAGACATTGTGATGTCGACATACATGTCAATCAAATTGATATTTTCTGATAAGTATTACTTGCAATCGATGATCTACTCTTTGAACAAAAAGAAACAAGTTATAAGGACGAGCTTTCATCATTTTATGAGATATTTTATCATTCATGTAATGACTTTTTTTTACAAGGCTACATTAAAAGCAGAATTCTTGATAGAATTTTATGATAAAATGACCACGTCAATAATATAAACAAATGGTTTTGATCTGTCAGAATTTAGTTTTCTACGGCTATTGTTTTTCTTTTATAAGAGTATACGATCTTTAAACCAAATTCTCATGTCTCTATAATACTTGCAATTGATAAAGATCTATCATTTGGTTTCGTTAATATTCTAATTGGCTTGTCAATGCAAACAATGCAAATTTTGCATATTTCTTACATTATAAGAGTACTGTGCGGTTCAACATAGGATTAAAATATTTGGCACAACTAAAACTTTTGACAGTAGTCATTCAATAGGTTTCAGCGTAGTTGACTCAGCGTCAACATACTCTCTATACTAGTTGTTTGAAAATAATTTTTGTTTTAATATTACTAAGTTCTCGCTAACTTTACAGAAAATATTCTATATTACCATATCAAACTTTGGCATTTTTCTAAAGAATATCATGTATAAGATTTTTAAAATGTGTTTTTTTTTTCATTTTTCTTCTTTTCCCTATATTTCCATTCGTTATTTATTAATAAATCAACTGAGGAAAAAGATTGCACAAAAAAGAATCACACATAGGGGTTTATCAAATCTTTCTTAAAATTTTAATTTTGTTTGGTTGACTTATATTGTTGCCAACTATGTAATAAAATATTAGCCATATATAAACTGAATGCATGTATTTGAACCATGATTATCAAAAATATATACCATAGTATTAATAATGGAAAGCCAAGAAAGGTTTGTGGTTCAACTTCATCTAAGTGATGATTGGATTTTAATTTTTTAAACGTAAACAAATCACTTAAATTAAGTATAATTGTTGTCATTATTGTACCTAAGCCGAGTGTAACTGTACCACGAAAAAATAATTTCATTAAAAATAGATGATTTTTATTCATTGACAAGAGACCACATATTGATGGTAGAATAGTCATAATCCATATGTACTGCCACAGATGTGGTCGTGGAGTTTTTACGGTTTTTATTAATGGTACATGATATGTCACGAGTTGGAAAAGAACAAGCAAAGCAAGAACAAAATGAAGATAAATTAATATTCGTAGACGTGGTTTAGTTTCTATACTAACACGATAATGTTCAGCTATGCGTTCACGATGATGAAAATCACTTCCATCAGTACCAGCAACACGTTGTGAACCTGGGAGAGACATCTGAAACAGAAAACAAATTTGTATTGCGCTATAATGTCAATGAATTATAATAAATAGAAGAAAAGAAAAGAAAAGAAAAGAAAAGAAAAGAAAAATATTTTATTTTAATAATTTTAATCGAGATTCAAATGTATTTTGTACCAGTATTTTGCGCATCACGTGTTTCACTTCTATGCATATCAAACGACATACCATCACCTAATGGTTGCGATGACATGAGTGGATTTAATAATGCTAAGTACCATCGTTTACCAAAAACAAGTTGTAAATTGAATCGAAGACTTTTTCCTGTATTATACATATGAATATCTTTATCATATTCATACCATGTTTGACTATTGCTTATAAGAAAACTTTGTTGAATTATTAAAAATAACACATAAAGACTAAGAATAATCGATGTTGAGCAAATACAGGAAAGTAAAAGTGAGAAATGATCGACAAAATTAAATAACCATGCAATAAGTGGACAAAGACACGCTAAAATATAAAGAATAATTTTCTATTGAAGTAGAACTTCATAGAGAGCATTTGAATAGGTATAATTCGAGAATAGAAGTGCATTTGATATTAGATCTACTACACAATTCACAAATTTGTTGCGAATTTCTCTAATAATCGACTACGTCAAATCAAGTCTACCTAATAGAGATTCATAGAAGAATATTGATTCGTCATGTTAAACAAATCTTTGTGAGGAACATCTAACAAATTAAGAGAAGCTTAACAATTACAGCTCACTAATGTGACATAGGTTATTGTGATAGTTCATTAAAAAAAAATTTTATATTTCGTAATATCCATATTTTCTATTGAAATCACGAAAGGACTTCGGTCTATAGTAAAAAATGATACTTATTAAGATGTAAAGATATAGCCTGAAAATACCATCAGACTTGTAATTGAGAAGAAGAAGAAAATATTGAAATTTGTTTTTCTAAAATTTATTATCGAAAATTGTGCAGAAATAGAGAAAAGAAAATTTAGATTATCTCTGTGAAACAGACATTTTAATTACTTTATCATGATAGACATACTCATAAGATTAGAATCTACTCCAAAATTAACATGAAACTCAACTGCTGCTAAGATAGTGATTATTTTTACTTTTCTCTCAAATTGTTTCGCGTAGATTATGTTTATCATTCTTCATGATCAACATTTTTTACTACTGAATATTAATAATAAATTCGAAACAAATGTTAATGAGTGCTCTCGTGTACGATATCATTAGCTCTACTATCTGTCACGTTTCAATCCTACAGGGATTTCACTAACAGATTCTTTAATCAATGATATGACCTTAAGATATAAGGTCTGTGAATATGGAATTTTCTTTTGTCACAAATAATATTTATCCTCAAATTAACTTACAAATCATAACACGCCATGAAAAAGTTCCAACAAGTTCATAGGTATAATCCATATGAAGAATATTGCAATAGACTAAGCCAATCTGAAAAATAAAATTTGACTCAATGAAAAAAACGAATCATAATCATATGAAGATTTTTACCCAAGTCCACACGAGAAAACACATATAATAACGAATATTTCTAAAGCCAATGCATCGCCCAAGAAAAACACAATGATGATCACGTTTTAAAATACAGATTTTACATATATGACAATGTTGAGATCGTGGTGGAACATTTACTTCACAACTATGACAATAATGCCAATTGCAGTGATAATAAATAATATCTTGTTGAGTTTTTCTTGTTGATATAGAATTAACTATTGTTGATGGTAGTAAAACGGGACAGATTATCGTATTAATAGATGTATCAGTAATCATACATATGTATAGATTTCCAATTAAATTGAAAATAACATAAAAACCAAATATAAGATGAAAAATTTCTTTATAAGTAAATATATTGTGATAAATTGTTGGTAATATAACACATAATTCAAATGTAACATACAAACAAATAAGAAATATTGTGAAAAGCAAGGGGATTAATTCAGCACGATCTCTAGGTATGAGAAGTTTTATTCGACGACTAGTCATTGTTACATTTATTCTAATTCGAAATTTTCTTAAAAAATCTAAAATGAATCAACCAAAAAAATTTCATTATCAATAAGATCTATTGTTATTTTCTTTTTTGACAACTCCGATAGTCGGAGTTCAACTGTTCTTTGAACATGAAGAAAAAAGTAGAATATTAGCTCCCTCTATTTTCTACTCATTAACATTGACCTTGGAAAACAATTGATTTCAGTTTTAAGAAAGTTGAAACTTCTGATTTGATTTTGTCAAGTAAAAATTAATTTAAACAAAGAAAAACAATTATATCAGTAATAATCTACCAAAAAATATGGTTAATTATTGTATTTCTTTTATCTTTCTTGTATATGCAAACAAAACAGACGACAACAATCATGATGATGTTTCAGACAAATACACATAAAGGAAGAAAAGACAAAAATACCCTTAGAAAAGCCAAGCGAATGAGATGTTTAACGATGATAATAACGATCAAAATAATTGTGCGGAAAGAGCACGATTTGCATCTTCATTAAATAATATAAAGAAATAGCAGAAAAGAAAAAAAAAAGAAACAATGTATACATCAAACAAACAAACACACATGTTTACGAATAAGGAAAAAACATTGATTCAAAAAGAGAACTCTATGCATGATATGATAATCTAAAAATAAAGATGGATGTTGTCATCATTCTTTTTTTCTTCTTCTAATAAATCTTATTTTATATATAGATATTAATTGTTATTTGTCGAATGCGTTGGCAAGCAAAAATCTTGGGCGTTAGGATCGAGATTGGATGTAGCATTTTGTAATGGTGGCGGTGTTATAGTTATTGGAGGTGAATAAAATACCGATGATGGACTCGTTGTTGGATTATTGTTTGTATCAATTAGTTGATTTGTTGGTGATGAATGTCCCGATGTTTGAGGACGACCATTAAATAAACAATTATTTACTTGATGTTGGGAATGAAGTGCAGCAATTAATTCACGTTCCTTTTCTCGAATTGCATCTGAAATGAAAGAAAAATAAAAGTTCTTTTTGGATTGTCGAAATTTTTTTTCGCAATACAAACTATTGGCTATTTCAAGTTGTCGTTTAACTTCACCAAGTGCAGAAAATAGATCGAGTTTTATTCGTGTTTCAGCACTCAAACTATCCTGTAATTGTGCATTTCGTTCTTGTAATTGTGTTAAATGTTGATAGAGCACTTCTGTATCCGCTTGAGATTCTCGATATTTTATAAGAGACTAAAATTACATTAAATTACTATAATTAATAAAATAAACTGTTGATTTAAGAGAAAAAAAATTGAATATATCTCTCCTATTCTACTTTGATAATCAATAGTTTCCTAACATGTTCTAGTTGATCATTTGATAAAAAAAAATGAATTCATCTTTAGATAACAATTATGAATCATTCCAAATGTTTTGCTGTTAATGATACTATCAAAATATACAGCCGTCAGTTTTGGATTTTTTCGACCTTGGTTAATGTCAAAAATTATCATTAATATTAGTAACAAATTGAGAATAATGATAGGCTTAGTCGTATCCGAAGAGTCTAGTAACCAAGCTGTGCGTAACACTGCTTTCACCATTGCAGATAGACACAAACGTCTAGTATTAACTGATCACATTTGGTATTGCCATGTGATTCAGAGAGAGAGAGAGAGAGAGAGAGAGAGAGGGGTGTGTGTGTGCCCATGATGGATAAACCACTCCTACTTTTACTCAAGGCACTTTTGAAAGAACGGCAAAACACGAGTTCTATGCTTTTAGTGAACCCTATCGAACTTATACGTAGTAATACGACTATTGCATTTGCCGATTTCAATGTAATAAGACTCGATGATCTATGTAGATCTATCATACATATTTTTTCATAATGTATACTTGTATTGTAGTAGAGAAATAATAAAATAGTATTTTAGAATCTGCAGTAAAAAGAATATGTTTCATGCTAGTTGTTAAGAAATCATTTGAATTCAGTAAGTCTTATACTAAGTCGTGGTATTTCGTTGAAAACATTTCGCTATACCTTAATTTCATTGTCAAGTAATTTGATTCGTTCATCTTTGTCATTAAGTAGTTTCCGCATTTCTCTTGTTTCATTCTCTTGGTCTCGTTTTCGTTTAATGCATTGTTCTGTACATTCATTTCTAAAAAAGAAACTTTAAACAAGTTCTACATTCAAATAAATGATGTAACAAACTTCGGTGGTGTTGAATTTAATTTGGTCAAATCATCTTGCAGTTTTTTTGTCAATGTTTTTTCTGTTTTTATTTGTGATTCTAATCGTTGTTTTGTTTGTTTTTCTTCATTTACATTTTTTTCAAGGTCTGCTATACGTTGTTTGTCACGATTCCGTTGTGTATTGATCGATTCATATCTAGATAAGATATTAGTAGATAAGAAAATTTTAATTTTCAAATAGAAATTTAATATAGCAAACTTTGTTTGTAATGCTGAATTTTCTACTCGCAAATCGTCAAGATCTTTACGGGTATTTTTCAAATCGGATAACTGTATGCGCAGTTGCATTTCGGACGTTTTTTGCTTTTCAATGGATTGATTTAGTCGTTGAATATCAACTTCTAGTTTATTTATTTGAAGGCTAAAGAAAATTAAATAACGATTCATAAAAAAGAACTCTGCATGAGATGGTAAACTTTTGAACTCTGGAAGTATATTTAGAGTGTGAGAATGGGCTGTGTCGCTGACCAGTGATCTATCTACTGTATGGGTAGGGTGGACGGCGCCCACCCGAAAATAAACAGTTGATTTCATAAAAGTAACGGGTAGCCCATAAAGAAGGGTGGCCTCATTATTTACTCAATATCGTTTTTGCTCTTCATTGATTTGAACTGAACATTTTCCCAAAAGATTGAGCATTCAATTCTCTACAAACTCATGTGCAAAAGATTTTTTAAAACTACAAAACGGCTAAGTACTAAAACGAAGAAAAAAGATTAAAAAATCTTCAACTTTCAAGTTCAACATACATTAACATTTGGAGTATGTTTCGACAACTAATACGCAGGCTTAATTTACGGGAGAAACATTTTCTGGTATTTTCAAGTACGCTCTTTGCGATATCTGTGAAAAACATTTCTTTAAAAGTGGTCTTCGCCTATTAAATCGATGTTTTCTGAAAACTCGTCCATAACGTCTTAATTTCGGTTTACAAGTCTACTGCAAACGAAACTTTGCATCACTCGAACAAGTGTATAGGGATGTAGTCGAGTGTGTTGGCTTTCAAAAAAAAACAAATCGTCAAGAATAACACTTTTTAAGTGAATGGCATGCGTTTTAGTACAAGCATAAAAAACATGACATGACAGTTGTGTTTTTTAGAAAAAGCGAAAATATTGATGCAGAATATTTTACTCATTCTGTAATGAAAAAAAAATCGAAGACATGAATCTTGCCCAGAAGCTGATGCCCTTTAATATGGCAGACTGAGTTTTTTGTAGATCCTCACATGTAAAGCAAATTTTCAAAAAGAACGGATTTAGTGCTTAAAAGTTGAAGATTTTTTAACATTTTTTCTTCGTTTTAGTACTTAGCCGTTTTGTAGTTTAAAAAAATCTTTTACACGTGAGTTTGTAGAGAATTGAATGCTCAATCTTTTGGGAAAATGTTCAGTTCAAATCAATGAAGAGCAAAAAAGATATTGAGTAAATAATGAGACCACAATTCTTTATGGGCCACCCGTTACTATGTGATAACAAATTTTCTAGCCAGCAGCCCCTCCAAAAAATTCAACCGCTCACCCGAAAAATGAAACCTAGATAAAACACTGAAAAATATCATCCGTCTTCTAGAAGACTCAAAATGAATCAGTTCATTATGAAAAGATTTGAATTCAATAGATCTAAATGTTTGTTGAACTATTCTAGTTAGAGTCTACAAGTTGCGTAGAAAATAGAAGAGATATTTTTTTCATGCTGCTACAAACATCCTATAACTATTTCTTAGAAAATCTAGATGACAATTTTATATTTAACTAAATAGCGAATATCAATTGTTTGCCAGAGATTTATAATTTATATCGATCTATTGATGATCCTTGATACTACTGAAGAAAATTGTTTTTTCTCTTGATAAATTTACTTTTTATCGATTTCAGAATTTTCCATCGATATACTGGTAGCAAATCCATTATTATATGATGAAGATGAATCTCTTGATGTGGCACGTATCTGCTCTCTTTCTTGTTTCTTTTGTTGTCTTCGACTTTGTGTATTCTGTGCATTGAAAGATTTGATCAACTGTTTTTTTTGTTGTTTATATGTTGATGAAGAATCATCATCATTTCCATTTGAAATTTTATTATTACGTGTTGTTGTTGTTGTCTGTACAAGTGAATTCGTAGATAACACATCATCATTATTATTTAGTTTTTGTGGACGTTTTGATACTGTACAAGGTAATGATGTTGACTGGTTAGTTAAATGTGTTTGAGAATTAATCAGTGTTGAATTAGTGGATGAGGGATTTAAACTAGTTACTGATGTCACCGGAGAAGGCGATGATGATGGATAAGTTCCATCGATATTTGTTTGAGTTGTACATTCATCAAAAGTTTCAGTAAATGTACCTTTTCGTAAGAAAAAGAAAAACAGAATTAACTCTTGAATATGCCTAAGACAAACAATGACTTACCCTTCTCTCGACTCAATTTTTCTTTTTCAACTTCTTGTTGAACTTCAATTGGTAGCGCGTGATTAACTAATTGAATATATGATTCATTTACTTTTCTGACATCGCGCTGTTTTCTCTATTAAAATGAAAAAAATAAATACAATTTTACGTTATTTTTATCTTTGAATTTTATCTTACCAATCTCCATTTATAAGCAAGATAAGTTTTAAAACCAAATCCCAATGTCACCATTGGATAGCCAATACTAAGAAATATAAATAATAATCGAAAATCAAAACAATTCAAGCATATATTACCAATGGGCTGCAAATGGTCGACAAAGATCAATAGTTTTAATTTCACGTAATCGTACTGATGCTTCAAGCCAAACAAACAATACCCACAAAAGAACAGTACCCAAACAGATACCACGTTCTATGGAAACACAGTAAAATGTTATATCGAAAGCTCGAAATTTTTAAAACAAACCTGTTTGCCAAACATATTGTATCCATACATAGCTACTTGCAGCAAAAAATAGCCATTGAATAGGTAATAATATATAACAAATGAGATCGGCTATGAATGCAATAAGTACAAAGAATAATGAGAAAAGCTAAAAGAAAGAATTCAAGAAAACAAACGAATTCAATTAGATAGCTTTTAGTTTTTGTTTACCAATCCTTGGTATTTAAATGAATCATAAATACTTCGTAAAACAAGCCAAAATGGCCAAAGAAATTCGAAGCGAAATTCAAGTAAATAATCAGCTGCCATTATAATACCCCAAATACAAATAAATTTGAGATATATTAATGCACTAAAATATATATAAATTAAATATATTTATAGTAATCATGATATCTATAGAAAAAAAAGAAGAATTTTTCTTTTCGCTTAGTTACCTTCCATAAATACCCTCAGTAAGACGAGAGCGTCGAATAGATTTTCTTATTTTTATACTGTCCAAATTTGTTCGTCGTTTCATAGTTGTAGCTCAGCGCAAGAGATAATATTGTCATAGACTAAAACTAAAATCAAACAAAATATTGAATGAAAAAGAACTTCATATTTAATTGAACAGAATTAAGAATTTTCATAAATACTGCTGGATGTGGATGGATCGCAACAGAGCAGAAGGAAAAAAAGAGGACATAAACGTGAGTTCTGTGGCTCTATATTTTGACGAAAGAGTTAGCGCATATTTATCATCAGTAGATGTCACCAAAGAGCAGAACACGTCAAAGTAAAATTCTCAAGTGCGCCTTTTTCTTCTATTAGCTTTTCGTTTTGAATTACGAAGACAAGACTCGAAATATAGTTTTAACAAGTTACAAGATAAACACTCGATTAAAATGTGAAATAAAAATAAAATGAATTAAGATGAACTTGAAGAAATTACGAATTGATATTAGTTTAGAAGATTTAAAAAAGTAGCACACACTCTTTAAGAGTGTTTGAATAAACTGTATGAATCATCAAATCTATTCAACAAGTTGTCGCATTCTGATTGTGAATCATTACACATTTGAATTTACAAAAATGAGACTGCATTTTTCTTCTTGCCCTACTTAATGTTTATTTATGAATCTGTTACTACCGACTTGTTTAAAAGCTAGTGAAGTATTTGTTTTCGTAATTCAAATAGCATAGTATATTTTAATATGAAATTCTAAATCACGCAATAAGAAAGTCTCTAATACAAAATTGAAATTTTCCAGTTTTCGAAACATTTGTAGTATACTTTCAACGGATGTTGCTAATTTCGTATTGATTCTCATCACTGTTAATATAATCAGTGATTAAGAAGCAAGCGTATTAATCGAAATTAATTTTCACTTATGTTTATTCTTTCATCGATGAAAACGAATCATTTTCAGAATAATCGTTAGAAAAAACGTCAATAGCTCGATTAACATAAATATGCATTTTTACTATTAGTTGGATCTTCTAGTAATCTAGTCAATATTTTCATGTTTTCAGCTTTTTCGTGTTGTTTCGATTAGAATATTTTGTTGTGTTTGATATTATATTGATACATATTACCATTCAGGCTAAAATGATCATAAGCATCCATTTACTAAAAATTCTATGACGAAAAAAAATATTTTGTATTATCCATTCGACCAGAAAATAACTAAATCAGTCAATCATTATTAACCTTAATCGATATGATCTAAAGAGAAAAATAATACGTTTTTAAAACTTCTCAAATACATTATCTACAAATCAATTTTTCATATTGTATTTTATCAGAGAGGTACACATTTTAAATTTGCATTATTTATCATCGATAGTGTGTTGCAAATAACTGTTTCATATTCACCTTGTCAATTTGCATATCAAGCTAGAAATTTACACACTTGAAACATTTTCAATCAAATATATTTTAAGAAACAAAAATGAAAGGAATTAAAAGAACATGACTTAATATTGAGGATGCGAGTTTGGTCTTGGATCGACACATAATTATTTGTACAATCCAAGTATATCGATTCTGAAATTAGTGCAATAATTGTTTTTTGAGTATCGGTTTTCCACTAAATGTCAGTGCCTCAATGAACACCTACGTATATAACTGGCTTCAATTTGTTCAATATAAGCTTTCGTTGATTAATTTATTGTAATTGGACATTTCTAGTTAGAGTAAAGAGACTAAAATTTACTACAACGAACAGCTTGCATATAATTCAGACTATACACAGGACTACTAGCAATATAATTATGATTCCCGAAGGAGTAAATTATTTCTTTATTCTTCTATGTACCATGCATCTGAACAATGCGAAGATTAGAATTAAGACGAAATAGCAAATGAAAACACATAATCTATTGGTTCAAAATGTATACATATTTTTCTTACGGAATTAGAGGGTGCAATTGCGAAAGGAAAAGCATCTCTAGAATAGCTCCTGGGTTGTTCTCAAAACATACATGAAACAAGAATGTTAAGAGTAAATATTGAATACTATTAGCGCCTACTGATGAAGCTATGCTGAAATATTCATCATTATGGAAAATAATGAGTTTCATATTGATTTTATTTTTTATCGGTTACACAAATAATAACAAATAACAATACTCGATTGATGTAGATTATCTCGTACATACTAGTGAATAGAAAATACATTCGAACAGATGAACCGCTCAAAAATATAAAAATGAATGCTCATATTACATTGAAATAAAATGCACTGCGTATCGACTTCACTCATAGAAAACAAGACGTACAGATGACTCAACAATAGTCCGAAGAAAAACCAACGTAAATATCAGCAATGTGAAACTACATGTGATTATCATAGACATTTATGACAATATGGCAAATTATAGGCAGGTCTATGCAATACTTCATGTGATTCAGCAAATAGAGCCATAGTAAGATACCGCAAAACTGCATCACCCCATCGATATTTAAAAATACCATGCGTAGAATCAATAGTGTCCACCCAGTGGCGAACTTCTCTACGTCGAAAGAATTCAACTTTTGATACTTCAAAATTATTAAAATAATTCCAAACTGTATTGTTATTAAACGCTTGATTCAACATATTCATTTGCTTTGGATGAATATTATTTTTTTTTATGTAATCAGATGTCACTTGTTTCATATTCATTGTACCAGGCAGTTGTGTTTCTAAGTCTACATCAATATCATTTGCAAAATAAACTGCATTTTTTCGACGCATTTCATCAAAAACATTGAACCAACGACCGAGTAGTTTCGAATCATCGTCGAGTCTCATAATGTAATCATACTGTTGTAATTGAGGTAATTCAAATAGAGTTTTAAACCAAAATCTTATCATAAGCAAATAATTCCATTTTCCTCTTACACGATAAGATGTTTTTGTCTTACAAGCATCGAATTCAGTTGGAAATAAGTTAAAAACTTCAGCTACATTAAGAAATGAAACTTGTCGCTTCATCGTTTTAGTTAAACGTAGGAAATCAGCCCTATAAAGATCATTAGTGTATAGAAAAAGAATGCCCGTTGTAAAGTTATCTTCGAAGTTCGAATCAAGAAGTTGGAGCCGTTGAATTAATTTGGATGAAACTCTTGGAATTAACATGACTATAATGTTTGTGTTGTCGGCTGATAAACGTTGAGATCCGTAAGTTTCTATTTTTGAGACAGCAAAGTGCGAGATATCATTTGAGTTTAGTGCACTTTTAAAAAAACAATATGGCTCTAGAATGAACACATAGACAAAAAGCAAAATGCAGGCTATTGTCACAGAACAGATTTTGACTACATAACGAAGTTTTGCCTTGCTTATTTTTCTGTAAATACACATTTTGAATGATAATAATTCGATTTTAGTTGTAATCTAGACGTAATTAAGGAGAAGTACTAACAAATGGCGATTGGTCAAGATTCCATTGTTATATATGTGTGATGTTTTGAATTCAAAATCTAAAAATTAAATGAAGCATGTAATTATATTAGATTCTACATGATGTCTTCAACATCACTAAAAATGGCACGGTATACATTATATCCCAATGTCTTTCTGTTCTAATATATAAATATTTATTCGGCATTGTTCCTATTATTTTGGTCGTAAGCCAATTCTCTTATTCTGAGCACATGCTCAAAATGAAAGAAACATAGCTAATTAGAATGAAGATCGACTATTTCAATAAAGTCAATACGACTCAAAAAGCGTTCACTACTAAAATTAAATCAAATGATTCCATCTAGTCGATATAATACATATTTGTACACATTCGATAAGTTGTAGCGAAGTCCGACTATGAATATTGTTCAATTGTATTCTACGAAGAAAAACGAATATTGTATCAATGTTGTACTGTTAATTCACGATATTATATTCAGACAGAAAATTTACTTGAAAATAAAATTATTTTAAATATTTCTGATAAATTATCGACAGTGGAACATTGGATCGAAGCCATGAGAATTTATTTGAATATGATAGTTTTTTATAGTTTCTACTGGCAAACACCATTCTATAGATTGGGTAAGAAATGACAAGCAGATGATGCAGATTAATCTTAAAGTGTATTATAAATAATATGAATTGAGATTTTCTCTGTAGGAATTACTTTTCATGCGTATGGGAATCTTTTGTGAATTTTCTTTAGAGTCGGTAGAAATTTCATCGACGCTTTTCAGTTATACAAGATAAGAACTACATCAGATGACTAAAAAGTGTTGTATAACCCATTATACAAAAGTAATTGCTGAAATATTTAGCCATATGTTTCTGGAACAAATCTGACGAGAATGGAAAAATATTGTCAATTATAATTTTATTTAGCCTAAAAGAGCGCCCTATAGAAATCGATACTAACATAAGTGTACAATTCGCTTCTAGTTATGATTTGAATGGGTTGGCTTTTTTTTGCAAGAGACTGAGTACTTTGATTTTTCTCATTGTCTAGCCGCCTTGTAGAAGTAATAATTTGATATGTTACAAATAATTCACGCACAATAGAATGATTCCATGAATAGTTTCTCGAGTAGATAGCTGATATTCTTTTAAATTACTAGTCATTGAAAAATGGTGGTTTTTACGGAATTTTCAACTTTTCCAATAAAACAGTCAAAAACGTGTCGAAAGTATATTCAGTGCACTGGGCATCGAAATCACTTGTTATAAAAATTCAGTCCATGTAGCCTAGCATGTTGAGAAACACATCTTTTTTCGGGCTTCGACAACAGTGACAAGAACCTTTTGCTTAAATATTCGATTATTGTCTTTGCCTTTTCCCCAGATCGATTCTAGGAAAAGATCACTGATATAATAGTGTTTAATTCAAATGATACTCGTTCGAATTAAATAAACAATTTTCCTTACAAGATATTTTTGAGTTGAGAAGTTTGACGGGAGACTTCAGCAGCTATTTTTACATGGTCGGGTAACATATCTCTGTCATTCTATCTATATGTACGATGTGTCAGTGAAGGAGCGTTGACTTTCTTTTGTGTCTATTCTTTAGTAAATATATAATTTAATTTAACTTTTTTTTTAAATAGTACTTACAGTTGCAATTGTCCTTGAGATAGAGCTGTATGAAAAAAAAAATATATAAATTTAAAAGTATTTACCGTTGTAATGATGGTTGTTCTTTTCCTCAACAGAAATAAATATGATTGATTTTTAAAATAATATTTGCCGTTTAAGTTGTTCTAGATTTTGATCTAAATAAAATATGTATACATATAATTTTTATTCAAAATTCGTAGCTGAAAACCAATATTTTCTATTGCGTAGCTTTTTTTAATTACTATTTTCTCTCTTTGCAACAGCTCGACATGCTTTCAACCGATTACTTGCTTTTGCTTCCTCTTATGAACAAATGAAATTTAGAAGACACATTTTTAATAGTAAAATATCTTTTAATAGAATTCTCATCGAAAGACTCCTTGAAAACTTTGTAAGTTTTTTCGACATCTTAAAACCTCAAGATTTTCTAGCGAATAGTTTTTGAGTCCTTATGAAGTTAGTATGGTGATCCTCACACAATATACATGGAGTTTCATGAATTTCAACATACTTTTTGATGATTCCGTAATGAAGAGTCCACTAGGGTTAACTGTCGATAAAACTGCTATTGTTGAAAGAATTTCTCAAACTTACCGGCTTTAAATTTACTACCAATCTGTTGATTTTAGTCTGGAAGACTATGAATTTTTCAATGGGTAAATAAAGAGAAAATTTTAGCAAATCTGAAGTTCAAAGCTTAATATTTGATAATAAAATTTCGATATCAGCGATCGAAACCTTTACATAAATGTTAGTTAGTAAAAGTGTTCATTTCCTAAAAAGAAGTGATTAGTTTTTTTATATATTGTATAGTGTTTCTTCTTACTAGGAATAAGTTTCTTTTTGGTACAACGCTTCTAATCAGAATAATTGTAATTACTTATTTACTTTTCAAGATAACTGAATAAATTTTGTATTATTCGATTCGCCCGATGTTTGCCTGTTGACACATGGAAAAATATCTACAGAGTCAAACATAATTATTTTAGAAAAGAAAGAAAACACTTCCAATGTTAGCAAAGTTGTTCACATCTTAATAGAAGTCACATGTTGCTAAACGAGATAACAAGCAGATAGATTCAGTTTATTCAGTTCTAAGAGTTACAAAGTATTTTGAGTAGATGAATATTTTTCTCATATGTTGTTCTTAGATTAGTCGGAAAACGAATAAATTGATTAAGGTTATCTGAATAATCACATAGGGAAAAATTCGATATTTCATTGTTTTTACTAATAAGAATGTATCGATAAAAATGAAATATATAATGGTTAATTTTTTTTCCAATTCAGTAAATTCTCATAAGAGGCATTATTATCGATAAAAATCTAGAAACTCACTTGAGGCTGTCTTTTCCCATTACTAGTTGTCAGCATTTGTTACGATTTCTCGCTTGCATGCTCTGCATCAATTTAACAATGTGAGCAGCATGTATATTGCCATCATCTCATAAAATATTGTCGGCAAATGATTTTTCACGCTTCTATCGTTCGTTGCTGTTCGCAACAATAAGGTGCCATGAGAAATATTTTGTTCTCTTTCTTTCTTTCTTTCTTTCTTTCTTTCTTTCTCAGATCGAAGACAGACACAGGAAAAATGAAACTTTTACTTTTCATTTTTTCTATTATAAGAACGAGTCATATTTTTCGATGTTGACAACACACTATTGTTCTTAGAACATTCATATAAACGGTCAGGATAATATGTATAAATCATGTGAGTTGTTGTGAAACGAATAGTAGTAGCTACAATTTGAAGTATTCACTGACGTCTACAGTTGAATTGGTGCTCAGTAAACAACTTTCCTCGAATATTTCTCAGGTTATCAGAGAGCGTACAGACGAGACAGGAAACCTGTCATCACAATTTATTGATAAAGAATAAAATATTTTTAAGATCATAAGGTCAGTAAGAAATTTCTCTGTAAATAATACTAGTGACGAACTGAACCAGTATCCTCCACGATCATCGACAAAATTACGCATTTTAACATCTTCACAGCTATCGTTGTATGCTTTGTTTGCTTACATATTCTTATACGATACAGAGACAGGTGATGTAGGTGTAAAGAATAGTGAATGAATAGAGAACGCTACTCAATCGAGCAAGCAAAAAAAATAACACGTGGACACATGCATGTAGTGAAAAAGAGAATCTTTCTATTTTCTATACTATTTGTTCCGCATCACATCCTCAAAACGCAAAATTAAATTTTTAACATCTCGCTGCCTTCAGATTGAAGAGAAGCAGAACGCAAGAAATTTTTTCTTCATTATACCGTATCGGTTAACAGCTCTTAAACCAATGACTGTATCAATTTATGTTTGATAAACAATATAGTAGCTAGTTCATAACATGTATACAGCTAAAAAATGAAGACAGAACGCAAGAAATTGTCTGTATGAGGATCGCTAAAAATTCAAAAACCAATGCGGTCATGTTTTATGTTTAAAAAGAACGACAAAAGTACTCACAAGAGTGTAGTCATGCGAATTTTATGATTCTACATTTATAAAAATTAACTTTCATATGAAAAGAATGAACGAATGAAACTATAGGCAAACTAGAACTTTCTGTTCGTAATGGTTTACTAGCGTCGGCAATAAAGACAGAAATATACTTTTGTCAGTTAAGAATCACATCATAAATCATTTTGGTGTCTATTTATTTTTCGAAAAAACAAACCCGTAATAATTCATATTTGTAGGGATGGGGGAGCGTCATTAAGCTAGGTGAGACTCATAAGATTGTTTTTTATCGTGGAATTTTATCAAAGTATCAGGCAGAAAATAAGTCTTCTTTTTTATCGAACTTCAGTAAAAATAAAAATGGTCAACTTAAAAAAATAAGATTAGAAAATACCAAACAATACTTTTCTTTGCTCCTGCTTTGATGCAAAAGTCGAACAGTAACTTTTCAAGTCAATAGAATGGCTTGCCCACGTAATGTGATACTTCGATGATCAAATCATTCAAAATCATTTTCCCAGACTACGAGATCTTTACAGACCATTAGGATGCTGATCTTGTGCTGATTGTGTATCTAGTAGTTTTTTTTCTTG